TTCGAGAGAACGCAAGTCACCCCTCGTTGCACCGTATCGCTATGTCTATCGCGTACCAATTCCTCAGCAGTACCAACCGCATTATTGGCAGGCAAGGTCCTTTGCAATGACTCCTTGATTCAGAGGGACTACCGACATGTTCAGCACATGCTTGGGAAGCTGGAACTGGACGTCCCCCTCCATCAAGGTCCCACTGCTATCCCGCATCCGAATAGGTCAGTCTCTCTACTAAGAATGGACTGGACGCTTGATTCTTCAATCTATCAGATTTTAAGTATTTCGAGTCGCCCTGTAACAATGTCGATCCCGCTTGTCTTGCGAAAGGGCACCCCAATTGCGTCCAGGCTCAGGCTGCTACCAAGGTTCCAGGAAGGGGAATACCTGTCGCCAAAAAGATGTTTGTACGGCGATTCATGTGCAGTCATTGTTCAATGAGTATTGCTCTCTCAGGGATGGCCTAACACGAGTACACTTTCCAGGCCCGTAGCCCTTGAACAGACTAGTTAGGTGCCCTGTCCTCCTGAGTGCTTTTACGGACCCTGCCGTTGTCTGCGTTGATGGAGACTGGGTTCTTCTAACCATACGCCCACTAAAAACCAGGCTTTTGGTGGGACGTGGAGGCAAGAGCGAAGCGTGAGGAGCATCTTCTGGAGCATTGCGACAGATACGACGCTGCTGAGTTGAACCTCAGCACCTCATCACAAGCATAAGGGTTTGGCCTCGTTCAATCTAATCAACTTGTCGCTTGATGAAGCCGAGAGGCAAGTTTCGATCGGTCGATCTTGTGCCTTGGTGGGCTTCCCATTCGGTGCTGGGATATGCATGGGCTTTAAGCTGAATCCGTCGACTTGCAGATCCCTCAGCTGGACCAGGGCAGATGCAAGACGCCCTGGCCCTATTTGTCCGCCCCTTGGATCAATGTCCTTCAATAATCGACCTGAGATGCTCCAATGCAAGAATTCATGTCGTATCTGCCTATACATCAAGAAATTATGACTTCTCAAGGTACAGTGCATCTGGGGGTGCGGAACCTGCAGTTTGCCACCTTCATCTGCCCTCCAGCACGGTGGGTATGAGGTTCCGCAATGCACGACGCACAGAAGCCCCCCGGCCTGTTTGATTTATCGTGTTGGAAGAGGCCTATTCGATACTGCCAGTTGCTCCTTCTGATCCACTGCTGGCACACCGACAGCTGAGATAATCCAATATTCTGGCTGGAGGTTGCATCGAGCGAGTTTAGCCAGATTGAATTGAATCTCGACGGACATGGATGCCGCGGTGAGGAAGAGCATTGCCCGCCATGAACAAGTCAAGTCCCCAGCAGGGAGACCCGCCCAGAGGCAACGGGCTAGGATGGATCCCTGGATGTCGACGAGCACCGAGTTGCGCCTCATGTCCGAGACATCTCCTGGCTGCTCCGCAACCACCACTCACCCACCATACCCTGGATTTGCGGCACCGATTCGCTGAGCAGGCGCTTCAGAGACGTGAAAGATCCTGGACCACCGACTCCAGACGGGTCTTCGGTGACGAGGAAGGGGAAGAATGCAGCTGTCAAGACTCTCGATAGGGTAGAAGATCAAGCAAGCCATACAGGCACAACTGCCGGTGCTCAGCTATTGTTTGTCTCTGGTTCCCTGCCCTTTGACATGCTGATCTGGAGTTCCCCTCGTCCATTGCCTCCCTCCTGCCTTCCCTTGGTCCCTTTGCACCACAAGTTTGCGAGATGCACCAGGTAGCCAACCTGCCGTTCTTCTCTGGAGTAGCATCTCCTCATTCATACTCTTCTTTACATAATTTCCCAGTATGAGGTGAGTTCAATAGGTCGTGTATATCGCTGGGCTTAGCCAAACGAGTAAGTGAATGTCCTACGAAATGGACCAGTGGCAAGCCTGATGATGGTGGATGGTGGCAGGTTCTGGGAAGGGAGAGTTGCTCTCTCTTCTTTGACAGACACCTTTTGTCAACCCTCTCCACAGACACCCAGCTTAACAGCACTACAAGGACGTCAAGTATCTCTATGGTTTGGTTTTACGCTGAATTGAGTTCTTCATGCCTTGACTTGTCAAACAGAATGCCTTTCCGTACGCTCTTGCCTCTCTCTCCAGCTGCAACGCTTCTACCTCGCGATAACTTATAATCTCGCCTTATCTTCCCGAGCATTGACCCCGAAACCGTTCTTCCCCCTGTATATGCAGAAAGAGAGGGAAGGTAAGCAGTTCTTGCCTTCAGAGTTGGGCCTTGATGAGCTTAGCTCTACGTGCTCATATCTTGTTTGGAAACAGTACGCACCCGCCGCAAAGTCTGGTCTGAGCAATTGTCAATAGGGTTTCGTGTATCGATTGTACCAGTCACCCACGGCCCCCTCTCTTGCAGTGACGAGCAAGGCGGCAGAAATCCCTTGCTCACCATGAGCGTGCATACACTTGATCCTCCGGATTCCAAGTAAGACTGAACTAAACCGAAACTCCAATCCAGGACGGCGATGCTTGATTCAAGAGCACTGTCCAACGATTCAGTAACTGATCTTCCTCCTTCCTTTGCGTTCTGCTTCATTGATCCGTTCATACACCACATACATCCTAGGATCTGAGGATGTTACGAGCAGCCAAGAGCCTGTCCAGATCGATATTCCCCCTTCTCGTCCCCATGCCTTCCCATCCGTCTCGATCTCTCCATCTTCGATGCTAGAAGCGCGGAATAACCACACGTCCCAACACACATCTCACTTCCAACACTACTGGACGCCCTTTTGCGGACTCCTTGTATGCTGTGACCCTCTTGCTGATAGCCTCGCTCCTATGTGAGGAAGGTAGCAGCCACCTACCTGCAGAGGCTACCTGCAGAGGCTATGGGTCTTCAGAGAGTCTGTAATTCCTCCGATAGAAGGTCGGGAGAGAGGACATGAAACGAGGAGGAAAGCAGAAGAATAAAGGGGAAGAGGAAAGAACATCCCCAGCAGGAGGAAGAGGAGGATGTTGAAACCGATTCTTGGGAGAGGGGGATATATATACCTTTGGCAACATAGGTCTAGAGGAGGGATACCTCTGGACGTGTACAACAGGTGTCTCGGCAGCCAACCTGTGAGGAAATGGTAAGGAAAGGAGAAAGAGGAAAGAAAAAGAAAGAATTTCTGGAATTGACCGTCGAGTGAATACAGAGCGGAGAGGAGCGGTGACAGGACTGTTCATTCAACGGAGCAGAATCGACTCAACATCATTCCTTTGGCCGGCGATAGCCTCACGGGTACTACTCTAGCACACCTCTCTACCTCGATATCAGACCATGTGGCAATACCACGCAAAGAAAGCGTACTCAAGGCCTAATACGCAAAACGCTCTCTGTCTCCATTACCTCTCTCTCTCTTTTCCCCTCGCTCGCTCGCCCTCTCTGATCCCTTGACCACCTGTGACCAAGTCTGGATAGCCGCAAGAACAACACATTGAGAAACATGTAAGCGGAGAGATGATGAGGTATAAGGGCGCGGACCGCCAAACAGACAGTCGAAGACGCAACAGGATTATAGACCCGGAGGCCGTGGAAATCAACTTCGACATCTGTCCTCAATGTCAACATCAAGACGGGTATCAAGATGAATACCATCGCGACTATCACGGACTACCTCCCTAGTCATAGCTCGACACCCAACGAAAGGGTAAAGAGAGAGAGAGAAAAAGGGGGTGAGAAAAAGGGAATCATAAAAAAGTGTGTGTATTGAAATGGGCATCCGTGTCAACACATACACATATCGACACACACATATATATATATCACATAGATATGAAGCAACATCTAGAGACCACAGAGTCCAACACCACAGCACACGGCGATGTAATCATAATGGCCAAATGGGTAAACACGGGCCGCGCGTAGAGTTGAGTGATATAAATCTCAGCAACGTTTCCAAGATCCTGAACTACACTACACACACACACACAGTTTAGTAAAGCCCACAAACCCTAGTCCCCTCATATCGATATTAATTTCATGAATACTTCCAGATAACATGTGCCAGGGACGGGGCATGTGGATGGGAAAAAAAAGACTTACCTTGCCCCCTATCAACGTCGTCGGTAGGGTTAGGTATCAAAAACCACCTATCTACCTGCATGTCCGTGAAGGAAGATCGGGGAGGAATATTCACTTCCAAGGTTCCCTTCAACACTCTTTCTTTTCTCATCTGTTGCCTGCCTGCCTGCCTGCCTGTCTTGTGGCTCGTGTCTCTCTGCCATGGGCCCCCTTTGGTGCATTTTTTCTCCTGGCGCCCCTGGTTCCCGTGTTCTCATTTTACCAATCCTTCATTCGCGCAAAAAGGCACAGCAATATTAGGGACCGCAGACTGATACTTTACCGGGTTGGCCCCCCTTTTATCGGAGCAGCCGAGTTGCCAGCGGTGCCCCCTCCCCCAAGGCCAGCCATTTGGAATCCAAATCCATCACTGGAATGAATACCCCGTGAAATGTGAAATGTGCAACGTAAAACAAGAAATAAAAAAGGTCTTTGGACCAGGAACTGGGGCCATGCAAATGACAGTCGGTGCCAAAGAAAGACACCCCCACCTCCAAGCTGTAGGTGGCCCTTTCGCATTTCGTAGCAAGTCGTCAAGAGTATCAAAGTATCTTTTCATGTCCCATAGGCGGCAATCATTGCATGATCGCTGAAGCCTTTCTTGCCCTTCCCATCACAAAAAGACAAAAAAGAAAGAGAAGCAGAATCCCATAGCGAGTAGTATGTGGCCGTCCCTAGCCTAGCATCCATACACGTTCGCTTCATGTTGAAACCAACTTTTTCCACCCCGTTTCTTTGTGGAAATCATAGAGATCAACCCATCCATCACACGGCGCCAGCTTGCTTGCTTGCAAACTCCGTCCCGGGTAAACTCGCTCGCTCGATCATCCTCGCATGAATAAAAGAAAATGCACTTTGGCTTCTCCCAGGCTTGAAAGACACAAATCTCCCAAATCGCCGTTGTATGTCCCACTCGTTGCTTGTTGCTTTCCTCATAACCATATGTCACCACCTTCGCCTTTCTCCCACTTCCTCCAAGCAGCCCAATATGCCGTTTCCAAATCCCTCACCCAGCGCTTCGTGTCGAACAACCGACTTGTCCAACGCCCTTCCCACAACATGCGCCGCAAGTCCACCAGTCTGCCCCTACCACGCCCAATTTTCCGTCCGTTGGACTCGGATGACGGGTATTCGAGATCCAGTGCGAGATCAATTGCCGTGTCGATGTAATGCTTCTCGCTTCGGACGAGCAGATCCCTCCTTGCATCGTCACCTTCACGGCCCTCTGGTAGTGCACTAGCTACAATGCTTCCGGCCATGCGACTGCACATCTTATACTTCCATTTACCCCATGTCACGATGGGCGTGCCGGACCAGACGGTGTCGGCAGCAGTGGTATGTGCGTTGCATTCCGGCGTGTCGAGGAAGAGGTCAACGACAGAGGCGCGTGTGATGTGCGTTCCTTTGGCAGCCACGTCGGTGAACACGATGCGGTCAGCAACTTGCTTGCCAGCCCATTTTTCAGCATAGCGTTTGAGATTTTGCTCGCCCAAATCCGGGAAACGCAGTAGCCACAATATTGCGTTGGGGACCGCCTTGAGAATCTGGAGGTACATGTCGAACGTGGCTGGATCAATTTTGTAGAGCTGGTTGAAGTTGCCCAAAATTACAGCCGAGTCCGACAAGTTTGGGAACAGCTCTTTCCTGAGTTTCCAGCGCCTGTCTTGTTCGCGTTCCCAAGCCGTGTCACGCTTGACGGGATCTTTGAGATTTGGAGGGCCATTCTCTGCGTCGGGGGCACTTTGCTTGTGGTCGACACAGAAGAATGTGTCACGCGAGAAGATGACGTTTTCCGAGTACACCCAATCTTCAAGGTCCTCCACCAACGAGTCCGTCCGTAACCGATCTTCAATATCCACATTGCGTCGCCATGGAGAGAGCGTGTCCGGCGGCACCGAAATCGTGTCAGCAAAGACGTAGTCGCACCATTCAGCTCCTAGTGTACCAGCAAAGCCCATGAAAGACATATGGATAGGTGCAGGCCGAGCGGCAAACACTTCGTTTCGTGCGCCTCTGGTGTACCCATTGAGATTAACCAAGATATGGACGTTGTCTTTCACAATTTGATTGACTAGTCGTTCCACACTCCACGACGACGCATCATGGAAGATTGGTGCTTCACGTTCGATCTGCTGACGGTGGACAGACCCATCAGAGGCAGTTGTTGCATAGCAGATAGCTCTCACTCGCGACGGGTCATGCAGGCCGAAGACCGATTGCATCAGATGCGCCAAAGGATGATTGTTGAAGTCCGAGCTGACATAGCCAACGTTCAGGTAGGGATTTGGAGGAGACGGCGGAGGGAACACTGTGGCCGGAAGCCATGCAGATCGAAGAGTGCATACAGAGATGCGGAGAGCATTTCTCTGCGAGATCTGTCGAACTTGTTTGGCAGAGAGTGGTGCAGTGAATGTATGGAAAGGAAGCACGGTTGGCGCTGATGGTGGCGACATCGAGTTGGGAAGATATGGTCGAGCGTATTTTCGAGCCGGATACTCTCTTCGACGTTTATACCGATCTTGATACCATTGCCACCCAATTTGACGGATTGCGCGTTCAACAAGACGCACGATCCTGGACCCCTCCCATCTCTGTCCAGACCAGTATCGCAGTGCTTGTCGGACAGTTTCCAGAGTCTGATTTCGTCCGTTGTCCCGGGAAGACTGCTTATGCAAAGTCAACTGCGTTGCCAGCGAGTCGATGACTGCAGGGGTCAATGTTCCACATCCCCAAGTTTCCCCCTCCTTGAGCTGTTTCTTGACAATTTCCACCACTCGGTTGATCCAACCGTACGGGCGGGATGGTGGTTGCTTCATCCCTCTCTCGTCTACGTGTAGACTGTCCCGCATGCTGTCACTCACGCAGATGCCTCCCCGGCCGTCCCAACTACACACCGAGTTCAATGCCGTAGCTAGCCCACAAACTGCTTCGGCGAAGTCAGGGTTGGCCGCAACTGCTCGCTTGTAATAGGCAATCGCATCAGCCACACGACCTTGATCCTTGACGGCGTTTGCTAAATTGGCCAGCGCAATGTCGAAACTACCATCGCAGGATACGGCGCGCTCGTACATTTTGATCGCAGCGCCAAGTTGCCCGATATCTTTCAGCAGGCTGCCCAAGTTCGTGAATAAATGGGCGTGCTTCTGGTCGATATTGAGGCCATAGTTGTAATACATCAATGCCAAAGACACTCCGGTGCCAGCAACAACCCCTGGTATATTGGAAATCTGGGAGAAGTTCGAATCGGCGAGATGATCGGGATGCACACTTTGCTGAACGCCGGCAAGGAGAATTCCCACATTGTTCGCTGTAGAGGGACTTCGCTGCAGAGACAACGACAAGTAGTACAATGCCAGAATCTCCCGTGTCGCTGGAGATTTTAGACTTCCAATTTCTGTCGCGTTGGACATGCCATCCTGGTATATTTTGGCGAGCGAAAGCAGGGAATTGCTGGTGGTGGAGATTCCGGCCTGTACTGCAAAGGGCGGCGAGACGTATTCGAGACCGGGTAAATTGCCTTCTGGCGGAAACATGTGCCTGGCAGTGGCTTCGGCGTGCTCAGGAGCCAGCAGAATGGGTTCCTTGCTCTCGAGCTTTGCTCGGACGTACTCGCGGTCGCGGATGGTGCACAGACAAGCCTTCAAAATGTCATCGATCAGTCCCCTGATCCCTTGTTTCCTCTGGCCGGTGGAGATGAGAACGGCGTCCTCGAATGCCGCAGCTGCAGCATGGTTTTGGCCCAGGGCATATAACATGTTTCCCTTGGCATGCACAAGAGCCAGCATCCGGCCGTTGTCTGCCCCAGGGATTGCATAGCCGCTAGTACCATAGCCGGGAGGCTGCGATTCGGATGCCGCCGAGGAATTCTGGTTGTGATCAGGATCGTAGTCATACTGGGCATTGTCGTACGAGGCGACTGTGCTGATGCTCGAGGCATGACTTTTGGTATCGCTTTCTGCGTCACTCAGTTCGGCCCAAGAGCTATGGGGATCGTCGACCCGGATCCGAAGTGTGTTCTCCACATATTCGATCACACTGACAGCCTCTCTTGCTCGGTGGCTTGCGCAGAGCAGCCCAATCAGATGCTCAACGGCCTCAAAGTAGCTCGGTCGTAAGCTGACGGCGTCTGACCAATATTTGAGTGCGTCTTCGCGGCGGTGGAGGGCGTGACAGGTTGCTGCTAGGTTAGACATGGCTTCAATATGGCTAGGGTCCTGTCTCAAAACTGCCCTGTACCACTCTTCAGCTTTCACGTAGTTGCCCAGGCCGTAAGCCAAACAGCCTGCTAACAACATGCCATCCACCCAGGGAGCATCAGCTTCCTGACAAAGCAGCTCCATGGTCTGAAGTGCAGTGACTGCCGATTCAAAAGAGGGCACCTGCGGCACATTGTTGGTCCTGGTGCTTACCTGCCTTATCTCTTGCAGTTGATATCCTTCATATTGTTGACGAGGTATATTCTTGGATTCGGAGTGACTCGGAAAAGACTGGAAATCTTGCGCAGTCAGAGCTTTGGGCGGTCTGAATATGGCGGTCTGTGGTCGGGATGGAATGTCGTACGCTGATTGTTCGGCGGTAGTATTCGGGTAGGCGTTAGAGGTTTCCCGCCGCTGAACTGGTGGTTGGTCCGTCGAATCAAGTTGGAAATGTGATCCAGACCTGATGGGGGGCTTGGGGAAAATGGCAGGCTTCAGTGCAGGCCTCATTCCCGAGCCATTATGTGCGGTCGAACGCTGATCTTTCGTAGTACATCTTATTGTCTGAAGAAGATCCATATAGATTTTGTTGGCCCAGACGAAGGTCTTGTCTCTGAACGCGATGCGCTCTGCCCGAGGTCCAGGCATGAGAGATACCAGCGTTGGTCCTGTCACAGGGGCCACTGGATCTCCCATTGCGCGTTCAGGTAGTGGATAAGGATGAGAGTAGGGGTATTGTGTGGCATGGTACGTATTCTGGTGAAGATTCCATTTCGACGAAGGTGACTCAATCAATCCCATTGGTGTACCTAACATCTGCTGGGGCATGCTTTGCAGATAATTGTCGTTCGGTGTAACTGGTAGCCGGCCATGTTTTCGAAGAGAGTGAAAGTGTTCAAAATGATGGTCTAAAGGAAACCTCTCGGCTGGAGCACGTGGAAAGAACCGACTATCTCGAACGGCAGCTGGACGGTAGGGATTGTACGTTCCGTCTGGCCAATACGGCCCGTACAACTCCTGGCCAGCAGACGCAGTGGGCCCGAATTGGGATTGAAGCGTAGCGGGAAGAACGGTGGGGATGTTGGAGCCAGGCTGGACATAATACCTCTGTGTCGGCTGTATTGGCAGAGTCTGGTTGAGCATCGAATCAAGCCCACCAGGGAAGTCCCAAGCTGGGCGAAATGACAATGGTTTGGAGGGCCTGTAGGACTGAGAATGCATCTCTTGTCTTCCATCTCTTCCCATATCTGATCCGCCGAACCGGTCCGATCGCTGAGAGCGTTTCGTTTCTGACCACGGTGAGGAGTTGGCGAAGGAGGGGGTAGGGCGCTGGAATGCGGGTGAAGATCCAAGGATGAGATGCTTCGACGCGGGTATTTGCACGCTCTTGTCCAATGCGGCAGTGTCTGGCTCGTATAACCTCCCGCCATTAGGTGTCTTCCGGTGTCTAATCATCTCATGCTCTGCATAGCTGAGACCTGTAGAACGTGAACGTCCATGGCCAGGGGTGCTCGAGTTCGCAGGAATGGCATATTGTCGAGGAGTCGCACCATTTGACTGGCGTTGAAACATGTTGGGATCTCGGATGGGATCCATCATATTCACGTAACGTTGAGGTGCCGTAAGCATCGTATCTGGGTAATTCGTCGCCTTGAGCTCAGATGAGAGTAGTGGGAGTTATTTCGTTTCTGGCAAGGGTGAAAATGAGTCGGGGGTCACCACAAGTCAGCCTGCTTCGTACGCAGTGGGAGGGCGTCTCGACGACTTCAATTCACTTGAAGATGAAAGAAGGCAACTGAGCCTGCTCTTAGTCCCATTCCCGATGCTCATTGTGTTCCTCCAGATTCACTCCTGCGCGCCAATCTCTGCCCAATCATGGATGGAAAGGTGTTGCAGAAAAAGTCCACAACTTGGGGGATCGAGGTGAAGTATGCAAGGGAGGGTTTGGATCAGACCAGCCTTGGGTCCGTGCTCGTTGACGCCAGGTATCAGGTATCAGGATCAATTGGGTCCGCAAATTGTAGGATGCAAGGAGAGAGAGGATAGTAAAGGCAGGGAAAGGACACGTCGAGGGGGAGCAAGTCGTAGTCGTCGGTCGATCTTTGATCTCTGAACACGAGAACGAGGGCGGGCGGCAGATCGGCCAGGATTGTGATGTTGTTTTTTTGGAGATGGAGCAGGTATGGAGCCCAGCGGAGAGGGAAGCGGAATGGGGAGGGTGAACTAAGTGGTTAGTGATGCTAAACGGTCCGCTCGATATCCGGACTGGAGGTCCTTTCGCACAAGTTCACGGTGTCTGAGGCAGTCAAGGTGATTCTTTCTAAGCACACTGTGAAATAATTAAACATGACAACTTCCCTCCGAAGTCCAGACATCGACAACCTTCTATTCTCACCCTGCAGGGCCCCAGCAAGGAAGATAATTTTTCCCTTGCCCACGCCTCATGCCGGCCGCATCTACCCATCCTTACGGACCGTCAACCATGATTCTTTCTTTTTTGCCCTCGTTAGACGCCAACCGTCACGAAGGGTGGGCGTGGCTTTGCGAAAATGGGACCGCGATGCCCCTCCCTGGTCGGCGGGCTGCCCCCTGGCGGCTTGTGACTGGCCTCGAGACCTAAAGGGCCTCAGCAGCCTTGGGGGGCGGAGCGAGTCTGGTGTGTCAGTCGCCCGCAGCTGGATGTGTCACGGCGAGGTATGTCGGCTTCATTGGTTCTTCTACCGGACTACGGCTGGGCTACCGCAGCCTGGCTCGCGCCCAGCTGCATTCCTCAGGCGCCCTTTGTGCCACCTCCATGCCTTTTGGGCTTAGTGATGACGATGAAGCGGGCACCGAATGAGCCAAGTGGAGGACCCGGTGGAGGCCAAGGGATGCAAACATGAGCATCAGAGAGACGATCGTGAATCGTGATGTGCCTAATTGGAGCCGGAGCTTCCCATGCTTCCCATTCAAAAGCGCCAGAGTCCAGTAAGCTATGCGATTTGCTCACTTGGTCACCAGCACATTCTCGCCTTGCGGCGTGACAATGCAGATGAAGAATAGTTATCAACGAAGAACGAATTGAGGCCAAAGAAAGACGGGCCACGTCCACCCCCGCCAGGCGACAGGGATGAAAAGAAAAGCAGCTTGCCTATAGGTGCTGTGGCTTGGTACAAAATTAGGGCAAAGTGTGTCTGTTTTGAGCCACGATACTCTCGGCGGGGGGATGAACCGCCTTCTGGGGAAGGCTAGGGGCAAAACGTGGACCGCCATCTCGCCTCCCCTAAGATCGTCGGAGCCCAAGGAAAGAAAAGGAAGGAAAAGAAAAGCCACATTTTGTTGCATGTTACAGCGATGTCTTTGATGCAATCTTTACCGGTTGCTGTCCTTCCCAAATCACAAGAAATGTCAGATGCTGTCAAGTCTGTCGTATCCTCGACGGTCAACCTATGCACCTTCCGATTGGAACCGGGGTAATGGCGCAAGGTGGAATTCGACAGATTCTGTGCAAGGGGCTTGTAGTACCCTGCGGGAACCTGCAACCAGGGTGCGGCTGGGTGCTGCATGTTGTCGGCAAGCCCGGTCGTGTTAGTAACATGGTGTCACCATGGTCTCAGACAAGAGCAGCCTGATGCGGAGGAGAAATCGAGCGGCAACCCAGGACTTCGAGTTCCATCGTCGCAAGTGTCGAAGGCTGTTTTCCCCGTTGCTGGAAGTTCTCGTCATTCCATGACTTCAAACCTACGTATGCATGAAGCGAAAAGTCGAACTTTACAGAGACCGGAAGGGAGTATCACACATCGCCGCATCCAGGGAACCCCTGGGACTGCTTTCGCTGAGTGGGACTGATGGTGGTTGCATAGATAGTCTAACAGGCCGTTTTTGATGGCTGAGGGGAGAAGCGAGTCGTTGGAGTCGTAGAGAATGCGTACCTCGTATCGTATATGCTGGCAGCTACCTGTACCACGCAAAGGCACAAGAGCAAGCTGCTCTGCCCCCCTGGCCTCATCTACAGCAGGTAGACAACAGGGAGGGTCATCACCACTGGAAGACGTTGGTGCAAAGTACGAGGTACCTACCTAGGTACCTAGTAGGTATATGTCAGTACTCAGCGAGTCGGTACCCTCGAAATAGGCGCAAACACGCCAAGCACAGCCGCTCGAGCCTAGCACTGGCACCACTAGTGCCCTGCCGTGTTTCCTTCAAATCCAATCCTCTTTTCCTTTCTTTTTCCTTCATCTAAACCCGCCGACAACAAAATGCATTACTTATATCGCCAGTCTCGGGCATCTTCCCATGCTGAGGTTGTTTTCGCGTCGAGCGCAGATTAACACTTGTATGACCTCTGGCTGGGCGTCCGGGGCTTAGAGATCATTTTGATCTCCATGGGATCTGGAAAATCACAGTCGAGGTTACAGAAGGTTTCTCTCGTGAGAGTCAAAATTCTATTCTATTGTTGCCTCATCCAAATCGCCCCTCGACTTCTGCAAAGATTTGAGGCGTGATTTCGTCGCTGCTGTTTCCCTGCACTTTGACTACCAGGTTTGGGTCCTTGTGTCGGTAGAAATCTAACAGACTCTGGCTCGTTTCCTCAAACTTGGCAAGTCGCCTTCTCCACGTGTCCTCACTGTCGTCATCTCTTTGCATCAAAGGCTCTCCTGTAACGTCGTCCTTGCCAGGAACCTTCGGGTCATTGAATCCAACGTTGTACACTCTCCCGGACGCTGCATGTATCCACCGGTTGGCCAATCGAGACAGAATGATATCAGTTGGCGTCACGAGCTGGAATACCAAGTTTATGGGGAGCAGATGGGACAAGGCTCTGGCTTGGGTTGCTGTACGGGGAAAGCCGTCAAGGATGAACGAGGTATCGGGTGAATTTGATGGGTGCACAACCGCGGAGGCAGAGCCATTTCCCCTCTCGAGCGCTGCGATTATATTCTCATTGGAGTCTGAGGTTGCAAGCCACTTTCTCGAGGTGAGTTCATTTAGGATGAGGTTCAGGATCAAAGGGTCCGGCACAAGGCCACCCGCTTTCATGTACGCATCGGCTTGCTGGCCTGGATCCGTTTGGTTAGCAGCCGTGTTGCAGAACAATTGCAGGGCAAGTAGCTACCCAGCGCAGTCTGTTTTTGTACGTTGTCGCGCAGTAGATCTCCGGTCGCAATCGAGCATAATTGTGGGAATCGTTTCGTAAGTCTCTCAGATTGTGTGCCCTTTCCAACACCTGGAGCGCCAACTAAAATGACCCTCGCGGCTCGTTTCAGCTTCCGGGTGGCAGTTGCGAAAGTCATGTTGACCTGAACGGAGAGGAGAACGGGCGCGTGACACAGGGCGCACCTTTTCGGGCAGTGCCGCCCGTATCAAGTGCCCATCATGTCGCCCTGAGGGGATGCAATAATTTCTATCGCAAGAGACTGGAAGAAGGAGAGACCGGATTAGTCGCGGCGGGGATACCAGGACAGTGTACTTCTCAGGAGAAGAGAACAGACAGAGAAGAAAACCGCAGCTTTTAGGAGGAGAAGCCGAGCTAGGTAAATGAAGCAGCCGAGATGGCGGCCTAGAAATGGTTGAGTAAGCCGAAGAATCAATAGTTAGCATCGTGGGGAAACGCCCATTGAATTTCAAGTCTCGGGTCGCACTGCACCGATAAGGATTTTCTGAGCACTGAGCAGCAGTTTCCGTTCACCCATAACTCCCCGGCCGCAATGTCCATCAATCAAGGATCCTGGATATACAAATCACCTACCTAGTACCTATGTACGAGGCAAGTACCTAGGGATGGAGCCTCCATAGTTCGGAATTATGCAAGCCAGGTTGTTCCTGTAAACACCGCTGACGAGCCAAGATGAAGACAGCTCCAGCATCACTTCGAAATGAGAGGGGAGACACTGGACATGCATAAATGATTCTCCGTTCCGAGGCTCCGCAAGGCTACCTTAACGCGATGTGCAGCCTCGCGACGCGTGAAATCGAAATCCGCGAGCCTTGACGCGTCTCCCCCCGCGCTCATTGCATATTCCAATCCTCAACCTCAACTTTTCCAAAAGTTGACCACGCAACAATCGGACAAAATGATGCGCTCAGAGCCACGATTCGACCCCAAGCGGAAACGCATCGATCACAAGAAGACTCAGTTCGCAACCGCATCCTATAAAGAGAACGACTATCCGTACCGGCTATCGTTCTACGATGTTCCTCCCACCCAGGAGATCAGCCTGGAAGAATTTGAGACATGGGCTATCGATAGGTTGAGGAGTATGTTGGCCTGAGAAAAGTAGATGTGAATACTACTGACCAAACACCAGTACTTGCGGAGATCGAGGCTTGCTCATTCAGAAACAAATCGCCCGAAGAGACGTCCGCGCACCTCGAGCCTTTGCTGAAAAAGTACCTCCCGCTCTCCTCCAATTCAGCAGCTCCGGGTGGTGTCGTGGACCAGAAATTGAAGAATCAACGGCGCAAGGACCATTACTCCCATTACATCCTCCGACTTGCATTTTCAAGAACAGAAGACCTTCGCAGACGCTTCGCCAGAGTCGAAACCATGCTGTTCCGCCTTCGCTTCCAGTCAGATGACACCCGTGAACGTCAAGCCTTCGTCGAAAGCCTAAACATGAACTGGGAAGTTGTCCAAGACGAAGAAAAGAAAGCATTAGGCGAGCAGCTTCTATCCGCTACTCCTGGTCTCCGACGTCTGGACGGTGAGAACTGGTTTAAAGTGGACTGGACCCGAGTGCCAGAATTAGTCGAGCATCGGACAGTCCTCGTACGGAAAGGCAAAGCATATGTTCCAATGCGCGAACAGACCAGCATGGTGCTCACCGAGTTCACCAGCCGCCTAGACAAAGGCCTCGAGCTCACTGCCCGCAATCTTCCGCGACTCGACGAAGATGATCGTCTGTCTCCTATCCTCGACCATCTTTCCAAGAACTTTGCTACTCCTGACGCCGGTTTCTCCGACTCGGACTCTGCCCTGGCCGGCGCTGCCATCACTGCGGCCAACATCGACAACCTTTCACAGCATTTCCCTCTTTGTATGAAACACCTGCACAACACGCTTCGGAAAAATAGCCATCTGAAGCACTTTGGCCGCCTGCAGTACACGCTATTCCTCAAGGGCATTGGACTCAATCTGGAGGACTGCCTCATCTTCTGGAGACAGGCGTTCAAACTCATTACTGATGACCAATTCAACAAGGAATACCGCTACAATGTCCGCCACGCGTATGGCGACGTAGGGGGCGATGCGAACCGTCGTGGGCGGGGATATTCCCCGTACTCATGTCAGAAGATACTCACGGAACATCCGCCCGGCACGGGGGAAGCTCATGGTTGTCCTTATAGACATTTCAGCGTGGACAATCTCACCGCCATGCTCCAAGCCACAGGAGTCCACGATCGAGAAGTTTTGAGAGGTGTCAAGGACGACGTGGAGAAAAAGAGGTTCCATATCGCATGTAATCGTGTGTTTGAGTGGGCACACAAGCAGGAAATCAAGAAAGTCAAGGACGAAGGCATATGGGGTCCCGCTGAGTTGGAGACGATTGTACATCCAAACACGTACTTCAAGAGGAGTTATCTGTTGAAGAACTTGGCGAATTCAGCAAAGCAGGACGTTAAGATGGAGGATTGAGATGTTGCTTTGGTGGTCAGTTTTTAGTCGGTTGCATTGCTAGGCAACGCTGATTTTGGTGCAATGGGTTTGTCTGATGAAATACGAGCCGTCCCCAATGAGCGCAGTGGCAGTGATGATGTTATTGGATCGCAGCGGTACATCTCATGAATGACAAGTTGCTTTCGGATATTTTTGGGATTGTCGTCAATTAACGCCAGATTCCTTCGTGTCAGTGTTAGGAAAAGATGAGGTGTCTTCTCATAAGCATATCCCCGGTTCCCCCGACCATCATCGAGGCAAATCCTTTACCTTCCTAATGTATTTCGGTGCAAGTAGGTGGTATCAGGGTGCTTACATCGGGCTTCTCGTCTCCCCCCTTTAGCGCTGCAACGCTTATCGGGCATGTTACTCGGTAACTCGTGAGTCGCGTTCCACTCTGCCTCCGTGGAAGACCGCCGCGAAGTCGCCGCCATCGCCACCAAATACCACCTGCGGTCGAGGAGATCACCTGCAAATGATCTGTAATAATATATTACAAGATCCTCCATGTACTCGGGATTGCCGCTTGTGTAAGAAACAGATCTGCCAGTCAGAAATCTTGGGATGTCTGACGGCTTCTCCTCGTTACGCGGTTGACGGGTATCTAGGTAGGTACGTGTTCGGAATTACAGCGCCATGTTTTTTTGGTTCCAAGTCCCTGCTCATTATAGGTCGCATCTATGGATGTCAACCTCGCTGGGTAATTCCCCTTCTGGTGGACTGATTTATTGATGTGTCTCTCTAATTCTTCCATCCTATTTCCACTCACAAGGAGCGGGCTGTCGAGTGGTGCGGTGAGTCACGATCATGGAAAATAACGGCAAAAGTCTTGAGTCCACACGACCATGGCGGGCGTGCTCAGGAGAATAACGAAATAGATTCCTTGTCGACAAATCTCTCCTGGGATAATCAGGTCGATACTCGGTATATATCTGGGTATCTACCATCTCATCATGCGGGTGGCTGGAGATGCCTGGATCAGCCACGGCACGGTCGCCATGTTATGCAATATCAACCCTGGCACAGGTCGATTCAACATCGCCTTCTATACCTCGTTGCGTTTGAGACAGTCCGTCACCTCAACATACGTGCTTTCAGCGCGGGGAATCCCGCCCTCCTCACAGCGGAATGCAAGACAACATCGCGCTTTCTGCGTTTCAGCCTGGCTTTGCTGGTGTTTTCAATTCCCGTCAGACCGAAACCCGTATATCCTTCAAACGAGTTGGAAGTTTGTCGACGCCGGACGATGCCTTGCAAAGCCTGGAAATGTGTGTCTTTGCCGGAAAAGTGAGCGTGCCTTACCCGTTGATCAAACTTCTCGAACACCTTCCCCCCTTTGTAGTCATGCCCCAGACGAGGAGGTGATACAGCGCTGCTTCAAGCAAGCGCCCAACCTCGGCCATCTCTGATCTGATAGAAAAGGCTCTCTTGAATCAAGCTGAGGATAGGTGCACAGACCAGGTTCTCTACTCAGCAAATTACGACCTTCTTACTCAATACGAGCTCTTTGAACGGTCCATATTCGCCTGCGTCAGCAAGAGCCGGGAGAGCAGTTTCACGAGCGCGTCCAACTCAGGATGAGATTTGCAGCTGCTCAAAAAAGCTGCGAGAACCAAACTCGGGATTTTCAACGGTAGCGAACTGGATGCAATCGACTCCATCGCCTAATCTCCAGCCGCATCCATTGGACCAAGTTAGGATTTGACGATCAAACTCCCTCTGTGCCAATACGCTCCGTCCCTGGTGCCACGATGCTAGGCCCATACCTGGTTCGGCTGGGAGTCGAATACAGCGACCTGAATTCCGTCTCCTGCCTCCTCAGCATATTGGCCAACTCGACGTCGTCCTCCTGATCGGTGGATTCTTTCCCGGCAGCGATATCCGTCCTCCGCTCCAGATCTCGTTTCCTCTCGAAATCTTTGGCTTCCTGGAACCGCTTCTGAAAGGCGGCCTCTTCCTTGTCGAAATCAATTGCCGCGAAGTGGCATCTCTTCAGGACGCCAAGCATGGCCAACGGCGTGAAGACAATCCACCAGGAGAAAAGAATGGGCAAAGAGCGATAGAGCTGGGGGTTGCAGCCGCCCGACCAGATGTCGACGAGGGTTTCGTACATTTCGTGGGCAGGTAGAGCGTACATCCACTTGAAGAAGCCGGCGCTGAGCTCGATCGGCTGAAGCGTGGACGAGACGTTCAGGATGACCCAGGTGACCAGCACGCTCGGCATGAACGGGGCCGGGACCCAGGCAGTCGCGGCGTCTATGAAGAAGAAGTTGATCTCCTCGTACAACCAGTACGTCATCCACGTCAGCACGAACTGGTTCGCGTTAACGCCCCAGTTGTCGCGGAATGCCCAGATGGCGCCCGTGAGCAGCAAGCTGCCCATGATGGTGGATATGGAGCTCCCAAGGAGACGGCGGAAGATGAGGTGATGGGGTTTGAGGCGAAGGTACAGTTTGAAGGTGCTACAGAGGCCGTTGATGAGCATCAAGAAGAAAAACTGCTTGATGATAATCAGCACAACGACGATGGTATTGTAGACTGTGCGTGGGCCCTGGTTCGTGCGCATGATGTTGATGCTTTGGACTTGCCAAGGGTTGTAGAGCGCTGAGACCGCCTGCGGAGAAGACACATTCAGAGCCCGAATCGCGCCGGTGCCGTTGACGGAGTAGTAAGCTTCTTGAGCAGCAGTCGAGAGTTTGGCCAAGTTGCTCTCGAGAAGGCTTTCGGCATTCGTGGGCCACCGCGCCTCGTTCCAGATGTAAGTCATTACGTCCGCTGGGTCGTAGGTCAAGGCCGCCTCTCCTCCGCCCAAGGCAGTCGCGAGGCGGTCGGACGCGTGGGCCGAGACGAAGAAGCCTGCCCAGAAGTCGGTCTTGCAAACGCCATGCCGGATCGAACCTGGAGTTGGATACTCGGCCGGGCTTCGCGCATACAGGGTCGGGAAATCGTCGCCCTTGAGCTTGTTATACGCGGCCTGCACCGACTGCCCGATGAGACCTTGGTCGTAATCGACAAAGACGACGCTCAGATTCTTAACATGCGAGTTGGAGACATACAGCGTGCCAAAGATGTAGCAGAAGAGGAGAAAGAAGGTCAGCTGGACGAGGACGAGGCCTTTGATGATGGATTTGAGAGCAATGATATTGGAGCCCTTGATATCCTTGTCCCTGGGAGAGACGCGGTTCTCGTGGCTTCTCCCGTAAATGTTTCGGAGCGTCTTGGAATTGAGCATTGCTTCGCTTCGCTTTCTTTCCTTTGGAAGAGCGTGAGTTGGTCCACATCATAGGTAGAGACGCCATCAGCGAGCGTCGTCGCTTTTGGCTCTTATATCTTCTAAGGCGAGGTATACCCTGCAGTGAGTGAATACCTAGCAGGTACCTATGTAGGTAGGTTCGGATCCAGGGACGCGGATGTTTCGGGCGCCATATGATTGGAGTGATCTGCTTCCTCATCAAGGCGTCCAGCTCCCTCCATCCACCATCCATCCACCCTCACACCAACCCTCAGTGGTCAAATCAGAATAAACGCGTCAGTGGCGTCACGTATATCGGAAGGACTGTCTCCGGGTAGCGAACTTCGAACGCAATCTCGTACAACCGCGACTTCCTCAATTGTCTATCGCGACCCAAGTCGCTGTTCGGAGACATTTTCTTCCGCTCCTGAAAGGTCTCTTTGTGGGCGAGTACCGACTACTCGGAAACTCGTTCTGAATCTGCCTAAATCCGCAGAGAACGTCAGCGAAGATTGATCTTACACGTCGGTCATGTAAGTACGAGGCGAAGAACACACGCTGTGAAGCCTAGGAACTTTGTTGGAAAAGCAAGTCGCCGACTTCGAATGCATCGACTTGGACCAGAGCTTGAAAAGAGCCTTCAGCGGACGGACTGGGCCCTGATGGGAATTGATGATACCAAGATCGACGGCACTGAACAAGGTGCGGCTTTCTACCGACTATCCCTCTTACGCTCGCTAACAACGGTCGATTTCGAGATCAGCTGGATGTCTCCGGGCCGCGACTCTGGGCCAGCAACTTGCTAGCTTCCAGTTAAGTCTATATGGACGGGTGATTTCGTTCGATGAATGACGATCTCCGACAACTCAGACACTAATTGATTATTTGAGTCTGCATTTACTTTCCTGGTGACCTTTCCCAAAGTCACCTCCACGAAGCCTGGTACTCGGTCATTCATACGACTATGCATCGTCTCTTCTCCTCCAATTAACCCCAGTGATGGCAGTGAGGATCCACGGTCTGCCTCGGCGAAAATGCTAAACACTCTATCCCGGATATCAGAGGCATGAAAAGGTTGATTCAGCTTTCGACGACCAAGCCTGGAAATCACAAGAAATATTACGTCAAGCGGTGCCATGCAACGATCTCGTCTGAGCAAGCCGTCAAGATGATTCGAACAATTCTTTTCACGATTTACATACTTCATCTAGAAGGCGACCAAAAATTACACTCCCCTTTCAGCCTAAAGCAACGCCCAACAAAGCCTCAAGCAAGAAACAAATTCGCGAAACCAACCTCCCTTCTTTACGATTCGTTGGGTTTGGGCAGCTTGTCTCCGTTGGGGTTCGGGGCGTATAATGTGCCCTTGGACCATTCCTCTCCCTGCATTCCTTTCTTCCACGTCGGGACCCAGTCCTTGGCGCCCTTCAGACCGGCGGCCTTGAAGGCCTGCTCGAAGTCGTGGATGATGTCGTTGATGTGCTCGAGGCCCAGGCTGATGCGGATCATGTCGGGCGTGACACCTCCCTTGAGCTTCTCCTGGTCGGGGATCTGCTGGTGAGTGGTCCGCCAGGGGTGGATGATCAATGTCTTCGCATCGCCGACGTTGGCCAGGTGGGAGCAGAGCTTGAGATTGTTGACGACGGCTTCGACTTCGTCGATGTTGCCGGCCACGCCGAAGGTGAGGACGGCCCCCTGTCCCTTGGGCAGAACCCGCTGCGCGAGCTCGTAGTCCGGATGTGATTTCAGACCGGGGTAGTTGACCCAAGCAACGCAGGGGTGCTTCTCGAGCCACTGTGCAAAAGCTAGGGTGTTGGCGACGTGTCTGTCGGCACGGACGGGGAGAGACTCGAGGCCCTGAAGGAACAGCCAGGCATTGAAGGGCGACATGCAGGGTCCCAGGTCTCTCATGGCATCCATGCGAAGCTTGGCTGCCAGGGCCTTGTAGCCGTACGTCTCCCAAAATCGCATACCGTGGTAGCCCTCTGATGGCTCCGTGAAGCCCGGGAACTTGCCTGAGGCAGACCAGTCAAAGTGGCCTCCGTCAATCACAATCCCGCCCATGGACGTCCCATGACCGCCGATCCACTTGGTACACGAGGCCGTGACGATGTCGGCGCCTTGCTTGATGGGCTGCGCGAGGTATCCGCCCATGCCGAACGTGTTGTCCACGATCAGCGGGATGCCGGCCTCGTGGCAGACCTCTGCGATGGCGCTGATGTTGGGGACATTGAATTGCGGGTTGCCAATGGTCTCAATGTACACGGCTCGGGTGTTTTCGTCGACAAGGTCCCTGATTCCCTGCGGGTCTTGTCCCTCCATGAACTTGCATTGGATGTTGAACTTCTTCATGTACACTCGGAACTGGTTGTGCGTGCCGCCGTACAGGTTCATGGTGCTGATGAAGTTGTGGCCCGGCTCGCACACCGAGGTGATGGCCATGAACTGCGCGGCGTGGCCGCTGGCCGTGGCGACGGCGCCCACGCCTCCCTCGAGCATTGCCATCCTGGTCTCAAACACCGAGTTGGTCGGGTTGCCCATTCGGGTGTACACATAGCCATCCTTGGACCAGGCGAACTTGCTGGCCCCGTCCGAGGCGTCGGTGAAGTTGTACGCGCATGTCTGGTACAAAGGCACGGCTCGTGAACCGTTGATGGGGTCGGGCTGCTGACCACCGTGCAGAGCGACGGTCTCGTATTCTGGAGCTTTGCTCACTTCGCCCAAGTGTCCTGAAACCATTTTCACTCTGTCGTCGGTTGTTTGTAAAACAAAAAGAGGTAAAAGCCTTTTTCGTTGAGACAGGTTTTAAACCGTGGACTGAGTTGAGGTCTATTGCGAGACTAGATCAGACAGTGGATTGATTGATGTGCTTGAAGATGTCGAGATAATTCCACCCATGTATCGAGACATGTTCGCCTTGATATAATGTCGATTGCAAACACACATACACATACACCCTTCCTCGAACAGCCAATCCCATCGAAGAACCGTATAGTGAACATTCGCGCGGCATTTGCTACGAACCAAGATACCGGGCACCCATGCTTATCTTGACAAAAGGCCGGTGAATGAATTCCCCAAACTCCAGCGAGGGGAGAAATGTTGTCTCACACCACATGCCTGACAGATACGTGCAGCTTTTGCAGGCCTCATTAATCAATGGGACGACGTGTTTGCTATCATGCTGACAGGGGATGCATATGCAGCTGCACCATAACCTGGCAATACACGGTAGATATCCAGTGTGTTTCCTTTCCAAATGCCGAAGATATACGTGGTATATGGGGCGTTTGCTGATTGGTGACCCGGTAGAGGTGCCGTGTGGCCCAGTCGCCGCTCGCTTATCAAAAGCAAACCCCGGGGCACGGGGCCACCCGGGGGCGCCACCCAGGCCGTGGGACTTCCGTGGACCACTTAGCTAGGTATGGAAACATGGGCGGTCTCTTCAGTATACTCGGTACCTCGTATGGCAACGGAATTCCCACACTTCTCTACGTTTCATCTGAAACCGGGTAGGAGGGGACATCAGAATAACTCTAAGCCTGACCTGTTGCTCAGGGTCGAGTTCTGCACGTCAGAGGTCTTTCCGGCTCTGATTAATGAGCGACAGTTGGGTATCGTCCACGAGTCCCACCGAGGCACAAGATCGAATGGATTAAGTCTGTCTGAGGTGAAGGAGACGGAAGGACAGAGAGTATGTGGCTACGAACTAGATGCCTGTACTGTCATTGATGGCAGAGGTATAGAGATTGACAGCTTTTTTGATATACACTTCTCTCTCAGTAGGACGTTCTATCTATCTAGCAGCTAGAAGGGGTATTTTGCAGTAAAGTCCCACGCTCATTCAGCGATTCCTAGGACATGGTATGCCAAAAGCCAGAAATTGAATATAATGTTCAGTATAGCCAAGGGCCTAGTGATGAGATCAGTATGCTTGCATTTGGAGAGAGCATGATGATGGATATATCTTACCTGTTATCATAGAAACCTCGCGCTCCACATGCCCAGGAATCTGCATGACCTGAGAATGGATGACCTCCATGGCCAACAGGGCGTCCTGCGTCCTCACCACGAACGAGATGTTGATCTCGCTGGCTCCCTGGGAGATCAGCCGGATGTTGATGCGAGCGCTGGCCAGCGCGGAAAATATCTCGGCGGCAATGCCGACCATGTTCTTCATTTTATGGCCCACCACCGAGATGATTGACATTTTCGGCACGATGCTCGTCGAGCCGAACTCTTCGAGCTCCGGCAGGGCTTCGTCAATGGCCTCGGAGACGTTCACCAATCCACCATAGGCCGACACCGCCAGGCTGAGCGACTGACGGCTGCTGCTTGCCAGGTCGACGGAGAGCTGGTGCTGGCCCAGGATGTCGCTGATTTGGCCGAGGAATGCCTGCGGAGGCAGCTTGCCGTTCGAGGTGATGTTGACGAGCGTGATTGAATCCTTGGTCGTGATGGCTGTGGGGACTCGCTTCGCCTGGTCTTTGCCGTAGTACCCATTCGAAGTCATGAACAAGGACCGGCTGATATCTATCGCTGTGGAACTCGGTGTTTGCAGTCCACTCGCGCTGGGCGACGTTGTCGAGTAGACCACCGTGCCGGCGCCAGCGGGATCCTTGACGTTCTTCAGGCGAAGGTTGATGTCCTCCTTGTTCAGCAGCGACATGGTCAGAGGGTGGATCACCTCGCTGCCATAGTATGTCAACTCAACCGCCTCCTCCAGCGTGATCATGGGCAGAACCCGGGCTGTCGAGACTTTGGTCGGGTCGGCGGTGAAGATCCCAGCGACCTCCTTCCATATTTGGAGTTCTTCGGCACCCAACGAGACGGCACACAGCGCGGCGCAAAGATCTGAATATCCTCGCCCCACGGTGTGCAGCAGCGAATGTGGCATTGAGCCAAAAAACCCAGTCACGACGGGGACTTTGCCCACGGCGGAGCACTGGAGGATGGCGTCTCTGACCGCGTCTCCAAGCCCCTGGAGGAAAAGAATCGGGTTTTGTTTGTAGGCTGCCTGCTGTTCGCGCGTCGAGCGCTTGTCCGCCGTTTGGACAATGCTCTCCAGGTTCACCATCTCTGCTTCGACTCCCCCGAGCGACAACGCGGCCACGACCACCAGGCAGGACAGCTTTTCTCCCACACCAAGCACCCGATCTTGGGTTCTGTCGGAAGCTTCACCAATGACACGCGTCGCGCGTAAGAATCTTCTCAAGGCGTCACATTCGTCGATAATGCTCTGCCGTAAATTCTGGATGATGTTCGAGGCGGATTGTTGGAGTGCAGCGGCGTCGTGGGGGAGCGATGCTGCGACCGAAAGATGTTCGTTTTGGATCATATCAATGACTTGGTCGAAATCAACTCCTCGGGCCTCATCCGACACGGCGCAAGCCAAGGCCCTCAGGAGGAGATTCGTTGTGCCGGCTGATTTGCTTGCACTGGACCGCGCCGAGCAGACAACTGCGACGTTGTACTCTTTCAGGTACTGTGGAATGATGGATTGGGTAATCGTGCTCAACAGCTTGCCAACACTGGTACCGCCGTATTTCTGGACGAGCCATGGTCGGTATTCCTCTGTTCGTGCAATCATTTTGTGTTCCCTCTTGAAGTCTTCTTGTCCTGTGTGACTTTGAGTATTGGACTTTTATGAAGGATAGTATACACCGCCGCAATTAGGGAGATTATTGACAATGGCCACCATCTGAAACGAGTATAAACGGACCGTATTATACAAGTATCATGCTCACTCTCCCAAGCGTGCCAATTGGACACGCGGAGATGGGGCAACCTCACGACCACCAAGTCCGGAAGCAAGCAGTCGCCGAAAGTCGACCGGGCAGAATAGATAAGGGGGCACAGCAGCGCTCCGACGGGGATTGATCTTAGTTCCACCGAAGATTCCACGATCTTGACATAGTCTAACCCCAAACCCCGGGAATGACTAGATCTGGTTTGACCAATGGCTTTCGAATTCGAGTCGTTTCGGAATAGGTAAGTCTTCGAATTGGGCGAATCTTCCGAGTCAATACTAAGACAGGGAAAGAGTCAATTTACAGGCTAAGCGGCAGAAAATATCGCAGCGTGAAGTTTGAGTAGTTGACACGAGGTGGAGTATTCTTTTGAGCATTACATGACAAAGAAGTAGAACATGATCTATCAAACATATCGCCATATTGTAACCATACACGCTTTCATCAAAAATGAACCTCCAACTCGCCAAACACACTATTCGTCACAACGTCGTCCTTGTCCCCATCGACGCCGCCGTCGAGAGCAGGCGCTTCGAAGATACTGGCACAGTGGTCCCGAAGGAATGCACTGATGGATTCTTCCATGGTCGACATTTCCAGCAGGAAGCCGTCATGCCCGTCGGATGAATCCAGCTTCATGAGTTTTGCTTGAGGCAGGGAATTTGCCAGGAGTGTCTGCTGATCGGCTGGGAACAATAAGTCCGAATCTATGCTTACCACCAGCGCAGGTGCTGTGCACGAGGCCAGGACGGCGGCAACGCTTTTCAGGCTGGGGTGCTCCTCGAACGGCAATTGCATTGCTGGGGTCCGCTCTCTTGTGACATCGTGGGAGTCCATCTTTCGCAAAAGGTGGATGTAGCAATTGGCGTCGAAGCGCTTCAGGAACTTGTCGGCTTGGTACTGCATGTAGCTTTGTGCTGAATATATTGTGGTCGGGCCGAAACTGTGCGCCTCTGTCTTCGAGGCTGCCGTCTCAGGGATGTCGTCTTGAGCCGCTGGCAGTGGTGGAGAGGGCATCGAGGTCATCGGCCTGGAGAAAGTCTGTGGCGGCCGTTTCTGTCCAGCCTTGCGTCGACCAAATCGTGCTTCGAAAGAAGTGTATGATCGGTAGGTGAGCATCCCGATCATTCTTGCCGCCCCCAAGCCCTGTACTGGCTGACTTTGCGGATGAGGAATATAGTACCCTCCACGAAATTGTGCATCGGCTTGAATGCATCGTATTTGTGATGTATTCCACGAAATACCCCACGCAGTCTGATAGGCTGAGGTCGATATAGGGATAACAGTCTTCACGTAGCCTGGAGGAGTACACAAAGGCCACTCCAGGGCAATCATGCCACCCATCGATCCACCGATAACCGATGCAATCTGTCTGACTCCCATCGCGTCAAGAACAATCTTCTGTATTCTCACATCGTCTCTGAAAGTTGTCTCTGGGAATGTCGGTCCATACAGCGTCCCTGTCACTGGGTTTGTCGTGAGTGGTGATGCGGAGCCGTACGGCGACCCGAGAGAGTTGAAGCATATGACAAAGAACCGGCTCGTATCGACAGCCTTCCCTCGGCCGATCAAAGGTTTCCACCAATCCTCCACGTCACTGCTGCCGGTGAGCGCGTGGCAGATCAAGAGAACATTGTCTGCCTCCTCATTCAAGGTGCCCCAGGCGCTGTAGGCCACAGGTACTCGGTGGAGCTGTTGACCCGATTCTAAAGTGAAGGTCGGTACGATAGCAGTCTTCAAGTTTCGCACCAGGCTCGTGTAGTAATTGTATTCGGGTTGAGCGTTCAGTTCTATTCGACAATTAGACAATGTCTTTTGAGACTCCTTGCAATAGTTCAACATACCAACGTCCATTGTGCTTATTGTGGTTGCTATAGAGGTGTAGATTTCGTCTCTCGCAAAAGTCCTGCTTCCTCGTGGAATATTACCAGGTATTGTATTTGTGCTATATCTATAAACCAGAGGCAAGCAAATGTTCAGGCCCACCCATTAGAGAATGCGGGCAGCAACCAATAAAGGCCTAGGCGGAGATATGTATTCCGTATCTTTCGGTGTTTGCTTTTCGGGCTTTGCTCTGAAAGGCTGGCTCCTGGCGACTCCGGAAGGTGGGTCTAACTCCGGAGATGCAGCGGCGAACGAGCATGCGGTTTTCGAAGCCCTCAGGTGTCTGTAAGAGGCCAACATCTGGAATCAGTGTAGAGTATTTGGCCACAGCAAGACACAGAGGGTCTGTGTCTGAAGCACAAAAGGATGTCTTGTCCAGGCCAACGCCCTGCCGCTTGCAAAAAGCACGACCCTCAGTCCAGCTATGTCTGCCCCAGCAAGCTTTAAGGTCGCTGCAGTTCAGGCAGCTCCAGTTTCGTTCGATCTCCGTGCCTCGATCCAAAAAGTCAGGCATTTCACCAAGACTGCGGCGCAGGAGTCCGCTGATCTCGTTGTTTTCCCAGAAGGGTTTCTCAGCGCATACCCGTGGCGTTACGCCTTCGATGCAACGATAGGAGCACGAGAGCCCCGAGGCCGGGAGTGGTTCTCCAAATACTACCAGTCGGCCGTTGCGATTCCTTCGCCAGAATTTGACGAGCTCCGGAACATTGCAAGAGACTACAACGTGTTCCTGTCGATCGGAATCATCGAGAAAGAACGAGGAACCTTGTACTGCACCGCAATCCTCCTCTCGAGAACGGGCGACTTGCTGTACGCACATCGAAAACTCATCCCAACGGTACGTTCGGAGCCGGGAACTAAAGCCAGAGATATCTTTGCATTTCTGGATATTTGAATCTCAGCAACTGACGATAGTTTCTCACAGGCAGCCGAACGACTCGTGTGGGGTAGAGGAGCAGGAGATGGACTTCAAGTTGTGGAAACGGAAATAGGCCGTGTAGGCGGACTCATCTGCTGGGAGAATTATATGCCTGCTGCCAGACTATCTCTATATCAACAAGGCATCGAGATCTACATTGCACCGAATGCGGATGACTTGCCTTCGTGGGTGGCGTCGATGCAACACATCGCCAAAGAGGGACGCTGCTTCGTTATTTCGTGCAACCAGTTCTGCAAGGTGGCCGACTTTCCGTCTGACTATCCACCCTTCTCACCTGGACATCATGACAGACAGCCAGATGGCTCTCCGTGGACCCCCGACGCCGTTCTCAGCCACGGCGGTTCTTGTATCGTTGGGCCGCTGGGTACATTCATAGCCGAGCCTGTCTGGGATCAGGAAGAGATTGTTTATGGGCAACTGAATATGGAAGATCTGATACAAGCCAGAATGGACTTCGATCCGGTTGGAAGCTATGCAAGGCCGGATATTTTCACGCTAACCGTCAATAGAAAACCTGGAGACCATGTCGTTTTCAGTAACTGAAGAAGGCATATTTTCCCAGTTGGGTAGTTTCAGAGCCTCGCCCCTGTTCTGTGGCGTGACAGATTGCTAGATCATAGATGATAGACATGGCTCTAGAGCGCCTCGGGCAATTTAGGGCCAGCATTTGTAGAGACTTTGGGCGCTTTAATTGGGTGATAAGAAAACTTGCTTATCTCTGTCGTGTACGAAGGAATGCTCACCATAAGAAGGGTGCCAAGTCCTGGGGCCCCAAAGTCACTGATTGTCACTGATTGTCACTGATTAATATATCACATATCCTCAGTGTTTCGTTTTCTCCTGTGCTTCCGTCTCGTCGCCCAAAATCGTCCGCTTCCGACGCTTATATTGACGGCGGGTCTCGGAAGACTAGGAAGGGCCACACGAGCACTTAAAGATCCCCACGTTCGTCCAGAGGCGTGCAACTCCGCGAAAACAGAGCCTCGAACCCTGAGCCACCGCTTAAAGCCCCTCATGTCTACTTCTACCCTCATGGAGACCGAGTCTATGATATCCAGTCAAGGCCGCCGGAGGAAAAATATACTGCCACCGGTGAAGGTGGCGTGTACATCTTGGTAAGCGCTGCTGGATCGAGCGTCTGCTTGCGAACTCGTCTTATAACTCGGATTAAGCCGTGCCTCTCGAACACGATGCGATGCCAAGGTTCCCTGTAACAATGTACGTGGTGGGTGGCTCTGTGACTGACTGAGACGGTGCCTGATATTGTTTCTAGTGTCTGATCAGAGGCAAAGAATGCCGCTATGTCAAAAGCAACCGTGGCGGACCCCGTGTGTCGCGCAAAAAAGCCATCATGGCAGTGGAAAGGCAACGGCGGTCTGAGGAAGCAGTACCTCAGACCCAAGAAATTGTCCCAGACATTCATATTGATTGGGATGCACTGATCCTGTCATCCGAAGAGATACATAACGACCTCATTGCCACCATGATCTCTCCCGGAGCTGGGTTGATCGACGTCGGGGACGAGGACGACAGCGACCAGATCTTTGACAATATTTTCATGCCCGCTTCCGAAGGCGATGAAACAATGGATTCCTTAGACGATGATTCACAGGGAAAATCCTACACACCCATTACTCGGAGCTATCGAGACAACGAAGCCATCCTCAATGCCTACTACATCTTCATCCATCCGTACTTCCCCATCCTGCCACCGCCAGTGACGACACTGCAGGTCGATGAACCGGCTAGCGAATCGAAATTCTTCGAGCCAGCATCTCCCTTGGTAATGGCGTTAATGGCGATCCTTGTGCTGATCCCCCATCCGGAAGACGAGTACCCGGACAGCGATGAGTCTGTGTGTCTCAGAAGGCAACAAGCGCACTCGTTCTCCCAGATGGCCATGGAGAGCATCGAGATAGAGACTGAGCTGCTCGAATCGGCGATAAAACCATCCGACGCTTTGGATCATCGGAGACCGTCGGTCGATCGCGAAAAGCTCCACCCATATGTGCCGGTGGAGTTGGAAGGTGTGCTGGCACATGTCCTGCTGAGTATCTATGAATATGCTCAGCGGGGGAATCTGGCAAAGATGAGAAATCGAGCCAGTCAAGCATATGATGCTGCTATCAGACTCTGCCTGCACGACATCTCTGATCTTTCTTTGGACGAATACACAGAAGCGCGTCGACGCGCCTGGTGGATGACCGTAAGTCGATTAGCCACGACTGTGGGACAATAATCGCTGACCGGTAAACTAGTACACTGTCATTCTGCAGTCCTCTATTGTTAGCAGCACGGTAAGTTTAATCATTAAGGCTGGATGAAACCCACCGTCTAATCGTACTCAATCAGCCTCCAATCATCTCGATTGATTTTCATCAATTCAAGACTCCATTGCCAACGTCGACAGCAGACCCTGGCGCGTGGTTGTTTTTCATCGAAGCCCAGCAGTGCATTCTAAGGTGTACCCAGTACACTGTCGCGCTGAAGAAGGCTCTCGACGCCGGGATGGGGGACAGTACGCTGGAACAGAGGAAAGCCATGCTTGAGAGCAACCTCGATTCAGTACTTTCTAAATACGCGTCCTCCACGAACGAATCAACCGCTGCCCCGTCGCCCACGGATGCTGAGGAGCACTCCCTCGCCAAATCGCTACGGCTGCAGGCGCTGATCAAGCTCAACAGTGCGAGGATCAAACTCCATCGATATCGCGCTTTTCAGGACGTCCCAATATTCACCCGTCGTCACTGCGATCTGGATCAAGCCGATGTATCTTCTCCGCGGCCCCTAGGATGCTCCTGTCATGCCATGCTGCCATCTACATTCTCAAACATTTCGTCATCCAACGGCTTTCAGTCCGGCGGATTCCCCGGGCTCTGGTCGCAGTCGCCTCACGGTTCCTCTTTGGATGCATCTAGCGACCACGCAGAGACGCTCACCAAAGGAGTATCGATTACCGACCTGCCAGCCGCGAAGACTTGTCTCAAAGCTGCCCTGGCCATTGGCCGCGCATTTGAATCACTCCCTTACCCCAATCCAATGCAGTCGCCTCTCCCCATGCCTTGTCCCTCAACTCTATCAGCAATCTCGTCGACTCCGGCCCCACGAACCATGCCGTCATTCGCCTGCTGCGCCATGCAAAGCTGCTACACGCTGCTCACTCTGTGCTACAAGAGCCTGGAGATGCAATGCATCAACCAGAGGAGTTCGGCTGCCGACAAGGGCATTGAGGATCTGTATGCCGGGGTCGGCAGAGTTTTGAGGGCGCTGCAAAACTATGCAGTCGCGTTCGAGGCGCTGAACGGCATGGTCCGTAAGTTCTTGTTCCATCTGCCTCGCCGTTTGACAAAGTTCTCAATGCTGATTCAACTTTTCAGAGCAGGTAGAGGAAGCCCTGGAGGCGCTGAAGCATGTACGGCAGCACAATAATTAACTGGTCGGATAATTGGCGCGCCTTGTGTAAAGAACGCATGTAATATTGAGCCACGACATGAATGATGACAACTGGCACCGACATTGGTTCGCGCTGACAACTTAGGAACGAACAACAATTATTTTAAGTTGCTTATGACCCTTCCTGGATCCAGAAAGAACAATGCGTCCTTGATCGTCAGCTCAACTTTTCAATCGCGCATACTATGTGCTTTGCTCCGAAAGTTTGCACAACATCCCCTTCCGTGCAGCCTTCTTCCCATTGTGTTCCCTGATCCACTCTATTCTGAAAAACTTTCGCCCGACTAGGAAGATCTCGAAGATTTTGTTCGTCTCCTGCCTCGTATTTCGTTGCCCAGTCTGACTTTGCATCATCCCAAGACTCTCTTCTGGCACAGAAACCGTTCATCCCTGATGGGCCTTGTTTACCGCCTTTCAAAGCGAGAAAGTCGCCCCCAAGTTGCCCGAGAAAGGTAAGACCATCCTCGCTGCGCAGAATCCAAGCAAAAGGAAATTTCTCCGCGAAAGACGCAGAGAGGGTCCGCCAGACTTCCTCGTAGGGCGTCATAGTGTTGGTGTCCGGGTGAAGCATGCTGCCTGTTTCGATGCTGTCCGTTGACTCAGAGGCAGGCTGGAAGCTGCCAATATCAGGCTCCGTATATCCCCTCGAATCAACCCAATGAGTCCATTTGCATGTTACTGGCAGTTGTCTTAGCGAGAGGAAGCCTGATCAGGGGAAAGGCGCGGGGAAATGCAACCACCTACGTGGCTCCTGTGACAATATAAGTCTTTCACCAGCCATTGCCCAATCAATTGACCCATCAAGCTTGGTGATGCGGAGGTCGACATACCAGCCTCCCACACCAATGATCAATGTGTCGGTGGGTTCCGATGCCTCGCCTGGAACCCAGCGTATACTGAGTCGAGTCGATAGGCGGGCGGGCATTTTTAGCGGTCTGTGACACGCACCAAAGAGCGTGTGATAGGGAAAAGTATTGCGACGGAGGCTTTATATCTGAGATTGCATCTAGCTTGCCCGAGTATTGAGGATGGATTGAGATATGTCGTCGCCTCATCATTCCCTTTACGTGTTAGTCGTGACTGATTCAAGGTTAATAGGTTATTCCATGTGTCGGAGTAGTCCGCCTTGACAGCAAGGACTTTTTGCTTTCCAACCTCGGTTTTCCGTCCAATTGATTTCCTTATTTGCACAATACCGACAATCCAGGATTGGTCCTGTGAGCAATGCCTCCATAGCGCGCAGCGTTGATCTCGCGACCGACCGCACAGACGACACTGCCGCAGCAAGCATGACACCGCCATCTCGGTCCTGGAATGGCTGCGTCCGTTGCAGGAAGCGACGACAAAAGTGTGGGGAGCAGAAGCCGCAATGCGTTCGATGTGAGAAGGACAAGGCGGCTTGTTCTTACCAGAAACCACTGAGATTTGGCGGCCGCCCGTTTGGTCAGTCGCGATTCGGGGCCTGTCTTTCAAAGAAAGCTGGAGGTGCCCGAAAAGCCGGTGCGTTGGGCCGAGAATGATGGTTCCAGGGCATCACAAACTAAAATTTCCGCAACAGTGACCACCGATGGAGGATTTGTATACACTTCGGTGTCAGCAACCAACGCTGCTACGCCAGAGACACCGCCGCTCAGACAGGCTGCCAGGGCAGAGACAGAGTCAGCGGTGGCGGAGCTCGCGGCTGAGGAGGAGACGTCCTTGGAAGTGCTCCAAGTGAGTGAAGGGGGGCCCAGTCTGATTCCCAGCCACGTCGACATGCTGTCATTCATTCCTTGGAACAATCGCGCCCTCCTTCAGTACTTCACTTGCAACGCTTCTATGGCTCTGGCTACACACACCATTGTCCATCGAGAGGTCTGTGAATTGATATTGCCCATGGCCCTTTGTAATCCCGCTCTCCTTCATGCCACTCTGGCCCTCGCTGCTATTCATCGGAATTCATTGACATCCACCACTGAAAATGAGATGGATGGCCGCGCTCAAAGACTGGTCACCCAGTTGATGGCTACTAGTATTCGCCATCTGCGACATGAGCTCCAAGACCCAAGATCAAGTCCACTGGCAGCCAAAGTGGCCACTACTCGAACGCTATTTCTGTGTGAAGCCATCTCTGGATCTCACTCTCTTCGTGCTTGGAGAGCTCATTTCCAGGGAGCACGAGCTCTCTTGTCCTCCCGCGAGAGATCCTTCGATGACGTGGGAGGGTTTGAACAGGATCCATCACTTCTTTTTCTGCAGCGGTGGTACAAAATCACTGAAGCGTTGGTTGCTATCACAACCGAGGGGCTGCTGGCGGGCCAAATAGCCTGTAGTGGACCACGGGCTCTCATTGGTGAGACCGAAGGTGCAGATGTCTGTATCGACATGTACACCGGCTGTGCGGGAGACATTTCTACGGTGTTTCGAGAGATCGGAGCGGTGGCTTGGGAAAGACGGCGTGCAGCTGATGACTCAGGCCGACATCCCAGGCTATCTGAACAAGATTTCCTCCGCGAAGCCGATCTCTTGGACAGGTCCGTCCGAAGGATGATTGAACGTGATAGGGCCCGAACAACAGTATTCAATATTTCTGGCGCTCGCGATTTAACTGTGGAGGAATCTAAGGAATTCTTGCTCTGCAACGAGGCTTACCAACATACCGCGCTCATTCACATTCATCGACGGATTCGGCGGCTCCCACCCCATGCTGCGGTCGTTCAAGAGTCTGTCCGGAGGATCGTTGAATGTGTCGAGAGCATCAGACCAGCCGCAACCTTGTCCCCCTTGACCCTACTGACCACGCCTCTGTTCACTGCCGGTTGCGAAGCAACAGGTGCTGAACGTTGCAAGATCGCGCAGCTACTGACAAATATGTTCACCCTTTTACGTCTACCGAACATGAAACGGGCGTTGCAAGTGCTTCAAGCCTTTTGGCGTGCATCGGAAGCTTCCGGAGATGATTGGGAGGACTTCTCGCGTGGGTCAATATCTACACTATCATATAGCAGAGTCCAGGCTGACAGAAATACAGGTCAACGGAACTGGGATTTCCTGCCATACTGAGTTGAGCAGCTGCGCCATCCAGCACGCCGAGATGGCCATATGCTACCTGGCGGAGTAAGCCCCGGGATGCGCCTCAAGTGGCAAAAACCAAGCCTCTCTTGTCTTTACTTCGAATGAAGACGCCTTGCTTGTTGAGGCCGCACCTGGGAACTCATTTCTCTTGATAGGCACTGATTTCGAAGCTCGGTACGTCTGGCAACTCATCGGACGAGAGCACTATGGGTTTTACCCACCTGTTACCCCATCGGTGGAGCACAAAATAAACAGGTGGCAGGCACAGGGCGCAGATAATTGCTTGGGTGCCGAAGCACCATCCATATCCTGGGCGCAAAGGTCAGCATCAAACCCTCCCATAGCGGCAGTTGACGTCTTCCTTACCGACTGCGGCGGTCCAGTCGTAAATATACCAGGGAACAATAAATGCGGACATCTGTTCCGTCAGTCTCGACGACCATGAAACTGCGACTCAAGTTCACTCACATTTATGATGACGGAATAAAATGTTATGACCTCAATGGCGTGCTCTGGGTAGCTGTCCACGATATATGTCGACAAAGTTGTGTTGCCGGCTTGAAGGCCGACCGCAAACAGGAAGAGCGAGACCTGACCGACCATCCAGTGCCATCCTTCCTGAACCGAAGCTCCCCAGACAGCAAGCCCGATGGCAGAGAAAAGGGCGCCGGGATAGCCCAGCCACAGCCTCATTTCTGGTGTTCGCTGGCCGTGGTTTTTGTGCGCAAGGCGGACAACGATCCAGTCGCTCAAATGGCCCGAGCAGAATATCTCTGCAAAGATGACCCCAACCAGGGCGCCTGTGAAGAACAAACCCTGAATCTGGATCTTGTACTCCGCGTACGCCGCAGGGATCATTGAGAGCAGGGCCACGATCCTGTGTTGCTTTAGTCCTTGTTCCTGGGGATACGCCGCCGAGGCTCGCTTACCACCAATAATGGAGAAATATGTATCCACAAACACTGGCGACCAGCTTTGGGTACGCCCACAGCTTGCAGAATGTGATTAAGGTTGCCCAAGGTTTTGGATGGGGCACCCCTGGGATTTTGCGGATGTTCTGAAGGGGTGTCAGCATGTCATAGCACCATTGCTTCCAGGGACTCGTCTCACCAGCCAGGGGAGTTGTTTGGTTCTTTTAATGTCGACAGCAGTATTCTGCAGGGTCTCCCCACGCGCCTTGGCCGTGGCTTGTTGGAGCTCTAGAGCAACAACATGGGCGCGAGGATATTGAGTTTCTGGCAGAAATAGAAGTTCCCAGAGCAGGAGAAATGCGAAGGCTATGGTGACGTGGTAGGCCACCCAGTATTGGTTCACGGTGGCTATGAACCCGCCAACTGTCACATTGTGGTCAGTCCTCCTCTACTCTTTCACTTGGAAGCGAAGGCAAGCTTACTGAGGCCACCCAGGACACTTCCTATGTTTGCAGCCATGGCCCAGAGACCGATGCGATAACCCCGCTCGTGCTCCCAAGAGATGTCATTGATGATACTGAGGCCCACGTTGGCGGCAGGACCGGCTGCAAACCCCTGGAAAAACCTGGCTGCCATGTACTGGCCGATAGATTGTCCTTTGATCGAGGTGCAACCACTGGCAAGAACTGCGATCGCAGTGGCGATGATGGTTACCACTCGGCGGCCGTACGTCTCTGCCAGCGACGAGGTGACCAGAGGGCCAAATGCGAGGCCAAAGGCAGAGATGCCGAAGGACCAGTTGACTTGATTGTACGAGGCATCGAATTGCTCCTCGAGGAGCGAGAACGAGGGCACCGGGGCAGTGGTCAAATAGGTCAGCAGGAAGTAAAAGAAGCACACGATGCCAATGATGTTGTACTTCTGCAACTTGGACCAGTTTAAAGGATCGAGGGAGTCTTTGGTCGGCCTCGGCATCAACGGTTTGTCTCTAGCCTCAACTGGCAGATGGTATATGTTGGCCGCGTCAAGTGGGGTCGTTTGGGTCGTGACATCTGCTGCAATGGACTTTTTTTTGGTGCTAATCACATCTGAAGACATGTTCGCAGTCAAGGCAGCAGCTGGGTGGAGAGTATTGAGTAATGACAAGGGCGGGGTTCTGGACTGTCACTTGCAATGGATCATGGCGGATTGCAGTCCATATATACACGTCCGAAGCACGCCGGGATACATCGACAGGAAGCCGTAAGAGTGGACAATCAAGATAAAGGCTCGATTCATTCATGTTGTAATAAGACTGGTTTGCCAAAAAGTAGTCATAGTGGATGACATTGGGCTAGACTGGAGAAGGCAAGTTGGGGAGATGAGCAGGCTAGACGGGACCAGACATTGATCTCGAGCCTTTCCGGCCATTGTTGCGCCCATCTACGCGCGAGCCGTCGGAGCCATTAGCAATTGATTTGCCCCTTTATCGCCGTTTGGCCATGCTGCATATTGTGGGAACGTCTGGACTAGTCCCAAAGGGGAAGGATGAAGAGATGGCGGAGCCATAGGTAGATAGACCTCCCGGAATTTGTCGATAGCAAATACCCACCACCACTTGATTCTTGTTCTCCGCCTTGGGACGCCCATCCCATCTCACACCTCCCTGTCGCGTCGCTACTCTCTAGTCACCATATGAAGTAAGGGAACCAAATCTGCATTGAGGTGGCGGTCATGCCCTGATCGCCACAACCTTCCCGCTTTGGACGGTTGTGTCAAAAGTGTTGTCCAATTCTCAGTGAATCACGTTGAGCCTCCTCGTCCCATATATGATATATGGTCCTCACAGCTTTGGAACAAAACCCAAACAGTGTCCCGCACTTTGGAACAGGACAACTGCTGGGACCCAGGAAAAGAGCAAAAGATTGCTGTGCGCCAGCTGAATTGACCTACTCGACTACACCCATTTTCCAAACCAGCCTGCTATCACCAGCGCTGGCACCATGTTATTATGGCTCCTCCCCTACGTGATCCTCGTCGCAGCCCTCGCCAAAGTCGTGCAGAGGTTTCGCTCCCCCGTGGCCAAATTGCCAGGCCCCCAATACACGGCCTGGACATCGCTGGTGCTCAAGTACCACGAATTCACGCACGGGCGACGCCTGTACATCCACGATCTCCACCAAAAGTATGGACCGGTCGTCCGACTGAGCCCTAACGAGGTGTCGTTCGCGACCGCCGACGCGGCCAAGGAGATCTATGTGTCGGGCGGCAGCGGGTACGACAAGACGCCCTTCTACTCGCTATTCACGCAGTTTGGGACGCGCACACTGTTTTCGACGCTCCCGCGGGCGGATGTAAGTCTTCCCCCCAATTTTTCCATTCTGTTTCGGAAGGAAAAGTCAACTGTGTCTGTGTAGTCGATCAAGAATCTGTGGCTAACTCTGGCCGGGAGTCGCCGTTTCCAGCACAGCTACATGAAGCGCTATCTAGCCGACCGGTATGCCAACACGAGCATCATGAAACCCGACGTCCTCAACGGCATCTCCCAGCATGCGCGGGACTTTCTGAACAAGTGTCTGGATCAATGTCATGGGAATGATGGGTTCGCTGACATCTATGTAAGGATTTCTGCTGGGCTGGGCTGGCCGGCCAGTGCAAGACTAACGTGAGGGCCCGGCGTCTCAGGTATCTCTGCACTGCTTCGCGCTGGACGGAGTGACGCATCAGCTGTTTCATCCGTACGGTACGCATGCCAACAGGGACGAAAAGGATCTGCGTCTGATGCAAGAACTGTCTTATCATGACAGCTTGAAAAGTACGTTTAGAACCACCCGGTTTAGAATGGCGCATAAGAGCTCGTGTTCGAAAGTACTGTACTAAAACAGACTGCTCCCAGGCAATATCGCCATCTATTACATGCCGTGGCTCTCCGGTGTGATCCACTATATCAGCCCGCCCAAGCCCGCACCTTTATCGAATGACTACGTCCTCAGGACCAGCGCACTTCCGTCGCCGTCGCCGTTCAGCCTCCTCTCGAAGCTTCAGGCACAAGCCAAGGCCACCGACATGGCCCCCTACGCCGTGCCCGCCGAGTGCAAGGACCACCTGGCAGCAGGGGTCGACACGACAGGCGACGCGCTCTGTTTTCTGATGCACCACCTCTCTCTACCCACGCCGACATCGCAGCGTATTCAGGGCCTTCTGCGCAAAGAACTTACCGAAAACGCCGCAGCCCCTTTCGATCAACTTCCCTACCTCGACGCCGTGGTCAAAGAAGGCCTCCGCTGTTTCCCCCCAATACCCATGTCAATGCCGCGATACGTGCCTTCCGGGGGCAGCACGATCGAAGGCTACTTCATCCCGCAAGGAACCATCGTGAGCTGCCAGGCGTACACGCTGCACAAGGACCCTACCGTGTTTCCGCAACCGTTGGAATTCCTGCCAGAGCGCTGGCTCGACAAGTCCGGCGAGGCCGAGAGAAACAGGTTATCCTTCGCCTTCTCCCTCGGCGGAAGGGGGTGTCTGGGTCGGCAGTGAGTCCTTTCTTTTCTTTTTCTTTGTACCTTTTTATTGTCCCCGCAACTTCTCGACCCCCTCCCTTATTTCTCCTCTATCATCGAACAAGATCCTCTATTAACCTCTCTCCACCCCAAAAAGCCTCGCAATAGCTGAGATGAAACTCCTCCTCCGCGAGGTCTATTCCCAGTGCCGCACGACCCTGTCCAGCCGGATGGACAGCGACATGGACATGGAGGACCAGATCATCGCCAGCCGGCCAAAGGGCCAGAGCTGCAAGCTGGTCTTCGAGAAGGTCGTCGCATGATCTGGGAACGAACAACGCCTACTTTTGTGATCATGTTTGTCCTTCGGTTTGATTGGCACGGAGACGATAGGACAAGGTATCTCGCTTTCCGTTCCTTTGGCGCCTGTTTCCTTGGTATTGGGGAAGCAGAGGCACCTAGAAGGTAAAGTTAGTTAAGAGTTTAGTTGAAGCTTTAAGTATATTCATTAGAGGCTTAGTTAAAAGGATCACTTAAATTCAATGCCAAGAGCTAAGGTTCCAATTCCACAGAAGATAGAGGCGACAAACATTACCAAGGCAGGTACCTAGGTAGGTACTAGGTATGCGACAAGCGGCATCGGCGTAATCTTTCAAACGTACAGCCTGTCAGACACCCTCTCCACACAGATCAACTATCTGTACGGTACTGTACCGGATCTAAGGCTAAACCGAACCAGCTAGCAACGGCAGCTCCTGCGCCCATAATCTTACATACGAGTACAAGTACCTCGCGATGGATAGCGCGCCGCCGGCTGCTTTGTGAGCGCAAACGAAAAGGGAAGGTCAATTTACAAATGCGACTATAAAGGGACCATGTAAGCGCTGGGAACGCGTAAGAGATACGGAAGCATTGAATTCAGCAACCGCCCTTCGTGCAAGACAGCTCGTGTGTTTGCCCAGGTTTAGAAGCATTGCAAATTCCCCTACAAAGCGGCATTTCTATCCAGAACCCAAAGCCATAGGTTTGCGATAAGGTCGAGACCGAGCGAGGATTTTGCAAGGCATACCGCATTGTCACTACAGAGTTTGAAGGGTTTTACAGAAGACATCAAAGGCGCTTTTCTTTCTCTTTAGCTTCTGGCAGCATAGGCTCAGCCCGTTTGTCCACCCGTCGCCCATCATGCCGATCCGTCCCGCTACCAGATCCGATATACCTGCCATGGCGGAAATATATGCCGCAGCTTTCAGGGCCGACCCTTTATTCCGGTTCCTGTTCCCTTACGTGGACGAACACCCAGAAGCGTTCGTTCAGGCCGCCAGAGAGAACCTTTCGGTGGCGTGGTGGGATTTTGGCCAAATTCTCATGGTGTCGTACAAAGCCAGCCAAGGCAGCCCGGGACAGGGTCAGGACGAGCGGACTGCATTGCTGGCCAGTGAAGCAGCGAAACAAGATACTGAAAGCCTAACCCTCACGGGCTTCGCCCAGTGGGAACGGATGGGCAAAGGATGGGAGCACCTACATGGGATTTGGGGGTGGTGGGATCCTCGTAAGTCAGACGTCTTTTCCACACTACAAAGCATTCGTCCTCTAACCTTTTAGCGATGCTGACCAGGTCTCTTGATAAAGCCTACGGTGTCGACATTCTACAGAATCCGCCGATACATTTGGCCCAACAAGGCGGCAGCGCGGCCAACCCCAGAGGATCCTGACCCCCTGACCATCTGGAACTTCGTCCCTCGCATACTTCCTTTCTGCGGTCACTTTTTCAGTGCACCGCATCGTCAAGTACGCTGGTCATTGGAGGTTCTAGGCGTCCATCCCGATCATCAAGGCAAAGGGTATGGGAGAGAGCTTGTAGAGGACGGACTATTGAGAGCGAAGAAGGACCCGGAAGGAGACCTTCCCGTGTGCGTTGTTGCTGCCGACGGCAAAGAAGCTTTCTACCTCAAGGTCGGGTTCAATGAGATAGTTGGGTACACGAGCAAGACGGTCGCGGAGGACGGCAGCGACAATCCGTTGAGGCAGAATGGGATCGGGGGTGGAGCGATACTCTGGACGAAGTGAGATGAGAATCGGAATATAAGCTGAATGTTGCAAAACACCGGAAGCCGCACTTCGCAGTCGGCGGTCCTCTTTCTACAATGGCTAGACGTAATTACAAACAGTGCAAATAGGGCAAACAGGGCAAACATCCAAAACATTGCGATGCTACATCTACACCCAATAAACAGACCACCTCATTGGCAACTTGCACCATTCCAGTTTCCCCTCCTTCATGACAAGCGAGTCGACAAATCGACGCTTTCCATAAGTCGAACCTCGGCTTGCAGCAACCAAGAGGAGGCCTGCCTATCCCAGGCGGAGAAGCGTCATGTTTGGAGAACTCCAGGACGATCTTGGGGGAGCGGATCATGGTCAATCGCTCCTCCGGCCTTGTAGCACGCGTTGCCGCGACGCAATCACGCAATCGTCTCACTGCCCGTCCTGAGAGCTGAGCAAGGAGTACTCGGTTCACTGCTGCAACCCCGCATTTTGAGAGGCACGATCGTCCATCTACCTTTAAACATCGCCGCTCACGCTCCCGACTGAAATGTCTGACGTGCTTTGGTAACTGAGGCACTCCTCTAACCGTGAACAGCAGCATCACACACCCGAGAATGGCGCCCTCTGCCATCGACACTGAACCGGCACCGCAGCCAGCAAAACATGTTCTGATCAAGCCTTGGAGTCGGCCACAATATACGAAAGAGGAGCTTGATTGGGCTCCACTTACTACAATCGACCTATCCCGTTTTGACGAGGTAGGAGGCAAACAAGAGTTGGCTAAACAACTTTATGATGCCGTCACTCGGGTCGGCTTCTGGACTGTCGTCAATACAGGCATCGACGACAGCAAGGTTCTCCGTCAATTCAGCATCGGCAACACCTTTTTCAAGCAACCAGTTGAAGAAAAGCGCTTCTTCCCTTGTAATTTTGCAGAAGGAGAGTACTTCGGCTACAGGGAGAACTCCCGCTGGGTAGGAGATACTGGCGTCAAAGAGAACGTTGAGATGGTGTGTTCTTTGCTTTCATTGAAACGCAGCAAGCTCATCCTGTCCAGCTCAATATCCAAAAGCCTATTCCTTTCTATGAGAATGTGCCGAAGCATCAAATCGTCCGGGAAAACTGGGAAGAGATTTCGGCATTCCATCGCGAACTATGGGACAAGGTCCTCCGCAAGCTATATGTGCTTATTGCCATTATTCTCGAGCTCCCCGAAAACTATTTCGTGGACGCACATGCTTACGATGGAGAGTCCGATGACCACCTTCGATACATGATCTACAATATAAGAACTCAGGACGAGTGGGACAAGGCTCAAGCGTATACCACAGGCGGCCATACAGACTTTGGCAGCCTCACCTTACTATTCTCGCAGCACGTCGCAGGCTTACAGATCCGGACACCTGAAGGGCAATGGAAGTGGGTGAAACCGGTTGAAGGAGGTATCACGTGTAATGCAGCCGACACTTTGTCTTTCCTTACAAACGGTAAGACTGGGCTGTCGATCAGGACTATCAGGGCGACTAAATGAAAATACAGGCTTCATCAAATCAACAGTGCACCGGGTGGTCACACCTCCAAAAGATCAAATGCACATCGCTCGCCTAGGCTTGCTCTATTTCAGTCGCCCTGGAGCTCAGACTCCTATGAGGACCGTCCCATCACCCGTCCTTGAGCGTCTTGGTCTGCTATCGGACGAGGACAGGGACCCTAACAAACCCGTTCCTACAGGGACCGAGTACGTCCGGGCGCGGGTTAAAGATGTACATCACAAGACGGTGATAGAAAAGCGCGAAGGGACCTCTTTCAACTTCAAGGGAATGAAGGTCCAGAACTACTATGACTAGGGCTGAGAAGATGGCGAGGATTCATGACTGGGGTCACGAGCAATGATAAAGGGCACCGTCCAATCGCCTTGGCCCAGTATAGCCAGCCATTGGTCGAATCCGTGGCCTGAGCGATTCTAGAATGAGATTCCGTTGGCCGGTGATATCGTTCCTTGTCCCAGAGGCAAAATGCAGTGGTGAGGTGTGGTCGCTTAGCCCATTGTATAAGCCACGTGTGGTATGCAGGTGCATTTGAGGAGCGTCTCAACGGTACGGAAGATGGCTTGGCCACGTGAGGGTCCCTCTTATCATGCGGCGTTGGGCCTATCACACTGGCAAGAACTGGACATGGATCTCCGCAGGCGAAACTCGCTGCTCGTGGTATGGCAGTCAATTGAACAATGTGCTTTGATTACCCCACATCATTGGCTATCCAGCCTCGCTCCACCGTGCAGTATTCCTTCCTCTTTAGGGTCCATGCCACTCAATGCTACATCAAGCTATCGCCGGGAAAAAAATCTGCTGCATATCGAGGTGGCGCTGGCGAGAGCCGTCGCTTGGAGGGTCGATCTCGGCCGCAAAGGAACAATATAATGCAGGCTGGTGCAGCAACTGGCATGGACACACGCCCGTCAGCTCCAGTTTCTACCCTGAGAGCCCCCTTTTGCTTGTGTCCAACACTAACTTGACAGGATGGAGCACGAGAAACAAGTCCAGGAGAGGAAGTTTCCTGCCTCTCAGGAATACGATGCAGACCAGGAACGGGATATTGCTATCCACACCGCGCCTCTCGCCGAAGTGCCAAAGTCGCGATGGGAGCGATCGTGGCCAGTCATCGCTTGCGGCGCTGGGCTGTTCTCTGACGGGTACCTGAATGGTGTTATCGGTTCAGTGTCGACAATGCTTGCCATCATCTATGGGGACGAGTACACCAAATCCAACTATAAGAGTGCTGTCCCCAGTATTGCCTTTGCGGGCACCGTGGTGGGACATTTGTTCTTTGGGATTCTGAGCGACCATTGGTCTCGTCGCAATACGTTGCTCATTTCCACCTTCAGTACGCGACCCCCGTCGTGGATCTGATCCTTCGCAGAAACTCGGTGCTAATGTGAAGTGGAATAGTCCTCATCATCTTTTCAATCCTCTGCGCAGGCGCATACGGAGCAGGTGGCAGCACTGGCGGTCTCTTCGCTGCTCTATCTGCCTATCGTTTCCTGATCGGCCTCGGTATTGGAGGGGAATAGTAAGGGCCCTCCGTTCCCGTGTCTCGCTCGAAAGCTTTACTGACGGTCTGCAAAAGCCCTGCCGGGTCGGTTGGTGCAGCCGAATCGACGGGCGAGCTCAAGAAAGGCCATCGCAATCGCTGGTTTATTCTGGCCACTGACTTTCAGATCGATCTGGGTTTCGTCGTCAGCGCATTCGTCCCCATGATTGTGGTGCTTGCGACTGGTGAGAACCATCTGCGCGCAGCATGGAGGATCTGCCTGGCACTGGGGGCGATTCCACCCCTGAGTCTGCTTTACCTTCGGTAAGTCGCTCCTGGTTGGATGTGATGGGCCTCCCTGGTTTACTGACGCACCTCAGAATCAAGCTTAAGGAACCGGAACAGTATAACCGCAACAAGATGCACAAGTTCCCCGTGTGGCTGATTGTCAAGTTTTATTGGTGGAGATGCACAGTTATCTCGATCATCTGGTTTGTCTATGTGAGTCTGATCACTTGTGTCCGGCATTGAGCAAGATCCTGACCGAGTCGCAGAACTTTTCGGCCTATTCCTTTGGCATTTTTTCGTCCGCCTGGCTGGTCTTTATCCTCCCCACCAATGCACCGCTGTGGCAGAATTTCGGGATGGCTACAGCGATCAACAGGTGAGTTACCCTGTTGTAAGACCGTCTCTACGACCGTGTCGATCAATATCGCCGTGCTTTGGCACAGATTTCCGTACAAGGGGCTAACAAGTGTTTTGCAGTTTTTGGATTCCAGGTTCCTTCTTTGGTGCTTTCCTGGCTGATTGGATTGGTCCCAAATGGTGCTTGATCTCGGGTGTCTTGTTGCAAGGCATCGTCGGCTTCGCCATGACGGGCGCGTATCCAAGCCTGGACCACCCCTCTCGAGTGGCCGGGTTCATCATCCTGACTGGTATCTTCATGGCCTTGGGGGAGGTTGGCCCCGGCGACAACATCGGCCTCTTCGCGTCCAAACTCTCCTCCACCCCGATCCGTGGACAGTTCTACGGCATTGCAGCGGCGTGGGGGAAAGTCGGGGCCTTTGTCGGCACGTACGTGTTTCCGCTGTTGATCGATGCTGCCGGCAGCGACACGGTCAAGCAGGGGCAATATCCCTTTTGGGTCAGCAGCTCTCTGTGCATCTTCAGCGCGGTGGTGGCGTTTGTGGGATTGCCGAATGTTGGCCAGGGCATGATCGAGGAGGAGGACGAGAGGTTCAAGCGCTACTTGGAGGAGCACGGATACGACACGAGCAGTTTGGGAACCAAGAAGTTTAGGGAAGAGACAGTTGGGGCACTGTAGCTGGGTCGAGACGGGCTGCTTTGTTTGGAGGGGTTGGAGAACAGCAGCAGCCGGGAAGGAGATATATGGAATACGTTACCTTGTCCACACCAGTGAGAGCGGTTCTCGATGATGAATTGCCCAGGGGTCAATTTAATGCACAATAATACCGTCCTCTTCATGAGTGGAGGAAAACAACAAGTAGTACCTCTCATACTCGTCCGGCATCTCCAAAACAGGACGCAATTTGCCCCCGGAGCGATATAATATCGAAGACGAGACCCACGCTCACGAGTGATTACCTTGTCCTTATTCCGCAAGCGTTGACTTCTTGATGGGATAGCCAGTACTGTTGAGCTGACTCAGACTGACCTCTCTCGTACGTTTATGTATGTGTGTGTGCGCGTGTGAGACTCTGCTGGGATCCTGCGGGATTGGAGAACACAGCAACATATTACCGTCTGGCGAGCTGGGTGCCATCTATGGACTACCTAGGTATTATTCCTGGTTCCAACAAGAAACGAGGTGGACCGCATACGTCATAAGGGCACGCGAAGCTGGGCTGATCGGCGGGCAATCCACCGAGACGAGGCCCTGCATACGAGACTTAAACCGTCCCCCGATCAGTGTTGGTCTGCAGATGGGGGGACAATACCTGTGATGGGGACGGAGACGGCGACAGCGAGCCACAAGGAAGAGGAGAGAGGGAAGGATGAGGAGGAACAAGGATCTTCAGGCGTCCCGTCCCGCTGCTGTCGCGTTCTCTCTGGCCTGGAAATCTACGTAAGTCTCTATCGAGCACGTACGACATAAAAAGGGCACTAGGTTTATATATCATGCACTTACCTGGGTATGTATGTACGCTCTTATATGTGGAAACCACAAAACGCAACCCGTCTCGAGCGTCAGCGCACAGAAAGTAGGAACCACCTCGCAAAGAAGCCCACACTTACCCACCCACTCCTCCCTCATCTCTTAGGCGCCCCAGTTGCCTGATCCTTTAGGAGCGCCTGTGGTGATGCGACTATATAAAAGCCTGTGAGCGAGTTTGATCTGACCCCCCAACCAACGACGGGGACTTGCTCGACGCCAATATCTGCTCAAAATACACGCATTTGACTGGGGTCCAGGAACGAGAACAAGCATAAGCATCGCTTTGAAACCAAAAGTCACAGTTACCTCTGGAAAAGGACAGTCCCTTTCTCTACAGAATTCTCTTGGAACAGCGTGAGTGTGAAGAATCACTATGTCGACGACTACCACGACCACCACTCAGGCCCATCCTTCGTACTCCGTTGCGCTCGAGGGCAAGGACAAGGACACGCTGACCGCCTCATTCAACTACTGGGGCAGCACTTCGGCGCCTCAAGAGTCGGAGATCCAACTCATCTTCACAGGCTCGTCGACCGAGCTGCAGCGCGTGCAATGTCCCGTCAGCGATATGCGCGCGGCGGGCCTGTCGACCTTTAACCTCTCTACGCACGGTTTCCAAGTCCTGCGGCACTCGTCGAACCTGCTGCCGCCGCAGCGCGCCAGCGTCCCGGACTTCCACGACACGGACCTGGTCAACGGCAGCTACTGGCCGGAGCTCGCGTCGATGCTGAAAACGCAACTAGGCGTCCGCTGCGCCGCGGCCATCAACACCACCGTCAGGGACATGGCGCAGAAGGCGCCCGACAACAACAACAAGACTGATGACGGGTCGTTCGACCCCAAGAACCCGCGGCCGGCAAAGCGGAGCCTGCAGCCCTTCTTCATCGTGCACGGCGATTACACGGCAGCCGGGGCACGGGCGCAGATGCGCGCCGTCGCGCCGACGTTCTTCGCGGACAACCACAATGAAACCGGCACGACGGAGGCGGAGCGCGATGCCTTCTTTAACCTGCGCGCCGAGATCATCGCCGCCGAAGACGCCGCCATGCAACGCGAAGGTGTCACCGACCATTGGGAGTGGAGTGGGAACAATTACAACGGTCCGCGCTGGTCCATGCTCAGCGTGTGGCGGGCGCTGGAGCCTGTGCGCCGCGACCCCCTGGCCGTGCTGGACCCGCGCAGCCTGCAGCCCGGCGACGTCGAGACTCCCTACGTCGCCCTCCAGCGTGTGTACAAAGCGCGGCCGGGCTTCGAGCCCGAGTTCCGCAGCGAGAACATGATCGCCGTCGCGCCCGAAGACGGCTGCTCCCACCAATGGTACTACATCAGCGAGCAGCAACCGGACGAGGTCTATGCCCTGAAGCTGTTCGACAGCGAGGCGCATCGCAGTCGCAGTCGCGTCGCGCCGTGGGTCGCCCACAGTGCCTTCGCCCTGCCTGGCCAGGAGGACCAGCCGCTCCGGAGAAGCGTTGAGGTGCGCATGCTGGTCATTTGGTAGCGAATATACCCACCCACCCACCCAATGGTTCATGATGGATTAGGCCCCCTTTTGAGTTGACAGGGGGCTTTTCACGGTGGGCTCCTGTACAAGTCGCGGAAGTTGGCAGAAGCTGTGCCTTGTGCCTGGGAAGAAACCGGTGATTAGATTTTCAAGGATAGGAGGTGTATCATGATTCACGATGAAAAGTCGCGTCGCGTCGAGTCATCTTGACATTTGTGGGATACGAAGCCTTAATATAGATCTTCATGTTGATTTCAACTCGCTGCCTTTCTAAACTCTGATCTTTTGTACGCGTCGACATCTAGCGACCACGTTCACTAAATAGCCACGGCTCCCCCTCCCCATCACAAGCTCTGATGGCTCATGCTCTACACCGGAGCCACAATCTCGACGCTCTTCTCAGTCGCCGCGCCCTTCTCCGCCGTCACGACACCGTTACTCCCCCCCTCCTTATGCACGACCGTGAACCCCTTCCAGTCGCCCAAGGTGGCGCGACACTGGCCCTCATACATCTGAATGCCGCCCGGGTGGGTCAAGATCTGGACCTTTTTGCCGGGGATGTTGGCGCCGTTCCACCAGCTGTTTGTGAGCGGGAACAGGGTGTGCTTGTTCATGGCGTCGATCATGGCGTCCCACTCGTCCTCGGCGTCGGGGTTGGGCTCGATCGTCGACGCGCCTTCCTTCTCCAGCTTCTGGATCGCCGACACGATGAAGTCGCTTTGGGCTTCGATGATGGTGGGGCCGTTGGAGAGCGCCGTCGGTGCTGGTTATCATAAACGTTAGCTTTTTGGGTAAAGGGTCCGGAAAGAGGGGGGGCGGTTACCGTGAGGAGTGTAGACCATGAAGACATTGGGGAAGCCGTTGAATGTCATCCCCAAATAGGTCCGGATACCGTCTTTCCAGACATCCTTGATGTCGACGCCGTCCTTGTTTTTTAATCCCATCTGCGTCAACCTAAGTCTCGGGTCAGTGATGATCTGGGCACAAACCGCTACAAAGACTTACGATCCAGAAAATGAATCGAACCCCGTGGCAAGGACCACCACGTCGAAATCCAGCTGCGTGCCGTCCTCCATCAACATGCCCGTGGCATTGAAAGTTTTGAGCGGGTTCTGATTCATATTGACGATGTCGACATTCGGCCGGTCGAGCATCTCGTAGTAGTCCTGCTCTAGGGGGCATCTCTTGGTGCCGAAATAATAAGGCGCCTCGACGGGGACCATCAACTCCTGCTTCCTCGGGTCCTTGATCCTCTGCCTGATCTTCTTCGCCCAGAAATTGTACACCTTCTGGTTGGATTCCTTGCTCAGGACGACGTCGTTGTAATTCACCATCAGGTAGTTGAAGCCTCCTCGCTGCCAGATGTCTTCAAAGTGCCGTTCGCGCTCTTCGTCAGACACGTCAAACACGCCGCACGGCTCGGTCGTGCCTGGGAACCCGGCTCTCGACTGGCGGCCTTCGCGGAACAAGGCCTGGAAATATGACTTCCACCCTCTTTGTTCTTCCGGGCTGATGGGCCGTTGACCCATGGGCAAGCACAGACTCGGCCGTCGCATGAAGACGGTCAGCTGGTCTGCTTCCTTGGCCAATTCCTGCACGACTTGCACGGCGGTGGCGCCGGCTCCGATAATTCCCACTTTCTTTCCCTTCACGCTCATGTCCTCTGGCCAGAAGCCGGTGTGGTGTAGGGTGCCCTTGTAGGTCGTCAGGCCTGGGAAATCCGGGATGTGTCGACGGTGCAGCAAGCCAGTGCATAGAATCAAGTACTTGCTCTGTGCGATATGGCCCTGTTCGGTCTTGACCGTCCACGTCTCGTCGCTCTTGCTCCATCGAGCATCGACTACGTGGGCATTGAACTGCACGTCCTTACGTAAGTTGAGGACCTTGTCGACATGTGCACAATATGCACGTATCTCCTTGTGACCGGGGAACTTTTCGCTGAACTCCCAGTCGCGGTATACCTCAGGGATGTTCAATTGATAGTAGGGCCACTCGGAGTCCACCCGGGCTCCAGGGTAGCGGTTCCAGTACCAGACGCCGCCAAAATCGCCCCCAGACTCAAAGACCTTTGCGTTCAATCCTGCCTTGCGGAGACGATATAGCATAGATATGCCACTGAAGCCGGCTCCGACGACAAGGACATCGCAGTGGACAATAGCGCCCATCGATGGGTTTGTATCCGTCATCTTGATTGGGGAGCAACGAAGAGAGTATTGGAAAGTCAACAGGGGGTCTTTCAGCAAGAAGGAAGAAGGAGTTCCTCTTATGGTAACCCAAGGGGAGGCCTTGCCACACTCTTTATCCCCGCGGGACATACCTTCAGGTGCCGCAACCTAAGGACCCGTCCCCAGTCCATTGCCTGGTATCTCTGATTTGCTGCCGGAGATCCATCCTCTGCCAAGATCAGCTGACAGCGTGCAAGTTTGGCCTTCTCCGCCAGTCTATTGGTACAAGCTGGCGATGACAGATGAGAGCGGAGTGAGGGGTCTGAACGGGACTTAGCCGGGGAGGTCTTGTTTGATGCTTCTGCCGGCTACAACGATTGCCGAGGTCTGAGAAGATGGCCGAAGGCTTGCTCAGATGCAGATCTAGAGAGCAACTATGCCTGGTGACCAGAAAATGTAGCATTCCTGGTCGACTTTCCAGCTGGACGTTCTTCAATTTCGCGTAGCGAGATAACAGGGGATTGTACGACATGGCCTAGTGCCTCCGTGAGGCGGTCAGGAATGTTGCTAGGGACAGGTGTGCCCCACGAACTGCCTGAGCCCGTGGGGCCAGCAAGGCTGTGGCGGCACTAGGATCGACGTGGGCTGACATACAATGCATAATAGAAACCGCTCCTCAGCTCGATTCATTTTATGCCAAGTCTGCATGAGACCCAAGAGAATCATCTGCGGCGACTTCGGCAATTGTGCCTCGCCATTCTTTGAATTTTCTCGCGGGTAATCGATGCTCGAACATGGTATCGATCTCTGCGGCAGTGCGTTCCTTCATTTCTGGGACAAAGAGCCAGGTCAGCACCGACGCTATACCCGAGAATCCCGCGATGATGAACCCCGCCTTGGCCCTGAGGTCACCCTGGTCGACGTTGTACACATAAGGGAGACTGATCCCAAAGGCTCCCTGTGCTAGAGCGCCTGAGAACCAGCCGATGCCTTGTGTCTTTGCACGAAGTCGAAGGGACGAGGTTTCGGCACTGACCACGACCGAGACGGGCCAAATTGCAACCCCTACGGCCACGACTACTACCATCATGGTGACTGCCGTGTACCTGCACAGAGATCAGCAGGTCGGTCCGCCCCAACAGGAGGATTGCATACCATATCACGACAACACCATCAAAACACCCGGCAATCCCCATGCCCAGCCAGAGGACTGTGCTGACAATCAACGACGCCATGCCGAGGACTCGCCGACCAATCTTTGTGACGGCCCACATGCTGACAATATTGGCGAGTAGCCCAAGGCCAACACCAAGCTGAAGGAATAGTAGAGCATTCTTTGCACTCATGCCGACGATTTGGATGAAATAGGTGGAATCACCGAGCAAGGAGAATCCAAAAAGCATAGGCAGCACGTTGGCGAAGATGACAATCAGCGTGCGCCGTCTATTCGTGCCTTGGAAGCATTCCATATATGTTACTTGACGATGTCTGGCCTGCTCTTCCTCTTTCTGCAACGAGAACATGAGGTCGTCGATGTTCTTCTGCGTGTCGGTTCTCGAACTGTCAAGCCGTTTTTGAGCTTTGAATGCCTGGTCATATTTTCTCTTACGAAGCAGGTAAGTTGGACTTTCTGGCACCAGCAGAGCCAGGATCAAAGGAACAGCGGAAAATGGCCATTGCGCAATCATTGGGGTGGTGTAGGGTTGGTTATGTGGATATTTCAAGGATGCAGAGACGACGACTGCGCCAATCAGTTGCCCGACCAAGGTGAAGACTGGAAAGAAGGCCATGACTGATCCTCTCAATTTTGGTGGCAGGATTTCAGAGAGATAGGTCTGTGTGGAACATAGAAGTGTTCCAACAGCCACCCCCTGAACAAATTTGCCGGCGAGAAAGGTGCCCCTCCGGGAGTCCAATGCATCGAGGAAATGCGAGCAATATATGATGGCTACTCCCACGGCTGACAAGAGGCTTCCCAGAGCAAGTGCCGGACGCCTGCCAACACGGTCTTGGAGCCAGCCTGCGACAACACTGCCAGTCATAGTACCAAGGGTGCCGATAGCAGTCCAAAGTCCCATCCATGTCGACGGGATGATGTAGCGGTTGTTGAAATGTCGGCCGTAGTCTTCCCTGAGTTCGATTCTGTTAGTCCTGGGGACGATACAGGTACCAGGGACGGGCAAGCTCACTGAAACGCTGGTATGGCCGAGAGATTTCCTACTATCGACGTGTCAAACCCATTGAGCAAAATGGCTGAGGCCAAACCCAAGGAATATCCCACGACTTTTGGCCATTTCCTGATGGACTTCCACAGTGTCGGCTCGTCGTCCACCGACTGCTCAGCTGTCTGCAGTGAGAGGTCGAGGCTTGGAGTCGCAATGGAAGAGGACGGCCCCTTGCCGGCCATGTCGTCTCAGTCTGTGGAATGCACGTCGTGGAAAAGTGGAGTATTCACTGGATCTTGCGAGCACCGACATGCTTCTTATAATCCTAGACTGAACTCCAACCCTGCAGTGTGATGGCTGCGCTACCCTGTGCCAACCTCGGCGACGAGGGCAAACCAACAAAGACCGAAGTCTTTGGGGGACCATATTGAAGCTTGTCCAACACAACCGGACTTTCGATTAAAGATTAAGTCAGGCGAGTGAATGGTTAGCCTTTGGGAAGGTGCATGTTAGACAGTTCCAGGTCTCGATGCAGGTGGTGGTGGTTTCCTATCAAGTTCGTTTCGTTTGGCCACCAATCAACTTCCCTTGCCATAAGTTGGTAGCACACGTGGAACCTCTGGTTTATCCGCAATGACAAGACTGTCTAAGTGGTGCTATAACTATTACCTACTGGTTGGTAGCGTAGATCCGACCACCAGATGGCATCGTGAGGACCTGACTGACGCCTTGGCGCAGCGTTAATGCTTGCCAGACGCCAAGCACCCAATAATCCAAAACCCTTGACCTCTTTGGCGCGTGAATTGATCTTCTTGTCGTCTTCTTACTTTTTGATCCCTTTCCCACATCTGAAACAAGCCTACCACCTTGAGCGTTTGACACGATGACTGAAATCAGAAGACAGATGGCACCAACAGTGCCTCGAGATCAGGTCAGGCTCGCTGCTGGTGCTACGGAGAACTAACTTGTGCACCCACAGCAAACACATGTACACAACTGGCCACGCATCCTACCGCGAGACTCACAGCTTTAATGCTTGTCTTGATCTTCGTCATAGTGTCCCGACGGATCATCCTTCAATGACGGGTCCAGAACAACGCGCGGATCGTCACTTTCCACCCACCCACAGAATGGCTGGCTCAGCTTGTAACCCATGAGCTGTTGGATATGAACCGGCATCTTAAGCACCACCTCCCGTGGAATGGCCAGGTATTCTGGAACTACATGTTAGCTCGTGTCACAGATTTGGCCTATTCGGAATCGACGATATCGTGAAAAGAGAAGGACACTCACGGTTCTCTTCCTGCCGCAGCCAGCCTTTGGTCATGAAGCAACTAAACTCATTAGGTCTTTCTCTGTCGTGCGAGTGGCGCAGTGGCCTTACCTGAAAAGCAAACGTTCTTGATCTGTCGTCTTGTTGGCAGAGCCACCGTGATAACATGAGCTCAACATCATAAAGGCATCCTGCGCACACCATCAGTGTCATTGGTGTTGATATGGCAACGAGACTTACCCCTGGCTCCAACTCTGCGTGCACAGCAAGTTCCTCCTGGGGTGGTCGGTCCTTGGACCAAAGATGACTGCCGGGTATAAATCTTGTCGCACCATTTTCTCGAGTGGCAGGTTTGCCCGCAATGAACCAGCCAATGCCAACATCTCGGTCATAATCGTCAGGATATACCGCCACTTCTTTCTCGTTAGTCTGATGACACCAACTGTCCCTGTGCAATGGTTGATCCCATGCTCCTGGTCCGATGGAGAAGCAAATCGAATTGTTGAGTTGAGGATCCGACGTCGCGAAGATTTTCTTTTGCCCACTCCAATACCAATTCTTGGTTGTCAGGAACTCCTTGCACACGGCCTGATAAAGCGGATGATTGATGATATGCTCGGCGCAGATTGGGCTTTTGCCAATCATGCCCTCAACCCTCCGAGTTTGGATCGGAAAGAAGTCTCCCTCCCACACAACATCCGCTTCGATATGTGGCCGCAACTCTCTTTCCACCTGGGCAAGGATAGCCTTATCAACGGCCGCTTTGACCCTGCATCCACCACTCAGTTTCAGCGCTTTGATGACATCTGCCGGATCGGCATCAGCCTCGAAGGTGAGGACGGGAGGAAGACTTTCCGCCTTGATTGGCATAAAAGTCCTTTCCGTAGCGGTGGTTGTGACTGTTGTTGTTGTTGCCATTTTCCGTTGTTACTTACTAGGCTCTCTAGCTCATCTCCATACCCTCACAGGCCCGTATATTATAAACTGCATTCCCCTACTGACTTTCCTACCAAAACGGGGAATTGTGGCTGTCCAGGATCCTTATCTCAGAGGCCAGTTCGAGTCGGTCATCTCCACAAACTCAGTTGCCCAATTGGGCGTTATCGTTCTTGGCCATCTTTCCTAAGCTCGAAAGTTTAGCCAGACCTCGAGCTGGACCACTGACCAGCCGAGGCTGTGGCATGGCGTATCTCGTCAACCTATCGCGAGAGTCAGGACTTCCAGGATTTATCTTTCATTCCCAGAGAGGCAATCGAGGCCATCATTAGCTTATCACGCCGCCGTGCACGCTCGTAGGAACGAGCATATACATATTATGGAGGGAGAGCAACTGTTCCGCGAGCGGCGACACCTCTTCCAATTCTCTCGAGCCAGACTTCCTAGAGTGCCTCAGGATGGCGACTTCCTCAACCGCAGCGGACCGCAAAAATGCTCAGATCGACATTGATGACCTCGAGTTGCAGGCTCAGGGATATACCCGGGCTATGCCGCGACGATTCTCTCTCCTCTCACTCATATCGATGTCTTATGCCCTCCTCGCAACCTGGAATGGCTTTGGCAGTGCTTTCGGTACCGGCTTTATCGAGGTGTCCTCTGCAGGTTCCATCTGGACTCTTACCCTCGCAGGGGCCATGACTGCAGTCACAGGAATCGGCATGGCCGAATTGTCCAGCGCGTACCCTGTTGCTGGCGCTCAATACTATTGGTCTTTTGTTGTCTCCACCCCTGAATGGGCACCATTTGCTTCATACATGTAAGGCGAGGACAATGCCTGTGTTAACCCTCGCTAACAATGCCAGATCTGCGGGAATCAGCACGTTAGGATGGTGGCTAGGCCTCGCCAGCGTGACAAACTTCATCGCGGCAATGATCACTGGAATTGCTGTTCTCAACAATCCAGACTATGTTATACAAAGGTGGCATATCTGGTTGGTATTTGTGGCAGTTACCTGGTTAGCTGTTGCACTGAATGTGTTTGCGACAAAATGGCTTCCTATGTGGAACAAATTTATTCGTACGCCTCTCTCCTGGAATTGCCGAAGTATTCACTGACGTGCAGAATAGTTTACTTCTCAGTAACGACCCTAGGAGTTACAATGATCACTATTCTGGCGTGCGCCGCGCCCAACTTTCAATCCGCCAAATTTGTCTTCACGGATACCACCAATTCCACTGGCTGGAGTAACGACGGTCTCGCCTTCCTATTTGGGTTAGTGAACGCTTTATATGGCTTCCTTGGAGTAGATGCGGGCGCCCACCTGTAAGTCAAGACGCCTGTCACTCAATTAGACTCGCTGTCACCCCTGGGTGGCTTAACGACAACTATTGACTGCTATCCGCAGGTGCGAAGAGATCCCGAATCCCACTATCAACGTACCGAAAGTCATTGTGAGGAACTTACCCGAGCACGAGGAGAACGTTCACTGACAATGCCAGATGTATCCCGTGTTGATGGGATTTGTCACTTGTGAGTTATTCACACACGGCACTGAACCATGGTGTTGACATGATTCAGCTTTTCCATTTGCCATCTCGCTGTCCTTTGTGATCACCGACTTTGACAGTGTCATCTCCACTCCCACCGGCCTTCCTCTTATCGAAGTCTACTATCAAGCCACAGGCAGCAAGGCCGGCACTACAGTCCTCATGTTGGCCTTTGCGCTCTGCTTTTTCGGTTGTGCCGCTGCCAACATCACCAGTGCAAGTCGCCAAATGTGGTCAGCATCAAGGGACAACTGTTTCCCTCTTTCTAGGTACTGGAAGCAGGTTCACCCGAGATGGCAGATGCCGCTGAACGCAGCATGCTTACAAGCAACACTTGTTTCGGTGGGTCATGAGCCGACAAGCAAGTCCCCCCTTACTGACTAGAATCCAGCTGTACGGCTTGATCTTCCTGGGCTCGTCGGCCGCATTCTCTTCCATGGTTGGAGCTTGCATCGTCTTTATGACAACATCATATGTAATCCCTCAAGGAATTCTGGCATGGCGTGGGCGCGACAAAGTCCTCCCTCCCAGGGCATTGAACTTGGGGAAATTTGGGCTTCCCATGAACGTGCTTTCTTGTGTCTGGGTGGTCTTCATCGACATCATCTACTGCATTCCCATTTCGTACCCAGTCACACTCGAGAATATGAATTGGATCAGGTAAGTGGCAACGCCACTTAGTAGTAAGGCTGCTGACGAGACGCTAGCGTGGTTACTGTTGGTTTGGTCTCGTTCCTTCTAGTCGCTTGGTTCACAAGCCAGCGATATGTGTTCAAAGGGCCGAATATCAACTTCGAACTTCTTCAGGCCGCGCGCCATGATGAGCTTCTGGGTCATCGAACAATTGAAGGGATTGCAGTTGGAGATGAAAATGAGATCCTTGAAGCACTTAGACAGCGCTCGATCTCCGAGGCCAAGAAGGCATAGGAGGGTATACTACGAGTTGTACCGAGTAGATCAGTACTTAGGCCGAAGATAGAGCTGGTTTGGCGACGAAATAATTTTGGCCGCCATTTGTAAGACTTGGATATCTCATGCAGAAACAGTTTATCCCCTTCTTTGTCTGGTCCGACCTCGACAGTTTCATCTTTATATGTATAATGTGCGGGTTACGGCTGCCGTCTAGGTGTCTGGGCTGAGTGGGGCAGCAGCTATGAGAGGGAAACACGTCGCCAGAATAAGGTTGCTTGATTCAATGTGCAGAACCCCTTCTCCTCCTCTTCCTTTTCATATATCTTCAACAACCGGTAGCTTTGTCTTTTAGTGCCCAAAGAAGACCCATGAGACCTTTATTCTCTATTCAATATATTCAAGAGAAGTACAACGGTTGACGCTGCAGGCAAGCATTCCATTATGACAACCACCTTATCTCCTTATCAGCAATTGTCCGTGACAAAGACACGTCGAACCAACTCTCTGGCCTTTGCAAAATCCGACTGTCATAATTGCGAGTCAAATGGCTTACATTGCGATAGACAAAGGCCGCGATGCACGACGTGCCAACAATCTGGACAATTGTGCCAGGGTTACTCCATGCAATTGACATGGCACAGTAACCACTCCACCGCTGATAAGCCGCCCAAAGTGCAGGCGGCCCTCTCCCAAGCGAGGCGCGGCTCAGCAGCATCGTCTTCTGTCGAAGGTGACGTGCCTCATAGCACTCAAAGTGCTCATGGCGAGGGATCTGCTTCCGCTCATCCTCGGCAATACTTGTTCGTTGCTGGACGACCAGCGAAAAGACGCAAGCGCCAACATGTTCTAGGGAGCACTACCGCAAGAAATGCCTCTTTCGTTAGCAAAGGTACACCACACCTTGACGAGTCGAAGCCATCTCAAGTGCCAGCAGATACATACCCAGTCCCTCTGGTGTCTACAAATTTCGGTGTTGTCCAGACACAGGTCGAGTTGTGTCCTGCACAATTACCGCCTCCTCCTGATGCTACGTGGCTACATGGACAATTGGACCCGGACATGATAACGGAAGTTGAGGCTGTGGGCACGCCTGACAGTGAGAGTCTAGAACAGTGTCTGCAAATCCAGCATTCTCAGGATTCACCGGCGGCATGGAGCCCGACTTCGTCAGAGAGTCTCAACGGATCCTCGTCCTACCTGACGGAATCCGAATATACAAGCCAAACCAGTCTCTCGTACATCCCCCAATTTTGCTTTCCAACACTGCACGACAAGTTTTCCGGCCTTCTTGACATGTGTATGTTTCAAGTCCATGTCCCATTCTGGCAGTATCCAGGACTTCGCTGACTGTTATCGTTCCAGATGATCAAGAATTCTGCAATTATCCAATCACTTCCGACTTCAGCATCAACCCGTACCGCTACAGACCTGAAACTACCAAAGGCTCTCAGCATTTGCTGCACGCCATTATGGCGATTTCCTGCCACTTTCGGCTGCGGTCACCCTCTCAAGCCTCCCCGCCTGTGGAGACACTGAGCCACAAAGGCGCGGCAATGGTACTATACCAAGGGGCGTTTGCAGGGGCTGGCATCTACAATAATGCTTTGAGTTTACTCGACACAGCACTTGCACTCTGGCAACTTGAGGTACGTGCTCAACCCGGGATAAGCTTGTTTAACTCTAATCTGATGTTCATGGAAAAGGCCACCATCTCATCCCTCAACATATGGAGATCCCATTTGACCGACGCATATCATCTTCTGGAGCTCTATGGTGGAGTGAAAAAGTGGTCGACGAGCAGGAAAGCGAACGTCCAGGTCTCAATGATCCTTTGGTAAGCCTGGACAGCCCACACGCTTCCCCAAAATCTCGGGTCTGACTAGTCAAGGTGGGACGCCATGGTATCCCTCTTAGCACGAACAGAATGTGTCTTGCCCTACGCGTACCTCGAGACAGTCCTCAAAACCGAAGGGCGCCAGCCTTGGACATTCTATCAGCTGAACGGCTGCCCGCGCCAACTATTTGTTCCGATGACACAGCTCGCCAACCTCTCCGGCCGCAAATGGAGCAAGACGGCCTCAGTGTTGGTAAAGGAGATCGAGCAGTCAATCACTAACTACATCTATCCTGGCCGAGGTCTTGAGTGTGACTCGGACGACGAAGAAGCTATGCATACTGAACGTGACCGCTATCATTGTTGTGAGGGATTCCGGTACGCCTTGTTAATCTATATCCTCAGGATATTCCCCTGGCCAAGAACCGACTCCCCAGCACAGGTGGGCGCACGCATTTCGTTCCTTTCACGAGTCTGCCTCGACCACGTGGCGGCATGCCGACCGACTTCGTTCATCCAGAAGCAGCTCCTATTTGCTGTCTTCATAGCCGGGTCAGAGACACACAACACAGCACACCGTGCGCTGGTGGAAGATTACTGTCGGCGGTGGTACGAAAAGTTTGGGTACCAGATGTACATGACCGTGCTGGATGTCATGGGGGCTGTTTGGGCCAAACGGGATGCGGGAGAACAAGACTTTTGGTGGGGAGAAGAACTTGACGCGCGACGAGCGAAAGAGGGGGATTTTGTACAGTTTTGCTTCGGGTGATTCTGGGGACCCGATGGTCTCCGCTCATTCCATCGCTCGCTCGAGAGCTTCTGGCTCAGCTGAGCTTGGTTCATCCAACAAATTCAAGGGCTGCACATTGGACGAGCTTCCACCAAGGACGCCAACAAAACCGTCTCCCTTCCGACTTCATAACCGAGCCTTCACCAGTACCACATTCGCCTTATGTGGAACCCCCGTCAGGCATTACTTCATCAGACCCTTCCCGTCAGCAGAGACGCTCGTCGCGTACCCCGTCGCAAAGTCTCTGACATGACACCCGGCGGCCTCGGCCTCCCGTCTCGCGCGTGCATTATCCATCGTAACTCTCGCACATTTTGCCGACCTGTCGGATTCTCGCGACGCTCTCTCCCGATCACGCTGCTCACGCTCCTCGGCCATGGCGTACAGAAGGTCCAAGAGGTCTTGGACACTGGGGTCGCCTGGACGCGAGCCACCGTAAACCGGGCGCGACGACGACCCAGCGTCGGACCCAGTGTCGTCGTCGTTGTTGTTGTTGTTGCGGGACATTCTTGGACGGCAGATCTTGAAATTGTGTTTTGATGACGACGACGTGGATCTGAGAATCTGCGAGAGCCAGCACATGTTAGGATCGACAGATTGGGGGTGGAAGAGTCTTGCTTGTCTCCGGACTGCTGCGCAGCGGTTCTGGGTGAGCAATGTGGGAACGAAACAGGACGGAGGAGCTGTTCTGACGCACCTTGTGGTGTTGTGCACTTTTTTCGAGAGAGTGGCTTTGATGCTGTGTCGCCAACTGCTTGGAGGACAAAGCACCTGGAGATGTTGATTCACTCTGCTTGTATGCGCACAGGCAGAAGAGTGACGGCGAAGCACATGTCAAGGGTGAACAACAACAAAGAGGTGCGGTATCCTTGTGTCCTCCGCCAGGCCAATGATCTGGAACGATCAAAGACATGGATAAGTGCTCTCTCTCTTATCGACACGTGTGTGAGTGGCAGTTGAATCATCCAGCCTTCCCTTCTTGATATGTATATACCGCGTGAGTGCAAAAAAGGCATCGCTGCACCTGTAGTGGCCCTGGCACGAGGACGAGGGTTCTGAGTGTGAAAGCGATGTACGGAGTGGTATTTATTCTTTGTGCAGCCGCCGCGAGAGGATGGAGTGCCGGTACCGTCATCGATCACCACCTACAGTCGTTGGAGTGAAGTAGTGACACCGGACAAGGCTGAGCCTGGCACGCCTGGGAGCCTTGCCGCGGTACTTCAAGGAGCGTGGTGGAGAGGGCGGGTCGCGAGTTCCTTTTTTAGGTCTAGTCTAGGTTTGGTTTGGCCTTCACTTCTAGCAAATCTAGACATTCTTTGTGAAGTACGCGTATCCGGACTGTTCATCAGCTGCCACTCTCGATGGATGCAGACGACTTAGTCACTAGTCGTGCCATGGACCCGCATCAACTCTTGCTGCGGCAGTACACGTGTGGTCATACGGGCATACAGGCAGACAAGGTACGGGAAATCCGCGGGAGCTAGAAGACGAAGAGTGAAGAGCTGATCAAGCGACTGGGGGCACATATTCACCTGATGAACCCCATGTGCGGAAAATCAGATTTATAACCATCTGACCATTCATCAGACTGGAAAATCGCTTCCCTCGCAGAAGCACGGACAATTCATTAACGGAGCGAACCGAATGCTGCGAAAAGAACGCTTTTTTTTTGTTGGAATGGGTACTTTTGAGTCTATAGATGAATCATTTTCGGAGTCACGATGAGTGAGTACCTCGTATACATGTAGTTATCACCAGGGGGTGTATCACGCCACAAGCCCCCTTCATGGGAAGGAAATGATTTGTCTCCGAATTGGCCCCGTTCGTACAGACCGCGGAGAGCAGTCACCCACCCCATTCCAGCTTGGACGGGTGGTCCTTTCTGTTTGGCATTTCTCATTCGACCTTCGTCGGTACCCTTGTATGACACCTTCGTGATGGACGGTTTTGCAGAAGTTCTGAAGGTGGAATAGTGTCTGTGCAGTTTCGCTTGTATTACATTCAGCTCAATCTGTCCCGACATGGCCCGGATTGCCTTGCCCCGTGTGTTGTGTGTGTGTGTGTGTGTGTGTGTGTGTGTGTGTGTGTTCATACGGCTCAAATGAGTCGCGTAGGCAGACTAGCTCGCTAGCAGCCTAGCTTAGAGATTTTGTCCCGTCCCAATACCAATCGTCAGTCTCCCCATCTTCATTGGAACGGCATGGACCATCTTCGTCTTCTCAAAAGCCTATCAAGCATCGTAAATGCCGGCCCTTCCTGCCAATTTCCATCATGGACTATATCCGCACACTCAGGGCCAATTGATCGCAGGAGAGCTCTCGCTGATTCTCCACCCTGTTTGTTTTGGACAGCTGCTCATTTGCAGTGGACATGACGGGGGATCCTGCTGCGACGCTGGAACAGTGTTTCTCAAACGTGGCATGCGCATTGGGGGTAGAGAGGCAGAAGGAGGAGACGCTGGCGGTGGCGTGTGTGTAATGATAGAAGTGAGCTCTCATGCGAAGCTGATCGTCCGGGCACTGAGTGTCAGAAAAAGGAGTATAGACCAGTCGAGACCACTCTCGACGACCTTATGGGTATTGTCGTCATCGCCGTTGATGCGGTGGCGAAAATCCTCGTCGTTCGTCGTTGTGAAAAGTCCGATGTCCCGATCACCCTGCAATCGCCGTTTCGGATAGCTTTGGGCAGTGTTGATCGATCGCCTTCCAGTGGATATCCAGTCCAGAGCCAGCAGCGACGCTAGTAGTCCATGTTCTCGATGCAGAACGAGATGGAGCTTTCTCACTCCCAGGCGTGACGTTGGACCACTGCATACCCCACTTCGAGACGACAAACCCCGTCGTGAAGCGCGTCGCTGTTTAAATCGTAGTTCCGAAAATTTTCGTACCCTTCGATTTCTGTCTTCGCTCTCACTCCTCACCGCTCCCACTTGAGCTCGCCCCGGAGCTAGAACCCGACGTTGAACTCGCCCTCGCACTTGAACTCGCCGCGCGCTTCCTCTCCTTTCCTTCCTTCTCCTCCCGAGCCTTGATCTTCTTCGCGGCCTTGTCAATGGCCTTCCTCCTCGTCGCACTCCACTTGAACACCTCTCCAGCATACCACAAGCGGTACGCCACGTCGTTGTTCGTCATGCCCGGTTTGACCGACTGGAAAGTGTAGACGGTTCCCAGCCCCGGGTCGACGGTTTCCTCAAGAACCATCTCCAGGCCCTTTTTGCGGAGTTGGGGATTGAGTGATTTCATTTGGGACGTGTTTCGTTTTCAGAAGCTGAACTAGGAGACGCACGGTAAACGGCGTGAAAGAATGTGGACGTCTATTATACCTCAATGGCAGAGCCTTCACGTGACCGGTAGAGTATCCGCGAGGTGCCGAGCTTGGGCCGAAGCCACAGAAAATTCTCGCTAGGGTCGAGACTGGCCAGGATCATGGCACCTGGTGTCCCTTTCGTGCGAGAAAACGCCACGGGCACAATTACAGAAGCAATCTAAATCGCATTGAGATGTATCTATCAACAATCAGCTGATATCCCTTGACTTCCGAGCCTGACGTACCAGGTGTATCAAAGCTATAATCTAATCTTCGCTCCCAACCCCTTTCCTTCATACCATACGTTTTCCTGAAACTTACCTATCCTCACGCCGACATCCGCCTTTGCGTCCAATTTCAGGGTGCCCCCGAGCGCATCCCGGATTGTGCCCAGTGCGTTACCACCCCATTCGACGGGTAGTCTTGGCGTTAGATTCTCTCCAGGCTCAATCGCAAACGGGTAATTCCATTCGATCGTTCCAACCTCTGAGTCGTTGTAAAAGGCAGAGGCTGCGATGCTGGTGACGTAAAAGGCAAGTGGTGAAACCAAAATGAAGGTTGCGGTCGAAGAAAAAATATGCATCTGCTCCCGTCAGCCAAATTTCGGAAATGTTAAGCGACGTACTGTTGCTTCTCTCAGAGGATGCGACACCATATGTGGAGCCGGAACTGTCATTTCCACGCCGGGATCAGGAAAATTCGGTATAGAGCCAGCATGGCTCTTGATGGTGAGACTCGTATTATATCCCGAGATATATTGAGAAAGCCATTCTCTTCCAATTTTACCAACTTCCCATGAAGCATTCGCCGTAAGGTCGTTGGAACCGGGCACGACATGTTGTGAATATGCCCATGCATAACCGACGCGGGTATCGTTGGCCCAGATACTGACATTGCAGTACGGAATCGTGGCCGAATAGTCGGTGGGATTCGTCACATTAACCCTTGCCTGCAGAGTTAATGAGGTTTCCGACGAGTCAACGACTTCCATACCCTTTATTTCCGGCATTTGAAAATCTCCAGCGCGTAGGGGCTTGATGAAGATTTGGCCCTTTGCTGGTATCCTTCGGACCACAAATTCTCCCAAGGCTGTATGAGTGTTGACGTCAACGGTTGCTTGCACTGAGAGCGAAGCCCCTTTTCCGAATATGAGCGCCTGGACTACCTTGGAGAACAGCGTCTGGTTTTTGATCTCAAGCGGCGCATCCTTGACAATGGACTGGACCAAAAGGTCGTCATCCACCTTCGTCGCATTCGCCGCTTGCCATTTGGAGAGGTCAAGGTTGCCGAGGAGCTCCCCTTGGTAGTAGACATCAGAGTCGGCTCTGACCTTATCAACATCCAAGTTGACGTTCATTTCGGCAGGGAGTCCGACCAAAACTTTGACGACCGCTGATATCTCCGGCCGTGAATCTGTCATGGGATCTGGCAGAGCAAAGTGAACATCTGCCAAAGAGAAATTCTTGATGAGATTGTCAAAAGGATGACCCGGAAGCGAGAATGGGACCAGGGTATCCTGCAACAGCTTTCCTATCCAATCTGGAGTGTTCTCGTCTTGTTGCCCACCACGGATATAGACAGTGGTATCCCGGCCAGCGAGATAGTCGGCCACCAGGCTGTCCAAGGGGGAGGATTTGGAGCCGGGACATACAGACGTCAGAGATGTAGGCAACTGCTTGACCAGGCCAATGACACTTGCGCTAATGTTTTGCTTTGGAAGGATATGGATGACTTCTGTCTTGGTTGTTCCGAATAGAAGGTAATTGTCTGAGCAGTCCGGGAGAAGAACGTCAAACGCCAACGATGGTACATCGAACTTGACGGGATATCGATTAAAGACAGAAACCATGGCCATAGCCTTGACGCCCTCAGGATGCCCAGGCATGCCATACTCGGCAAATCGGAGTTGTTGAATATCAAAGTTCGGAAGCGTTGGCACATCCTGACCCCTGAATTGCAGGGTTTGCGAAATGGTTTGTTTGCCCAACTCGATCAATCCGCTTTGTAAAGAGACACTTGCAATGGCATCGACAGTGATTTCATCCAGCTTTCGATCCATGAAATCTTTAGCAACTCGTCGGACCCCGTCAAGATCGCCCGGCTCCAGATCAGCAAAGAAGTCGAGATGGTTATATTGGCGATTTCGGATGTTGACGCGGACTGGAGGGATGGTGACTGTCCCTAACAGGACATTGTCGTACTCGGGCAGATAGACATTGACCTCTGATTCTCCAGTCTTGACTTCTTTGGCCAGCCAGGTCCCAAATTTGCCGAGATCCCTTGTTGCCTTGTTGCGGACTCTTGAAGCATCCATATAAAAGTCTCCTTGAACCCTAGCGCGAATGCCGAGAGAGGTAAAGGAATCGATGGAAAGCCTGGTGGGCTCGAAGACGACGGCTTCTTTCCCATATTCTTTGATTGTAGATGGCAGAGTGAGACCAAAGCATACTGCTACAACCACCAGGCATAGAATGGTCAAAGCAATGATGCTAGGCCATCTCGGCTGCTTTTTGGGTTTCGGAGACTCCAACGACTCGGGCGATGGAGGGTTTACGTCGCCATTGGGCTGGTCAGAGTAACTTGCTCGAGAGTTATCTTCAGCATCACCGAGGAGAGGGGTTCGTTCAGAGGGGGGCGGCGAGGTCTGCGGTGAGGCCATGATGAGCAAGCGGCGAGCTGCTCCTGGAGGCGATTCAACTCATGGATAGGGAGGAGAACAAGGATGGTGATTGAAGTGGTGAGAGGCGACGAAAGTGGTGACGAGCACGAAAGGTGAAACTCGGCATGACATTGTTTGACGCTCCGCGATTTGCAAGGAACAGGCTAGTCACCCACGGGCCACTACTACTAGCTATAGTCCCTACAGTAATAGTCCCTAAGGGTCCCTAAGGGTTTTACAATGTATGCTGCGCGGGGCGGAAACGCAGGTGGAAAGTCTCCCGACTTCTCACCACCATCTTCTATCTCAACTCCTGCAGTCTCGTAGCCAACTTCTTGATGTGGCCCGGTCTGGTCTTGCAGCATCCACCCACAAGGATCCCTTTCCATTTACCTCTGTCCTTCACCTCCTTGACAATGCTGTATACTTGCTGATCCCACCGCAGTTGGCCCTCGTCATCGCCTACCCACTGCTGCAACTTGGTATCGTACACCTTCTCGCCAGCGCCGTCGGGATAGATGACCAGTCGTGGAAGGTCAAGACCATGCATATCTGCGGCTGCTTCGAATCTCTTAATCAAACTGGCAACCTTGGAAACCTTTGTACAATTGATTCCGATTGCGTATGGACTTCGCTCTCCTTCCAGCACGGTCCTGACTAGCTCTTCCACGCCAGTCCCGTCAGGCAATTCCTCACGACTATGAGGGAAAACACACGAGATCCAATATTCTTTGTCGCGCACTCTCTGCATCACTCTCCTGGCTGCTCTTACTTCGTCGATCCTCGGCAAAGTCTCGATTGCGACCAGATCAACATCCTTCCACTCTTGGCTATCCACAAAGGTCAAGATCCGTTCGAGGTGGAAGCTGAGAAGATCGTCCTCAGTCATGTCAGGGTATTCTCCGGTGTATTCGGTGCTAGGAACCATCGTAGCACCGTATGCACCCAAGCTCAAGGCCACCAGGCCTGGTCGTCCATTGAACGCTTCTCGAGCAATCCTAACCGCGGAGAGCATATATCTCTTTGCGTCTTCCCGTTCAATGCCGTCTTCGTTTGTAGTTCGAGTATTCTTGAAGCCATGAAAGCTCGCTTGATAGGTGGCAGTAAGGATAATGTCTGCTCCAGCTTCTGCAAAATCGCGCTGGACCGTTTTGAGGGTCTCAACGCCGTCGACCAGAAGATGAGATGACCATAGTGGGGTTGTAGACGAGAATCTTATACCGTGTGCATCCTCGAGCGTCGTGCCCAGCCCGCCATCCAGCAGGAGGATTGGCTTATATAACAGAGGATTTGCCATATTGCTCAGATGGAAAGGGAGAATATAATAATAGTAGTACTCAATGTATTATCCTCGTTGGGTGAACTCTACCTAGTATTTCCCCCTCACGGGAGATCGACGAACCAAAAGCCTCAGACTGCGGAGCACGACGCCGCCGATGCTGCAATGTTTTTCTCTCGAGAGTGTGACTCGCAAAAAGAAAATTTTACTTTAGAAGTCAAACAAAGCCTTGTTCCCGCGGAGTCTTCGCAAACTTAGCATTGCTGGAAATGTATCCTACCTAGGTACCCTTCCACAGTGCCAGCATTGAACTCCCGACGTCATGGCAGCTCTGCGGCCCTTCCTACCCTCCCTGCGCCAATGTGGCCGTTCGCTGTCTACCTCTACAAAGCCCAGTCCCCGACACTTCCTGTCCATATCCGAGCTCACACCGACCGAGTTAAGCACCCTCGTGAATAACGCAACGACCTACAAATCTACCGCCCTTCAATCGACATGGCCCAAGCGCACCGCACTCTCCAACCGGACCATCGCAATGCTCTTCTCCAAACGCTCGACCCGCACCCGAATCTCAACAGAGGGAGCCGTGGTGGCGATGGGCGGGCATCCCATGTTCCTTGGCAAGGAGGATATACAACTCGGTGTGAACGAGTCGCTCTACGATAGTGCGGTGGTGATATCGAGCATGGTTGCAGGGATTGTGGCGCGAGTCGGTCCGCACGCAGACATTGCAAATCTCGCAAAGGACAGCTCGGTGCCAGTGATCAATGCGCTATGTGATACATATCATCCCATGCAAATCATCGCCGATTTTGCGACTCTGACACAGACTTTTTCCACGCCGGCGGAGAAATTAAAAGGGTTGAAGATCGCGTGGGTAGGAGACGCCAACAATGTATTATATGACATGTGCATCGGGGCCAGGAAACTGGGAATCGAAATGGCGGTGGCCTCACCCCAGGGCTACAAGATTCCCTCAAACATCAAAGAAGAAATTGAGGCTGCGGGACCCGGGACGCTTTTTGAAACAACTTCCCCAGAAGAAGCAGTCAAGAACGCAAACATCATAGTCACCGATACGTGGATCTCCATGGGCCAAGAGTCTGAGAAGCAGAAACGTCTGACGGCATTCGAGGGCTATCAAGTGACGGAAGAGATGGCCCGCAGAGGAGGGGCAGCGGAGGATTGGAAGTTCATGCACTGTCTCCCGCGGCATCCGGAGGAAGTTAGCGACGAGGTCATCTATGGGCCCAGATCGTTGGTTTTCCCGGAGGCGCAAAACCGACTCTGGTCGGCGATTGCCACGTTGGAGGCGTTTGTGGTGAACAAGGGAGAAGTCAAGACGGCGGAGCAGTAATAGATGTTAGCAAAGGTGCTTTCATGTGTCATATTGCATGGCCTAGCCTACGCCATCCGCAAGCTCAAGAGACCATGAATAATGATAATATATCATTCCAGGTCTACGAGGAAAAGGGACAGGGCAATACACCGAATGAACCACTTCCGCAAGGAGAATATCGGCCTGGATTATATACCAAGTATACCCAAATCAAAGCTTGTGATTGGACAGACTAGTTAAGAAGCACATGCCTCGGTCTCCAAACCACCAGAAACCTTCACACCACCAACACCGAAGACGACATCATCTGCTTCTCTCCTCCCAGTCACCAGTCCCACGAACCTGGAACACCACGCTGTCTCCTGACCGTCTTCTGCCGGCCACCCACCATAAGAGCCTCACACTCCGACTCCCCTGAAGAGTCTCATCCCAAGTCACAAGGAAGGGAAAAGGACCCTATGGAAGTCTGTCTCCCAACACGTCCTCTCCCGCTTTGTATCCCGACACACAAGCAACCCTCACCACCTTCACCTCGTCCTTCTCCTTCTTCTCCAATCGCACCTTGCCCTTTGTCAACATATACCAAAGATATTAATATTGACTATAAAATGCCTTCACAGTCCCCTTCCTCGCCATTGAGTCGCTCCTCGTCCTTTGCGCCAGGCCCGCACCGCCGTTCGCACCCAAACCTCCAACACCTGTCCTTGGCTCCCCTAACACCTAAATACCCAATCGACCCGGCCGACTACGCTGCCTACTTCAACCCCGAAACCTCGGAGCTACACACCTCCGCCTCCATCTCCCACGTCGCTAGCTTGCCTTCCCCGGGTGGTATCTTGTCGAGGAGCGGATCCGCCGCACCGTCGCGGGCGCAGTCACGCGCCAGTTCCCGGACGCGCCTGAACCAGAACCAGAAAAAGAAGAACCGATCCTTTGTGACGATTCAAGCCCCTCTACCTCTCACCGCTGAGGGGACGACGACGACGAGCGTTAGCGGCGTCGCTCCGCCTTCCGGAGCGCTGACGAGTGAAGGGCTCGGCCACAAATCCATCTCTCGTCTCTCTACCCTGACAAACCTCTCACCACAACAGACGCATAATCCCACAGAGTATTCAGGCCGATCCCTCCACAAATCCGATTCCTCGTGGTTCATCCAGACGGGGCTCACATTAACCGAAGGCTCGCGGGAATCAAAGGGCCAATCATGGATATTCAAGCGCGACTCTTCCACCTCGTTAGCAACACCAATCGATGAACGACCATCCATGTCTCTAAGATCCGGACGAGCGACACCAACCGCAAATCTCAGCCGACGAAGCAGCTTTCAGAGACGCAGCAAGCGCTCCTTGGCCATGACCCCCGTGCCCGCCACAACTCCCATGATAGAAATGGACACGCCCGGGCCAGATTGGGCGGACGAGCAGACCCAAGCGGAGATCGCGGCACAGATGGACGCCGATTTCGCCGATGAACTGGACGACACCGGCGATCCTTATGGCATGTTGGACTTCGAGGCTCAGTTCGACAGCGATGACGACGAGGACGAGGAGGAACTCCGGAAATCCATCAGCGGGTATAAACTGGGGAGATGGATGGACGGGCTCGTGGATGTTTTTCTCAGGTTGGAAGATGACTATTCAGTCGACCTTGAAGCTGCTGCAAAGCCGGCCTCGAAGACACAACCCGACCCTGCTGCTCCTTCTAATGCTCCTCCGCCAGCGAAAGACCCCGCCGACCACCCTGCCGGTGGTCCTACAGTACGGTTCGACGACTCAGTAGAACCGCCTCCAGAAACAAGACCCCGCGGTGTCTGGGACGACGTGGCTTGGTTCGGCCGCATGCTGGCGAGAACCGTGCGATCATAGCTTAGCTGAGTCAATGAACATAAAGCATTCGTCTCTTCTCTTCAACATGTACCACGCTCTGCTATAATTTCCGCTTTTGTCTGCTTCTTACATACCTAGATACGTCCTCCTGGTCCCATGGCTCCCTCTCGCAATGGTTCCCCTGTGCCAACGGGGACGACAATACAAACACACCGACTCCTCGCCCTCGTCGTTGATCAACACAATATACCTAGGTATGTTCCTCCTGTGAGCTCGGCGCAGGGCACGTTGCCGCACCTACGTAAGTACGTCTGTACGCCTTGCGCCTTTTCCCCTTTACTTGACCTCGACTCGTCCTGACGACCAGCTACTAGATCTGCCTTTTGGAGACGGTGGCAGGAAGGGAAGGCCGGATATGAAAAGATATATATGAAAGGAAAATCCACGGGGTGAACATTTGCATGGTGGAAAAGTGAAGAAAGCCAGCGAGGGAGGTCAGTGGAATTAATTGAGACTGAACCATTTCATTTGTTTGAAGCCAGCCCGAATCATGCATTGAACAAGTCCCGCGGAGAGTCAGACGCCTTCCTTCCCTTCTCACCACACGATTCCATGATCTTCATGTGACTGCTTTGGCTGAAGTTTCGTCCCAGCTCCGCCCCTGTACTTCGTTAACACCACTTATCTGCTTTTTCCAAAGCTGGCAGCATGTCCTATCCCAATGCAGCTGGTTGCGATCATCCACGAAGACGCTGATCTATTCCGAATCATCAATGACAGGTCCAATGCTGCAGACTCTCTTCACCGGCTGCTCGCTGAGAAATTCGACCTCATCCTCGTCATCGCCTACATCTTTCCTCTCTCTCTTTAGATCAGCAAGCTGGGCAAGGTTGATCTCCGCATTCTCCTTTTTGATCTTGATTCTCTTTGCTTCTTGTTCTGCCTGGAGGCTGGAGTGAGTAACCTGCTGTAATCGTTCGCTTTCATCTGGCAAACCTTGTATCTTCGAGCCATTTCTTTGAGCTCGTCTGGAGAGAGGGTCTCGATATCTCTCTCCTCCAATGGCTGTGGCGTTTGAGGTCTTTCGAGGATGCCAAGAGCTTTCAACGAGTCTGCTAAAATCAGTTCCGTCTGCTATCTCAATGTGATAGTCGTACCGTTGCCTCGGTATTTGAAAATGAAGACTGCATAGGGCTTGTCATCGACGTTGGCACCGTTCCACTTGCTCGACTCTTCGCTCGGTCGACGAGTGTCGAGACTGTTGAAAATTACCATTTGCCTCGGCCATTGCGGTATTCCCTACCAGGTTCTGAGATCAATTGCTTCGCCTTTGATGGCTTTCTCGGGAACTTGATTCTGACTGAGTCCTTTCCATACACGAGATGGCTGAGCAGTGAAGCCGCCCTGCTCCCGCCAGACCTCCACTTTAATAGTACCGAGATCCTTGTATTTTTCTCTGTCTTCTTGCCCGCAGGGCTTATCAGCTGCTAGGATTAGTACGGGTATATAACCACGGGTTTGCTAAGGACCGACATACTCGAGGCCAGGCTAGCCCAGCGAAACAGGTGACGAACTCGCTGGCCACTATTGGATAGTCCACTGGGACCCTCATAGGTGCGATTGAACACACCACCTTCTTTTCGGTACATATCTTTCGTGCAAACTCGCCCCCGAACGTATTTCCCGTCAACGAAGCACTTGAAATTCACAGCATTGGCTCTTCCAAAACGGAAGTTCTTCTTGACTCTATACCTGATCATGAAATTCGCATCGGGGATGCCTTGGATGTATTTCACTTGAGTATCATCAGACGCATCCTCCATGCCTTCACAAGTATCCTCGTTGAGAGGGCGATATTCTGGCAACTCTTTGCCGCCGCTGACGATGCTGACTTGGACCCTCTTGATGATCGCCATCTTGATGAGAGGAAAATTGTCGTTGAGCAAAGGAATCAGAAGAGGAGGGTGGTTGTGGATGCGGTTGGCGATGAGCTCGTCGAGGTGATGTAGAATACTTGGGAGAGACAATTCAACGACGTCAAGAACCACAAGTAGACAACAGTAAGGGACGAGTTCGTGATGTACCTGCAGTTACGAGGATGAAATAGCTGAACAAGGGAGAAAGATAAAGAGTGGAAGGCATCGCCGAGTGTGAGAAGGCGGAAGGCTCACTTCATTTCACGCTGAGACCCCAATACAGCATTGTAGTGTTCAGCAAGTGCAAGTGAAGGTCAGCTCAACCTGCAGAGAGATCAATGTGAAGATCCAGTTCGAAAGCGACGAAGAAGGAATCCCGGGTGAAGCAGGAGGAATCAATATGAGAAAGTCCGGGGGAGGAGGAAGGCTGAATCCACTCAACGCGCCAGTTGAGGGCGGACCGACGCGTGACGGTTTCCCGCAAGTCTGCGGCCCACAACATTCAGCCTCACCAGCCTCGTGGTCAGCCAACTGGCCGGCCCATCGTCTTCCCCATGACAACGACCACGACAACATCGTCACTTGACCGCCTTGATGACCCCATATATCTACCTAGGTACCATATAGTGAAATACAGCAAACGAGGTACAAATAACAAGGACGAGAACACATTCAACCTCTCTTCTTCTCCGCCCTCTTCCCTCCCTTCCATCACCTCCTCCACCTTCCTTTGCGTCCTTCCCCGACCATACCACGAACAATGCATTCCACTACCACCACCTACCTCATCCTCTCCCTCCTCCCCCTCTTACAACCAGCTGCCGCATGGGGCTCCCTAGGCCACCGCACGGTTGCATACCTCGCATCGACATATTTCACTCCCGAGTCCGTGCGGATGACGAACCACCTGCTCAACGGGCAAGACATCTCAGAAGCAGCACTTTTCCCAGATAAAGTGCGACACATGCCACAGTTTGCGTACACTCGGGGATGGCACTACATTGACGCGCAGGACTCGCCCCCCAGCCAGTGCGGGATCAACATGACGCGGGACTGCATCGCTTTGGACGGAGGGTGCGTGGTCAGCGCGATCGCCAACCACACTTCCCGCGTTGGTGATGCATCGCTACCGCACTACCTGCGCGGCCAGAGCCTGCGGTTCATGATGCACTTTTTCGGCGACGTGCACCAACCCTTGCACACTGAGGCCGAGGACCGCGGGGGAAACGAGTACATCGTGCGCTTTGACGGGCATCCCACGAACTTGCACAGTGTATGGGACACGCTGATTCCGAACAAGTACGCCGGCATGAGCCACGGCGATGACGAATTCGCCGCAGCGTGGCTGTGGGCGCAAAGACTCTCCGACAACGGGGATGAGCCGCTGGAGGGAGAATGCCTGCACGACGCGGCAGATTGTGCGCTGTCCTGGGCCGGCGAGGCGAACAGCTACGTCTGTTCCTACGTACTAGCTCACGACGTGCACAACCAGGACCTCGGCGGAAATTACTACGACGGCGCCATCCCCGTCACCAACGACCTAATCCAAAAGGCCGGAAGGAGATTGGCCGCCTGGATCAATTCCATTTCTGCAGACTACACGCCCAGCCATGCCAGCCATGCGGATGGTTTTGACGTCGACCATGATGCAATGCTACAAACTCAGTGAATCTTCCGGAAACGACCTCTTTTCCAAAGTGAGGAATCCTCAGTTATACGAAGCAACGACAAGCCTTTGACCATTTGATCAAGCCATTTTTTTCTCCAGGTGCAAGCTCAACCACCCTTTTCAACGCTTTTCGCCGATCGATATAGACCTGGACCCTATTCCAAGATCGCCGTCTTCTGGATCAACTGGGCAAGGACAGGGTGCCAACAAAGAGGGGGCCATGGAAAGACAAATTCAAGCCATTAGGAATGTACAGATAGCAGAGAAAAAGGCCGACGAGGCAGCGTGATATTCAAGCAAGTCGCAACGCCAAGTTGGACGTGCGCCAAATCTGTGCCATTTGAGCGGCGGTTGTAGCAAGTTGTCCTCGCCCATTGTCTCCATTCAGCCCGTAGCCGCCTTGATGGCACTCAAACATTACATGTAGTGCTACAAAAGAAACACAGCACGTGTCTTGCTTAGGTTCTGCCTAGTGATCAGACACCACAACTCTGCTTTCTGCTTCCCTTATACGACCTGGTCCGCCAATTGTTCGCCCTGTTCATCCAGAATATCCCTCGCAATCCTTTGCGCAGAAGTGACCAGCCCACCATAATGATCTTCCAATCGTCCCTTCTCCACAAAACTCTTGAGCTTCGCTTGTTCCTTTTCCATGTCCTTTCGGAGACCCTCCACTTCGTTTTCGGCCAGCCTATCCTGGAGGCTGACAGGGAACACTTCACGGCGTAAAAGGTCGCTGGGGGAGAACAACTGAATCGGAGTTCCCTCGACCTGTTCCAACAGGAAGGTATGCTCCAGAATGCGGAATAGGCTGGACTGTTGCATCTCTTCGGCCACTCGTTGATCATCTTTCCCACCGGTCTCGTTCAAAACAAGCCAGTCATCGCGAATCATCGCTCTTCTCCAGATAAGCGCTCGAAGATCATCCCTCTTTGGAGCGGGCAAGCGGGATTCATCCACAACATTCAGGGCGAGAATAAACTCCTGGCCCTCGACTTCAGGATCCTCTTCAGGAGGTCCACTCCATTCAACCGGATCCATCAATGTCAACAGACTGACCAGTTCTTCTGCGCTCAAGGGCGTCTGGCGTATCAGCGACTTCAAGAGCTGCTTCAGCTCTCTTCTCAAGGCGGGGCTCTTCGTCACTATTCGAGAAGCAAACGTGTCCCCAGCAAGATCGATCGCGGCTTTCTCATCGAGAGCTGCACCAACCGATGCCATGACGTGGCTATAGACTTGCTCCTGAATGGCGATCATCGAGAGAGCATCATCGTATGCTTTCAAATCTCTGTGCTTGCCGCTATCTTCCTCTGCAGCCAGGCTGGCTAGCTTTCCGAGTGCCAGCTCGGTCTTTTTGTTCCAAACATTACTGGTCTCTTCGCCAGCCACATCCTCGAGTGTCCTTGCAGCTCGGTGGTAATCGTCGCAAGAAATCACATCGTGGATCCAGCTGAGTTTGCCGAGATGTTGGTGAGCCTTCGGAGCGATCTGAAAGAACCACGTGAGGAATTTTTCCTTCTCCGTGTCCTCTTGGCCCTTGACCAGAAGACTTCCACATTCACCGTCGATGAGCATCTGACTGAAAGCGGCGAAAGCCCATCCTTTGCCAAACTTTCCATAGTAAGACTCGGCTTTCTCTTGCATCTCCTCGAGCTTGCGCTGATTATCCTCGACAAGACTTGGGTCAGCTTGAGCTTCAGCCACCAGTTGCTTATAATAGTTCAAATGCAGGGTCACAAGATCTCCGTAATATTTCAACTTTTCCGCTAGCTGGATCGCACCAGGCATATTGAACAACGAAATAGCTTGTATCGCCTGGCCCAGTCTGTCCTGCTCTTCACCCTCGAGGTTGTTGAGCTCGTCCTTCAACGCTTCGGGATCCTTTTCTTCGGCTTTGAGATGGCATCTTGTTTGAATGACCTCCTCCCGCACTAGTCGCGAAAATAGTTCGAGTTCTGTCGGTAGACGACTGGCCAATTCCTGGAGGGCCAATCTGCTGGGTGCCTCGTGCGGCTTTCCGTCTAGGTCCGTTGGCATTTTCTTCTTCTTGTTTCTTCCGTGCGCGAAATCCCACCATTCGTTCAAGAACTTGCAAATGTCATATATCAGGCGCTGGCCGAACCGCAACGGCTCCGGACTTGAGGTCCAAGGATGAGAGAGCTCGATAGGAAACCCCGACACAAGTACTCCGTTTTCGAAGACCTCATCTCCGAGTCCGTAAAGAGGAGCATTGTCCTCACGGAATTTGAAGGCGGCGGAGTATGATGCGATCCAGAGGTCAATAGCTTCTTTGAAGTAATCGGCAACCACTCTTGGGTCTGTTACATCCATCGGTTCAAGTTCCGGGATGCAGCTCACCAACTCAGACATAAGATGGCCGACGTTCTTAACGCTGTTCACAAGCCAATGTCTTACCCGGTCTTTCTCTCCTCTCTCAGGGTCGGGGTATTTTTGCCGAGATTCATGCAAGGCTCGAAGGGTAAAATCCAAGTACGACATCTCGCGATCGGCTTGGGGATATTTTCGTTGGATCTCTTCCTGAACCTTCCATATCGCTTGGGCAGCGGCGAGCTTTTCTGCGTTCAGTAGCAACTCGAAACGCGTCAATCGAGACACCGCAGAAGGGTAGTGGTTGATTACATGTTCGGCCAGATCGTCAAGAGCTTTGGCGCGAAGCCGCATTTGCATGTCAATCGAGGGCGCGGACTTTGGGAGGTGTTTGGACGAGGAAGATAATATCTCCAAGCTGATCTCCAGAGCGGCTGCTTGAATTTCCTCGGGTGGGAACGTTTGGTTGGCGTGCTTGAGGTCCAGAGGATTTTGTTTGATGGTACCAAAGAACACGGCTTGTTCTATTTTGCTCTTTGCCGTTATTCGACCTCGTTCTTCAGCTTCATCAACATCAACTTCCTCATCGTCGCGAAGATGGGAAGTCAATTTCACAATACCAAAACCCTGCACTCCAAAAACAATAGATGACTGTTTCTCCGTCGTTTCAAGCGCGAAGCCAAGAACCTCATAGATAGTGGACTCTTGGAATCGGATGCAATCTTGAAACGGTTCAGGCAGTGCTTGGCGTTCCATCAGCAACTGAGAGGATGGAGATTCTCGGATCCTGGCCAGCGAGAACAGCACAATTGCAGTCTCAAAGATAATGAACGCCACGGGCTGGGATTTCGACACGCACAGTCGCGGCCTCCAGTGGCTGGATTTTGACGCCGAAGAAGAATAGCATGTGACAGGGTGCACCACTTTGACCTTCGCTCCTTGATTGACAATCATCTCGATGATGTGATATCTGGTTTCCGCTTCCGTCGAGCTGGCAACAAGTACCATCATTGGCCCGACATGGGTGTCTTCTGCGCTGAGGGCTGTACTCGGTCCGACCGAGAGCTCAACGTCCAGAACCTTGCATTGCGTTATATCAGGTTGTGTTGATTTTAGTGCATCCAGGATTTCGTCCTTGAAGCTGAATGAGTTCTTGAGAGTGTTGCCGGCAGCCAGAGTCGTTTTCCAGAATTCCAGCTCAGCATCCTCAGTCACGATGACCACATCGCGCTGCCCCTTGCTCGAGCCTCCAGCTTTGACGACAGGTGTTCCTCTCCGTCGATCCGCACCAAAGGCATTTCTGATGCTCCCAAAGATACCCCCTATGGCATTTGTGTCCTTGCGCAAGAATTGCACGCCAATCCCAGGTCGTCCCATTTGATCGCGTATTGTCAAGTGAGCCACGCGGCCACGGCGGAGGGAAAGGATAAATCCCGAGGGCTCTGCATTGACCATTTCTTCAACAATCTCGTCACTCATCATTCCTGGGATTGAACCCTGGACACTTGAAACTTGCCCAGGTATGAAAGAGGAAGCATGAGACAAGGTTTCCCAGTACACCACTTTGCCCCATTTTGCAGATACTGCCACGATTCCGGGCTCGCCGTTCGCAGATTTTGCGGTAAACGTTGCATGTGGTAGGGGTTCGCCAACGGAGGCGGGAGGGAAGGGCAGTTTGAAGGTGATGACATCTCGAGACTGTGGCGTTGATGCCGTCGAATTGTAGGGCCAAATAATGGCGTCGGTATGTGTCAATGCCAACGCGTAACCGTATTCGGGGGAAATGACACAGGAGTATTGGATGGTCGGTCGATTTCGTATCTGGTCGGGGAGGGCAGGAAGCTGGGCGACGGTATAGAAGTCGTTCTTAGATAGTGTCAAGCCAGCATTGGTGCTGGTAGCTCGGTCGGCGCGCTTTTCTGCCTTTTTGGTTCCTCGCAAAGTCAATTCTTTTGTCGGCGCAGCTGGAACTGCGGTTCCATTGCTCTTGCCATCAACCACCTCTCTTCCTGCCCCATCACCGATGCTCGATTCAGTCAGGGGTTCGAAGGTGTCTCGTCGCAAGGCAGATCGTTTTCGTTTCGCCTGAGGTAATTTGAGAGAGTCGTCTGTGCCTGCTGCCTGACGTGTTCTCTTGGGACGCAGCGACTGACTCCGCGAAGTGTCTGTGGAAAACATCCTGCGCGGAAGACCAGAACGCTCAAGTAAAGGAAGCAAGAAAGAATTAGAGCGGCTGAACCGTTGTTTATTGATGACGGCTAGGAAACATCGTAATGTTTATTGCCGTGCTAAACCCCGGGAGACTCGCTCGTTTTTCGCCAAGGTGAAATAAAACCGGCAGCCCCTTAGTCCCTCTTTTGGAAGGCTTTCTCACCCAAGATTCATGCCGAGATTTCGCGCCGCTTTTAGATGCCCTCCAAGCTTGCTTCTGTCTCTCGCTTTACCGTTCCTTTCAGTTTCAAGCACTTTTTCTCGGGAGAGAATTTCGCAATGAATGTTCTAACATTTTTGTTTTGAGCATGCCTCAACAGCTTCAACTGCATTCCACATTTTGCCTGTTCAGAAACGGAGAGAGTACTTTGCACAGCTTCTTTCCACCATGTCTCCATGCTACATTTGAGACAACACACGCGTATTCCGACGAACAGGCAGTGCACCAGGCAAGTGCATCGAGAAGCTAAATAGGTATGCGGAGCTTGGGGATGTCCGTGTTATGGCGCACTCTGTGTTAGACTGTGCCATTTATTTCTGAAGTGGGCTTGTCGGGTTGCTAGAGGCTCGGTGCCCGAGATGGTTATACCGAGCAATCATGAGAGAATGCATGAGGTCTTGTGGCACCTACTTCATTTACCAGGTGCTTCAACAAGGCCCAGTCGTCCCAAAATCCTTCAAGGCACCCCTTCAGTCATGCTGGACATTTCTAAGTCAGGGTACTGAGAGACTCTCCTCACAAGTACCAATTCCCTACCAATCGGTGGCACCGGGATCGATCTCTTCACAATGTATGATGACTGACTGGTGTACCAGGAAGAGAAGAGCAGAAAACCTCAAGATCTGATTGGGCGGAGATGTGAACAGTCCTGGGTCTCCGGAAGCCGGCACCTGGTTCAACTCGCTGCACTACCAACTACAGGGCGTGAGAGGCCACCTGTGGTTGCCTGAGTGTCAACTGTATATCCGTGGCCGCTTGAGAGACCTCCAGATATTCTCGATTTAAGAAACATGTCCTGTGAGCCTCGTCGTCATCACTGTTGCCCATTACAGGCCAAGCGACCGAGGAGCGATGCATTTTTACAAGAGTGCTGAAAGCGACAACGACGTGAGTTGTACTGCGCGGAATGCTAGAAGAAGCTTTTAAACAAGCAGTCAGGAGAGTCTGTTGTCACAATTCCCAGCGATGGATTTGGATTGTGGCTAAGCTAATACAAGTTTGCTTGAATCGTGTCACTCCATCCCCGGTCCCAGGCCATTCATTCATTCACTTCAATTGGCTCGCTCGCAGAAGCAAGAGCCTGTTGCATGGTGTCACAGTATACATTCAGTCAAAGCACCTTCCGTGAGCGCCATATATCGAGGATGACAGTTGAATCATCATCATCTCGAAAAGGTATCTTTTTTGTAGTATTACAATTTCTTGTCTTCATCATCGAGGCTCCCTCCCAGAGTGCTAGAGTCGGTGCTCTCTTCCTTGGACAGAGTGGAGGCCTTTTCGATGTCTTCGTCGGTAGGTCCGTGCAACCCCTCCTCGAAGACGGGCTCGGTATCAAGGGTTTCGAACTTGGTCTTGAAATCACCTAGGACTTGAGTGCTGGAGTTGGATCGGCGACGAGCGTTGGTGAATTTGTAGTCGTAGTCGTGGACTTCATCGCCCTCACGGCCCCTATCAACAGGTCAGTGCGTCGGAGTGCAGTGAAGGTTCGTGCGAGGGGGGTTCGTACCAGTTGCCCTTACCACCACCTTGCTTCTTCACACCTTTGGGATCGGCGTCAACATGGCCATGTTTGGCGAAGTAGCGAGGGAGACGATCTTCAGGGAGGGCAGAACCATCGGCGATGGCACTGTGGTTGCGGTCATTTCCTTTGTTGGTTCGAGTCACTTCAATCAAAGGTTAGCGAGATTGACTGCAGCACGGAAGACTTGGGATCACCTACTAATGGAGTGGAGGACGAGGACGGGTGAGATAGAGACAGTTGAGCAGGTCGAAGTGATAGAAGGATGGCTGTGGTGATGGATTGGTGCAGCTGATTGTGAGAATGAAGGTTAGTTATATGAAGTTGGAGAAGAGGTTTGGGCAATTGGGCAACAAGGACAAGAAAGACACGCGACCCCTGCAGGTGAGGTCAAAGAGAGAGAAGCTCGGACCACCCATTGCGCGTTGATCACTGATGGATTGGGCAAGAGTGGACATAAAACTCACCACACAGGTCACTTCGCTTACGGTTGGCAGCAGATGGCGATACGAGTGCAGGATAGGGTGAAGCTGGGAGGAAGAGAAAGAAGGTGAAAGAGGTCACGATTGACTTCTCAGCAAAAAGGGTTGTCTTTTCGGTTCGGGGAGCAGTGATTAAGTCAGGGTAAGTCAGGGCAAGTGAGGAAAGATGGAAGCCGGAGCAGGGTGGAACCTTAGAAAGCTCTAGATGGTGACTTTGCTGTGATTGGGGAGTATTGGGGAGCATTGGGGAGCAGCTGGCGAAGACAGACTGCAGACAGGCCCGTTGCTCGCATGACCTCCCTGCTCTTTCTGGCGCCTTCTTTCCCCTCGCTCCAATCGTCAGGGCGCCTTCCCCGGATTCCTCAGCCTTCGCCTTTCCCAATGGGCTCTTTTAGCGCGGGGTTTGGGCCTTTGCCGCCTCCACTTGGTGGTGCCTTAGTGTGTCGCCCTCTGGAAGAAATTCCCCCCCAGCCATGGCCTTTCATTTCAGATGTCCGTTGTTCAGGAGAACACACAAGGCTGGGTAGATGCTCCCGCGGTAATTTCCTCAGGAATTTCTAGCAACGTGCAAAGAACCCAGGAATTTGCTCACGTGCCGCTGTGATGAGGGGCGCCACCCAGCCTTCAGTCAGTTCGAAGTGGATACAGGTGTGACGAGGTACAAGAGAATACTGGAGCCTTCAGGTCAACTGATAGAAACCACAAAATGTCGCAAAATCGGCCCCGATAGCGGCCACCGTTTCCACATGGTGTTTCAGTCAGACGTCAAGGCACTGGGGAGGTGGCTCGGTGGGCTCGATGGACTGCCCCTGACAACATCCACGGCTAGGTACGTACCTCTCTCCCGTTGGAGTGGTGTGAGGGCGGAGTTTTCCGGGACAACTCGATCACGTGAGACGGTGGCGGAAGGCTGCTTCATGCAGAACCAGATCTTGCAGCAGTTGGTCTTCTCGCAGATGTCAAGGGAGTTTTGCAGCTCAACTTGCCTCAGGCATTCAGGTACCGAGCTTCACAGAACCTCCCACGTGGGTAGCGATAGACTTGGAGGAAATGACACCCGAGAAACCATACTAGTGACCAGCTGCTTGTATCGGGATGCTGCAGGCCCTGAGGGGCCCTGGGGCTTAGCGTCACAACTGCCCCTCTAGCGCAAGGTCAAGGCTCGATTTCTAATCCTGGCCTTTACTCATTCTTTCTTTTTGCCCTCCTCCATTGCTACAGCCTTTCAACTACCTGTCTTCTGCCACTGTCGTCCCTCTTGCTGTCGAAATGTCGCCCTCCGTTCTCATGGACACCTCCGACGATTTCGTCATGCCCTCCGCCAAAGCCCCGCAGTCGTCGCACCGCACCCTCCTCCTTTCGCCTCCGTCGCTCTCGTCGCATCAAGAAATCCTGACCCGCCTGTTAGAAATGCACGACCGCGCCCACACTGACCTGCAGATGTTGGACAGGCTGTCTCTCGGGCTCGTGTCGCTCCCTCAGTCCACTTATGATGTTATCACCATCCTCTCTGATGCAGATGGATCACGTCACGAAAGTCAAAATCTTATCAGTCGGGATATGCTGGCTTTGCTGGTCAAAGCATTGAAGAGTGGCGGACGTTTGCGCAGCCAGGACGGGACTTTTGGGACTGCGGATGGTCCAGAGAAGAACGAGACCATCCTCGCTGGTCTTTCTTTCCAGCCAGGAGTGGGGTTCGTGAAGCCAGACTACAGCGCACAGGATTCGGTTCCTTTGAAGTTCGGGAGAAAGAAGACATCGCAGGCCGCTGGCGGTCTTAGCAGCACGACGAATGGCGATTCCGTGTCACTGCCAGTCAACGGCAAGCGAAAGAGCACGGATGACGCTCTGCCTGCGGGTGTGGGGTTTGATGACGGATTGGATGGGTCAGACGATGAACTGATTGACGAAGATACGTTGCTGGATGACGAGGATTTGAAGAGGCCTATTAAAATTCGTGAGTTGATTGTTACCTCCAGTGGTGATCAACCAAGTTAACTAGTCTCAGCCACTGAATGCCAGCCCAAGGCGAAGCGACGTCGAGCATGCAAAGACTGTACTTGCGGGCTCGCACAGAAATTGGAAGCCGAAGATCGAGCCAAACGGGAGAATGCGGACAAGGCATTGAACACGATGAAGTTGCAAGCAGACGATTTGGCCGAGGTTGATTTTACTGTACAGGGCAAAGTTGGAAGTTGTGGAAACTGCAGTCTTGGAGGTGAGTACCCCTTCGTTGTCCTCGATCTGGTTCTCTTCTAATACGCTGATTCCCGTCAGATGCATTCCGATGCGATGGCTGCCCGTACATTGGGCTTCCTGCCTTTAAACCTGGCGAAGAGGTTCGACTGTTGAACGATGACATTCAACTATAGAAGTAAATACAACGGGTTTCGGAGCATGGCGACGGCGTTCCGGTCAGCAGCATCTTTAGACTACTATGTACCACAGATGTAAAGCCATTCATATAGGTGTGAGGGCCAAGGGGACTATGTCTCTTCATCAGACTCGCATACGATGCCCACTTCGAAAATGAATATATATCTAAAGTACCCCATACGAGGTAGAATCGTATCATTTGCTGCGGGCCACATTCCGAGGCTCGTCGAGGGGCTGGACGAATGATGTTCGTGGCGATTTCCCAATTGTCAGCCCTTCTCCACAAAGTTTGCCGGCAGCTAGAAGGCGAGCGGCAAGCATCCATTTTTATTTTATTCGGGCTGACCGACTTGTCCACCTCTTGCGACGCAGGTTACGCCTCATCTCTGCAACTACAACGCGGTCGGCTTCGATTTGAGGAATTTGCTTTGAGAGCTTGTGTCTTTGTATCATTCTCGCCTCTCTGTACTGCTAGAACTAGCCAGTCGCATCGTCGTCGACCACCCCATTGACGCCCACACATCGCCATGTCCTTCTCCTCCCTCGTTCAGGACATCGCCTTCCGCGACTCCCCGTCGCAAACCAACGCACGGACAGGTGCCAGCAACATCAGTAACAATGACACGCAGTCTACCATCTCCCGGCCATCCCAAGCTCGCTCATACACTTCCACCGCCGCCACCAGCGTGAGCATTGCGGGCGACATCTCAAGTCAACTTCATGCCGGCTACAGCCATCCACTTTCAAGAGCGTGGCAAGCAGAGAGACAGTTGACCAAGGTTCGTGCTCATTATCTTGCTCAGCAGGATAAGTCTTTACTCTAACACAACTCTAGTCAATGCTCATCTACCCTCTCTTCATAACCGACAACCCCGACGAAGTGACTCCAATTCCTTCGCTCCCCAACCAAAATCGCCTTGGTCTTAATAAACTGGTCCCTTTCCTTGCACCCCTTGTGCAAAAGGGCTTACGCTCTGTCATTCTCTTCGGCGTGCCTCTCGCTCCCGATGCAAAAGATGCTCTAGGCACAGCTGCCGATGACCCGGAAGGACCTGTCATCAAAGGCATTCAACTCATTCGCCGACACTTTCCTCAATTGTTTGTGGTTGCAGACGTTTGTCTCTGTGAGTACACCTCTCACGGTCACTGCGGGATTCTTCGGGATGATGGCTCCTTGAACAACGCCATGAGCGTCGAACGTATTTCCGATGTCGCAATGGCGTACGCTCACGCCGGCGCACATTGCGTCGCTCCCTCGGATATGAACGACGGACGCATTCGTGCCATCAAGCTTAAGCTTATCGAGTCCGGACTGTCGCATCAAGTCAACCTGATGAGTTACGCGGCCAAGTTCTCGGGTTGCTTGTACGGGCCATTCAGAGATGCAGCGGGATCGTGTCCGAGCTTTGGCGATCGCAAATGCTACCAGCTGCCTCCCGGTGGTCGGGGACTTGCTCGTCGCGCCATCGCACGAGACATTCAAGAAGGTGCCGATATCATTATGGTGAAGCCCGCCTCGTCCTACCTCGATATCATCTCAGACGCCAAGGAAATCGCAAAGGATATGCCCATCGCGGCGTACCAGGTGAGTGGAGAGTACGCCATGATTCACGCGGGCGCCAAGGCCGGCGTGTTTGATCTCAAGACCATGGCCTTTGAGAGTACCGAAGGTATTTTGAGAGCCGGGGCGGGGATCGTGGTGAGCTATTTCACACCAGAGTTTCTGGACTGGTTGAGCGCTTAAATATGTACGAGGATACGAAAAGAAATGCGTGGAGCAGGAAGATGGGATACGCCGCATAGGAGTTTGAGTTTCCAGATGGTCTCGTGATGTGATCAAGAAAAGACCGACAGGGAAACCAGCCCCGTGAACGGGAATGATTTGAAGAGACGAGGCGCGCGTATGCTTTATGAGATTGTGCCTTCCCAACAGCCTGTCTAGCGAGGAGTATCTGACGTTGGGTCTGAACTCAATTGCACATTACGCCTTGGTAGAGGAGATGCGGAGGAGAGCAGCAGGAGGTAGCAATGAGGCTGAAAAAGCAAAACAGACAAAGAAGAAGAAGTCAGATCAATGAATCCCAAAAGAAGTGTTTCAAGCGTACCGAGTAAACATCATTGCATCCCTCTTCCACATACTCGTATTTACTTCATTGAAGTGTGGTTACAGAGACCGCCGTCGTACAAAAGGGTACACACTTCTACATTAGTATGTACCTAGGTAGGTAGTTTGACGGGCTCTGCTGGTGTTGTGCTTGTTTGTTTGTTTGCTTGCTTGCTTTCTCGGTAACCCTCCTTGTCAATTTGTATTTGGTTGTTCTACAACACAGCATGAGCTCCAGTACGGTCATTTTCATCCACGGGCAAGAATTAAAATGTGGCACGAAGTCGGAGAGGAGGGTCAGGCACAGGCCCAGGATACGAAAGGATAGAATAGAGTAGGCAGGAGTAAAGGGTTTGAAAGGGGGGACAAGCAGTCGCATGCCGATTCAGACGTACGGTATAAAAAGGAATCAACTACTTCTCCTTCTCCTTGTCAATTCATTATTGTCCCTCGTTCTCGTTCTTTTCCTTTTGCATATTTCCCACCTCTGTCTGGGTGATCCTGCTCCTCCTGCTCCAATCCCTTACACGGAATCATCCAAGTTTAACATTGATTTCTTCCACCTTCGAGTTCTGTGGGGTCATAGCATCTGAATCAGAACGAGACAAGTGTAACAATGAAGTTCTCTTCCAACCTCTACGCCAGTCTCGCTCTAGCGGCCACGGCCTCCGCGTACAGCATCGACCTCTGGAGCAAGTACGATTACCAGGGAGATCAGGCGAAATTTGTAAAGTATCCTCAGCCCCCTCGCTAAGACACGTACTGACAGTAAAGCACAGACAACCGAGTAAATCATACCTGTCTCATTTTGATGCCCTCCTCTAAGCGTAGAGGAAGACGAGAAGCTAACCGACTACGTGTGTAACCACACAGCGGCATACACAAGGTCTCCTGGTCCGGAGGTGCAGGCTCATGGATCTGGCAATCTGGCTTCGATGACGGGTGCTGTGTGGTGTTCTGTAGGGGAAGCACAGTAGGAACTCCTCCATCCCCCAATTCCTTGAGTATCTCACCTCCGGCTTTTCCTTTTATCATAGCTGACTTGTCTCTCTTTGGAGTAGAACGTTGGGAAGTATTGCCAGTCTGCCGCGAAATCGGAGTCGTCCGCAGGAGTGAACAAAGCAGTCACAGGATGTGGAAGCCCGACCTTGAATTGCTAGAAGGATCTCTTCGCTCAGAAGATACTTCATAGCCAGGAGCTGAGACGATATTCTCTCGTTGACCACCGGTCGCCCTAAGCCTCTCAAGCCCTCGATCAAAATGTTTGTGCCTCAAATTCAACAGGAACCCATCCGGGTCGATCACATCAGCTCAGTAGAGCAGAGATAGAAGAATTTGAGCGCTTTACCGCACGAGACACTTCTATTTGGTCGTGTTGTGGTGCCCATCTCTTACGGCCAGACCCCCTACTTTCATGAGGTTCTCCTTCTTTGGGTTGCATCAGTCTCAAAGCTTACAAATGTGAGATCTCGATCTGCCTTCTGGGTATGTGGAAACTCATCGGTGACGGAATTTTGCCGTTGGAGATGGAATTCGAGAAACATGAGCAGGCCATGTCGTTCTGGCTCGGCTTCACCGGTTTTCAAGTCAATCATGCTGAGTAAAGGAATGATCGTGTATATTTCAAAGCCAAATAGACCGGGCTTTTCCCATCGTGTGACCCTGCAGATCCATGACAAATCAGGAAAAGGAATCTATCGATCACAAGAGAAGATGAAGAGGGATGAAGCAAGTCATGGCTGATACTTGCGGCTAAGAGCCATAGAGGACAGAGGGATAGCTGGCAAACAGAAGATGGAACGAGCGACCGGAGACAGGGACATGGCTGACAACGGCTGTTAAAGGTCCAGGCAGAAGGATCATTACACGGCAGCGGACTGGCTGTTTCAAACCTGTAACCGGTTTGAGTGTTCTAGAATAGGGATTCGTTGCAGCAGGTGCCTAGAGTCACACTGTCAACGTCCGGCTTCGATGATCATGGAGAGGTTGTACTGGAGTCGGTCAGCGACTGAACTGATGTTCATACAAGAGGCGCCAAGTTCCGAGGCGGCCAATGCCATTTGGGCTCAGTGGAGGAGGAGGTTCGAAAGGGGGAACAAGAGGCGAAAAAGTGGGAGACGCGGGTGAAGCGAGGAGGACTTGACGCAGGGCAACAGCAGAAGGACGGATTTGATCGGATTGACATGGATCGCTCGATGGCATGACGATGGCTAGACGATGGCTTGACCGCAAGAGTTTAGGTTACGATGGTGAAGGGATGGCAGTGAAGGTATTCAAAAGGACGGTCAGTCGCGGTCGGTACTGCATTGGGTTGCGTGGGTGCGTGGTGGGTGCTTGGTGGGTGCGTGGGTGTGTGGGTTTATGGGTGGGCAGTGGGCAGTGGGCAGTGGGCAGTGGGCATTGGCGTCACCTGCGCGTCAGACGTTTGGGTGTCAAATGCACAAATCAGCCTCAGGCCTTCCACAGTCACGATAGTCTCTCGTCCGCAGTCTACCTAGGTAATTCTTTCCTCCGTTCTCTCCGCTCACTGGCACCTCGCACCCTCACCTTCACCCTCACCTCGCACACCTCTCCCTCTTGGTCTCATGCTCTCTGCTCGGTACGGTCTTGTCAGAGTTCTAGAACCTCTCGTTTGATTAGGCTTTCACTTCTTTCGCACTTGCTACTACGACACGCACAAGTCTGCCCGACAGCCGCCCCTTTCCCACGTCCCCTGGCCCCTTCGACAATCCACCTATCAGCCATTGCATTCCCCCCTACGACCACGGTATACTTCGCCACCTAAAGTAGTTCCGGACCGGTGGAATTGCGTACAGAGCTCCTGCAGCTTCCTCAACTGCCATTTGATGCAACTGTTTCCCTTTTAGCACTGCTTGCATTTGATGCATGGTTGCCTGTTTCTGGAGGAAGACATTTTCGCGAGCCTGAGGCCCAAGGGATCCATTGGGACGTACTAGGTACCTCCTGCATAGGGCTGAATATCCTGCAGCGAGTCCGACTCCGACTTCCACCAGTCGTCGATGCCTCAGATGCAAATGTATCCATGAGTTTTCTGGCACATAATTGATCTCGGCTCGCTTTCAACCACAATTGGATACTCGAGTCGCGGCAGTGTTCGATTGGCTTTGGTCGAATTGCAAACGATCAACATCGGACGGGATGGCGATGCCGACTCGCGCCCTGCACATCACCATGATTGTATTTTTGCGTCGGCGCTCGACGATCCCCTCGTATCCTTTTAATCCATGTTCTAAATTCACGCATACCGCTCTTTGGCAGATCTGTCAAGCCAAGAAGCCTCACATACCCGCCACTGAACGCGTACCCTGGCGCCCAAAGACGGCACTGTTTGCGATGAACCACAGCCTTATGCTCAGGCACACGCATTCGCTGTGTCTCCTGCCGGAGTTGCTCCTTGGCTCACGGTTGGCATTGCGCATCCCGCATTGACATCAACAACGGTAAGCTCAGGCCTCAGATGGATTATTTCCAACCTCTAATACTCCCTGATAACACCCTCTTTCTTTCGCTTACGTCCGCCTGGACCGAGAGCATCTTCGAGAACCTCGCCCAGGCAACAGGCAACAGATGCGGTGGCAGATTATGTAGGCAATGCAGATCGCTCCTGGATTTGTCTTGCCTTAGGCCGAGCAGCTGAAAAGAAGGTTCCGCTTCTTATCCCCGGCGCGGTGATATTGTAGAGTCATATTGTCATTGTCACAATGATCGGCTTCCAGAACGTCCTCGCCGTGCTGCGTGAGAAAGGAATACTACCTTTGGCAACGATCACGATTGGCTGAGGGAATATCATATTTCTTAGTCCTACATCAGAGTCCGGAATCATCGGTTCCTTTTCACTTTATTCACTCATCGTGGTATCATTCGCGAGACCGCGCCTCATCAGGGATCTCGAACTCGACCAGAAGACTCATAAAGCAGCGGTGGGTGGATAGCATGGCGTGCATGGGTCCATCCCCTGAGTTTGGACGGCCGCGTTAAGCCCTATGGCCCTAACCAAAGTGGACTTACACATTCTTCTCCACCCGATGGCCTGCGTCTCCTACTGGAACGTCCTCCTGGTTATGAGCCGACCACACCCTATCAGACCGGGAAGGTGAGGGTTGAAGTATACATGGGAGAATACCCGGCTGTGTCAGCAGCTGCCCACGAGGAGCGCTACCTTACGACGAAGTCCCAATCATGTTCAGCACCGGTCGTGGCACTCTTCCACGTTCTGATCTTGACCCCGGAGTCGGATTCCCTTACGGCCCTCTGTACAGTACGCCCCAATGGTTCCCGTCGGTTCTCGCCCCGTTGAGGTAGAAAGGCACAGCCCGGACGTGGACAAAACTACAAGATGTCTGCTCTGCTGAGCCACGACCGTGACTTTCTCCCATGAAAGAAATGGATCGTTCCAGTTCCCTCACTTGTACTTTACAAACTGCGACAAACGAGAGACGATCAATGACAGGACCTCGCCGACCTTCGCTGGTATTAGGTCCCACTCAATTGCATTCAGCTCCAGCACCACTGTCTCCACATGGTACTGTGGTGGTACCATATCAACAAACGATCTGCTCAAGACAATCTGTTAGGAATACAAGGCCCCAGCATAGCCGCGCACTGGTAAGTCCATTCAAGCACGATACCTCGGAAGAGAAATAGAAACAAATCAAAGGAGAAAAGCATCAGGCTGCAGGTTGTTCTTGGCCTTTAAACTTGCAGAAGCCGCTGCTGTCTCCTGTTCCCCTGATTTTCCCGCCCTGCGCCTTACCTTTATAATACCGAGCACATGGGTGGAAGGGTAATTTGTCCCTTGCCGACCCCAATGTCCGGGAGACTATCTTATTTCCTGTCCAGCCAACTACGACTGGGGCACGGCACTTATATTGTTGAGCACCGGATCTTTCCTATCGGTTCCAACTTGCTTTCTGGAAAGAATTGCATACTCACTATCACAGTTCTATGGGCTAGCCACTGCTTTGCCCACGCCCGCCTCAACCGATTCGAAGGCAGCATTGACTCTGTTTGGAGATCAACTCAATCATCAAATGCTCGAAGACATATCCGCAACTGTTATGAGCAATACCTCGAATGTGGCCAGCCCCAATGAACCTCCGCCTCCTTCTCGTGCGATCCCGGGCGATAAAACACGAATAAAGAAATGGGCTCCAAAGACGTTTAATGGATGTCTGACCTGCAAGTATGTCTCCAGATATCACTCTCGATTGTAATCCTCGTCACTGATAAATAGTCAAAGGCGAAGAAGAATCAAGTGCGACGAGGGCAAGCCATCGTGCCAGAGGTTGGTGCTGGCCGACTGTACCGACTGTTCTATCACTGATATGAGCCAGATGTATCAAATCGAACCTCAAATGTAGTGGATACGCCGCACCCAAAATCAGGCTGTTTGATCCCGCAGCTTCATCGACGGCTTCAACCTCAACCGTGTCACCAGCGACAAGCCCAGGCCCTTCATCTGGACAGGAGCCAACAACCCTCGAGAACACTCAACCGCATTCCAACCCGCCCCCTCATCCTCATCCTCAAGGACACGCCCTTGTCCCCAGATTCGGCACGCAGGAAGAATCCCAATCCTTCCAATTCTTCCTCGAAAAGACCTCTGAGCTGATCTCAGTATACTCGCAGCCGTATCTATGGACGGTGCTCCTGCCTCAAGCCACATGGCATCAACCTTCTATCAAACACTCTCTCATTGCACTTGCCTCGCTACACCGATACCTCACCACAGTCGGCCCGGAATCACAACGAGCAAACCATAACTTTGTGTTGCACTACAATGGTGCCGTTAGCGCCCTGGTGGCGGACAAACCGTCCATTGATGTTGTGCTCGCAGCATGTATCGTTTTCTGGGCGCTCGAGAATTTCAATGGCGGTGGTCAAGTGGCCGTTGACCATATGCAAGCCGCGATCAAGATCTTAGGGGAGTGGAAAAGCAAACGTCGCGCAAACGACCCTGCCAAAGACTTCATAACCAAATACATTGAACCCACAATTCGGGACGGTGTGAAATTCGCCTCGAAATGTCGGGTCGAGGAACTGGCGAGTCAGATGAGTGCACTTTCCCTGACAACACGCGACGTGAGAATCATGAACATGGACTACCCGGCGTTCAACAGCTTGGAGGACGCAGGGGAGTATTTGGAAGACTGCATCAAGAAGATTCTCGCACTCAAAAATCAGGCACCGGCACTGCTCAGTCCAAGTCCCGACCTCATCGAACAGGTGGAAGCGCTCGACGCTCGCCTCTACAAATGGATGAACCTGTTCCAGAACCTCACGGCCACGGGACCCGTATACATCCGACGCATGCTCGTTGTGCACAACGTCGCGGCAAACATCCTGCTAGACCAACTCAAGGCACGAACTCAATACGACAAGACGAGCGGGGACGAGCAGCAGGAGGATCCGAGTCATTGTCGATTCCACTTTACAGTCATTGAAGTTGAGGATGTCCTCAAGTATGATCCCCTAGCTACGGTGGAATCACGCAGGAAGAAACCGCCGAACCTGGGATTCATACCGCCTGTGTTCTTGGCAGCAACGGCGGCGCCGAGAGTAGAGACCAGAACAAGGGCGATCAAATTGCTGAGGCTGTTGAATGTGACGGAGGGGCCGTGGAACACAGAGCATGCGGCGCAGGTTGCCGAAAAGATGCTAGAGATTGCACAGGAGTGTGGTGCTCCTTCTTCAACAGTTGAGTTGCGGCATATAGACCTCGAGTTTGACCAAGACCGCCGGGTGTTGAGCATGAGATGGGAACTGGAGGACCCGGCGACGCTGAACGTGAGCATGATCAAACAGATCGATGCTCGAAGCATGAACTGGGATGACTCGGTAAGTCGACAGATTCTTCCTTTACTGTGTTTTGGACTAATATTTTGATTGCAGCACGATGTACCCAATTTGATCAGGAGATTCGGCTACCAGCTCCCTCCCTCCTCAGTCACGACGCTGTCTTGATGACTCGGCACGGCATAGCAGACCTCTTTGCGGTATGCGTGCAACTTTACAGCGTTCCAAGGCATGTGTTGACAGAAAGATTTAAGATTGTCATTCGACCGAACGAAACGAAACAGATCACCAACGACAACGAGGACGGCATAGCATTTTCCTTTCCCCCAGGTGAGGGCCTTTTTTTTGGATATTATACTTCAATTTCCTCGTCACTTTGAAAGTTGACTCCTTCATTTTCGGCCGCGCGCGTGTGGGTGGTTGTTTGTATTTCATTTCACGAGTTTCTTTCGGCGCTTGGAGGACTTGATTGCAGGTGCGCCTCGGGAGTTATGACAGCAGCGGGGACATTTTCAGAATGCATGGATGTGTTATGCAGAATGAGTGACCAGGGGGTAACAAACGTAGGTAGGTATCCCAAGCAAACGACACTGGAGATTTCATCATAGCGGCTGGGTTCCTTTGCATGCAGGTGGTTATTATTTTATTTTGGCACGTCACAAGCATTACATAGGTATACAAGGTGCTTTCTGCGCTCATATCTTTTTGGGGTGGCAGTCTTCATGTTGGGATTCTTTTCAAGTTACTGTCATAACTTCTTGTTGTCTGTCTGTCTCTTTCTTTTCTTTTCTTTCTGTTCCATCCCGTGAGGTACAGGTTTATTTCTCTTTATCTCGGCGGCGCAGATGATCCTGCACCTGGACCTGGACCTGGACCCGTACCTGTAGTCGTGTTTGGATGGCTCTGACTCTGACTCCCCTGCCTCGACTTTGAAGTCTTGACCGCTCCACTGCCCGCCGCAGCCTCCTGCTCCAGAAAATGCTGCCACAGCTCCGCCAACGTCTCTCTCGAGTGCGGACTCGTCGCGCTTTCTGGTCCGCCACTCCCACTCCCACCAAAATAGTCCGGGTGATTGAGCAGGGCCGGTGTGCTCGGCGTCCTGTGCATTAGGGGAGATCCAGGCGCAGCAGCAACACCCAGAGAACCCAACCCGCGCAGGGAGTTGAAGCTCGAGGTGGTACCCGTGGTCGTCGCGGTGTTGCCGCCGGGCCTGGCCAGACCGGCCTGTTCGCGCTGCTCGTCGGTCCAGCCCAACAGCGCGGCGATGAGCTGGAGGATCTGGAATTTCTTGGGGTCCGAGCGGTCCAATGCCAAAAAGTGCAGGAAGTGGTTCGTCACGATTTGCCTGGAAACACCACCCCCAAGAATTAATGGCGCGTTAGTCAAAAGGACCAAAAAGAAAGCGGAAATGATAATGCAAGTGGATTGGTCGCATGCAAACAACCGCGTAAAGGGAACAAAAAAGGGGGTGGGATAGGGTTGTCATAGAGTGGTGGCCTTGAGAAGAAAAAAGGCCTCAGCCTCGTCGAGTGGCGAATGATCGTCACTCTAGAGTCGTGGCGTTGCTAAATTTATAGTTTCTTACACCGCATGATCAATGAGGCCGACCGGGGGGTTTTCTTCGAGATGCGGAGTAACGAGGAATGGAGTAAAATCCACAAACTCAAAGTGGCCGAGGGAAATGGCATCGGAGAAGACATTCTGCGAGAAAGGAAGAGAGAAATAACTCACCTGTCGACGTTATCCTCGGGCTTGCCCTTCTTGAGAAATCTCAGCGCTTTGGTGAGATGATCGTTGAGAATCACCGCCTCGTGCCTCAGCTTGCCGATCAGGAGGTTCTTCTCTTTGACTTCCTTCTCGAACGGAAGGGCGCGCTCGAGCTCTTTCTTGGTCTGTTCCAATTCCGCAACGGTCGAATCGTAAATCGCCTGGAGATCTGACACCTGTTTCCGCAGTGCCTCTTGTTCGTTCTGAGAGGTCTCGACCAGTTCTTTCAGCTCCTGCTTGCGCACCGTCTGGATCTCCTGCAGGGCCTTTTGCAGGCCGTCGACCGCGGCTGAGTGGGTGTCCCGCTCGCTTACTGCCTTCTCGTACGCTTCCTTGAGCGAAGTGAGTTGCTCCTCCAAGTCGGCGTTGCGATCTGCCAGGTCCTTGCGCATGGTGCGTTCTTCCATGGCGAGAACTTCCCAGTCGTGCATGGCCTGTTTGGCGTTTTCGAATTCGTCGCGCATGTAGGCTTCACTCTCAACGAGTTCTTCTTTCTCTTTCAGCCAGTTCTGTTGCGAGAGCGTCAGGCGGTTGCGGAGGGTGGATAATTCTTTGGACTGTTCGGCCTGTTTCTGCGAGAGCTCGGCGTTTTGGGCCGTGAGCTCTTCGACTTCTGCGGAGCGCGCGGTGTACCGCTCTTGCAGCTCCGATCTTTGTTCTTCAAGCTCCTCGATGCGCGTCCGTGCTTGTGCTAGATCCTCCTGTAGGATAACTTGTTAGTCTGCCGCGCGGGGCCCGGCCCTTTTGTCTGGCTAAGAAATCAAACGTACTGCGTCGGCTTTTAATCTCTCTCCCAACTGCGATCGTATTGTATTCACCTTGCCTAACAAGGACTGATATTGCTCTTCGGCGTTTTCCTTCTCGGCCTGCGTCTCTGCGAGCTCTGTCTGCATCGCTTCGATGTCCGTGGCATGCTTGGCCTGCAGTTCTTCCAGAGACTTGCGCAGCTCGGTCACTTCGAGACGTAGGGCGTCACGGTCCTTCACAAGAGCGTCAAAGCGGGCCGCTGCATCGTTGCTCTCGTCGTCGTCGATCGACAGTTCTTTGACCCCGTTTGCAACAGTTACCGTGCCCTGACCTTGTTCGTCCGGTGGCTCCTCCTGCGCCGGGGTGACAGTTGTCTGCTCCGTGTCTTGCTCGTCATTTTCTGCCTCGTCCTCCTCATCTGGTCCATTTTGCGTCTCGGTGGATTCGTCGGCGGGCGTCGTGGGGGCGTCTGTGTCTGTCGTGGCGGCGGCTTGCGCGTTGCCCTTCTTCTTGGACTTTTTCTTCCTCTTGGATTTCTGGTCTACCACGGTAAGCATGGGCGCGCAGCTGCACTGATTACGATGTGCATACGTACCTCCTTGAGGCATCGAAGCCATGTTTGTGGAAGACATGATTTAGTCCTGTGAATAGGACATGGGGATGCTACATGTCTAGATCGCGAAAGGTGTCAATTGTTGCTTGGCGGCCATATGCTGGTGACGGGCCGAGCCATTCGCTGACCATTCCACCGAAACCAAAACATCAATCTACTTTCCACCCGTCGAGGTGCCAAAAGACAATTCACTTGATAGCAGGGTATATGTTCATAAACGCCATCGTAAGCCCTCCACACAACACAAGGGTGCTATTTCAGTGCATCCCCAAATAATCCTCTCATCCCCTTGAGGAGAGTGCCAATCTCCCTCGTCGCATTGAGCCGGTCCACCACTTTGGCGACTTTCGCACTCTCTAACCTGGGCTTCGTGTAAACCACGTCGTATCTCCCATGCCCAGTATCCGGCACCAGCAACTCAAAGAGGCCTTCCCTCTCCTCACCGCCATTGCCGCCGCTGCCTTTCGTGAGCGGAAACACGAAAACAATCCTGACCTTGTTCTCATCCCCACTGCCTTCGATTCGACAGCCTAGATACGTCTCCCAGAAACTCAGTTCCGGTCCATTAAGTCGGCTCTGGCCCTCCATCTTCGCCGCATATTCTCTTTGCGCTTGTACCTTTGCGTCGATCTGTCGCTGCGTCTGGGCGATTGCGGATCTGAGACGGTCTCGTTGGGCAGATTGCGCTGCTTGGTGCGATTCCAGTTTCGAGATCTGCGCGTGCATCTCATTCTTCTCCGCCTGTTCACGCGCAAGGACTTGGCTCTGTGTCGATAGCGTAGATTGTAGCGTTACGATCTGTGTGCTTGCGGACCGCTGCTCCTCTGTAGAACCCCATCCGTCAGTTGTCTCTCTTTCTCTCTCCAGCGATTCTGCGGACTCGTGGTGGTTTCAGCTCTCACCGTTCAACTCCCCAAGCCGCGCCCGGAATTCATTCCTCTCTTCCAACACCCTCTTCCTCCCTCGTTCAATAAACGCGTCGAACTTGATCGTGAAGTCGGCCATACGCTTCCGTAGATCCTCAAAGTTGAAGTCGACGGCGGGCAGCTGTGTGAGAGGATTGTCCGAGTACGACATGGGCGTCGCCATTTGCGATTGCGACGCGCGGAAGGAAGATGTGCTGGTGGCGAACGCCGACGAGGGCATAGCGGTGGTCATTGTCGCGAGTGTCTGCGTGTTTCTTCTTCAGCGAAAGGCTTATGGGAGTAGGTATGTTGCAAGTTTCATCAAGTTCAGATGTTGGTCGCAGCGAAAAGGTGGGCAGTGGGCGGTGGGCGCGCAGGGCACAACTCCAGTCGACCGGGCAACCACCGCCGAGGCTGCTTGGCTGGTCCAACACAACACACGCAGCACCTCGTAATTACACACATGCAAACCATCATTTCAGACTCAATCATCAATTGCTATTAATACATTAATACAACTTGGTATCTCTTCGCTTGCTATAAAAACAATTCACACACGTCCTACGCAAGACTTCTTCATTTGATCGAGTTGTCCCTGATCTCTGTCTCGAGCTCTTCCCGTCCCTCGCTATTTTCGCTGCTGGCATCTCCGCCCAGTAACTGAGCAATCATGGCCTCCATTCTCTCCAACGCATCTTCTATCTTGTGCAGTCTGGCGGTCGCCTCCAGCAGTCGACCATCGTGATCTCCACTCAAGTCAACCAGGGAATCCATTCTTTGACGTCTGTTGACCTTTCGGTGTCCGGGTGGATGCTGTTGTTCTTCGTCCCCTGCCTCATCACTCGTGTCATGAAACTGTTTTTTCAGCTTCTGGTCGGCTTGGGACTCTCTTCTTTGGCTCGTTGTTGGCTGCGGATGCGGATTGACAGATGGCCTGCGCTTCGGAGGATCAACTGTCTGGCTCGCTCTCCTTTCCTCCGACAAGTGCGTGAATTGATCCTGCAATTTGTTGTTGGATAGAATCCCCATCCTGTCGTCATGACTCAGGTCATCTTCTTCAGCGATTTTGTCCAGTACCGACTGTGGCGGGTCGATGTCGAACACTGCGTGGACATCTCCATGTACACTAAACCGTGAGAGAGCCCAGTACTGCGCAGGCGTGGCTTTGGGTCCGCCAGGATGCTTCCAGTCGATCTTCTTGCCGCTTGAGATTTTCCGCCTGTCCGACATCCACAGTGTCCTCCTCTCGTACCATGCAACAATCATCAACGTGGGTAGGTTGATAGTCCTGACAGCGGCGACGTTGATCTTGTGGAACATTCGGTCTGAGAGTATCCACTTCAAAGGGAGCATGACGACCAATGCAAGGATGTTAAATGGTGGCATATACGCAAATATTGCGTCCGACTTGACCCCTTCGAAAGTCAGCACTGCTCGTCGAAATTGAATCTCTTGAACAGCGTTGCCGACGATGTTGCTGAACGTGTTCGTCAACATTGAGACGAGGACCGTGAGGAATAGCGTGTTGCCCAGGAAAGCGAACAAGACCATCAAGACAGGTCCGAGGAGCCAATGGAAGTCTGGAGATTGATCGATGCCGGTGCCATCCAGACCGAACCAGATCCAGATCATCCATTCCCCAATTGTCACAGCCTGGTGAGCGCCAGCGTGCAACCACTTGAGACTCAAGAGGAAACCCGCAAAGCACCACACCGCCAGAGCAGTCAGTGTCAAAAAGTCAGTCATCATCGCTCTCAAAGAGAGGAATAGCATATTCTCCGACATGACGTTGAATGCTAGTCGAGGAATTAGAACCGGAGCACCGCAACTGAGGATGTCGAGGGCAGTCCGGGAAATAATAGTAGACTGCTCCTCGTCGGTAACCGAGAAAGCGTAAACTCGCAAGACCAGGTAGATGAGGAATATTGTCGAGAACATGACATCGAGGAACGACCACAAGTTCTGGGTATACACGCCCCAGCCATGTTCGAGTATAGACGCGAATTGATCGAGTACCTGGCAGCATCTCCTCGTCAGCTGGAGACCGTTCTCGCAGGAAAAGTACCTACCCAACCAGCGCCGTAAACGTCAAACACCAGCTCGAGAACCTCGTAGGTGGTGTTCATCCGGTTCTCCCTCCCAGCCATGACCCCGACGTACAAGCCCAGTAAGATGATAAACTGACACACCTCGATCAAGTTCCTCGTCCGCGGGACGATCAATCTGTACTGATTTAGCAGTGGCGCTCGTCGCGGATCGTACAGCGAGATGGGCCTCTTCTTCCAGTGGTCGGGTATGATGTCGATAAAACTGCTAGGCGTATACACGACCTTGCCGCGGTAGATGGCGTCGACGACCTTTTGACACGCGCTACTCGCCAGGAAGGACTTGCTGGCGCTGACAATTGCGACTTCCAGCGCGGTCAACTTCCTCTCCACCTTGCCGGACTTGGACCTGTGCTGAGCAGCCCAGTAATGCATCGCGTGCTGGTTCTGCTTGGTCACCTCGTCGGGAGCACCCTGGAACGGCTCAAAGCCTGCAACTAAGATATTTGCCAATTTGAGCAGGCCCCTGGGTCCGGGGTTGTGTTCGTTGTACCGACGCAGGATCTTCTCCGCGACCAGCTCGCACAGGAGTGCGCGCGTGAGGTTCACCGTTTGATGGTGTGTGGCGTAGGATTGTTCGCGGATGAATTGCATGCGGTTGACCAGGAGGCAGTACACTGGAGAAAGAGTGGACGTTAGTATCGACGGCACAGTGGCGATCCAATTCAAGGGGGGGTTCCTGAGGGTGCCCAGACCGATTGATAAGTCGTTTGTCTCGTAGAGAGAATCGACCAACGGCCGCACGACCGAAATGTTCATCCGCGGAGCTTTGAGCTGGTCGAGAGAATAGGGGTCATCTGGTAGAGGTGTGAGTTCGTGTAATTGCCCTTGAGGTCCACCGGGCCAAACTCACCGATACTCGTCATGATATCTCGCCGTATGCTATCCCACGGCATACGTCAGCATTGCTTTTTCGAGATGCACAATTAATAGCCTCATTTTCCTGACCACTTCGAATGCTCTTAATGCTCCCAGACCCAGCAACCTTTCCTCGCTCACCAAAACCATACACCACAGAGACACACATAGACACCAACACAGACACATAGATAGATAGCTAGATAAAGAATCCGGAATCCCTTCCAGCGAAATCCAGATCCGGAGTATCACTGCTAGTGAAAGATACTCACCGATGAATATTCTCATAGACATTGCAATGCGCGTTCCCAAACGGGTCCGCCTCCGCGGGGGGCCGTCCGCCCAACCGGTCCTGCTCGAGGCTCGTCCACGTGCAGTGCGGCGGGTACAGGCCGTCGCTGTCGGCAAAGTCCTCCTCGTCGTGCTGCGTCGCCAGCAAGCGCTCGGTCTCGCTCCGCTGCCTGTTGAGCCGGAATTGGGCAGAGAAGCCGCCGCCGTTACTGCTTGCGGGTCTTCGGCTCCGTTGTCGGCGGGACGAGGACGAGGTTGAGGTCGAGGATTTGGTTTTGGAGGGTGTTGGGCGCGTTGAGGGCGGGCGGAGATTGTTGTTGGACGGACTGACGTCTCCGGTCGGTGGGGAGGACATGGTGTTCGCTGTATGGGATATCACTGTGTGTTGGTGTGAATACTAGGTACGTCTGTCCTTGAGTCTGGAGCCAAGGAATTGGATATACGACTCCGAGTCGATAGGCGTGGCGGGGCGCGAGTATCGCAAAGGTAAAACGTTAAGGGAAAAGTAAAGGGGAAAGGTTGAAACGGGTCAAAAACGCTATCGATGTCGAGATTTCAATTCCATGGCTTGGGGCGTTGTTGTCGATGCTTGCTGATCATACGGTGGATCCAACCCCGAGCGCATTGAACAAAGATCGTCAGGGCCGGCGGCGAGGTTGCAAAGACATAGAAGGAGCGCGCGCCTGTGGTGTATATTGGTCGATTTAGGACCGCGCCGATAGAATCGTAGAATGATAGATAGGCTGATAGCTGGTGTATGTAATGGGAAATGAGAAATGGGGAAGGAGACTCGGGGGCCCATGGTGTTTGGCGTTAACGACCAATCGGGAAGCAGGTGACGTTAAGCTTATCGCGTCAAGCAACGAAAGCTGAAAGCTTTGTCATTATCGATCCAGTTGATCCCAAGCAAATATGCGGGCGAACCCAATCGGCCGAAAGACAAATCAGCAAAGCTATGTAGGTCATTATTCACTAATACCTACCTAGGTAGGTATCTTGGTATCTCGTCAAAATATGCTTCATCAAAGTCATAGAGCCGCACCAGCTATATACAAGACATTACAGCGGGTTCTTCGTACGCCAATATAATCATGGAGCCACCAGCAATAGGTGACCTCCGACGACCATTATTATAACATTATCATAATCGTCGCAATGGCCGCCAGTAGTATACCCATCGGCACAAAGCTCGACATGATGCCCTCTTGCAGCGGCCCTGCTTCGCTGCTAACTTCGTAGACCACACTGGGGGTCGCCGATTGAGATACCGCCGTCGAGTCCACCATGACAATCACCAGTCCGTTACTCGTGATCGTCTGTACGGCCTGAGCTGCCGGAGTAGTGGTTGTATAAGAAGTCACCGTTGTCGTTCCAACCCAGGTACTCGGTTGATATGTTGTCGGAGGATTGTAACAGTTGTTTTCACATTGGTCGCAGCATTCCCAATATACGACCGTCGAGGTCACAGGACAGGGCAAGATCGAGGTTACTGTGACGATGACGTTTGCTTGCGTGTAGCTCGTTACATAGGTCGTTGAGGGTGTGTAGTACGACCAATATGAAGTGGTTGTCGGCGTCCAATATGAAGTTGTTGATGGTGTCCAATATCCTGAGTCGCTGCAGATAGGCGTTAGGTTGCCGCATGATCAGCAAGAGGGAGTAGAGGGAGGGCGACTCACTAGGCCAAGCCTTGCCGCAGAAGAAGGCCGATGAATGTGAGAACAGGCCACAGCATGGTTCCCATCAGCAGATAGCGAGCGAATCGGATGGGAGAGATATGCCACGGATCGAGGAGAAGGCGGTCGCAGGTAGGTAGAGATGGGAAAGAGGAATGGCAATCAGAATGACAATCAGAATGACAATCAGAAAGGTTTGGAAACACCAACCATGCCCACCTTTTTCATTGCTGGAAGATCTCAGCTGGGTGCCATGACCTGCGACTTACGTAGTCCGAAAGCAGGAGCTCGAGCTTGGAGCTGGAAACTTTGTTCGGAAGAGCTTTCTAGAGTTTCCAAGCTCAAAAGGTCGATGGGCAGAGCTCCTTGCAGCTCCCTTTTTGCCGCAGCTTGGCCAATGGTCACAGTAGGAAAGCCTCGACCCCGCCATTGGACCCGCTGCTGGAGCAGAAATCCGGGAAACAGGACAGTTCGAAAGAGGGAGGAAAGGTACCTAGGTACTTAGGTGTGTCTTATCAACACGATGATTGCTCCAAGGACATGGAGGGGCAATCGAGTTGGCGCGGGTTTTCTTGAGTTTTTGGGTCGAGGCCAATCAACGATGCGGGAGTGAGCACTGATGGGCGACAAGCATGTGTGGATGCGGAAATGCCTTGCATGAGGTGTGCGAGGGGCAGTAGGAGCGTTGTCTCGTGCAAAGTCAAAGTCCGTGGACGAGCTGCAGAGTGATGTCAACCCGAGGAAGTTAGTTTAGCAGTTTCGACAGAGCGACGGAGCGACAAGGATGGTGGTGGAAGAAGAATGAGGAAAAGCGGTGGCTCTTGGGTGGCTCTGGCACATGGTCAGTGACAATCATGGTTCGGCGGGACACAGGCGAGGCGGGCGGGTGGCGGGGACAAGGTTTCAAGGTGGACGGTGGCATTCTTCTTTCTCCCTCCATCGCCCACCATCGCCCACCATCGCTCCCACTCTCTTTCAAGTCACCCAGCGAGCCAGGTATATACAGTGTTCAGTGCTGACTACCTAGGTACCTATGTACACCAATTACAACGACTAATTCATCTATGAAGCACTCGCCCCCACAGGAACATTGACGCCGTTGATGCCCGTCGAATCTTCGCTCAGCAGCCATGTTATCGTCTCGGCCACTCTCTCCGGGTCAAGCAGCACCACTCCGCGCCTCGCCATATCTGCCTCGGCTTCCTCTTCATCTTTGTACCATGATAACGCCATTCCCGTCTTCGTTGCGCCTTGGAAAATTGATTAGCAAAGCGGATGGCCGAAAGACGGAAACGGAGAGGCGACAGCTCACTTGGAGACACAGCGTTTAATCTAATTCCCAACGGCCCCAATTCCTTCGACACGGTGGTCGTTAGAACGGCCACGGCGTGCTTCGTCACACAGTATGACAAAATGCTCGGATCGTGAAACAAACTTGCCGCACTCGCAATGTTGACGATGCTGCGCGGCGACGGGGGCAACTCCATCATCGCCTTCACTTGCGCCCTCATGCTGTACAAGATCCCCGTGAGGTTCACATTCATCACGCGGTTCCACGTCTCGTCTGTTTCGTTCAAGAACAGCGGCGTTTGTTGGTTGGCAGACATGTTGATGACTCCCGCGCAATTCACTGCTCCGTCGAGACCGCCAAACGTGTTGACCGTGTCCTTGATCCAGGTGTTGACGTCCAGGCTCGAAGCCACGTCGACTTTCGACATAGATACCTGCATATCAGGGTTGACTGACTGTAGTTTCTTCCTGGCGCTGTCAAAGAAGCTGGGGTTGATGTCGCCCACGGAGACGGCTCTGGCTTTTAGCCTCGCAAGCCTGCAGCATGTCGCTAACCCGAGACCAGAACTGGCACCTGTCAAGGCAAATACTTTGCCAGCGATAGAAGCCATGATGAGGCTCTAAAAGAAAAGACCACCACGATTGGTCAGGTTGGTTTCAGGGAGGAGCGGATAACAAATCCGCGACGTTGAGAGGGAAGAAAGAGGATTCGTAGAACATCCACGACACTTATCACCACGTAAATACACATCCCATAGACCTCTGCCGAGAGAGGGGCTGATTCCTGTTGCGTTGCAGCGCATCCATGCCAGCACATCAGATCTGGTATTGGTCTGGTACGTTAGCTTCATGCAAGATACCTTGGGTGGTGCAGCGATTCGGCCGAAGCACAACATCCTCACATTGTGATAGATCCAACCAAATTTAAGCCGGAATTGATTTGGTGGAGTGCTGAGGGAAGGATGTCGAACACAAGAGGCAGAATAGCTCAACAGGGCGCTTAGTAAAAGTTCGATCAGGGCGGATCAATCCTCCAAGCACAAGGCAGATCCTTTCAGAAACGGTCACATTTGTATCGGCGTCCCTACCTAGGTACCTAGGTACCGTTGCGTGCTGGGCGTATCATATCTTCGTATTACCTATGTCACAAGAACACTTCATCTCCATCCAGTTCATCGCTGACCACCTCGCCCAGCACCAGCGCCGCCGGCACCTCCACCCATGAACTGTTGCGCACTGTAGCTGTCAGCTTAGGTTTCCAACAGGTGTTTGGAGCGTACTCACAGGCTTGCGAGCTGGGGATCTTGCATCATTTGTTGTATTTGGCTCATGTCGGGCATACCACCTTGACCCTCTCGGCGATTGTTCATCAAGTTCTGTAGGGTCGGGTTGTTCATGATTCCGCTCAGAGCCTCCGGATTGCGCATGATGTTCTGCGCCATGGATGCGAACATAGGATTGCTCATGATGCTGGACAAGTCAGGCATACCGCCTCCACCACGACCACCACCCAACATTCCTGCCAGGCTGGCAAGATCCGGCATGCCGCCCCCGCCGCGCGTCTCGCCCGCGGCATCGTCTACTTCATCTTCAGGTATCTTCTCCTCCTCTGCTTCCATCCGGGCCAACTCTTTCTTTGCAGTCTCCAAGCCTTTCCTCATGGCTTCGCTGCCTCCGTTTCCTTCAAAGTCAATGCCCTGCTGGTAAGCCTCAACACTTCCTTTGGCGTCGCCCATGGCGAATCTCGCCAGCCCTAATCTTGACCAAGCCTTTGTGTATTTGGGATCCGCGGCAACGGCGAGTTCGGCATCTTTTACGGCGGAAGCATGATCACCGCTTGCAGAATATGCCGCGGCACGGTTGGAGAGGTAGATGGGGTTTGTAGGAGCGTAGGAGATGGCCTGGGTGTATTTTTCGATGGCAGTCTTGTAGTCTTTCTGTTGCATGGCTGCATTGCCAGCACTCTTGAGCTTCTCTGCCTCTGGATTTATGGCCTGGGGAGCCGATGGCTGCGAAGGAGGGGCCTGGGTCCCACCGGGGGGAGCCTTTCCTTGCAGTTTCTCGTACACCGAGAAGATGTTGAGCAAGGACTGAGAGCCGACGGCTTCGGACAGGGCAGTCTTGTCAGACGGGTCGACTTTGAAGGCCTCTGCGATACAGTTGCTGGCAATTTCGATATTGTCGGCGTCATCTGCGGTGAGAGTGCCGTCCTTGAGAGAAGTGGACAGGAAGTCTATTATCGACAGCGCCAGGCGCTTCTTAGAGTCGGAGAGAGACTGGGATGTGTTAGCAGCTCGTCAAACAAAGGGACATTTGGACATACCATTTTGAGACGGTAAGGAGAGCGCGGTTTCAGGAGAAATGAACAAGTGGACAGAGTACTGTGCGTATCGTTGCAGCCTCGAGAGTGTCAACATCTCAAGGTGCCAGTCCACCAACAATAACTCGTCATTGTCGCAAAGGGGAAGGTACCCCGAGCGACCCCCACCCCGCCTGTGCCTCCTTTGAACATGTTCACGTTCCATCCTTCACCTTCAGCTTCTTCCATGTTCGATGCATTATGGCTTCTGCTTCTACGCTAGACCAGGATTGCACATTGATAGACAAACGGGTTCTCTATTTTTCCTCCTTTCTGGATGTCCCTGCTGTCTACATAGAATGAGCCTTGCACCCTGGGCAAATGTCAGATCCCCCTTCTAACATGAATCTTTGTCCCTTTTGCACCTCGCCGATTTCTGTCCAGTGTGTCACCAGTGGTCATGACCAATAATGACGATATATGTCCTCGGAGAGGCCCTAATAAGTCGTTTCTATCACTTTTCTCTCCTAAAACCCCTGTCTAATAACCCTAAATCTTCAAAAATGATCTGGCTGAAGGAGGTCAACAATTCGAGCTCGGACGAAGAGACCGTATGAGTCATGACGCTGCTGGACACAGCCGTCTCATCTCGGCTTCTCATAGAGGGAAGGCAAAGCTGATGGATAGGTACAACATGCTGGAGTTGCCCGTCAGTATAGACTGTTGGAGGCGTTCATGGTGGGTCTGGGCGTATGCTTCCTGATGAGCGGGCACCACGCTAACGCTATGCGGCAGACTGCGCACCCAGTGGACGCCTCTCGCATCTCCTCCTCTGACAGCCTTAAGGCAATCTCAAGTCTTCTGGCTAACGTCCGATTCCTGGACGGGAAATCCGCAGTATAGTCCTCGCAAGTATTTGGGCAGGGCTTTGCGGAAAAGGCAGAGACAAACGAGGTACTCGGATCTTCTATCTCTAGGTCTGGTGGATTGACATCCGAGTCGTCCCCAGGCTCCGGTTCGTGTAATCCAGCAATAGATCATAGTCATCCGATGGTCTGCAATGATCTGGGGGTGGAGGAAGTCCGTATTGATCACCATCAGTTGCGTGATCCGTGTCGTCTCTTTGTGACCCATTTCACTTGACTTTCCCTCTAGGCTCACATACCCCACTACGAACCCAATCGACTCTCTAGTTCTGTATATCTTATCAATAGTAAGCTCTCTGGCACCCAAATATGCTTAAAGATTGTGAAGATGCCAGCGAAAAAAGCGATCAACCTGAGGCCTGCGGCCGGCGTGTCCAAGGATGAACTATAACTAAAAGAGATTACGATGAACTCGCATAGATAGGTTATGCAAGAGCCGTTCCCTGAGCATGAACTCTTCGAGGCCATGATGCAGGGCAAGAACATCGACCACCTTGGCCCGCGCCGTCCAGGAAAGCCAAAGCAGACGAGCCAGGGAGGTCGGAAGACACAGTGAAGTGCCGTGAGGCGATGGGGCTGATAGACCCTCCGCTGGCATTAGCATATCTTGGAGGAGCGATGGCGTTCGGGAGGTCGAAGGACACAATGGGTTGTCGTGAGGCGATGGCTCTGGTTGTTTCTGTGCTGGGACTCTTACAGCGGGACTGGCTGGACACGGTGTCTCTTCCCGATCCTCGCTTCAGCGGGCAGAGGACGTTCAGGGTCATACTCCGATCCATTCAGTGGCGCTTGAATACCATCAGAACCATGAACAGTGTACAGGAAAGTGTCCATGGGGCTTCATAGACAAAAAGAAGAGAAAGAAAGATAAATTGAATTGGATTTATACATGGTCAGGCGTTGGCGGCACGCATCAGGCAGTCCTCAACTTCGTAGTAATTACACACGATGCTACGTTTGACCGCATAATCCTACGATTGTACTGGACGTGACGACATCTTAATGGAACGAGGTCAGTCCAGGCGACAGATCGAGAAACTGGGAAGGCTGGCAAGGATTGAAAAAAAAAGGACGACCTGGAAGCCCATTCAATATTCCCCAGTTTGCCCGTTCAGGCCGCGTGAGTCTGATTCCATTCCTGCAGCCACAACTTGACGGCCTCGATCTCTCTGGTTTGCGCGCTGTGCACCACGGCCGGCATCTTGTAGTCGGTCTCGTTCGGCAGCAGTCCCGGAAAGTCCCATTCGTGGAACCCGCCCTTGATCACGATTTCCGGGTCGCTGGTCGTGCCGTTGCTGTTTAGACGCGGGTTGGGTTTTCCATCTGCGAGGAACTCCGCCAATGGCGTGTTCGGCCGATAGTAGTCGAGTTGACCCGTCGACAGGGCCAGGCGGGGGTAGGACATGTTGAACCCGCCGTACTTGTTGAACCGCTGGAGCTGTGGGTCGTACGTGATGTTGTAGGTCGAGTGGCAGAGATCGAGGTTGTATTCTAGGTTCATGGTGCGCGAGACCAGGGGGAGGGCAGCCGGGTGGCCCGGTGTGCCGGGGTTGTAGCCTGTTGCGAAGTCCCCGTACTCTGTGCACTCGAGCCAGTTGAACGGACTTGGGGTGCCCAGCAGCAGACATTCGCCCACCACCTTTCCTGCACAAAAGTCCTCCTGGGTTTGTATGTACAAGAAGAGATTCAGGAGAGGATAGTAGAGGTCCGTGACGTTGGGGGTTGCGGTCTTATTGGCGTACGCAAGCAGAGAATGTGCCGCGGTCTGAAGAGCCGCAGTGGACACAGTCGCGTTGGTTTCAGACGTGATGAAGTCGCAGTAGGAGCCCGGGCCTATGTTGAGGAGAGTTTTAGTCACTCTATCGCACCAGGGGACAATCGAGGTTGCGATGATTGACATAATACGTACCTGACAGAGGATCTGGCGGGAAATTCCAGGACTGGTCCCAAGCACTCAAGGTGCCACTAAGGAAATATGCCAGATCGGGATATTTGGAGGCGTCCGAAACATTAAAGGCGGCGTAGAGTTCAGACAAGGCGGTCTTATTCCCACTCTCATAGATGTTATCCATCAGATTCGTTAGTTGTTGCTGTTTCTTGACACATTGCGCGGGCCCATATCGCCGTATCACATCATAGTATTGCCAGTTATCGTCGATGGCGACAGTGATTCCGGAGGATGATAACCCGCCCCAAAAGATATCGGGATACTGAATGCGAGTGAACGCGGATATGACTCCGCCGTAGGACCCGCCTAGTATAATCCACGGGGTTGTGGCAGCCGTGAGGTTTCGATCTTCGAGCCCTGGGAAACTCACTCTTTGGGCAAAATAGGCGAGATCGGCCATTGCTTGCTCGGTGCTGTGAAAACGAAGATTCTCTGTGGTATACGGCTGACTGGGAGGAACAACATTGCCACCACTGTAGTACCTGTGTCTAGGTCAGCCCTCAATCTAGCCTCCTTCAATGGCCACCATCACTCGCCTTTGGGCCCATAGGACCGCAACTCCTCCAGTGGCGTTGGCGATCTCGTGGAGAAGACCCTTCTGAAGCCATTGAAAGTCACCTTGTTCTGAATCCTCACCGATAGCAAGGATGATAACTGGACCCCCAGGAACATAGTTTGTAGTATCCAGCCAGTAGAATTGTTCGAATGTTGCATTGGTATGAGGTTCGTACCGAGTTTCGTTATGGAAGTGATCAATCGGCATGGTAAAGTTTTGGGTGCTATCCATGAGTTAGGCTCATGGCTTCACCTGGCTCCAACTTGCAACTAAAGGTGGGCAGTTGTACGCGGAGCAGTAGGGAAGTAGAAAGACTGTCTGTGGTCGAAATGGGGATATACTGACGGGTAACTAACTCCCTGCGACTGTCTTCTCGTAATGGACTTGTATGCATCCACCGACACCCTGGACATCTTTTTCAGCTGCTCCTCGTAGCCATAATGGGACGTGAGAGGACTTACGCTGCTACGGCAAGGTAGAGAAGTTGTGTTAACAATTTCAAGAGGACAGCCATCTTGTGAGGAGACTTCTTGTAGGAGCTGCTGTACGGCGATGTTGAGTGCTGAGAGCCAAGTGAAGCTCTAATATATACTGCGTGATGCCGTCGTGAGTCGCCTGGGCCCAAAGGTGACGAGTTATATACCCCCTGTCTGATTAATCTGGACCCTCAACCCTCTTTCAGTTAGCAGCAAGGCTGTGCGAAGCTGTTGATCTTCCCAATTTTTGGGCTAATTTGCATCTCAACGTAGCGTGAATCAGCGATGGTACGTGGCTTTTCTTCACGCGAGATCAGATCTCGTCTCGCCGATGCCACGTTGTGCATCCTCTCCAAAAATCCAATGTTGAAGAAGAAAGAGCAGGCTTAGGCGCCCGTCAAAAAGACATTGCCCATATTGGTAGTAGGGTGGAGCCTGCGACCCAACTGGATACCAGAAAACTTGATGATCTTGTAGATCGAATCCCATAGCTATACCGCGAGCTCGATGGGTCATCGGTAACCTGCTTGAACTAGCTGGGTCTGGAGATCAGTTCTCTGGCTCTGGTTTTGCAAGTTGACGTCAATGCAGAGGGGGACCCAATGTAAGACACGGCAGAAGAGCATGACTGCTGCGGAGAGTGAGCGTTTGATTAAGTACTCCATACGGAGTACTGGGTAAGGCGTACTCGGTACTCCGCACGGAGCACAAGTACCCACGACAATGAGGAGAAGACGGGACGACCCCTGTGGTAGTGTAGGATGAGGCGCAGTCACAGGGACCACGAGTACTCGGTGCTCGCACATATTGTTGAGCGAGGTACGAAGCACAAATCTACAAACCCATACCCGTCCTCGCATAAACCCGTGGTGAAGCGCTAGGCCCCTGAGATACTGGCCGTCGCTCCCCGGGCTCGCGCCAAGTCCTGGGGGTGACGTGCAACCCGGCCTCGTCGGGAGTTGATCATCTTGGCACTGGCGTGTACATGTTGGTAGTAAAGGAGTGTTCAAGCTGCATTGGGACAGCATACGTAGTAGTTAGCCAGGTAAATACGGATTACATCGATTAATTACTAGGTATCTGGCCCTAGAACTGCCTTTTAGGTCCCTATGATGCCTAGCGTCTTGGCTGGAACCTTATGAATAGTACCGGATGAGGGGAAAACGGCTCTCGCTTTGTCGACAGCTCAACTGGTCGGAGCCTCGTCCCTTTCACCACCTGCGATTGTTTGCAGACAACCTCTCCACTCCTCTTCCCTCCAACTTCATCTCGCCTTCTTCCTTAAATCTTTCGAAGAAGTTGGATACCCTGCAGGCTGCTGGCGCGTGGCTATCAGCTTTTCCATCCTATCTGAACGCCACTATCGCCCACACTGCCTACTACAGCTCCAATCTACGGGTAGCACTATGCAAGTTGTTGTTTCGGACGCCTCAAAAGCCTTTACCGAAGCTTTCCTGAAGTAGAGGCATCTGGGCGATGCGCTTCGTCCATGCGATAGTCAGCTGAGAAGTGGTCGAGCCATCCCACGAAGTTCAGCTGAGGAAATTTCAGCCACATGCTCTGATGGTATAAAGGACGTTGTACTACTCCAAGAACTTCTGCTCTGATACCAGGTCTCTATCTGACATGGAGCAAAACTCACTCTCTTTACAAAAATTGACAATGACTACCCAATCCGTCCCGGATGTCATCCCAGAGATTAAGAAATGGCTCGATGTCAATTGGGAAAAGATCAGCTCATTCTGGCTATACGCTGATTGGCGAAGCTGGGCTCGATATGATCTCTACGCTCATCTCGAAAAGGGCATGTGCAAAGAAGTCAGGCCAGATCACCCCAGACGGGACTATACTGTCTCCCACGGCGTTCCCTTGTGGGGAGAGGACGAGCCGGAAGTGGACCTGACAGTGGGACCTGCGGCCAACCAGAAGATGAACGACTTGGCTATTTGGATCTGCACCGCGACCCCGGGCGAGAACGATACGAGTTTTCCGAACTTCGTGGAGAAGTATCAGCGGGAGTGGAAATTGGTTCAGGATCTGACGAAGAAGAATGGCGGAGGTGATCTTGAAGGTGGCAAGCTTCTCTTTCTGGGAATCGGGGAAAAGGCATATGATGACGAGGAGCTTGATTTCGGTGGTCTGAAGCCCGAGTATTTCGGCTTCGGGGGCAGGTCTGAATATGAGGGAGCTGTCTATGTGTACTATCTCTGGCTCGATCTCCCAGAGACGGAGGAGTCATGATATAGCCACACCCTCACGGACTTATTTTATGGTTGGCCTCATTTGGGAAGGGCGTGTAATAATAATAGATAGGTCTCAGTTCATATTTGTGACTAGCGCTAAGATATGTAGCCACCTATATCAATCTCCATGATGCCTCTGTCCATCGTTGGCAATATTCGTATACAGAAATCGTTGAATCATAAACTTTGTCTCAATACTCTGTCGGCGGACCAGTCTTATATAGCTTGTATCTTATGCGGTATGGCAACCCTTTCAAATGGCAGACGATGGGATCGTAGAGCTGCGACGCAAGTTCGCCGGCTGGGCCTGTTCTCGACTAACCTGCACGGTTTTCTGAGTGTCCGTAATAGTAACCGTGGCGGTTTCTTCTGGCACTGTCCAAGGGTCAGGAAGCGGATGCTCCCCCCTTTTGAATGCCTCTCTCCGGAGCTCGAGAGTTTGTCGTGCCTTGGCCCATGAGTCGGCCTCGTCCTTATCGAGCCTCCCAGGGAAAAAAGTCGTCAGAACTGCCAAACCGACACCGGGTCGATACTCCTCTGCCTTCATCAGGACAGCCATGACCTTCTCGCCAGGGTCAGCTTTGATGCGCTTACAATTATCAAGATCTTCCACAACAGGAGAACCATGAGCTGCGGGCTTACGTGCCGCATTGGCAACATACACGTTATGCACCATGCCCAGCCCGCCCACTCCCATTAGATACCAAGTATCTTTTTCAAGCCCGCCCGCGGTGATCAAGAAAAACACCCAAGCAACGGCCAGCGCCACAAGGATGGATCTTGACAGCAAGGTGGCCCGCGGCGACTGGATGGCCAAGTCTTCCATATTGAGACTCGTCCCTACTTTCTTGGGTGCACCCTCCTTGACCTCTCCCTTGATAGGGGGCGCGTTCTCGATGACAAACACATGCACGTGGCCATTTCCTCGGGTCAAAATGTAGGTATCCCTTGAATCCAACCGACAGGCATATTTCTCATCCATCCACTGGGGCAGGGAGCCGGTGATCATCGCAAGCAAAGATCCCACCCCAGTGATCATGAGGATTCCCCAGTTGCGCTGGGGCAGAATGGTAGGTATCGCAGCGATCACCAGCTGTAAGGGCAGGAACAGCAAAAAGCTCCACCAAATCATGTCAGCCTTAGGACAACCTGGCTTTTCCTTGGTCGTCAGAAAGGTAAACACAGGCTTGGTGTACTTTTTTGTCGTCCGTTTCATCTTGCCTTCATTGTCCTTTTGCATTATCACTTCATCAGGCATTTTAAGATGTTTATTGATCTCCAGGTCTCGCACCAGTCGGCCAATGATCCAAGATTCATTTTCACGTTCTCCTTGGCTGCGCAGTGGGATGACACGGCACTCTATGTCTGGGGAAGGCATCAGAGAGCCATCGCTCAGAGCTGAATTCAGCGCGCTGAAAGCATATGCCACCCATCCAAAGCTAAATGCGGTCGGGGTGATGTAGACACCCCGCAGCTTATGGCCCACCAGTTGGGCAATGGCTTTTTGTACAATGTCCCCGCCGATAAGCAGTAAAACGGAGAATGTCTCCGCAGGGTTTTCATATTGTTCCTTGAAGTAGACACGCGGGTCGGAGGAAGCGGAGGCGGGTGTCTCGGACCCGGTGGAGTTGGTCAAAGCTTCAGAGGCACGGAGGTGAAGGGATCGAGAGGTAACTGTTTGCAGCAGCAGGAACAGACATGAGAGGAGCAGCATCTTGGGTGCTGGATACTGAGCAGCTCATCACCTCCAAATCGACAATCTGTCATAGTTCCAACTTCAGGCTGCTGCAGCTCTTAGATCTCGAGCTGCATGCGCAGGTGCGCTGTTGGCTCCGCAGCCTCACAGTCTCCCAGCCTCCCCACAGGTGGCCTTATAATTTATACGAGATTCTAAAGGCTTGGCGGCAAAAGCGTTGTGAAAACTGCTCGCAGCTCGCAGACGGTTCACCCCGACCGCGCCGCTTTTATAAACACTCACCTCACCCGTCACCCTCCTCTCATCGTTCTCTCACCTTCCTCCTACTTTTTACTCCTTCTTAACTTACCCTCGGCGCGACGGTCCCGTTCCTCCTATAGTTCTATCGTATACGTACGCGTCTATACTAGGATCTAAAATTAGCGTCGGCCGATATAGACTATTTTTTTTAGATTCCTATAGTGGTCCTTCTCTCCCTCCTTACGCTCGATAGCTATAATTCCCCTCTAGATCTACCTTAAGCTATCCCTTCCCCCTTCTAGAGTATAAGATAGTGCCGAGTCCCTATCCCACCCCGTAGTCTATAAAATTCTCGTTGACGCCCATAGCTATCAGCCTCGCCCCAGTTCAGTAGTACTACTAAAGAAAAAGAAGAAGGATCCTAGCTACGCCTAAGTAAACTAGCTAATAGTAGCCTACGGTTATTATCCTATATATTATCTAGTAGAATACCTAGCCTTGGTGCAACCCTATTCCCCAGCATAGCTCTCCCCATTACAGTAGGGCCTAGGGAATGGCGAATATCTATAAGATCTCGGGAGTGTATACTACAAGTATACGGTAAGCCATACTTTTCTACTACGAGATATATAAAGATTGACTATGAATCGTATATAAAGGATAACGTACCTCAGCTTAGAGGGGGGGATAATTATTATGAACTAGAGATATTAAGACCTTTAGGGGGCTAGATATATATAAGTATACAAGTCGTAGGCTACCTTTCGAAGCTCCCTAGCTTCGGAATAGCTATCGTTCTACGCCTATAGATAGGTAATATACTTATTAGATAGTTCGCTGGCGAGCTATTCCTAATAGCTGCGTATATTATAGTCCTCCTCCTACCGCCGTATGTGTGAGGGCTCCCTAGGGGCCACCGGTAGATATAGCAATATAGCTGGTAGGCTATAAACCAACTGATAGATAGTAGCTATAGGAGGTGTAATACATAGGTTATCTAGGTTGTTGGGAGAGTCAACCCCTAGGTTACTCCTAGCCTACGATAAGTAGGGATAGCGTGTGCGCTCTTGGCACTTCCCAAGATCGCCTAGTGGATCCAAGGGAAGGCTTGGCAGGCCGTGCCAGTACGAGTTGGCGCCCTATGGCTACTGGCCTCACCCCAGTTCACTAGACATTCATAGTTCCGTCGATACAGAACTCGAAGCATGGGAGAAGCTTAATAGTCGATAAGGGCTCTCTAAGTGAAAGGGAGCTATCTTAGCGTCTACAATACTAAGATTTACTTCTATAACTTCCTATTCTTAATAATTATATAAAAGAGCTGAACGGGAAGAATATTAAGTAGATTATAATGCTAAATAGTCTAAATTTATAAACCTCTTTAACATAACACTTTGGTGTCTTTTAGTTATTGTGACTCATTATAATAATCGCTACTTTAAAATTTAACCTTAAATAGAAAAATTGTCTTAGCTATCTTCTATTTATGCTAACCCAGCCTAAAACCTAGACAATTCGATTTACGCCGAGCCGGGTTAGATTATCCAGTTAGTAAGGCCTGAAAACTAATGGGGTTATTAGGCCTAGCTGCGGTAATCTCTCAATAATTTCTGCGCCAAGCACCAGCCTCTGACATAGTAAACCGTCCCCCATTATGTATTCAAGTTTCTCCTGCCCCCCGGTAGGCAGCTGACTGGCAGTTGGTAACTGCGACTCGCAAGGATCCTTACTATCTGGTGCTGTGCACTCTTCTGACCGACAGTCTATCCACAGTCCGGAGTCGACATGATTATTGACGGACAGCATCTGACCAGAGCTTACTATTCGGACCAGATTACATAAGAATCTTGTCCTCCCCCGCCCACAAGTGGAGCATAACTGAAGCAAACCCGGGGGACGGCCGGAGGTCATTCGATTGGGAAGCATGGCGAACTCCCCAGAAATCCAGGTCACTCGTTCCTTTCGACTTGCTGCCCTCACGACTACGTACCTGCGCTTCCAATGTCACAGAATCTCTGACTCGGCTGGAACACCACCAACTCTGAAGACCTCCTTCCTGACGATGTCACTGAACACCGCTGAACACCACTGAACACAACTAGGGCTAGGCTGGTGGCATTCCCCATGGGTTCTGTACTTCACAAGTGCTACGAATGTGGTCGAAGCTTCCCGCGTCGCGAACATCTTGATCGCCATATACGCATCCGTAAGACCAGCCATCGTCCTCCACAATCGACAGACTGATAATTATTGTGTAGATACACAGGAGCGACCTTTCACCTGCACGGTCTGTGGCAAAAGCTACGCCCGCCGCGATGTCTACACCAGGCATCTACGGAGCCATAGCCCTTCGCTAAGACCTGCTTCAACCGTTCGTCGCAACTTCCGAAAAGCATGCGACGCTTGTCATGATCGCAAGGTGAAGTGTCATCCGTATGAGAGACCATGTCCAAGCTGCAAAGCCGCAGGTCTGCCTTGTACATTCACCGAAAGGGACGCTGATCGCTCGAATCCGCCGTCTACAAATGCACAACCTGCGTCCTCAGCAAGCCTTCCCGCTCCGGTAGCTGAAAATCAACAGGGTTTTCAGGTAGGGCCAGTTCAATTGAACCATCGTTGGTGAGGACTCCCGCTGATGGTGCGCAGCTTTCATCATGCCCAAGCACCACCATTCCTATTGACAGTTCCCTGTCCACGATCAATCTGCAGGCTTCCAACATCACCAGCGCGCCAACCGCAGAAGCTATGGTGCGGGATCCTTATAGGTTCGACCTCAACGACTTTCTAGAGCCTGACCAGCATCCCATATCATTCGACGAGATCGCGTTATTCCCTGGAGAGTTTGCAAATGATAGGCCCTATGGAGATTTTGCGAATGTAGGTATCCAAAGCCCCCTTGTTCCCTGATGTGACTTTCGACAACATGAGTTTGTCTCTGAATGAGTCGCTTAAATGTGCTCATGATCCTAACGGCTGACCCATGGGCAAGATCGACGGAGCACTCTCCGCAAGCTACTTTTACAGTCCGTTAGCAGAATCGTTCAACCCGGAATCTTTCGATGCGAACAACTTTGACCCTGACCTAGCCCCAAGCCTGTCTACTCGGCAAGTGAATGGGTCCTCGAAAGAATCGGCCCGCAATGAAACAAGGCGTCTGGCTACTGCCTATACAATGCTTTGCGCGTATTCGACTGCATCGCATCCGGCTCGTCCATCATCGCCTCAATCAGTCAAAGCACATGAAAGATACACACAAAATCTGAGGCGTCTTGGGCCACCAGATTACGATGATGTCGTGATCAACGTCTTCATTGGACTTTTCCAAAGGCACATAGCCCCGACGTTTTCCTGTTTTCAGGGCTTTCGCATCGGACCTTCGACACCGGCAGAGGTATATCTTGGTGTGGCCGCGGTAGGAGGTCTCTACTGCCAAGTACCAAAGGCCGATATTGTGGCAAAGTGGTTACAAAGGATTGCAAAGCGCAAACTGCTGACGGTGGTAAGTAGGTGTTGCAAAAGACGACTACTCATCTATTTTGCGCTGAAGAGGTTACTGACTTGGGACCTAGGTCCACATTCAGCATCCTACTACTCTCTTGGACAATTTATCAATCCTACAGGCTGTGAGTCATAATCAAGAGCCATCTTCCATGATTTGGCCTCTAGGATGGCTCGACCTCCGTGGAATTGGAGCTGATTTTTCACCCATAAAGTACGTCCTGATGGAGATCTTCGCCTTCATCTCCCACGACCCGAGGACCCTCTTTCTCCTCGAGGTGTTTCACTGCCAGGTGGTCCAGGTAATGAATCCAACCTACGCCGAAAAGTGGCGAACGTGCTTTTGCTTGAGGATATCTGACGCCAGCTATAGGCCTTCCGCGCTTCCAATCTTGAGCAAGATAATGGTTTGACTCCTGATTCAGACCGAAGGAGGTAAGCCCATGTCTTCAAGTCGGACCTGTTTGGCACTGATCAACTTTGCTCAGTCTCCTCAACGCTCTCGATCTCTTGGAATGCTACCGGACTGTGTTTCAGCAACGTCCAGCTAGGTTCTACCCGCTGGCATTCACAAATTCGATGTCTCTTATCAACCAAGATCCCATGCCTGACACTGCTAACTGGAACCGGGGTACGCTGAGGTCTTTGGTCCTGTCATTCCTGTCCTGCCACGAGCCATGTTGCAAGATCGAATCTTCCTCACTGAGCCTTCAGAGTCTCTCAATGCTGGCTGTATTAACCTCCTACGACTGTCGCCTTCCCGGTCTTCGCTTACGGTACCTCAAGTTAGCTGATGATACCTCTCCCCACCCGTCTCACGAGCTGCGCTTGGAGTTTCTTGAGCTTGCTTTGCAAAAGTGGCTCCGCTCCCACGTTGTGCAACCTGATGCCGGGCCCCTAATGCTTTATCATCTCGTCCACCTCCGCATCTACTGCAACCTGACCGCCATAGACCGATTGGCGCATTGGGCGATTGCCTCGAAGTCGTCCTTCTCAAGCGCACCACTTCCGGGGGCTCCAACTCCTGGGCAATGCTTTACTTCTTCCCAAAGCCAGGACAAGGCCGCATGGCATGCCACCAAGATTTTGGAAATTGCAAAAGGCCCGGGTTTTGATGCCAAGGCTAGTGACAATGTTATGCACCTCAAGAAGGACGCTGGACAAGACAAAACTGAGGTGATTCACTACAGTCACGCCGTATACTATGCATCGATGGTTATGTGGTGCTCGACCACATCCTCTCCGTTCTCTTCTCGGCAAAGCAAGTTGAGCACTGGGGACTCGATGACGGCGCTATCAATTCTACGACAAGGCGTTGAGCTACTATCTCACTCCGCTGCACTAGTCTCAAAAGCCTTCCAGCAGATCTTGAAGTCACTATAGTCGACCTTGTCCAAGCTCACCGCTAGTGTCTCAATTGCAGGTCCTGCGAGAGAATGAACAATCAATGTTCCATGGCAAAAGCTGAAGTTTTGAATTGGCAGGATTGGTTCGGAGGGTATGGGGGTACGAGATGCCCTGCCGCTGACCACTATATGTGCGGATTCAAGCTGAAGAAGTCTCGCGTGGTGCCAATCATGTCCGGTGTCAACCTAAAACATGTACCTTAGATAGGTGTCGCAGACGGTGAGAAACAATTTGTCCCATCCCAGATGCATTCCAGTACAGTTTCTCGGTCCTATGCTGAAATCTCTATTCGTTGTCGCCATCTCTGGCAATGAAGATACCAATCGATTGGGATTGAAGTCACCGGGACAGTATAAGGCGGTTAGATTCGCTTGCTGGGATATGCCAGGCTATCCACAGTCACGCTCGGCGGCATCTGGGTGACCCTCGTGGCGAGAAAATTGAGAGGGGATCTCAGAGACGCAGCAATTTTCTTCTAGAAAAGCCTCGCCCTTTTCCTTTCGCCCAACGATCCTGCGACTCTGTGCGCCGCCGCCGACTCATACCATAGATCGGAGTTGTTCCACAGCCCGCCATGACAAAAAGCACAGCGTTCGCCATCATTTCGCCCTCAGTCAGAGCTAGCGTTTGTCTAGCTATCCATCGGCATCCGGTGTGAGTCGTCGGAGTCTTGCCTGAGCGGTTCCCTCCGCGAATCCGCGCCCGCAAACAGTCAATGTCGCTTTGCACAGCACGTATATTGCGTTGAGCGGCTTCCTTGGCCGGTCCCTCTTGTGCACCTTGTTTGGGCTTACCCTGGCCCATTTCAAAGGATTGTGCAAAGCTCAACTGGCCGACGGTATCACGGTACGGAGGCAGAGCTTGTACAGAATGTCATGGATATCGACGGCCTAAGGTGCCACCTGCAACAACCGGTGGATTTGAAATGTCGATCTCGGCACCGGGGTGGAGGACCCTTTTTCTGGGAGAAGCCCACATCACACCAGATTGCGTTGAGTCCTTGATCGAGGCGAGGGTTCGATATGTGGAGTAATCGCCGTAAGGTCCGTATTGGGCCAAGAAAATGTGGAGGTTTCGCCGCGACCAATCGTGAGGTGAGAACCCTTCCCCCACCCCCACTCCGGGGAGTTCGGATGTTGACGCCCTGCAGCAGAGGTTTAAGGATAAAATGTTAGTTGGCTCTCGTTTCATTACGCCCCCTTTTAGTAGGGTCGTTTCCCCCCTATGAAACTGATTTATCATTCCCATAGATGGGGGTGCAGCAAATGGCAGGTTCAGAAGAAAGCTTGACTCCACAAGGAGCTATATAAGCTCTACCTCTTCAAGTAATACCCAAGATCTCCACCAGCGTCCTCCCGTAGGCTAAAGCCGTTCCCGAGGAACCTGAACGAATTGGGAGACCTGTAGGTGAACTCGAAATGTTCTCCTCTAATATCTTGCAAAATTTCTATTACACTTCGTTAGCTACGAATGCTGCTAGATAATGAAAGGGTTATTCTCACCTCGATAATGTATAGCACTGCCGGCGTGAAGAGCAGTAACCGGTCCGTCCTCTTTGCCATTCTTATACCAACTCTTGCATGGCCCTGCCCATACTGTCCTCTTCAATACCTCTTGAGAGTATATATCCAGATCGTCGACGGCGCTTTCCTTGACACAGACCGCCCTGCTCTGTTAGCAAGTGTTTCCTGTCTTGCAGTGGGTACTTACTTGATGTCTTCAGTAGCGATCTTGTGGCACCATTTCAGAATATAGTCGGTGATAGCGTCCAAGGAACCAGTCAGTGAACCGTGTGCCGCCGGAGACTTGGGGCCCATGTAGGTGAAGAAGTTGGGAACATGAGCAACAGAAACCCCAAAGTAAGCTTTAGCATAGTCTCTAAAGGCTTCGTCTAAGCGGTATCCATTTCTACCGACGAGGTTCCAGGACGGCCGGAAGCTTACATCGAAGCCTGTGGCGCAGACGATGAGATCAAATTCCTCTTCGCCTTCTTCGGTCAGTATCCCTCGCTCAGTAATCTTGACAATTTTGTTCCATTGACAGCGGGCGTTCTCCTGTTGAAGGGCTTCCAGATAGCCATCACCAGGGGTCAGCCGTCGGCAGCCCACTTTGAAAGCAGGAATGAGCCGCGCGATCAGGTCTTCGTTCCCCTTAAGTCGGTCTTTCATAATGTTTGTAAAGGCAATCTGGACTTCTTCCTGCTCGGGTCTTCCATCGAACATGGCTACTATGAAGTGATTGAACCTGAACAAGGGCACAATGTCAGTGGATCTCCTAGTGAGTCAGATTGAGAAGGGATCCGCACGCATGCTCTAGCGCTCTCCGCAACTCGAGAAAGAATGCCGGGTCGTCTCGAAATCTCTTCTTTTCTTCCTCGGTGTATTTGAAGTTTGCGCCTTCAGGTGTGAATTCGTTCAGGAAGTTTGCTGATATCCAGGTGGGACTGCGCATAAAGTTGACCAACAGCTGAGCTTTAGGCTGTAGTTGAGGCACAATTTGAATTGCGCTACTTCCATTGCCGATGACAGCAATCTTCTTTCCCGTCCAGTCATAGGACTTATCCCTGTAAGCATATTAGAATAGCCAGGTTCTATAATGTTGAAACGTTATTACGAACCAATGCGCAGTGTGTAGTAACTTGCCCCTAAAATCTTTCAGGCCTTCAATCTTTGGCCAAAACCACTTACTGGAAATTCAATTGTCACTCTTAGTTCCACTGATATCGATGCTCTAACTTACTTCAAGATTCCAGATGCATTAATCAGAATGTCACACTCATCTTCAATCGTTGTTCCATCTTGACTAATTCTGAGCTTCCACTTGCCGGCCTCTTCGTTCCAAGTTGAATCTGTGACTTTTGATCGCAGGGATACAAATGGTAGAAGGTCGTACTTGATGGCAGTATCCTTGATGTACCGCCAGATCTCAGCGCCGCCGGCGTAGAAGGATGACCAATTTGGATTCGGTTCGAATTGGAAGACGTAAGTATCTGGAGCTTGTCAACCAAGAGCCATGATTCAGCCATGAAGCACGCGCTCACGGGCTGGGGTATCACTAATAGCCGTTAGCCCTAGTGGCGTGTCAAGCCATGAATATAACTGACCATGCTACGCCGGGATATCTGTTCTCGTACCATGTCCCGCCAACATCTGAATTCTTGTCATAGATCTGTAGGTCAAACTCGTGTTCCAGTCTCAACTCATGTTTGATTTTATACGCCAGGGTCAGGCCTGAGAAACCAGCGCCGATGCACACAAGTCGTAATTTTCGAGGAGTGAACATTGCCTGGTCCAGAAGAGGCACCGAATTCGTGGGGGGCGCGCCATTGGCACCGTTTACAGCCATGTTGGACTTTTGCACACCCTGGTCGTTAAGGCTGAAGTCAAGTTCGCACACACATCGACTGTTAAGAGAGTTTATAAAAGGTTTCAACTACCAGTCTTGTTCGCTCTTTTTGTAGACACGTTGTGGAAAGAGTTCAGATCCATGATGGCGGGAGTCCTGCGATTTCGAGTATCCGACTATAGAGACATCATGACTGGTCTCGGCGCAATCTCCACATCTTGTTAGAGCATCCCTGCCGGCGATTTCTCCACACGTTAGAAGGCAAATTCCGGCCGGGGTCAAGCTAACACTCCGTCTGCAGGCGGACGAAAGAGCTTGGTCAGATTCCCTATAGACTTGACTTGACCATTATTGTATCTCCGAGGATGGGAAAAGAGATGAGCAGCACCGGCATACACCGCATCGTCTACTCGCTAAATACCCCACGGGAAACGTATATTTCTGATGGTTGAATCCTCATTATGCAGTTAGCCGTCAACCCTACCAAAATCTACTGCACACATTCTCTACCTGAGACTGCGATCGTCTTTGGCGAACTTTGCCATACTACCTATCTCACCCAACCTCCCAAAGCAATCCGGACCCACTTGCTCTCCCGCTGTTGATCATCTCCTCATCACCATGGCCCCGGTATTGATCGGCCTGGAAGAGCATTTCACCGGGCAGGCAGTCCTGAGTAGACCGTCTGCTACAGCGATCCCCATTTTCATGTTTCCGCAGTCCCTCGCTGACAATCTGGCCGACTTGGGGAAGACTCGCATCGAGATGATGGACCGCGGCAATATGAGCATTCAAGTCATTTCCCACATCCCAGCAGTTGAGCCACCGGAGATTTGTCGCGCCGTCAACGACCAGCTGTTCGACGCGGTCAAAACCAGTGCAGGACGCTATCGTGGCTTTGCTTTCCTACCTATGGGTTCGCCCGAGGCTATTTCCGACGAACTCAAGCGATGCGTGCAGTCCTTGGGCTTCGTTGGAGCATTGATCCCCAATCACGCCCATGGCAAGTATTACGACGACAAGGCGTACTGGCCTATGTGGGAAACGGCCCAAGAGCTCGATGTTCCCATCTATATCCACCCGACCCCTACCGAAGACTTCAAACGGTATGCGGGAAACTACGACAACGTCGTGCAGACGCTTATTGCAGGACCGGCGCTCTGTTGGCACACTGATATCGCCATGCACACACTCCGTCTGTATGGCAGTGGCATGTTCGACGCATATCCTCGAGTCAAGATCGTACTGGGGCATAATGGTGAAGCAGTCCCCTTCATGCTGGACAGAATTGAGAAGATGTTTTCCAGGAGATGGGGCAAGCTTGGACGTGACTGGATGACGGTATGGAACGAAAACATCTGGATCACTACCAGCGGCATGTTTCATCTGGGCCCCTTGCAGTGCTGTCTGACAATGTGCAAACCTGATCGAATCTTGTACAGTAAGTGATGCCCACCACCGGCAGGATATTGTGAATGCTGGAGCTGACCTGCCCTCCGGGTATTAGGCCTTGATTACCCGTTCGAAGACCCTAAAGAGGGTTTGGAGTTTATGGAGGAGCTGGAGAAAAGTGGGCTTGTTTCTCCTGAGCAGTTTGAGATGATATGTTCTGGGAACGCGAAGAAGCTCCTACGGATCTAATAGACTACGCATATTGTCCTTGACAGAAAGGAGTCCAGAAATCTGCCCAGCCTTATTCCCTTCGATAACTTGCATTTGGGGACACACTAGTAGCGTTTTGAAGAACCTCTGACGTGTTTCATACTGCAACTCTACAGAAAACGGTGATCTCTTGAAGGATATTAATTGATACCCACTTCAGGAGACAGCAGACCTCCTGCAAGAGCTCGATCTTTCAGCGGCTATCTCTACTACACCAACTTACAAACCTTGTTCGCAATCCTACCAATACTCCCGAAGTGTTTTGCGGATCCTCTCAAGCACCAATAGCCTGACCAGCAAGATGGCTCACTGGGCCAGCTCTGGCTCTGAGCCTTCCTCCAAAAGTTTGAATGATCATGAGCAGCAGATACGCTGTGACGACTACTGCAGCTTGAATACCAAACGACGCACCGAATCCTTGGGCAAGGCCCCAATCCATCTGGAAATAACCCACGGTGAAGCCCAGGGCCACACGGCCAAAGTTGATCAGCGCCGATACCTCGCCTGAAGCGGACGGATAGCAGTTCAGCACGTATGCAATGGTTGCCACCGAGGTTACCATCACGCCGAGTGTGTGTGTATGTATGGACCGAAGGGCAAGATCGCATTTATCTTGGGCGCAAGTGGCATCATCTTACCTCATTATTCACCCATTCGCATCCGTGCTCACTGTGCCCCAAACAGCCTTATAACGACTTCTATCGCTCATGATGCTACCACTTACCCCTCCATAGGGAAAGAAGTCACTCCGAGACAATTCCCAGGCTCGCGCTCACCCATCTGGCACTGCATGGCTTCGACAGTATACTCAAATCCGAGGCGACTTTGGACCACACCTCCTGACTTGCTCTTATTAACACTTCTCTCGCTGCTTTCTGCGCGAGAGGCCATTCTCCGACCACATCGACGTACCAAGACCGTCAACCTTGCTGGATACGGACAAAACTCCGCCATAATGCCTACATCGGGTCCGGCTATGCGAGCAATCAATCGAAAGTCGACATCGGTGGAGCTCGACGCTTTCCGGACAAAGCTCGAATGTCGGCGTCCGCAGCAGGAAGATCCCGCCGCTTGGCTTCTGTATAAAGATCTTGTTGCCTAGTGCCGTTTCCAGGCCATCCTGTCCACGCCGCAATATCACGTAAAGGAGCGCGCTGACTCGTATCCCAGACGAACATTCGTTCAATGGGTTCATCAATTGACAGTCGCCATTGCCTCAGTCTCTTCAGAACGAGTTCATGGAACATTTCAAGTGCCAGGTCTGTATTCTCTCGTTCCTTATTATTGCCATGATGATGGTCAAAGAGAATATATGCCAGAGAACAGATGTCGGCTCTCTTATCGTAAGGAGGAGCATTCTCTCGTCCTTCTTCAAGAGCCCGTATTTCGGGAGTGTGGCACCTTACTGTGCCCTTCTGGTCCTCCTCTGATTGATCTGCCACTATTGCATGACCGAAATCTGCGATTTTGGTGGCAGCCTCGGGGCAAAACGATACGAGGATGTTGGTAGGCTTGATATCTCTATGCATGACTCCTACTGAGTCCACCCAATCCAGTCCTCTGATGGCTTGGTCCGAGGCGTCAAGCCTTGTCCCGTAACCGTGGTCCGACGTTCGAAAAGGCACAAACTTCATATCAGCCAGAGGGCGAATAAAAATATAAGCATCGTCGGTGGGACTTGTGAATTTAGTAGAGCCTGAGTATCTGACTTTGATAAATTCGCAAACATTTTGCTGGATCAACAGACGGTTAATCCCATGCTCACCATCTTGGATGGCAGTAACTCACGTCGCCCTTCACCAACTCAAGCAGCCGCACCTCATTCACAACCTCTGTTGTAGTGCGCAAACTGCGCCGGATCCGCTTCCCTGCCGTGGGAAGGCCGCCCTCCCTGCCCACGCAGATATCAAACCATAACTGCCTTTCGCAAACGGAGGGTGTATAATATCGGTTCCGATTCGCAGTTGTTGTGGTGTCGGAAGAAGTTCAAGGGCATGGGGCGAGAGTGCCTTGAGTTTTCCGAAGCTCTTTCAATCTGGTAAGCTGCTGGACAAATCGATTGCGACTCCGAGTGCGACTCAGTGCTGTGTACTGTAACACGTAACGCGACTGCCCAACCTCTAACCTCGTTTGAGAGTCTCCGCATAGCCGCTGCCCATCTTGAACGGGCTCGTCGTTGATGCGAACCATCCTGTTTTCCCCTACCAGCACCTTTAGCCAGCTGGTGTGTGGGTCGAGGATGAGGCTGAAGTGACGCCCTCGAACATGCTTCCTGTTGAGCGAGAGTTTCAAGTCAACACCCTCCTCTAGTAGGTCCAGTCACCAGAACGAGAAGCCAGCCTAGTGTAGAGAAATGGGAAGGAAGCATATCGTCATTGAGATTGAAGCAATAGTATCCGGTGCACACTTGCTCTCTACTCAAAGGAAGATCGTTGTCAGAGTCATCGTCTTCCCTGGTACCGTACTTGTTTCCCACTCTGTGTTGATGTGCATGAATTTTCTCCAAGCAAAATCATTGCCAGAGTGCCCTAGGACGACTGCGGCGACGTTGCTAAATACTCGCTTCGTGACTGCGCCATCCGAGATTAGATGAGCGAAATTGCCCTCTAGTCGTGCTCGTATTGGTTGTGGCAGATGAAGGTCGTCCAAGATATCTATGTCGGGCTAAAAAGAAAAGTTAGGTTGATGCGAGAACAACGTGCATTATATGAGCCAAAGAAAGGTCCGGACATGAGACATAAAGAATGCTTGGTGGATGGGAGAGGGCTCGGCGAGATGGCGACAGGGCGTTTCGCGTGCCGCCAAAGCTGAAACATCTCGGAACGAAACCTAAGTCTACGAGCACTCGTACTCGTACATCAGATCTTCTCGCTTTTGGGAAACTTGGTCCTCCTGACCTCTCATGATATATGTAATAAGTTCTGCTCAGTTTCCCTCCGATTGTGATCAACTTGAGGAGTATCCTTGTAAAACAGCTAAACTTTAACTGGTCCTTGCGACTGATTAGCCTCTAGAAACTGCTTGCTGAATTCATATGTCGTATAACCATCCTCATCAATCGTATAGAACTTGGCCCGGTCATAAGGGGTGAACTCGATGCCCTCCCGTATTCGGAAAGGCAGGTCAGGATTCGAGATAAAGTACCGACCAAAAGCAACAACAATATCCTTGTCTGGATGCCTTTCCACGAATTCCTTTGCTGACTCTGCACTAAATCCATTGGCCACCAGAATAGGAGACACGTTATCGTAGATATTGAGAAGGACATCCATGGATGCAGTGTCTTGGATTTCCTGATTGGCATCACCCATGCCAGATCCCGTAACAAGGTGGAGATGGCCGAGTTTGAGCTTCTTCAGTTCCTGGACTAGATAACCGAATGTCTGCATTGGATCCTTCATCCTCATTCCTTGGAACGTGCTGAAGGGGCTAAGCCGAATACCAGTTCGTTCACTTCCGATAGCTTCGACAACAGCCTTCGTAGCCTCCAATGCGAACCTGGAGCGGTTGTTGATGCTCCCTCCCCACTTATCGGTTCGTTTGTTTGTGACATCTTGCGTGAATTGGTCAATTAAATATCCACTGGCACCGTGGAGCTCAACGCCATCAAAGCCAGCCTTTATAGCATTCTTGGCAGCTTGAGCATAAGATTTGATGTATTGCTGAATCTCTTCCTCTGTTAATGGTGTTGGCTTGTCTCCCCCAGTCTGTGTTACGTCACTAGAGCTAACAACCCTTGCGTTTGGTCCAAGTTCCTTGGTCAATTGCGCCTTTGATGCTGATCTACCGAGTGCCCAAAGTTGCAATCTGATAAAGGACCCTTTGGCGTGAACTGCGGCAGTTACTTCACTCCATGCGGCAATCTGGGCCCCACTCCAAATACCAGGGATGTGAGCAAAAAGACCTGCTTCTGGGGTGATGAATGTTGCTTCGGTAATTATTTGGGTACCAGGCACTGAAGCTCGTTGGGCGTAGTATTCCTTTACATAGGGGAGGGGAACATGGTCGTCGTCGGCTCGATAGCGGGTCAAGGGCGACATGGCGATACGATGCTTGAGTTGGTCATTGCCCAGTTTGAGAGGGGTAAATAGCTTCAAGGCCATTTTTTTGCCGGAAGCCAGGAACTTGGTGGAGGCCAAGAGTAGTGAGACGGTTCAGCATGGGAGCCAAAAGTTCCACGTTATATGATTCTTTCGTAAATCAATGGTAGAAAGCCGACATTGTAGGGTCTTCTTCATATCCGTGAGGATGAAACAAACACGTACGTCAGATTTGTAACAAGAAGGAGGAAAAAAGGAGCTCTACTGCAAAGATTCTCGATAATTCCTTCTCGGAGATTCCTGATTCCGAAGGACAACAATGACACAATCTACACGTGTTATCGCCAACGAAGAAATAGTAAATGCCGGTAGGCCCCATGGCGAGAAACTTCCGGGATTTTGGAAATGGACCGGAATCCGTTTCTCGCATACCGGAGGCGTTTCATTCTTTCCCCGGGGCTCCACCCGTATCTTTGATACCCATGGGATCTTTTCCCTTTGAGCTACGACAACTAATATCGCGCCGGAGCTTTCAATGGGCACCCTCGGTCGTGCCGATCTATACAATGAAAGCGCCGGGATTCTCACAGGTGTCGAAGACAATATTTACTAATAAAGTGGATTTGGTTTCCCTATGTTCTCTCCATCCTCATTCTATGATCTCATATTACACCGATCAATGATGGCGAAGGTTTATGTTGCACGCACATTACCAGTGAATCCACCGGATGCTCCTTTTATTCTGACTAGAGCAACCCTCTGGGCTGCTTTACAGCGTAAAATCCGCCGTGCACCAGAATTTGTGCCGTCCATTACCAAATGTACCGTCCTGAAGGATGAGGGAGATTTTGTGGTCAGAGATGCGGTTATGATTGACTATGATGGCAAACCACAAACAATGCATGAGGAGGTCACATCAGTCGGTCAGCAATGGGTATACATGTGACTCTAAAGCAAATGGTCAGATGTTGCTAAACCTCCGTCCAGATTCATTTTCGTCAGCCCAATGGCAGTATAACCACGAACCTGATATCGAATGGCCCGGAGAACACTGACAAGGATATGTCACTGACCTATATCTTTGAATGGGTTCCACCCGAAGGTGGAGAAGGGGACGAGCTCAAGGAGAAAGCTCTCAGGTTCCTCAACGAGGTGAACAAGATGCCACCAATCCTGCCAAGCCTAGTGCCGAGTCTGATAATCTGCAGGGCGCTCTTATGGCGGTTAGGCAATCCATCGGTACCGCGAGAGAGCTGTTCACCCAGGGTCTGATCAAATAGCTAGCCGGATACAGGATTTGACCGCTGTCTGTCTCTTCTTTAGCTATGCTCTTGATGCGCCTCAATTGACCGACCACTGGGCTTTTGAAACATCCAACTCCATATTTTGAATAATGATGAAATACTTTGCATCAAAGATTTCCCAAAATGCGGGAGGACTAATGCGAAACGAGCAAGATATTGAACAGCGTGAATCGAATATCTATGATACGAATATCGTCGTGTATTGCCGTGTTTCGCTGTAAGGGTCGGACGGCAATAGCTGCGCGGTCGAGATGATTAGCTCAGCACTCTGGCCACTGCAACAATACTGAGCAGTGGACAACACCGAACGCCGGGTTGCAACGTCAAGACGAGGAGATGAAACAGAGTCACGTGGTAGGTCGACTTCCCTGAATCGTTAGCAGTTTAGTGGACGATATAAGGTAATCAGGGCCCCCAGGAATTCTTGGAGTTGGGAAAGAGCGATTCATAAAAAGCAACTACGAAGCTGTTATTCAATGCATGAATATCAGCGTACATGGCAAAATCTAAAACCAGCGTAGTTGCACACTTAAGTCCTTCACCATTACGTCTGACGTATCCATCTCCTTTACCTCTTTCCCTCGTTCCCTCTCTTGGTTCATTCGTTTTCCTTCTTCCTCTTCGTTTCCATACTTTTCTTTTCTTTCTTTCCGGATTGACTAGAATCCTGGAGTCTAAGGTGGAGCATGAATTTCGACGGGTCAAATCGCAGTTGGATGCGAGGGCCATTATTGGCATGGCAAGCATCCTCTTGATCTTGAGCTACCTCTGAAATGGCTAGATTTATCTGAAAATGAACGTATGATTCAAAGATGCTGTCCGGAGGACTAGCTTCCGTGACGTAGTCGTCGGCCAAGTAGGCCTTCGAAGGATTTAGTAGGGATGTATCACGGCGCACGCGTCTACGAGATGAGAATAGACCCGTAGGGCGCACTTATGATACGAATTCAAGTACGAGGGGATCCTCTGAAAGGTGCGCCGCCGCGGTGATCACGTGCAAGCGGCCTAGGGACGAGAGTGCCGTGGTGCGCCGTGATAGGATGGGTCGAGGGAAGTAATACTTGTAGCTCTAGGCTACTAGAGAACATGATACAAAACCACGCATACGTTGTGCACCACAAGCAAGCACCGTGCCAAAATGTTATTGCAAGCCACAACCAGATTATTGGCTGCAGGTAGCCAAAATTCAAAATCTAGCTCTCGAGACTCTCTTAGCATTTCACCATACGATGCGCCATTTACTCTCCGAACGGGGATATAACTATCTGGCTGCTCGTACTGGAATATGCCACCATGCCGACCTCTCCAACATGACCCCGCTCCCAACTGCCGCGCAAGTCAGCCATCAATGTGAAAAGGATATGCACAGACGAGCCAACTCTCGGCCCGTCAGGGCATCCTCCGAATCTTGATATCAACTCTCGCCCGTCTCTATCACTTACGCACCGGACCTGCGTACCCGTGCCTCTCCGATCTGAACTCACTCGTTCGATGCTTTCGACACTATCCGCCTTTCCCGCTTCCTCTGGTGAGGAGACTCGCCCAAGACGGCGACTGGCTATTGTATCTACAGGTTTTGAAGCACACAGGTTGGTCATGTGCAGCTTCGTTGTGGCTAACCACGGCTCATAGACTATGAGGCTGTATATGTTGGCCGCGGAAAGATAGCTCACGCAACAGGAGAAAGTCAAGGTTGAAAAGGTTTGAAGGGGTCCGTCTTCGTTCCGAGTAAGACTTCAAGTCCCTGACCCACGTGGGATACGAGTAAATGTACCAGAGCATCATCTTATTTCGCTGCAATTCGGGGGACATTCGAGGACTCATCCTCTGGCTCAAAAGTTATCCAATAAATTGGTAAATCGTTGCTGGTACACTGGTCTCAATTACTTGACGGTTTCACTGGAAATTTTAGTATCGCCCGTCTCCTTTTCCTCATGTCTGAACTCAAATAAAATTGGTACTGGGGAGTCGATTACGGCTGTGTTTATAAGCCTTTTGTGAATGTTTTGGGAACTTCCTTTTCCTGAATCTTTTATCTTAATCCACGCCAGCCCTCATCATACGCCATAGAAGCTCTTGCCTTGGGCATGGGCCAGCTCAATCTCCATGTCGGTTGGTTGCCTGCTGCCATCCCCGCCAGCGAACGTGCCCGCACCCCAAGGCGAGCCGCCACGGACCTCCTCGAGGTTAGAGAGGAGTTGGAAGGCCGGGGCGTAGCCCAGAGGCACGAAGTTCATACCCTGGTGAATCCAAGACGATAGGGCAGTGATGCAGGTAGACTCCTGTCCGCCGCCAAGGGTGCCAGTGCTGACGAACAAGCCAAAGTACTTGCCATGCAGGGCGCCGGCCATCCAGAGTGGGCCGAGCGAGTCAATGAATGACTTCCACTGCACAGGGTAGTTGCCGTACCGGTTGGGGATGCCGAACAGAAATGCATCATAGCTCTTCATGAGGTCGGGTGTGATGAAGGGAACGGCTTTGTTTTGAGGTGGTGCGTACATTGCCGTGAGGATCTCCTGAGGCAGGGTCTCCTTGATCCTAATAGCAAGGACCAATACTGTCATTATGGACATCCCCCGAGGAGGGAAGGGGAATTCGTTTGGGAAAGTGAAACGTACTGGTAGACATCGGCCTTGCCGCCGGCTTCTTCAATACCTTTCTTCTCGGCCTGGGCCAGTTGACCGATATGGCCGTACAGGGAGTACTGTTATTCCAGGGAGCGTCAGTCACCAGGTATATTGACGAGGATCGCAAGGAAGGGACAGTGAAGTGTACATAGATGATGGCGACCCTTGGAGCCATAGTGGAACAGCGTGATTTTGGATTTTGGGGAAGTCAAGATATGACGGACGATGAGTGTGATAAGACAGGTACTGTACGATAAGTTGGAGAGATGGCCCGTAAGCACAGGACTGTGAGGCTTTTATATGGGCCAGTCTGGAAATCTTTTCGCAAGTTGCAATAGAGGCGATTTACCCCTGCCTTTTTGGGCAGCAGGCCCCGTCTGCAGCATCCTGGTCGGCTTCCGAATGCACCGGTAAAAGTGCGTCTCCCCGTGTGTTACGGTTCCTTCTGGATATAGTGTTACCTAGTTAATGGTAGCTCCACATATTGTCCGTTCTTTCCAAACGTCGGCTTGGTCAACGACATGGGAGGGCAGAGCATTAGCAACGGGCGTTCCGTCCTTGGATCCTGACCAAGGCCCGGTTTAATTTTTATTCCTGAATGCTGTCTTTGTCCAGCGGATGCGAAAAATCAACGCAATCGGACGCCGCTATCATATGCCGCAGAGAACGGAGGCTTTTTCAACCCCTTTAGGAAGGGAAGTACAGATTGGCTTACCATAGCGGGTGGCAAAAGATTTGAAAAAAGCCGCTTTACAACACATAAGGTGTCAAAGATTTACTTAGTAATATAGTAGTAAAGCTATCGTAGCTAAGACTAGAAACTAAGAGTATAGTATACGAGCTATACGTAAAGTATATAACCGAGAGAAACTCAATTAATTATGAACGAAGTTAACTACGAAGAAGAACTATAGAAAGAGCGTTAGCTATATAGATAAAGAGAACTCGTAGAGCTCTATATAGCTCTATTTAGTCTTGAGAGCGAGATAGAGTACCGTACTCTATATAGCTCTATTTAGCCTCGGGGGCCAGATAGAGTAGGTTATATATCTAACTTATGGATAGCTCTATCGCCACACTTCTCGGCGTACCTTCCTCCGCGTGCCCTTTCCGTAGGCCTAAAAAGGGTCAGTCCTTAACCCCACTGTAGCAGTATCGGTGGGTTCATAGGGATTGCATAAGGGGCTAAGGGCCGGGATCGCGGCACTAGACGGTGTTATAATCATAATCTCATAATCCCGGAATCTAGGCTATGGAAAGGTGGGTCAGTCGACTATAGACTCCGGATATGCCGGGGCTATGACACCCTTTTTCCGTATGCTTTGACCATTTTTAGAAATTGACAAGATACCCATAAACCTAAATAGTAGCCGGTCAAATGTCGGTGGAATGCAATCCTTTGTCATGGAGGTCTCGAGGAAATAGAAGTCACTTGCGTATTTTGCTCCATATGCCTGCCTTATGCCACTATTCAAGCCGCGACAACTCCATTTCCAGTGCTCAACTTGGGCAACTCCTTTTTGGCATCTTCAATACGACCGGTCAGGAAAGCAAGGGAAACGTTTGGTCCCCAGATTGCTATGCTGTTGGGGGTAGCTGCCAGGCGCGGAGCCGGCGTACGGTTGTTGACAACATCACCGTCAGAATAATGCTCGACGACATTCCCAGATGAATCAAACCTATTCCAACCTGGCTCAGTATTTTCTCCCAAGCATGAGAGATCGAGGAGGACAAAGTCACATGCTCACCAATAATCAAAGATCTGGCTTCCCAATAAATGTCTGCCTATACCCCAGCAGTTGGTCCATCCCTTGTCTTCAAGATGGTAGTGCCCCAGCAGCTGCGTGTCAATGTTATCAACCTCAAAGCTTGAATGGTGTGGGTAGGCGGTTTTCAAAGGGTGAGGAGAGGTTTGAATAAAGATGCTCTGGTAAGAACAAATCTTAGTATTATCCTTGAGTTCACACAACTCGCACGGTCTACCACGCCAGGATTGAAAACGAGGACTTTGGACACTCACGTGGTGGTCCACAAACTGCTCTCCTTTGTCGATGTGCATGAAGACCATAATGTCTTTTCCAGACCGCGAATCATACAAAGTGTCGGACCGTGCAAAGCCAAATGTGTTGAGGTACCATGCAACGGTACTCTCATACTGCGACTGATCCACGACAAAGCCGAAATGCCCTAATTTGAACACCTTACTTGGGCCACCATCGAAGCGCTGGAACTCGCCTTTCCTTGGCTTGTCCTCCCATGAGTTGAAAATGACTGGTTTGGGCTTTTCTTGTCGCTGCTCTTCCTTTTGCCGGAAAGCAATGCCGTGTAGAAGCCTCATATTGAACCCAAGAGGGTCTTTCACATCGACGAAGTTACCGCCCCCAGGGGCTGTTGACTTTTGAATTGTGGAGGCTCCGGGGAGTCTTGAAGCGGCATCAAAGTCGGCCTGTGACTGAAGCAGCCATCCGCTCCCAACAAAGTGCTTAGAGCTGTCTGGTGATTTCTCAGCTACGAAGATGTAGGGATCCTCGCCGAAGCCACGAAAATAGATGACGTTGTCGCTCCTTTCAGCCACGTAAAGACCAAAGTCCGTGTAGAAATTGTAAGCAGCCTCAAGATTGGGGTGCTGGTAATGTGTATAAAGAAGCCTATCAAGCTTGATTGTTGGACTTGTCACTTCCGCGTAATCCATGGTGAAAGACTATGGCCCAATTTGGAATTAGAAGAAGGCAAGTATGCGGATAAGAGAAAGCTGTGCAATCGTTTTATTTACCTCCCTGTCGGTGGCGAAGGCCGGCGTTCTGATGGCCACCCGGGAATATCACCTAGGAGATCTCCGATGCTCCGGAGTTACAATCATCGGAGTGACCGGGGCAAAAGATCAGCAGTCCGGGGCGTGCGGCTTTTGAAAGTGAACGATGAAAGCACTGGTCGTTGCTTATAGGCGTAAATGATCTTTCCTCATATAAGACACGAGTCTGGCACACGAACTTGACTCTCAACTCCATCTAGTTGACTAGGACGAGTTTATCATGGTGATGTTCGACTACCTAGTTCGCTTCGTTGATACTCAAGGAGGGGTTGTCTATGGCAACCTCCCTCGGCTGACCTCACTGGATGACCTTGTGGGATCCAAGGTAGCATTATTAACCGGTGATCCGTTGAAAGGATTCCAAAAGACAGACCAGACTAGAACTGTGAAGGAGGTGAGCATTTCTAATCGTACCTCTGCATAGCTCTGATAAACTGTATCTAGGTTCTCTGCCCTCTAGACTCAACACCCATCTTCCAATGTATTGGAGTTAACTATCCATTACATGCTCGCGAAGGAAATGTGAGAGTGAATCCTTGGATTTGAATACTTGACCTTGCTGACCTGGAGAACAAAAAAGGATTTCAAAGTCCCCAGTCAGCCAATTGTCTTTACAAAACCGGGAGACTCAAAAGCCGGTCCGTTTGACGACGTTTACTGCCATCCAGATGCACGACCAGAGTTGGACTATGAGGGGGAACTCTGCTTTGTATTTGGAAAAGACTGCAAAGACGCGACGGAAGAAACCGCTTTAGATTACGTTTTGGGCTATACAACAGGGAACGACCTCTCAGCAAGAAACTATGTCCCCCAGGAGATCTCTGGTTTTCAGATGAGCTACGGAAAGTCGTTTGATGCCTTCGCTCCGATTGGGCCCTATATTGTGTCTTCTGCCATTGTTGGAGATCCACACAAGCTAGATTTGGTCACAAAGGTCAATGGTGAGGTCAGACAAAAGGACAATACCTCAAGCATGATATGGAGTATCCCACAGATTATTGTGCACCTCAGCAGAGGTCGAACGGTTCGAGCGGGTACTGTATGCATGACAGGAACACCATCGGGTGTAGGATGGTTCATGAGACCCAGCTGTTTCCTTAAAGATGGTGACATTGTGGAAGTCAGCGTTGAAAAGGTTGGAACAATCAGAAATAAAATTGTGTTTTGAATCGGAGCGGAAGCCGGTCATGGACAACCACGTTGTACTGGGAGTAAAATACACTTTCACTTCATATTCTGATCAAACCTTGGTAAATGAATTCCAGCGAAAGTCATAGTCTTGATTATCATATTGCATTTGAAGTCTGTAGTAGATGTGGGTTCGCCTCCCATGAAGCGTGTTGCTTTTTGTTTCTGCTTCTTTATTGATCCTACATTTCGTATGTCCCAGGATCAAATGGGTGCTCAGACGTGAAATGTACGAATTGCGTCACCTTTACACAGTAGCGAGCCCATTCCCAACAAGCAAAAATCAATTGACTTTGTGCACAGTTCAAGGGTAGCACTTGACATCCTTGCGATTAATGGTACAAAACTACTTAAAGAATGAGAGCGGCAATGCGACCTTTATGATAATGCAATCGGCTATCCTCGCGATTATATCTAGCTGTAGGAGGTAGAATACCATTTACAATCTGCGAAATAAATGCGCTATCTTCACACAAGATCAAAGAACAAAACCTTGAATGTATAACATATGCATCTAACACAAGCGCCAACTATCTACTCAAAGGAAGGATCGTCCTGGCCCATCAAGCTGGCCATCAGTGACTCAATCTCCCCTTCCGTCATCTCTGGGATGCCGAGGAGGTCGTTGTCTAGTTCCTGAAAGTGACTACCATAGCCGTCCCCAAAGCCAGCTCTTTTGACAAAGGCATACCATATTCTGGGATCAGAGGACCCTTTGGAGAGCTGCTCCCGAGCCTCTGCCTCCATCTGGGCGGTGTCAGCAGTCTCGACGGTCCATGTCTCTTCCGGTGTTAGCTTCTGCGCAATTTCTAACAGCCTCTTCTGAGAGATCGCGATGTCTTGGACATAGATGGCTCTGTTCGCCGTCTCGTCATAATGGTTAAGTACCCCGACGACCGCCTTCCCGACAGTCGAAAGACGAGTGGCTGAGACGGGTCGGTCACCGCCGTCATATAAGGTAACTTTGTGACCTCTAAGATCGATAAGCAAACCGGCTTTGATGGCCCAGTCCAGAAACGCGCCATTGTATATTAGTGTATAAGTCATCCGACCTTCACGGGATCGATCCGTAAGGTAGTCCTCTATGGCGGCCTTTTGCCGATAATTGGGAAGAGAGCGCGCTTTGAGGTTCTGCAAATCACTCCCAAACTCGGAAGGAATGAAACGCTTGATGTTGGCGGCGATGGCAGCGTCAATGAGCAGGCGCTGCTTGGCAATAGCAGCTGTTCCCAGGCACGAGATTAGGACGTCCTGGCCTTGCAGGGCTGCCGATATGGAGTCTCCAGACTCGTAATTAATAGAGATAACTTTGACAGAGGGAGGGAAGTCCTGATCGAAGGTCTTTTGTGTGAGAACAGTGACAAAGAAGTCGCCAGAGCTGAGCAAGGTCTGTAGAATCGCCGTCCCGAGCGTGCCAGTAGCCTGGGAAGGCAGTTAGCCAGTTATTGCGCGGGTTACTGCCCGAACGAGATGTGAGAAAATGTACTTACACCCGCCAATGCGATATTTTTAACGGGTTGACCACCGATGTCACCACCTGAGGACAACTTCTTGAGACTGCTCTGAGAATTCATCGCGTAGGACCCTTGCCGTTCGTAGAGTTCCGCAAGTGAACAGATCTCCTCTGGAGGGTGCTCTTCGTCGTGCTTTCTTCTAGCAGGACCAAAGTAGTCGAACAGGCAATCCGGCGTTTTGACGAAAGGCCGCACATCAACCTGGGTCACCACCCCTCGCTCCGGTGCCACGACTCCAGGAAGGACAAACCCCACGCGTCATCAAGGAGAAAAACATAAGATCTCCCTATTGAAAAATCAGCAAGCTCAGTGCCGGCCGTGGAGAGCTGCGGCGTTACGGAGGCCCGGCGTTTCGTGGGGGCTGGCGTTGATGCCCGTCCGTAAATTCCGGAGATTGTATTACAGTATTACCGGTTCTTCCAGCAAACGTTACACCAAACGGGATCTCGGGTATCCGGAGCCTCGTCGCTTGCGTTCCCAGTCGGTGGCCACAAAATAGGCCATTTTCATAGCTTTGTAACCTGAGCCTCACTACTTGTGAACTCTGACACAAGTCAATTCTTTCGCAAGTAACGGCCATCTCGACCCCCAATACGAAGTATCTTACAGTTTGCTATGATTGATTGGCGCGCACCACTCCGCCTCTCCCCCTTCCGGGGCCACGAAAATGTCAATCAATTTTCGTACGGTTGCAACAAAAGGAGGCCACTACACGTTCGAAGCTCGCCAGTGCGTATCTAGCCATTGCATACGGCAGAGCAAAGTTTCTCCTTAGACCCCTCCGCCCGACTGTTTTGGGGTTCATCTTAACGCCTGTACTCGACCGGGGTATTATGGCTATCGTCCCTAATCCGAAGAAGCTTCGACGGGACTTCACATGTGTACCTAGCCTTTTGAAAGCAAAGATTTCACCAAGTTCACCAGACAAGGCCTAAAAGATCATCAAGAAAGAGCAGGATGTTCAGTAGCCGTTACATCCAACGAACCAGTTTCCGCGAGGGGGTACCTTCATCGTTTCTCGCAGACGTACAGTGAACATGAATCCGAGTGCATATAATCGTATCTCTTGTCTATAGCGCCTTGGCGGATTGAAGGCGAGAGTAGGTATGGTGTTCGCAAAATTGATCACGGTTTGGCTTGTCCTGCTCTTCTGTCTCATTTCTGAGGGGAGAGATCTACGGATCAAGATTCAGCCACCAGGTTCGCAAGATCTGAATAGAGATGTTGGTTATCTGAGCACTTAGAAATGTCCAAAGGAACTTCTCACCCAATATTGCAGAACCCATCTTCCAGTACCGGGCCATCTGTGTTAGCGCAAGCCTGAGCATTTCGGCCTCTATAGCAGGAGTGTGGCGGTCTGTATTAGTCCCTTTCCTGAGGGTTTTTGCGACTCTTAAATGAATTGCTGCCGGTCCGATGATAAGGCCGCCAATGAATGGGGAGTTACACGGAATGTGTTCAGGGGACCAGATGCGTATAGCTCGAAAGATATCCTCAGCGTAGGGACGATAATCCATCTTGTAAGCAGAAATTCGAGAGTCGGCTGCAAGAGAGGCAAATAAACGGTTCGCAGAATGCGAGAGTGTAGCGGAAGTTTTGTCCTCGCTAAGTAATTGGATGAAGGTTCGGCATCTGCCCACACAATGTCAGTCAGTGAACTCGTAGGTTGGGGGTCATAATTCTCCGGCGTACGTCTGCAACATCAAATTTGTCAAAATGATCCAGTTGCTCTTTCGAAAACTCTGAGGATTAAATAAGATGGAACCAGATCCCAGGTGGAACTGAGGAGGCAAAATCAATCCATAACATGCGACCGCGGTTTCAATATCGCGGATCTGCTGAGGATCGGGCTTCTTCTGTTGTAGTAATAATCCGTGGGCTAGAACCATGACGAAGTTGATCACCAGGAACCAAGCTCTTTCGTCTTGATTCTGACAGTCTCGCAGCGTGCACCATGCATGAAGCGGGTCTGGGTCGACTGTGACCGATTGCACTGGACAGTCTGCAAACCAGGCTTCGTCCGAGACTGGGAGCAATACCTGGAACCTTGTCATGTCAATGGTAGGTGGACGACAAGCAACTCCCGAAGCAAACGCATCCAGCTCCCAGACACACCACCAAGCACGTCGGAGTTCTTCTCGCATGCTCCATTCTCTTTTACAGGCGTCCTGGGATTGCTGCTCATTGAGATTGGTTTCGTCGACCTTGTTTAACCCGAGGTCGTATGCCAGCCGGGAGCACATTCCAATAACTAGCCATCCTTGAGAATCAGGGCCTGATGAATACAGGTAGAATGCGAGGAGGATACAGCCTTGCAAATACCTAACCGTAGGTTGCTGAAGCGTATGAATTGAATGATCGTAAATTGCTTTCGCTCTGCGCCCGAATGGCTCTCCTCGCTGCGCAGGTAGAATTCCGTCGAATTTTGGAGAAGAGGAAAAGCGCGCAGAAAGTGCAAGCATTCCATGCAGAATAAGGGCGGTCTCCCCAGAGAGCGTATCGTAACGTCGATTAATCTGTGAATTAGTGGAAAGATAAGTTTCCACGAACCGATGCTTGTGGAATAAGGGGAGGAAGCTTTGAACTTTGTCAAAGTATATTTCGACCCTGCATCATATTAGAGAAAGATTTCCATAGTCAGATAGAGGTATCACATACAGCTCGTTGACCAGCTGCGGGGGTACCTCCAACGCGAATTGATGATGCTTTGGCCTGTGGGTGGCCTCGGTCGTGACTTCCGTCCTGTTTATATTGAGAGAGGGAGGAAATTCGTATAATGGCAGCCCTGAAGTGCCTATCTCGTTAGATCTTGGAATAGGCGATAGCCAGTCCGGATTCGACATTATCTGATCATCTACCGCCATACTCTCAAATGCGGCATGACTGTTGCCCTGAGATACATTGTCTAACATATCTTCACCGAAGGGAGGTAGACTGAGTTCCCCGAAGAGATCTGGGATGTTCAGAAGGTTCGGATTGACAAACGCATCGAATCTTGAAGGTCTCGTCTGGTCAAATGCCAATTCGATAGATGCGGGCAGTCCAACGCTGGAAGATGTCGAATAACCGCTGTTGTCTTGCAAAGGAATAGAGCTTTCAGTATCATTGGCCGCCATGTTACCTTCCCGGGATTGAGCATCTTGTTGCCCACTCTCTGTGCGATTTCTCGAATCCCGCGACTCCTGTGGTGCAGACTGCGACTGCTGCGGCTTTCGGTTACGCAGGGTACGGGTCTTACGAGAGGTAGGGTATATACAATTCGAGACAGTCTTGAGACACAATGAGCAACTCGGAAGCAGCATGTCGCCTTCGGTGTGTGTTCCATGTTAGTTCAGATGTTACCAGAGCAAGATCCGAGACAACTGCTTCAAGAATAGTAAGGCAACTAACATTTTGTCTTCTTCCTATTGCCAGCATGAGCATCGGCTTGCAATCATATAAAGGAAAATGAGTTTACCTGCTACATTCCATGCAAGCCCGCTTGGCCCCTTGGGATTTCCTTGGGGGCAACAGCAGCGGGCTCGAGACATGAGAATGTCGACGCATCATGTCGACCTCACTTGCACTCATGGTTGGATCCTGGGGTGCTTGTCGTGGTTCATGCGACAGTCCCACTCATCAGCACCGTGGTGAAGGCTCGATGTGAAAGCGCAGCTGACCGGTGAGAAGGGTATCGGAAGATCGTCCGTCACAGCTGCACTCCACGCCAGCCACTACAAGGTCTGTGAGGTAGATGGTGATCTGGACTGAGGAAAGTGTCGAACAAGGTGAGGCACTGTTGAAGAGCAAACCTGGGTAAAGTTGAAGTTCCAAAAGCACGATTAATCAGGGGTTGTGGCTCGATAGCTTTGAAAAAACTCGAAGGTTTGTCAGCCAACCCCAGGAAATCTCGTGGTTGCCGCCTAGCGGCCTGTTGCTCACAACATAGCAAGAAGTACGGCAATGGCAGTGAATTACCACCGAGCTCGGCAGGCTTTCCGGATTCGTCCAACCATGAGATCGCATACCGTCGATGATGAAGGGGAGTAGAGTAGAGTTTTCCACCGGTTCTTGTCTGCATTCATGAACATATAGCTAATACGCCGCACGAGCATCTGTTCCGGGATCTAGAAAGGAGAAGTCTTTTTACGGTGATGGGTTTTCATGTAACTCTAAAGGCATTATTGGTTTCCCATTTTCAAGCCGCACCTCGTCTATATACCCGTTGCCAAACGTCTCGCCGAGATCTGCTGAGGTCCACAACCAAAACCGAAATCAATGAGCTGAGATGAAAACCACCAAATTTAGTCCCAGCACAGGTTGTCCATTCCTTTTGACGTCCAGTATTTCCTCATATTCTCCGCACTAAGTGTCCTAACCTCGTTGTCCAGATGAGTCCAAAGGACCGTACGAAATGAATCCATCACGTCCTTTAGCTCGGAGAGCCTAAGCTCTCGCTCCCTAGATAGGCAGGAATTGAGATATCCTTCCAGCCTCACAATGCCCTCATGGATTAATTTGTGCTGCGGACGAGATGCTCTTTCATGGCAAATTGAGGCATACGCTTCGCTAAATCAGGAAAGATGACACGCTCCTCGACCGTATGGTGGGCCGTCAGCGAACGACAAAATTGCATTCCATGAGTGAGGAAACCTCTTATGGATAATCTATTGGGCTGTGAGCCGGTTGTGCATGTCTTGCACATTGTGTTCCAGGTATGTCTGTAATGGTTGTGCTAAAGGAGACAGTAAGTCAGCAAAACTGCGTTTCACCAGCCAGGAAAGTTAATTTGGCTGACTGACCGCTACGCGGTAGATTGGCAAACCCAAGAACCAAGCCATGAACATCCGAACAAGATGAAAACCAGAAAAAAGTGACAGATTTCTACATATGCATTCATTAACTCTGACAGGCGATGATACCTTTTGAAATCCTCTATAGAGAGCTTCTGTAACTCTGGATCCTTCTTCGCTGATAAAGCATCTTTCTTACTCGACACGTCGGTGGATGGCTGTGACCATCTTGCTGTTCCTATTGCCCGTGTCGATTGTTGAGACCGTCTCAGTCTCCTCCCACAGGGAATGAAACTTAGAAAGTAGAAGTGGACGACTGCCGCGAGATGAAGGAGTTTTCTTCCTCCTTCCGAACACCTCGGTCGAATGTGTCACTGAAGGGTTGTCGGCTCGCAGGATCCGGTGAGACTGGACATTAAAAACGCTCTACTCGTACGGGAGAAATGAACGTGTACCTATTTATGATATTTGCTAACTCATACGAGGCTTGACCGATTCACGGAAGCATTCCGAAGAGGCAAGGCTGCTTGCGGGGTAAGATGAAGAATAAGATAGGTTACAAGCAGGACTCGGACCATGATGTCGCAGAGGAAGTAGGAAACGTTTGACACCGACCGATACGTAGAGTACTTGCATCTAATCTCCTGAAAGGAGAAGAGCCCATGGCGCAATCCAATAATGATTGAGCAATGGTTCCAAGCAGATGGACCTCCATGCACGTGAGCGCCACCCTTCTCGGCCGAAATTGATGCAAACCCCACCAGTCAGCTTCGAGGAGTAATCCGGCCAGTCAGACTTGAACTGACACAGCTCGCTTAGAAGGCGACAAGACTAGCGTCTACTGATCTCTTCTTGCCAGTTTATAGATAGGTCTATTATGAATCGCTCCACGGAAATATGTCAGGAGACAAGGGTTTCTAATAAGTGGGAGTAGTATTAGTCTCAGGAATGGCTCGCTAGCGAACTATCTAATAAGTGTATTATCTATCTATAGACGTAGAACGATAGCGATTCTAAAGCTAGAGAGCTTTAGAAGGTAGCCTATAGCCCGTAATCTATATATATCTAGCCCCTAAGAGTCTTAGTACCTCTTCTTCGTAATAGGAATAGAGTTTCTATTGAACTTAAAACCATATAGGTTTTAATAGTTAAGTTAGGACTTAGAAAAGTAATATAGTATAGTCATATACTATAGATATAGAGATTCTATAGCGAAACTATAAGGATTAATTAGAGCTTAATATAAGATTATAGTTTCTAACTTATACGCTAATCTACTTATTGAGTAAACTAGGACAAGGCTAACAGCCATAGGTATCAACGACTCATCCCTCTATAACTTCTGCGCCAAGCACGGCCGAAATCGTTCTGTGGCACGCCCAACCCCTCTCTCTACTTTCATCGACCTCCGTCTCTAAGGTCCAGGTACATCGCCGGTCCTTTCCCCTCCCCAACATTTGTCCCCGCCATATCAAGCTGAGTTACCAGGCACCAAAAGATGACGGATCCTCAGGTCCAAAGCCCTTTATCAGGTATGAGCCGGTTTGAGCAGCTTGGGCGCCCGCTGACGGTCAGGTCAAGAGGATTACCTTCTGCGCCGAGAGGAATCCCATCTCGAATTGGAGCGGCCGGAGAGTACCTTTCTTCAGTTCTTCAAACAGTCTCTCGTCTACGCGAGTCCGTACTGTACGGACCCAGCCTGCTGTGCCTTTATCGACCACACTCCCGATGGATTGCTAGGAACAGCCAGCCGAGCCTTGCCAAATCAGCCGCCCGACGAAGCCTTGTATTATCCTCTGGCTCTATTTGAGAATCTGCAGGAGTTGCCACCGTCCGCCGTGGTGCGCAACCTCGCGCGCAGATATCATGACCGATTCCCATGCTCAGCGCCCTTCATTGCTCGAGTCTCGTCTCTTACTGATAACCATTCGGACCAAACCTTCCACATACTCCTTTCGAAAGCACTGTTGGGAGCCGCCACGTCCGAAGAACCCGACCTACGGTCTCTGACCCAGGTGCTGTGGCGGGCTTGCGTGTCTCTCTGCAACGGATTAGTTGAAATCGATAACGGTCAAGGCAGATCGCTGGAGTATCTCGCCGCGGTAAGTCGTATTATTTGACCGCTGAAGCCGCTGACTGTGACAGAGCACTCTCGTGGTCGCCTTTGGCTGCATGCAGGCAGACGTCGATGTCTGGGGCCAGACTGATATCACCAGTGGATATGTCCAAGCGGTAAGAAGCAGTAGATTCCTTGACGACCGCTCTCCGGGATGGCTCGGCTGACGTCCTTCCGGCAGACTCTCTATCGCACTGATCTCTTGGGCAAATCGAATCCGAGGAGCGGGCGACTTGAGCCTCAGCCTGAGGCTTTCCAGGTGCAGGCTTCAGCGTTCGTCCCTGTTCACCCTCGCCCATCCTAGCCTTATATCTGACTTCTCTCAGTCTCAGGAGCTTCTACCTTTTGGTCGACACTTTACGCTCCATACACTATCACACTCCGGCTTTGGCCGACCCTATCTGGACCATCGAGCTCGGGCCAGAATCTGAACATGATCTCAGAAGTCTTTGCGAAGATCTAGTTCAGAGTCGGCACGATCTACCTCCAGGCCTTTCTCTAGGGGACCTCCTGCTCGTTCTTGTCAGCATCCTTTCCGATATCAACACCCTCTTATGTTCCTTAGGGCCTCTGACGACTCCCTTCCGAAAGGTCAGAGACAGACTGGAAAGTCTAGGTGACGAACGCCAACGGCATCACTTGATCACGGATGCCTCTTTCCCTTCTCCTTCGCACTCGCCATCCGAGTCCACAGCTTTGCGGTTAGACTATAACCCGTATGTTCCTTGTACTATCGATTCCGAGTATGACCGTCTCCGGAGAGGATTGCGCCGAGCGTTGGATACTCTGGAGTCATCTTTGAGGTCTCGTCCCGCAGACTTCGATGGAGACACTAATGTGTCTAGTTCGACATGCCTGACGCTGCTGCACTTGTCGAGGCTCTTCCTGGAAGCCGGGCCAGTGATTCACATTGTTCCGTCGCTGGCCGGATACGAGTCAATGCATCATCAGGCCATTCCACCTCATATTCCACGACCGTGCCTGCCTCACATGGCGGGGATACACTTCGATGACCATATCTTGAAGGTGGCGATCGAGATTCTAGATTCGACCGATGCTGAGAACAAAGCACAACAATCTCAGCATGGCCAGTCAACCCAAGGAACTCACGCGGAAAAGTTCTGTCCAATGTGGTCCCCGCTTGCTCTGTTCTACGGAGCGCTGGCCGTTTGGGCTCGGCTGAGCGATGAGGCGCGCACAGAGAGTGCTCACGCTGTCACAATACCTCTACGGAAGTTGCTACATATGTTTCATACGGAACTGGACAATCTCAAGAATGACTGGGACTGTGCCCGCAAAATGGCAGATGTTGTTGGAACCTTGCTGCTTTGATAGAGCTACAGAGAACTGGGAAGGCAGAAGGCTTGATACACGCCAGAGCAAGGATCAGCGACCTGTTCGTTGATGCAACAAGTGAGATCATACCATATCGCTTGTGGCTGAGGTCGAGTATCTCCAAGCGATCGGCTCATGCTTGCTATCGACAGCACGCTTGTTCCTCTCTGCGCCTTTACCCATAAGTTTTCTGGTACCAGCCCTTGGGATCTTGTCCTTGCACGACAATCGTCCGATCCGCTATCAGCCACTTTCCATCTCCGCCTTTGATCACGATATCCTTCCAGAGACCCCAATGATCGAAACTCGACATATCGGTGATGGAAAAGAAGAAAGCCTGAGTGCGCGCTTCACTTGGGCTGACAAACTCGATATCGATGCTGGTAATGTGATGACGTATGAAGGCGGGACTCCCTCCACGGAGGACTTGGAGAAGCTGCGCTGGCGCCACGGCATTGCCGTTCGGGAGGCGATAGACAGCGTCCTCCCTAAACAAGGTGGACATCTTCTCAACGGACGGTGCTTCCGTTGCAAGGACTGCATAGCGGTGAAAGAGCCCTTCGATCTCGCTTTTGGCCACTGCACGGGCGATCGACCCAGGGGCATTAAAACTATCCATCTTTGAGCGGCTATCAGGCAGTTGTGGTTCACTGAAAAGTAAATAATGTAAGAGTCGTAGACGAGGAAGACACTCCTCACCGAACGGCTTGGGAAATTCACATCCGATTTCCAGGTCTATAAACCGGATTTATGCACCCTGGCCGGATGCTCTGTGGAGAGGCTCTGGGTTTGGTGTCTGATCGATTTTCATCCCCGCCCACTACTCCGTCTGAAAGTCATGGTGGAGGCAGCGCCGAAGTCAACTTAGTATGCCTTCAGAAGGGCTCCCGAAAGAGGGGGCACGGATACAAGGACCAGGACATGAGATTACCGCTCTAAGTAAACCACGGCCGTCGGCTTTATACCACATACAGTCTTTTCCTCTTCGAGGTTGGAAGGTGGCTCCAGACTAGGCTCACTTGCTAACGACTGAAGTCATCACGGCTCTCCATACTAACATCCTCACCCCCATTAATCCCACTTCTCCACAACCTCCTCCGTGCGCCTGTCCGAGACCACTATGATCGGAGCGAGGAATAGCGGAGTTTGTGGGGGGTTTTGGTCACATGATCACAAGGACGATGACTTGATGCGGTCAGCTTCAAAGCACGCTCCGTGAGATGAAGTATAGGTAGCCCTAAGAGAAATTAATATCGCCCAGAATATTAAGAGGAATTGTGCTCACAGGCTTTGCCCGCTCTGGTCGTCATACTAGTATACGACTCGTAATCCTAGATAGTGACAATAGGGGACGAGAAAGTATAAGATAGTCGCCGAGCGCCGTCTAGTCGAGATTTCGTAATCAAATGTTACAGACGGGCCTTGAGGAGGCCAAGCACGAGGTACTTAGGGAAGGAGTACCGAGGTACTACGCACTAGAAATAAGAGGTTACGTAGGGGTACGTGACGACTAGAAAGGGAAAGGCTATAATATATTAATGTGATGGTATAGGCTATATTAATATATTAATATAGTAACTCCCTTATCTATTTGGGATATCCTTATTAAGCATATAGCTACGCTCGTTATCCCTTTTATAGTTATATTCTCTTCATAGTTAATTCGTATATTAACTACTCACAATTCTTATTTACACTACTACTTATACCTTGTAGCCCTTCCACCTAGCTCAAGCTAGCTATAAGGACCGTGACCGAGAGATCCACCTTAGGCTCGACCGGGAGTGGCTCTGAGTCTCTGACACAACATCTTATTCTGTGTCGTCCTTTCGATGGCTTCGTGGACTCGGCATTCGTGAATTTCCCCTTCGTCCACGTACCTCCTTTGTAGGTTTAGGAGCTGTTTAGGCTTCTGGCCGCGGAACGCACCCTAGATCATACTTCTCTACTCGACTGACAGGCTGCTTCACATGAAGACCACCGAACGTCGTCAACACCACCAAGCCTGTGAAGTTTGCCGGCAACGAAAGGCAAAATGCAATGGCCTCAACTCCTGCCGCCGTTGCGAGAGGCGGAAAGTCGGGAACAGCTGTAGCTATCCTTCCACAGACTCGAAAGGAACTGGCCTTCTGGAGTCACAGATTTCGTCAACCGGACCCACTCGTGTTGGTGCTGATATCGACGCTTCAGATCCACGGCACCGCCATCTTGAGCTTCCTGCAGGAGATAGACATGAGCATGGCCCGGCGCCCATTCTCAATCCTCCGGGTTGCGCACCGGTTCCGCAGAGATCGCGAGTGGTGAAAAATGGTCGGGGCAGATATGGTAGGTTGCGGCTCGTGGTGCTTGATGGGCGCAACCGGACTCACGAGACCTAGTCTACATCGGAAACTCGGCCTCGCTGTCGTTTCTTTCGTCTATCCGACGTATCGTCGCTTCGGCGATCGGATCATACAAGTTCACCCAAGATGTCCACCTCTCGGCTTATTCGCATCAACATCAGATGATTGAGACCGTCTCCATGTTCAAGTGCTCGAACGGAACCAACCATCCGCCGGACGTGGATGTTCAAGTGGCTGCAGAGCTGACCACCCACTTCAGCCTGGCCACCACGGGCATCCTCGACCTCTTCGAGCACCATATCCTGCAGGCGCAGGTGCGCCGCTTCGCGCATTCACCAGACCGAGCATGCTGGCCCCATCATGCAGTGCTCTACCTCGTGCTAGCACTGGGAGCACAAGCTCGTGCGCACGGTCAGGGGGACGACTACCTCGCGGATTCCTATTTCCATTTTGGTCTCCATCAGGCCATGGGAGAATTGGTGGATGAGCCTAGCATAGTGACCGTGCAGGCTTTCTGTTTGGACACCTGGTACGCTCTCGCTGCTTGCCGGAGGACGGTCGCTACGATGTATCTGGGCATCGCCACTCAAGCAGACTACACCATCGGGCTGCACAGGCCTGAAGCCAATGTCGTCTTTGGCGCAGAACGCATCACTTCTCGCGAGAAGGCATGGACAGGATTGAGGTTTTGCGACGTGTACGTGGCAGCTTTGTTGGGTAGACCATTAGCGACCTCCAACGGCCATTCCAATGGCACAGCGAACTCTTCTTCCCAGAAAAGAGAAGAGCGGCTTGGGGAACTCCGCGACAGTGCATCTCCTCCATTGAGCGATTTATGTGATACTATGTATCTTCGAGCGCATTCTATCCGAGGTCTACATGAATTGCTCCGTCACTCCTCAACTAGTCGAATCCATTGCGGCACAGCAGCGGGCATGCAGCCCGAAGCTGTCCAGCATGCCTAGAACGAACGGGTTGGTCACTGGCCGTCCTCAAGAGCAAGACGAGATCGGCCTCGCGCAGAGGCATTTCCTGCACTCTGTGAACTTGACCATTGCATATCACTACTCGATCATGCTGCTGACATGTCCCTTCCTCAGATTCCAAGTCAGGATCCAGGTCAAATAGGAGAGACCCAGGAATGATGAAACACATCCGGCCGACGTGTCGACCTTCGCATATGCTTGCGTCTTCTCCGCCATCGAGAAGATCGATGCCGCCAACGGAGTCCTTCAGCAATCGCCGCCCAGACGCCTACGACTCATCATCGACAGCCTCTTCATGGCGGCCCTCTGCATTGGTGTCGCGTACTTCTGGAATCACGATGATGGCTATCCACGCCGAGGCACTGATCTCGAGCGAGCCATCGCGGCGCTCGTGTATTTCGCCCCTTGCAATCCCCAGGCCGCAAGATACGTGCAAATCATCCGACAACTCGTCAAAGCCTTGACAATGCACTAGCAGGAGCGTGAGCGGAGTGCCATGCAGACCCGCAGACGACAGTTCGAAGCTCTCTTCGGGAAGTTGGAACTATCGGCGCAGACGCAACATCAGGAACACGCTGGGAACTCTTCCATTTCCTTGGCCATTGTCTAACGACTTTTGGAGTCCACCTCTGGCCCCCTCGCAAGCCTGCTGGTCGAGGCAAAGAGAGACTCCAGCCTCAAATATCACAGAACATCCAGGCCTCGCACTGCCATTTCTTGACTGGAGCCCAGAGGATCCACAGACTAGTGCTGCTCTAACCCTATTAGGAAAGTTAGGCAAGTGACACTGCGGCACTTATTGCCACCTAGTTTCTCCACCTTCAGTAGTTGCTAGTTAGACAATCAATCAATTCAGTGGGTTCTACAACTAGGGACGAGGTCAATATCTAGGTGTGGGGGGCATCGGTGATATCGGCAGCAGCATCGTTCAGGATGAGCAGTCACTCGTCGAATTCGATCAACAGTTATCGCGACGGGGTGTGTCTTTCCCATTCCGAATCATGGCGCGGACCACTCGAGATTATAAATCAGGAACGAGTGTGTGAAACATGTTGAAGTTGCTACTTAGTCATTTCATCCAAGTGTCCCGAGTCTGGTCTCGACCAGTACGGTGAGGACGGATGGAGAGGAGAAAGGCAGGGTCGCCGCGCCCATGATCCACGAAACCGGTGCCAACCTTCCAACACGGGGTCGAGGCGGAGAACTGCGTACCATATTCATGGTGCGAAGAAGCCTTGAGCGCCAGCAGTGGGTTCTGATGTCAATCTGGATCCATTCGACATTGCGACTGCTCAGGAAATCTGGGAGCAGAACACTGAAGTCTACTACGGTTCGCTAGACACAATGAGATTTCATGACATCTTGACCCGTCCACTTCGGCCGGGTTTCCGTTCAGAAGCGCGACACGACACTTCTTGCCTGGTCCTTGTCTTCTCGTGGAGTTAATTTGCCCGGTGGGCGCTCATTGCAATCCCCTATGTTGAGGGCAACAAGGAACCTGCTCACGCAGTTGTAGGCTGCGATGGTCGCGGTAAGCTCTACCACGTCTCGAGTGCTGAATGCCGCCTGGACCTCGTCGAACAGCTGTCCGGAAACTGCCACATCCTTGGTCACTGCATCGGTGTATCGCACCACGAGCTGTAAAGTGCGGCTCAAGCCCTCCTGTCCACCGGCCAAGATACTGTCCAATGCTGTTTCTGATATGCCAGCCGCGCGTGCCAGCGGTGCGTGATGCATCCACTCATACCATGCCTGATTCAAGACTGCCACTCTGCAAATCGCCAGTTCCCGGACGTCCGCAGCCAGTAAAGTATTGGTGCGGATGTTCCTGAAGAAACAGTCCCATCCTGCTGCCAGTGGCACCGAATGAAGGAGGATCCGATCGAGCTCGAGGAGGCCATCGGGAGCCCGGCGGGCGCGTATACGATCGACGATTTCCCGTTCTGACGACGGCGTGGACGCACTCGGTTCAGGAACGTAGTTGACCCGCATTGTGGTGTTGTGTCTAGCACTCGGGACTAGCAGACCGACCATTCTACTGCACAGCTGAGGGCAACGAACAGTTAGCATGCAGACGTTACAAAGGACAGGTATTAGGGAGAAAGCCAACGTACCAAACCCTGCCTGCCGGAGAAATGTCCTCTTTCCAGAAGCTGTCCAAGATGCCCAGCACAACCCTAGATAATAAGCAGAAAGTTAGGAACGACCCCGGCAATTACATGACAGGTTCTCCAATCCGGCTTGCACATCTCGTTCGCCGGAAAGACTTTGGATTCCACTCCCAAATGCCATTTTCGCTCCGGTGTGGCCAGCCGTGCCAGCCTTCCCGACCAGTGGAGTCGACCTCCCCGGCATGGCCACCGTGGCGTCGTCGCTGGCTCCGGGGGGCCCGGAGGCTCCTGGCCTGATGTCTCCTGTTTTCCGGAATGTGGGGGGATCCCGTACTCAAGTTCAAGCTGCGCGGTTCACGGTTCATATGACTTCAAGATATATACCCCCGAACCTGTCCATTGGCGTCTCATAAAGCTTGGGCAAGTTGAAAAACGGTTACAATGTCGCGTTCCAAGCGGCGCCTGAATCACAACGATCTCAATGCCGACACCATCACGCAAAATGTCATTGCCTTGAATTCCGGGAGCCCGAATGAGCGCCTGGGCTTTATTCTGGAGCGACTGGTTCTCCATCTGCATGATTTCGTCCGGGAAACACGACTGACAAGCCAAGAATGGATGGAAGGGCTCTTGTTTCTAACCAAGACCGGCCAGACTTGCACGCCCCTTCGCCAGGTACGACGGAGCAGCAGGCTCAGTCCATGCTCTCCTTGTTCGTGGATCGGTGCTAACACTCCTATTCGCGGAAGCTAGGAGTTCATTCTACTTTCTGATATCCTGGGCTTGTCGCTCCTAGTAGATTCCATCGATCACCCCAAGCCGGCCAACTCGACTCAAGGAAGCCTCCTGGGCCCGTTTCACACACACGATGCAAACACCATGTCGAGCGGCGACCGCCTGTCATCGGACCCCAAGGGCGAGGATTGTCTCGTGCTCTGCACGGTCAAAGACGTCGAGGGGCAGCCACTGGAAGGAGTCAAGATTGACATCTGGGAGACGGACTCGTCGGGTCACTATGACACGCAGTATGAAGACAGAGCCGCGCCAGATGGGCGGGCCGTCATGACCAGCGATGACCAAGGTCGGTTCTGGTTCAAAGCCATCAAGCCGGTATCTTACCCCATTCCGCACGATGGACCCGTCGGCAAGCTGTTGGCCTCACTTGGTAGACACCCTTGGAGGCCAGCGCACATGCACTTCATGTTTAAGAAACCCGGATATGACGAGCTGATCACGTAAGACCGCCTCCCTGGTGACTTTGGGCTGGACAGTACTGACGTCCTCATCCTTGGCCAGGGCCCTTTTTCTCCGGGGAGACCCATACGAGACTTCAGACGCCGTGTTCGGCGTCAAGGAGTCGTTGTTGGTGGATTTGGATACGGTGTCGGCTGAAATGGCCACCATGTACGGGGTACCCGAGGGCAGCTACTTGTTAAAGCACGATTTTGTGCTTGTTACCGAGCAAGCGGTCCGCACGTTGAAGGATGAAAATGCTCGCCGGGCTTCAGCATCCTTCAATCAGGGGGAAAGGGAGGCCGGAGCTTTGAGGCTCAGCCTCTAAATAGACCGCCGATGGCCCAATATCTCTCACCAACAGACAAATGTGGTAATGACATGTAAGGGTCGTGTAATTCATCAGTCTGCTGAATTCTGCAAAAATTCTTCAGACTGGATATCAATTTGAGATTGCCCGCGGAGGGCTCGGTATGTGGAGCCTCCATAAACGTTTGTCTCGCTTCCGCTGCCACAAGATGCCCAAGATGGGACGAAATAATCATAATTCTCATTAGGATCTTCTTGTGAGCAGTCTCTCTCTATGCCAAGTCTCCCCCAGGCCCCTTGACACTCGCTCTATCAAAAATTCGCCTTTCCTGCTTCAATCCTCCTCCAACTCTCCTGATCCAGACTCTTATACCGCTCCTCGTCCAGATCCGGATAATACTTTCGCCCGCCCTTTCCACTCACATCCCCTAATCAATATTCTTGACTACATTCTTCGCCTGCTTAAACGTAACGCCCGCATCCACCAAGTCTTCCTGGACCATCACCAGCCTCGGCACCGCGTACTTGGACACGCCCTTGGCCCTCAACTCGCTCAACAGCCTCGCCATAAAGGCCGTCTCATTCAACCCATTCCCCTTGTGGCTCGCCGGATCCAACACAATCAACGCCGTCCCCGCCTGCCCGTCATATTTGGCCAACCGCCTCCTAGCAACCACCACGTCCTTACCAACTCCGAAAGAAACCCCCGGACCTCGCCAGCACTGACATCCTCGCCCATCCAGCGATACGTATCCCCAATGCGATCGACAAACTTGATCCAATTATCCCGCTCTTGAAACAATAAATTGCCACTCCGCTGCCACCGGTCCCCGCGTTGGAAAACATCCCGTAAGATCTTCTTCTGCGTTGCCTCCTCTTACCCATAGCAATTCGTGTACGTGCTCCAATCCGCGACCGGGCCGAGAACCGCCGCGCGAGGCAGAAACACCCGCTGTTGATCACGGGGGTAGCACAAGCCCGTGAAAAGTGTAGTCCCGTAGAACAGAGGCATGCAACTATAGATCCGCAGCAAATCCAGGCGTAAAGATGTTGGGAGATGGTCAATTTCCCCGCGAACGAGCGTCGGCCTTCGCATTTGATGATAGGAAATTGTGGAGCACCCAAACCAGTTCCAGGGCCAGGCGGAGACTTTCAGCACCGGCAGCGGTTGCCGGGTTTGTCTGGGCAGTCCGGATGCAAAGGTGTCTGTGGATGCTACTGTACGAAGTATGAAGTTGAAGCTGGAAAGCAAAATCGACACCTTCCCTTGGCTGCGCAACCGTCAGGGAAGACATCGTGGAGGCAGCGCCGAAGACAATGTTGATCTGCAAGGAACAATTCGAGAATACCTATGGTGGTGTACCATATCCGCGTTTAGTGTGCATAAGCGCCTTAGACTTAAAGATTAGCAACATTGATAGCGTAATAACGAAGACATAAGCGGTAATAAGGCAGTGGTTATACGTAACGTCTCGAGAATACTCGCGAGCGTTTACGAGTACTAGAAAAGAGTCTTTAGATAAGCTTAACCACTGTAATAAAATAAAGTCTTATTACATTTGTAGAGTAAATATAAACTAAGTAAGAAATATTAGGTTTATATTAAGCAAGAAGAGAGAAGAGAGCTTTCGCGAACGCTTACGAGCGCTCGCGATGACTAGGCGGCGATACTAATAGTTAGTCTATGTAACGAAGAGAGGTAATTCGCCCCTAAAACCATACCCGTCGACTTATCGATAGGCCCTGACATGAACCGGGCTGAACCCGTTGGCAAAAACCCTACAGGGCTAAGTGATAGTGTTGGACTTTCTTAAACCCGACCTAACACTACCCGTTGCGCAGCCTAGTGGTGGTAGTTATAGTGGACGGAGACGAGAGTAGCAGTGGAGGCAGAAAGAGATGGTAAGATACCGTAGGCGCTAAGACTCAGGAATCGACTAAACTTAGGTACTAAGGGTTACTCGCGGTACGGCACTAAACTCGGGTATTCTGTGGAGGCGCGCACCAAATCCTATGTCGACGGCAATGTAAGTAATATGGCCTTCCTCTCGGCAGCTAAGATGAATAGCGACAGGCGCCCTTGGGCCAAAGGAGAGACCTCCGATATCCCAACGGGCTGTTGTGGAGGGTCTCCGAGATACATTGGCCTGCGGACCGACCGGCACTCTCCATACCTGCGTCAGTGGCTTAGCGGTCTACATCGTCGGTCATCTCGCTTCTCTGCTGGGGTTTCTTCGTATGGCATACGTATTAGTGAGATGTGAACTTCATAAAGGGGAAGTGCACCTTGTCACAGCCCTTCTCCCACGGCTGCTGGCGACTTTACTTGGTCCAAGATTGTGATTGCCATGGCTACTCAATTGGAGGCATCGGGCATCAATGGGCTCCAAGAGGTTACCACCAGACCCAACGGCATGTCAGATAAGCCGTCGAGCCAAGTCCTCATCGTCGGCGCCGCCGTTGTAGGCTGTTTGACGGCGATCCAGCTTGCCCAAGCGGGCATTGATTCTGAAATTATCGAGATGCTCCCGAAGTCCAGCGATGATCCTCGTTCGTGCGGGTATTTTGGCGCCGCGCAGCTGTTCTTGGACGAGCTCGGAATCTACAAGTTGATGCGAAGCCAAGGGTTCATGACACGCGGTCTATGCTGGCGAACAGCCCCAATCGACGACGGGAAAGGCGGCAAAAGGACAGGAGACATCATCGCTTCACAGCCGTTGTGTGCGCTCGATGACACCGTGTTTCCCGTGGGCTCCGGACTGCTCAACCTCACGCAAGGTCAGCTGAATCGAATCTGCATCCAAGAGGCTCTGAAGACAGGACGGGTTCGCATACATTTCAACACCCAGCTCGAGTCAGTTGACGAGAACACGGCCGACGGGGTCGTGGTGACGGCACGGGACGTCAACTCGGGTGAAACGAAGCAGTACCGCGGGAAGTACCTGGTGGGCGCGGATGGCGCACGGTCCGCCACGCGAAAGGCGCTCGGCCTCGCATTCCCCGGGTATACATGGCCTGAACGCCTCCTCGCAACGAATGTCATGGTCATGAACGAAGAGGAGATCCTCTATCACACCCATTATGTCATGAGTGATGTGCATTGGGCCGTCATCACCCCTCTCCAGGACCCTGTCGTCGGTCAGTCGACGCTATGGAGATATACCGTGGCTCTGGACCCCAACGACCCTCGGCCTGATGACGAAATCATATCCGATGCCAATATCCTGAATCATTACGAATCCATCATGGCCGGTCGGCGCCCATTGCAAGTCGAGATCCGAGCGCGATCGATTTACAACATCCATCAGCGTCTTGCACCGACATTGCGAAAGGGAAATTGCCTGCTCGCTGGTGATGCGGCACATGTAAATAATGTAAGTCCCTCAGCCTCCTTGACCGGGCCGCCGAATTGACTGACGTGGGAAAAAGCCCATCGGGGCAATGGGTTTGAATACGGTAAGCTCCAGCCCCAGCTATGATCCGATGTTCCAGGTCACAATGAAATCCTGACCCTGGTGCTGACCGCTACTGCACAGGGCATGCTGGACAGCGATGCGCTCGGAAAGGCGCTGATCATGATTCTGAAAGAAGGCCGTTCGGACAGCGTCCTCGACATCTACAACGACGAGCGCCGGAAGGTGTTTCAATTCTTCGTCAACCCGACAAGCGCGGAGAACAAAATGCGCGTACATCATCACCCTCCGGAGACAGCGGTGCGAGATGACTGGTATTTCCGCATGATGGCGGATCCGTCGAAACTGACCGAGGATCAACTTAAGGAGTCCATGAAGCCGTACATGGAGACGTGGAGGACGGATATTCGAAAACTGGCTAAGAGCATGGCATGAGCGAGATCGAGACCGACATTTGGCAATATTTGATCCAGTACAGGCCTGGAGGAAGGATGCAGAGATGTCGAGCGTGGTTGATACTCTTCTGTTGGCACAGACTCGGCTCTGGCCGTGGCTCATGAACGTGTCGAAAAGATATCGGACACGGCACATGATGACGGATGCGAATAGCATTGACATGATATAGTACAGGTGGGCTTCTCTCGATAGAAAACCGAAATTGGAACTTCCCCAATCATTCTCCATATCTATTCAAGACTCACCTCGCAATACAGCCAAGACATAAAGGGGACGGGAGACTCCAACCGAGAAGGCACCGCGGAAGGAGTAACTCTACCGCGACTTTCGTACTAGGTGAGAATAACAGCGGGGTGGCTGGAACAGTCGTGATTTATACGAGCTGGTTTGTGGCTTCAGTCCAAGCTTCTAGAATCAAAACAATACACCATCCAATTTCTGTTCAGTAGGGATAGAATGGTGCGGAATGAATGCATTGAGCGCTCTGTCCTGCAGAGGGCTTCTGTATGTACTATATGAGGAGGAAAGCAGAAACCTCGGTAAGAACTGTAAATGCCTCCGGGCTATCCTGAGCGTGGTGAGCTGAACGGAGACAGCCTTGCTACCTGAGAGCGGCGCACAGGCCGCTTGGAGCGCTCTGCTTGGCCAGATAGCTAGCCACGAGGCTTCTGTATATCTGTCTTCGGTGCCCCTTGACGTGAGACGCCTGAACGAAACAAAGTTTCCCCAATTTAATTCATAGCCTTGAAATACACCAACAATGGCGAAAGATCTAGCCTGAAATAGAAAGACTAATTTGACCAAGGTCTTACCACGGCGAAACTCTCCAGCAGAGAATAATAGCAATCATCATGCGTAACGGTAAGACCCCTCCTGTCGGGTCTCGAGGAACGGTAGCTGGTCAGGAGCCCATCTCAGCCCTCAGTCTTCTCCGGCGTCCAGGTGGAGAATGCCATTCCCTCCAGTACCTTGCTCCACTGCTCCGTCTCGGGATCCAACCGCGCATCGAACTCTTTCACGGCGTTTCGGACGACTTTAATCCTACCTGGGCTCATGGGAGTGAATTTGGCAGGGTAATCGCGAGGCTGAGCGATCACACCTCCGACCAGATCGTCAATGGGAGGAGGAATGGACTGTCTTTGATTGTCTAAGACCTTGGAAACGTTAAATCCCCAGGGGAGTCGGGAAATGCCCAAGAAGAAGGATCTCTCGGTGATGTGGATGCCCGGACAGAGGCGCCGGACTGCGCCGAAGGTAAAAGTGTCGCGCTTCTTGGAGTCTCCCGTGACTGATTGATAGAGCGTCGTCTCATCGTCAGCGAATCTGTCCGGGTTGAATCGACGCGGATCGGGCGAGCGTTCCGCGCCCATGTGAATGGACCTTGTTTGGAATGGTCAGTAAACATGCTTGCTGTCATTGTTGACGACGGTCGCTCCCTTGGGGATGACATAGCCGTTGAAGACATCATTTTTGGTCACGGCATGAGACATAACCAAGATCACGGCTGACATCCAACGCAGGCTTTCTTTGATGCAGTAGCGAATGTAGGGCAGGTCGGCTTAGTCGTCGATGAGTGGCAGTCGATCACGCCCCACTACCCGGTGGAGCTCCTCTTGAGCCTTCTTCTGCACTTTATGGAATATTAGTACCGCGAGAACGGAGCCATAGAGGGTAGACGCGGTGGTGTCGGAGCCGACTTCGAGCAGGGTGCCGTAGATATATCCGGCTGCGTCATCGGAAAAGCCCTTCATTGTCTGCTGCCTCAAGAAGTCGTTGTAGAAATAAGGCTTTGATGTAGAATCTGTTACTTGCATCACAAACACAGAATGGGTTCAGTGGATCTACCAGTCCTGTGACATCTTCCAGACCTTGCTTCGCCATCGTGCAGTGGCTTCCATAGAGCTCCTTCCATATTTTGTGGAGCTTGGCCGCGTATGATACATTAGGAGTCAAAGCGGCACGCAGCTTCTGTATAATGGGAAATATGTTGGCAAGTCGGGCGCTTGCGCTTCGCACCATCTTGCCCCATCTCTCGAAACCATATAGAAGAAAATTGGTTAACCCTTGGATGAAAGCCTGGAGATCATCTGGCACTCACACTGAATAATTGTTGCAGTCTCAGGTCTTGCAGGCTCGGACGACGATGCCAGAAGATCATCTGAGTGGTTAGCTGTACCTTCTAATGTGATTGAGAAAATCATCAGGAGTATCAAGGAGGCCTGCCAGGACGAATTTGGTCTCGAGATGCTGATATGGAATGTATGTGACGGCGGCTTTCATCATTTGGTGGATCATTCGCCAATTGTCTCCATATCGTTACCGGTGCCATTAGCGGAGGTTATCTCTCCAGACAATGACATATAGAGGAGGACAATTAAATGGCAAGTTGCCCAAAACATCGTGATGGGAAGAATAGTTCTTGTGGGAGACAAAGAAATGGTATGCCTAACTAACCATTGCCACCCCCGCTGGCGATTGTTTGACCTATGTACATGTTCGGCCGATCCGAATAACTGCCACTCCTCTTATCCAGCAGGTCCTTGACTGCAGTGTCGGATGAGAGGACGATCATCTGTGTCGTCCGAGAATCAATGAATAGATCGGCCTGCAACGATAACAGTTCGAAATAAGACCCCCATAGTAAGTCAAGAAAATACCAATATGCTCGAGCCCATTTCTGCAGCTGAAGATCCGGGTTTGCTCAGACATCTGGTGGTTGAAAGTCACTTACCTGCTTTCCCTACGAGATGAAGTTTGCCCAATAGGAATTGTAGGTGGCCCTGGCGGAAGACCGGGTGGCCTACTGCCTATATTGGACAGTTTGAAAAGCGTAATGATACATCCTAAGATGGCCACTACCGCCAATAAACCCGGTGAGATGCTTAGCGTTTTTATAGAACTTGAACTCAACAAGGTGTGCAAGGGAAGTGATTATGAGCGCCAAACAATATTGCTTTGTTTCAACACGAGAAGACAGCGACAAGAGGCAGAGACACGTCTGCTTCATTCAAGATCCCGTTGGGCTGATCTGATTGCTTTCGCTATTCCGGGTGGCATATTCAGTGATGCTGAATTGAGTTCGACCCCGCCGCAGAGGTTTGACCTAGACGCCACCACTTTTGCGCCGCCTAGAGGCGACCCGGGGATGAGGGATCAAAAATCTCCGCCTTTGCCCGAGAGAAGAGGTGCGACCGGTCGGCCTGTCCCACAGGCCAGGTCCAGCGATGTGGAGGGCCGCGCCGCGGGGGTCAGAGGTGGAAGCCTCCGAGGGTAGGCCAAGGCTGTGAAGCACCTCGGGACGACAGAGGTCGTGAGAGGAAGAACGAACCCGTCATTTCTCTTATCCCACGAGCCGACGGAAAGTGTATCCCTTTAGCGTAGTATGTTTTGACATTCATTAATTACGGAGGCATGTACTAAACCTGTATTGACGCCAATTCAAATTACAAGGTTCCATTTCATTGCCTAGCGGGATATTTCTGGAAGAGCTAGGCGCTGGCGCCTAAAAGTCCCTAAATGTGTGAGTCGTGACTTCCGCGTAGGCTTTTGTCTCGGTACTAGCTACTGTAATAAGTGATAGGTAAGTTAGGGCGGGGCTAGCAAGGCCTCTAGAGCTATATCTTTATAATACGGTCTTTAATGAGAAGTTATACATCTTAGTAACCCCGCTAGTATAGTCTATAGCCTAAAACGAAGCCGTAGCGAAGATATAGAAAGTATCGGTCGTAAATACGGCCGCTTAGACATTAAAGGAGATCGACGTACTATTCGGTAGATATAGAACGGACAGAAAGGATAGACGAAAAGAGGAGAGGAAATAGATCAGTAAGCTTATCGACGATTAGAATCTATTAGATCAGAGTCGTAGAATTTATATAGCCGAGGTCGTCCTCTATATTAGGTTAAGTTAGTTACTTAAGTATCGAATTATTAAGTAGTTAAGTCTACGCCACGAAAGCTAAGAGAAGAGAGGGTTGAGTGACCGCGTTCGGGACTCATAGGAGATGATCGTAACTCGCGAAAATAGCGAGAGGGTTCCTTTCGTAATATATCAACTAGTCTCTTATTAAGTAGAAGTATTGTACTATATAAGGCTTTAAAGGGTAGACTCGGCGACGCTACTTTTAAAAGAGCCCGTATTTTCATTAGATATACTTAGAGCCTCGGTAGGCGCCGTGACGGTAGACTCGAAGGGGCTAATTATAGCTATTAGTGTGAATCTCTACCGAGGTCGGGCTTTATATAGCCCCGCGCCGAGGTACTAGGCGTTCTAGCCCCCGCGACTGGTGAGATACGGGTGATCGCTCACCCGGCTCGCGCGAGCCGGGGGTGAGTATAGGGCGGCATCACCCTAGGCCCCGATCGGGGGTGAGTCGCGAGCAGATTTCCCAAACCTTGGCGACTCAGGTAGATCTTGGTTTGCTTTCTTGTCCACATCCTGTTACCAACTGTGGACTACGACCAGACTCCGGCCCAAACATCTCGGTCCACAATGTCGATCTGCAGAGCAACAGCACTGATGGGCCCATGATTTGCCTGTATGGACTACTTACCAAGGATAACCGTCCGCCCGTCGCATGAAAGGCTACAAGTACCGTCTCTGGAAGGGCTGGTCACGGCGAGCTTGTCTAACTCAGATGGGTTGTTGCACCCGTTCTCATACCCACCGGGGCCTGCTCAGGATGGAGTGCCAGAGCAGAAGGACACAGAGATTGCGATGCTATGTGATCTATTTTCTCGCACTTTGAACCAATTCCTGGCCATCACAGGCAGTGAGCTCACACTGCTTCTCCCTGCTCCCACCGAGACCTTTGACGACCAGACTTATGGTGTCAAGGAATTTCCCATTGGGTCGCTTTCTTTGGTTCTGACAAGGCTTGTAAAACAACACTTTAAGGGTGGATCAGGCGGCAGCTCCGGCAACTCTGTCCAGAATAAGCAAGCTGTGGAACTTTTGCAACGAACCACGATACATCTGGAGAAATATCGAGACGCCCTGACAAAATCTCCATCAACGGTTCAGAGTGGCACCAGCGGAGTTCCATTGTCCGACTTGGCAATCCTGTCATTGCAGTGTCTTGTCGAAACCCTGTACGACTTGACGCTTCCTCAAATCCGCCTGACAGCTGTATATTCGATAGCTAACCCGTACCCGTTTTGGATGGAAAACGCGTTAGTTGATAAGTTACTGTACGACTCTGGCTGGGATGAGAGCAAAACTAGCTCTTTGCCCAGGGACATTCGATTTCGTTACTATCTCAGCTTCTTGGCCACTGGTGCTCCAGACCTCAAACGGAGACGGTCATCCGCACACTTCAAAGAACGCTACTCTCCAATTCATGTGTCTCGACATTGCAACTGCGATAGGCTGAGTGTAGACCTCAATACGGTTGACACAGCAATTGCCAGCCCCTACTTCAATCTGGTGACGTTCTCTCCAATCGGAGGCCACCACCATGGTGGCCTCAAACTGAAGAAACAGAAGCTTCCGTCGGAGAAAGATGCAAGCTTGGTCTTTGTGGCATTCTCACATCTAAGGTCTGATGGTCTGGGATCCAGCGAGGAGAACGCCCTGCCTCGATGTCAAGTGGAGTATCTCCAAGGCCTGAGCAATCAACTGCTACCAGAAGAAAAACATCCAGTGCCATTCTACATCGATACGCTATGTGTCCCAATACGAGGTCCGGCGAAAGCCTCTGCTCTCCGGAATATGCAACCTGTTTTTGAGAATGCCCGAAAAGTCCTTGGGCTCGATATTGGACTTTCCGCCACAGCAGTCTCCTCATTCGCCCAAGAAAACTTAACACGAATACGTTACTCATCCTTCATGCAGAGGTTATATACAGTAGCGGAATGCACAGTCTCTCCAGACATGTACTTCCGTTTTCAGGGTGACTCCTTGGTTTCCTTGAAGGACCTTACCTCAACCTTCGACATGAACGAGGAACTCCCGTTGCTAAGCACAGTCAGTTTCAAAGACCGCCGGCGAAATACCTTGACGCCGGAAGATTTTGATGATTTGTCACTCGCTTTGACATGGCTAAGTGATGATCTCCATGTCTTGAAGATGTATTCAAAGGGACAATTAGACAAGTCGTTGGCTAAGGTCAGCATCAACGCAGCATTCCCTTCGGTATCCGATGAGTGGTCTGCTAGCCGTGAGGTAGACGGCGTGTACTTTTTGCGAAGACTGCTTCGACTGGGCTTCCTGGCGCTTCCTCAGATGAGGTACTTTGCGCAAGCCAATGAAGCCGCAACTTTGGACGAAATCGCCAACAAGACACTCGAAGCATACAGGGTACCCTTGAACGAATCCGGTTCGCCAAAAACCCGCCTGCTCCCTAGTTACCTTCGCGAATGTTCTGACATTAATCACGTCCTGGAACGTCTCGGGACGCTATATAAACTGACCAGCTCATTACGACTATAGACTGACTCTGCAACACCTCGATTTCTACTGCTAGACTGAGAACATAGAGGGGAACCCAGTACAGATAGATTCTGCCCAGTCACTGTCTACTCCTACAAGTGCTGTGGTTGTGAAAACTTTCAGAACCGTCAGACGGATTTTCTTCTGCACTGTCGACACCTGTTCAAAAGTCTTATAATGAGCGCTCGGTTCATTCTCCGGGCTGCGGCTCGGAGTCTACCATGAAGCTACTCGTGATCGGACACGGCTTGATGAAAGTGTGGCGGTGCACAGCAGCAATCAACGCCTCGCGCAGCCTCAGGGGCTGAAACTGGCGCCAATCTCCCTCCTTGTTTCGTGCTTCTCCCGCCTCCAAACTCTGAAACGCAATGTGGTTCAACCTCCGACATTTGAGCGTCTCGCTTCAGGCTGCGCCCACCACTCTCCCCATGCGATTCTCGTGCCTCCAGTCGTCAAGAACCTATTTTCAACGAGGTGTGCGGCCATGCCGAAGCACATCACAGTTCCCATCACTGATAGAGCTCGTTGAATCCGATCAATGAGAGGCATCGAATCTTGTCCGGCTCGGTTGCGGCCGAGCTGAAGCGACGAAGCCTTGCGCCGTCCAGCCTAGAGCCCTGACACGGGTCTGTCTCGAGAAGCAACTCTATTTATACGCTTAACAAACCCCTAACGATCTCCATGTGATGCATTAGGGATCTCCATCGATCGCCCTAGACTCGAGGGTAAGGAGCAAGTACATAATGAGCGCCCCCAAACCCTACTCACTCCACGAAAGAGTGTCTTCGTCTTTATTTACCATTCCATCTACCCAGCCTTGTTCGTCGAGAACCCTGTATTCACCGTCATGTCGCTCGTTAATATGATTCCCTCCCGCTTTTTTGTGCTGTTTGCCCTGGCTGTGTTTGCCAACGCCCAGTCTGCTCCGGACTTCCCTGTGCAAGTATCGACGAATCTGCGGGTTGACTTCCAAAGTTCTTCAACCAGCGTCAACCCGGCTGGTGTGCTCATATCCCGTGATGGTGAGTAGCTCTCTATCCTCTCTGTTGCATAATCTCCTATACTCTTCCAGTCCACACCTGAGCTCGGGCAATGTCTGATATCGAGTCCCAATACTAGACGTCCTTGCCGCCCCGACGATCGATGGACCGACGGACTCATCCCGAACACTGGATTTCATGATCTTCATGGTCGACCAAGACGCCACCTCGCCCGACGACGCCAACACACGCGTGCAGTTCCTCCAATGGTACCAGCCCAACCTGGGGGGAGCATCAGAGGTGCTCTCCGACTTCGGGACTGACGCCCAGAATTTCACCTCTGCTCCGGCGGTTTCGTACATGCCGCCGACGCCGCCAGCCGGGGACGAGGCTCACCGGTACACGTTGCTGCTATACTCGCAGCCCGAGGGGTTCAGCATCCCGGCATCTTTCGAGTCGTTCTTTGATTCGACGGATTCGAACGCTCGGATCAGCTTTGATATGGCTGGGTTCGCTGCCGCCGCGGGGATCGGCCAGCCCGTCGCCGCGAACTGGTTTGAGGTCCAGAACACGTCACAGGCGGTGACAAGCAGCACAGCAGCGACTTCGAGCACGACAGCAAGCTCGACTTCTGCGTCCACTTCCACTTCCACTTCCACAACAATATCAGCGTCCACGTCTTCTACGACATCTACTTCCACCTTCAATTCTAGCTCTATCTCTACGCAGTCGTTCGTATCCAATACCACCATGACGGTCGCCACTGTTACGGCATCAGCCACTGCAAGCGATTTGACGAGCCAGACTCCAGCCGGACCATCAACCATGACGGTGGTGACAACGGCAGGGATACCTACAACTACGGCCTCGGCCAGCGCCGGCGCCAGCACGCAGCCAAGCGCTAGTGCAAGCGGCAGTCTAGCGAGCGGCTCTGGCGCATGCATGGTCGACGTGCGTGACAGCATGAGCAGGCTGGTGGTAGCGTTAGTGTTTGGCGTCGCTGGCGCTGGACTGTGGCTGCTGTAAAATGACCGGTAGGCCCTGGGCCGGGCCTCTCACGACTCTGTTTATGTCTTGTATCATCACGGCATTTGTATACTAGGAGGCTCCCATGCTGTTAGACTTGGAGTACATAGGTATTTCGGGATGGAATGGACGAACAGGCTCAGGCCATGAGCTTCAACTGCTTCGGGGACTAGGGAACGGTATTACAATTGTTTTTTCCTCTTTCATGAAAGAGTTAAAAAGGAGGATTTTGACCCACGGAATGACTTGTGCTTAAGCATATGGGCACCTCGTTACCTATCCCGCAGGACACGGACTCTCTCCGACCGGGGCGCGGTTTCTGATAGATCCTCTGCTAGAGGTCTGCTTCGCAGAGCGAGATCATGAAGACAGGTCTGCTATCCCTTCCGACCAGTGTCGGCACCCTCGACCCTTCGCCACAAGACCCTCGGGGGGCTCAAATAGCGCTATGTTTGGTGCTGCTGCGACTGTTCTTTCGTCCGATCCAGATCAAAACGGCACCCATGACGGCACTGGTAAGGAAGACGCCCATGCCGGCCAAATTCACCCATACTTTGTGCATCATGGACAACTCGTGGGCGGCGAACAGTTCGGTGTTATACGGGTCTTTGGTGCGGTACTCCTGGTCGCGCAATTTTCGATTGATGGCTCTCATGTAGCCAAAGGCGGCCGAGTACATGAAGAACATGACCAGATCCCATGGACACGCGAGGGCGACGGGGCGGTAAGACATCTTGAAGGGGACGAGGGCAAGGACGAGTCCGGTCACGACGGCGAAGGCGCCGAGGACGAGCTCAAAGGTCTGCAATGGCACCGAATTTTACATCAGCCTCAAGCCTTTTCAATAGCCTGCCAACATATGCTCAACGGAGACCTACGAGTTTGCTTGAGATGTTGCTGCTTAGCCAATACCCTTTCTCCGGCTTGTATAACCAGATGGTGAGTACCCCGACGCCTATCTGGATGAGGCGAATGATACCATTGACGACGATCACGACCTTTTGATTCCTCGTCGCGTCAGCGTAGGCCATGGCGAAGCGAATGTAGGTGAAGATAAGGGGATGAAGAAACCGGGCAGCAAATATGTGCACACTCCAAACGGTTTGAATTACCGCGGCGACGATCGAGTATTTGTACCGCGAACAACTCGACCACAGGAAGGCGTCCGATCTGCCGACGCGAGAATTTGTCAAAACGGGCACAAGAGACACGCCTGAAGCCTGCTGGCTGCCGTTCATCGGATTGACGAGAGGCCAGTGATTGCGGGCCCCTTATGTCGCTACGCCTGAGATTGAAGAGGACCGGCAGGCTACATCGGGAGGTTGAAGTTCTTGCGCCTTCGCCGTCGAGCTGTTTCCTGCATCTCACAACTCACGAGTTTGTCTGCAATATCCGTGGTCATAGGAGATGATGCAAATCCGTTGCGACCGTTGCTTGAGGACATTGAAAGAGAGGGTGGTCATTGCATGGGTCATTGAATGAGGGACGATCATTGCTTGGGGTCATTGAAGTGTGAGGACGATCCTTACATGCAAGGATCCAAAAGGGAGGTTTCATCTTGGAGGTATCTCTTCAACCTTATTCAGCTGAGAAAATTGCGCTCATCTCTCGCCCTGTATGACCCGACATTGTTTCCGCACGACTTTCAAGCTATCGGCCGAGGCTCTTGCGCGATGGAGCATCTGAGATGGAAATGATTGTGGTCATCCCGGGTCAAGACGGGCACGGAAGCTGTGGGGGAAAGGGCGATGATGATGACGAGCAACGCACTGCCATCCCTCAGTGGTCCACGTGCCGCTCTGCCCTTCCTTACCTCGTACACGGGTAGCGAGACCAAATAGAAGTAGGATTGTTGGGGGGATACGATAGCAGAATTCCGACGGTGACACGGACGGGTACGTACTCCATGCCCGTTGGGGCGAAGCGACAGTCGGAAAAGATGTATCAAAAGCAAACAGATGGGTGATACCGATTAATTACAGCTGCAACAAGGCAGGCGGTGGTATTACAACGAGGGGAGGAGAGCAAGGCTGGAAAGAGCAATGCCAACCACCACAAGTGCATCGAGATGAGCATTTAAGCGATCTGCAACTTTGTGTTCGTGCTTGCTCGTCTCCGTGCTCGTGCTCCCATCCAATCTCGAAGACGCGCTCAACTTTGCCAACAAGGCGCGAAACAACAACTTATCGTCGGCGAAACATCCGGCGCCTCACTGCCCCTGGTGAACGCGTAGAAGGCAAGCACGTCGTCCGCAATAACTCTGTCATCGGCATGGACGACGAGCGTCTCAAGGAGCGACACGTACTTTGGTGATACTTAACACAGTACGTCAACTGGATCTATAAGCTTTAACGTTGGAGGATGTTTCAACAGACGGAACTCTCGATGGTTTATCATGTTAGGATATCAGACCGTTGACACAGGGACTGTTCAGCCTTGCCCAGCCTTACCCGCACCAGCGCTCATGACGCTGAGTAGATGCCGCAGTTGCTGCGTCTTTATGGATCTACCTAGGCAGGTAGCTATCGATATCATCAACTCATAACAGGGACATAAATCGTTCCATAGCGCGGTCGCCAAGTTACAGACCCCGCAAGCATAAAAAGCAACCCATGTCGACCTAAGCCCACGCCTGCTGAATTTGTTGGCCCGAGTCTGATTTCCTGAACGGAAGATATTCCAATGTACCCCTTATTGCCAACTTTGATGATCCCTTCCCTGCATGTTACTCCCATTGCCATACCGATCAAATAGAGGAACATCTCCACTCGGTGCCACACAGTAATAGGAGCCAAGCCCGTTGGAGTTGTCGTCGGCAGAGTTGGCCGCCGAGCTAATTTGCCGGTGTGCACTTGGTCTGGAAGAGCCCATATCGGATTCGGAACGAGGCACACGATTCTGTGGGGGCTGCAATGAATGTGACTGCTGGTGGGATAACTGGCTGTTTTGCCAGGTATTGGTGTTATTGGTCATGGGAGGATAGCCACCACCACCCATGGCATTATTTGTAGCCATTATGACCTCGTTGACAGGCTGTTGTTGTGTAAGCGGTCTGGCACCGCCACCAAACAGCGGTGGTCCTGTCTGCACCATTAAACCGTTGGGATCCGGCACATGGTCAGGAAACGGTGTATAAAGTTGGTTCATATCGGCCTCTGGGCCACGCCCACTGTATGACCGTTGAATCGCCATGTCCTGCGGCGTCGCCAGCCCCGCCAGGCTGTGGGAGTGACTCTCGATAGGTGCTGTGGGGATGGATAGTAGGGTTTCTGAAATTCCGGTGCTAAGAAGGGCTTGAACTTGGGTGGTGAATTTCGATCGAGAGACTTCCAAAGCCTCGGCTTCTTGTCTCATTGCATCTAACTTCACTTCTAGACAGCGACGCCTAGAGTCGATATCTCTTCTCTTCTTATCCATCAATATTTCGAGGAAATTCTCAATCTGCCATAGGGCCAGTGTTGGATCGGGATCCGTTCTCATTTTGTCTATCGTGCTCTTCAAAAGGTCAGTCACCTGGTCCTCCGGATCTCGGTTAACCCGATATGGGTGATTCATTTGATCGGCCTCAGTCCCGTCATTGAAAATGAGAAAGTAGTGTCTCCAGCGTCCTTCGGCAGTGAGTTTCTTCGACGAGAGCTTCTTGATCTCTTTCCACTTATCTGAACCTTCTCCAGCATCTTTAAGTGAATGTCGAGTCACATCTGCGATGGAGCGGCCGTGCCAGTGTTCGCACTTTGTACCGCCGTACCTCTGAGGATTGGCAGCATACATTGGACAACGGAAGGGTGGCCCTCTCCCTTTGCTCTCAGACGCTGTGTTCTCATCCGGGTTCGGGTTCAGATCTCGTCGCCCATCGGCAAATTCGGAATCATCCTCTGAGGGAAGATCCCGAGATTCCTCATCCACATTCGTGTTCTGCGAACCCGAAGCATTGCCTTGAGGGCGCGACGAGCTCTGTCCCCCTCTTCTTCTCTTCTGGGGAGCTTCTCCTCCCACGTGTATGATACCATCGGGCTCGACATCGAATTCACGCAAAGCTCTCGTGGCTTGGGATTTCAAAGAAGCTGTGAAAGAGGCCTGAACGCTCTTCGAGGTGGGATTCGGCTCTTCTCGCTGAGGCCGCAGAGATTCAGAGGCATCAGCGACAGGAAGGCCGGGCAGAATATGAATACCTTGTTGCCTTGATTTGGCCGTCGATGGGCTCAGACACCTGCTGCTCGTTAGTGAGGCGCAGACAGCTGAGGCGGCTGGCCGAGTAGCAGTTCGGTGTTCCGCAGCTTGTGGTAAACGGTCCCTCGGTGGCGTTGAAACTGAGGGGCGTGGCGCTCCGGGCGGGGCGGGCAGCTGAGTGCGATAAGGCTGACTAGGATGCGGCGGGTGCGGAGCGCGTCCTTTCGAGACCGATCGTCGAGATGAATGCTCGATGAGGTTGCCATGGTCTTGAGTAAGGTGGGGTGGCTGTTGGAGGAGTGGTATTGATTTGTATTGTGGTACTTGCGATGATCCAAAATCGTCCTCTCGAGCTGCACTCCAACCGGATAGGAAATTAGCTTCGTCACGTTTCGGTCTCTTGGATTTTCGCGACGGGCTGCAGGGATAGTGGTGATCACGAGAGGCCCCTTGCGCCTTGAGACGTAGAAAGGGCGTCAAATGGGGACGCTTGTCTGGGGTACACAACTGTTTTGATGAAGGCCTCAAATATTCCCCAAATCCCTCCACCCTGTGGATATTTGCTGGAACTGGCTCAGCGAGTCTAATGAGAGACCCTGATTCATATGGCAAAATCGTTCCCAGGCACCCCAGGAGTTCAATGAGCGATTGCTCAAATGCATATTGGATTCTCGCCAGGTTGATCGGTCGGAGTGCTGATCTATGCGCTGTCTCCCGAATCCTGGGACAAAGCTGAAGGCATAGCACAAAGATCACATAGCCGAAATGATTTGTAGCCCTGACAAAGACGATTAGGGCCAAGCAGGCCACAATAATAAAAGCATGGAGGCCTCCCAGAATGGCCAACCGAGCGAGACCTGGAAAGCTGTTGTCCTCATAGAGAAGAGTCCGGGGGAGTCTCGTCAAGGGTCGGTTGGACAGGCTGGTTGCCATCTTGAGCGGATGTTTTGGATCCAGATGGATCGGGTGGCGGTGGGTAGCAGAAAAAGCAGGTAAGATGACAAGGCAAGAAGGCAAAGCGGACGTCTGATGAAACGAGGTGCTGGAATATCTCAAGGCTATATGCTGGAAATAACGATACACTCTGAAGGAGGCCGAATTGTCAGGGTATAAAGAGGATTTGCTTTTCCCCTTGTCGGGCTGTGCGTCTTCTCGCACAAGAGACAGCAAGAGGCGTAGCTCCTGCTTCCGCTAAAGCTGCTCCTTTGCAATGTCATATTGTACCTCGCAATGTGCAACCGTGGTTGTTCCAATTGGGCCTCGTTGATGATCGGAGCCCAACTGGACAAGGTCATCGTCTACGTCGTAGAGGCCATGCTCTCCGTAAGCTTTGATGTTGCCTGGCTCATCAGGCCCAAGCACGAATCAACGTCACCCCTGTAGCGGCAGCCATAACCGGTGAGCGGCTTAGTTCGACAGTCTAAGCACTAACACGCCAGAGTCGATCAACCGCAGCCCAGCATTGCCTTCGTGACAATGTTTCCCATGGAGGAAATTGTTTTCGAAAACAAGGCAGAAAAGTGACTGCTCGTCGTCGCCAGTGCTCAATGACCGAGCCAAAGGAGGCCGAGCATCGACAATAATGATCATCTAGAAAGTGGTAATGTGCTGGAAACCTGTGGCTTTGGCTACTCAGGATGCTCTTGCACTTCGTTGCCCACTCCCCAGGGCGCGCCTCTGGCTGGCATACCGAGAAACGCTCGTGTTCGAGGCAACATATCGTCGTAGATAGAAGTTAGGTTCTCGTCTCTGCTTCCCTTGCGACCATAGAACTGCCCCGTGTCTCGGACAAGGGTCAAGAAGCTGGTTGTCACTTCCCGTGTTCGGCTAGCGGACTTGCGAGCCTTTGAGTCCTAGAACCAACTAGGGCTTCCTGGCGTCAAAGGATCAACCTCTCGGCTCAGGTGCCTCTTTTTCTGGTTCCGTGCACGGACCGTGATCACTCTTTTGTGAAGTAGACAGGAAAATATGCCAGACCCGTGCCCGTGCACGATCCCAGAGGCCTCTGAGTTCCAGTAAATGTCGAGAGTACTGTTGCCTATGCGCACCGCGCCCTTCGACATGCACAGCCTCCGTCGAATATGGAATCAAACGATATTGGCGGCAGCAGAAGAGTAATTTCTCTCGCCTGACAGCGCATACTGTCCCGCCAGCCGATCCTTCCATTTTGCGACATTCTCTTGCAGCATCGCACGGACACATCGTGCGGACCGACTCCGTGTTTGTCGCCTGCCTCCTCTGGTATTTTCTGGCTGACCAGACAGCATCCCCGAGACTGTCTAACCAGGACGCCCGGTTTGGAAGATGGCGCTGGTGTTCCTGCTTTCCGTCGTTGGGAATGGTCTCGCCATCATCGCCTAAATCTATTCCCACAGTCGGTCTAGGGCCCAGCACTTTGTTTCCTTGATACCTGTCTCCCTGTGGATCTCCCTGAACTATGCACAGCCCGTGTCCTGGTTGCGAGGCGGAGGTGTCAGCAATGGCAGGAATCTCTGGTGTCAGGACAATTTTCTAGTATGGTGTCAATGTCCACTTTGGGCATATTCTTTTTCCGCCTCCACGGAGTTCTCATTCCATTGGTGAAGCGGAGATTAGTGGCTGCCATGTCGTCCCGCTGCTGCGTCTTTTGGAGGCCAGCTGGGGTCATGTCAACTGCGAGGACCAGAATCTCATCTTTCGACGCGAGATGTGCTTCTCAGACGGAGGAGGTCGCCGCGGAGGCGCAAGGTCATAGAGTTAGATGGGGTGCCATAGATATCCGTCACAGGGAGCAGTCGGCTTCGAAACTGTGATGGCCCTCGAGTGAATGTCAGGGCATAGGTCGGTCGACGGGATATGAATCTATGGAATGACGCGCTCTTCGTGAGTCCTTGATCAAAGGCATATAGTTGTTCATGAAAGCAGTATTGCTGAACTTTGTAGGAAACGCAGCGGTCGGGGTTGAAAATTGACATGGAATACCCAAAAGAGCAGACATTGATGTTCCACAAATCACAGCGGACCGCGCTGTTGCAGCTTCCCTGATACCCAACTCTGAGGCCTTGGTCCAGATACTGCAGTGATTGGACCTCCCCTCCCTGTCGCCTTAAGCTTGGTGTCAAACTTCTTCCAACAGCATCGTTGACTACGAAGATCGATGCCTAAGCCAACCTTGGTACTCTGGGGTCTGTGATTCAATTGCAGAATCTTCAGTGACGTCCCTGAAGAAGCGACCATATCTTGCTGGAGCATCTGAAACATGCTTGAGACCGAGGCTGGTGCGTTTCCTGGCTGGCTAGAGAGATTGACGCAGCATGATTCGCAAGGGTGGTCATCGCTGTATTCTCTTGGACGCCTCACTTTCAAATACTTATCTAGCCACTTCTGTCGGTGGGAAAAGTCGGTGAGGAACAGCAGGCATTTTGCACATCGATATTGAGATCAAGGTTCTGACGATCACAGCAACACAATAGTTGAGAACTCGATACCACGAGAACGGCAATGACAGCTCGTGGAGCTTGTGAGAGAACTACATGATACGCACGGGGCTTGACCTGATATTCCCAGCACAGAACTGGGCAAGATCTAGCTCGTCTCACTCCACTGCGCCCATGACATAGAACTATGTGCTGCCGGCAACTATGTCTACGAGCTCAGCGACATGTTGACGAATGCAACCTCGGGAAATTGCGAGCTCGGTCCTTCGAGAAGTCTGACCTTTTGCGACTTCAGAGTCTCCTGAAAAAATCCGGCGACGTATCTGCGAAGGATATTCATCATCCTAAGTCCATCAATGGTCCCGATCAATTCCACGACCTCTGGAAGAACAGTTGAGTTGATCCCAATGCTTTTGGCCAGGATTGGGTAATCTGAGAAGGTCCCATGCTGAGTACCGTTGACTTGTAGTTGCAGTTTCAACCCTTTCAACTCCTGCCAAAAAGCAACCCATGTTGCATCAGTGCTTTGGTTATGCTCTTGTGCTGCAAATATAGTGAACGGCTTCTTGTCGGTGTGATTCATCGCGGGCCCATACACACCACCATCCATGTTCAGACCGCTAGCAAGTCTCGGCTTCGTCAACATTGCATTTGCAGCAGTTGCGCCACCCAGCGAGTGTCCAAATATTCCTACATGCTTGATATCGAAAGACGGGATGCCAAGTTGCTTCGTCATCGTTGAGTTGGACAAGGCGTTGAGCACGGAGCCTATGTCTGCATCCCTAAGTGAGAGAACTTGTGGCAGGTCGTCCGGCAGCGTGATGTTGGCACCCAGAATGACGGTCCCATCGGGAAATTCGACAATTTGGGCATCGTACGTGTGATCGATTGAGATAACGTTGAACCCCATCGAGGCTACCCATTGGCAGATGACGTTATAGGTCAGACGAGAGCTTCCGGCTCCTGTGGAAAAGAGTAGCAGTGGAAAATTGGTGTTCTTTGGTGGCAAACGACATGTTTCGAGGCGGAATGCTTCAAAAGTTCCGTTGGGGACACCAACCGAACTGAACATAGCATCATGGAAAGCAGCGGTAGCAGGCGGCATATACGGAATCCCTTGAGTGGTCGTGCAGTTGGTTGGCTGGAAAAGAGACAGCATCAAGCGCCGAGGCTGATTGCAGCATGGTGCAAAGGGGTCAACACGAGATGCGTCTGTTAGAGGAAAGGCAGTGATGAAGACGTTGGTGGACACTGGAGGCGGAGGCAAAGCGACTGTTTGACACCAGGCTCGAAGAGCAACGCTCAAGAGATAGAGGAGCAAGGAGGCAACCATGCTGGCAGGAGGTGGGATCCAGCGACTCAAGGCGATCCAACAAAATGTCTTTCGTATGAGGACTTATTGCCAGGAAATGGTGCTAGGATGCCCTCAGGTCATATATTGATCGGGAGACAGAACAGCTCTTTGTAATCGTGAGGTTAACACAATATTATTGTTGCATCCTGGCCGAGGCATGTCGGTCATACGGGTATTTGAGAACATGCGGAACCTTGCCTGCGATGAAGCACACTTCGTATTCGTATTCATAAAAGTTGTATTTTGCCATAATGACTGCCGAAGCAATGGGTCATCTGGCAAATGCACTTATGGTCTGGGCGATGGAGGCGATATGGTTCGGTAGTGGAAGTAACAGGGCCAAGAGGTGTGATGGAGTAAATATGCAACCGGTTCCTTAATATAGATTTGGGCTTAATACCATAAATGTAAGCCTGATTCGTGGGCCGTGTTACACAATGACAGCCGATTCGCTGGGAGAAGTGCCATCGGAAGCACTTCTAGCAGGTCTAAACGGTTTTGCAAATGGATTGTCGGCACCATTCCTTAAAATGCCTTGGTGGAATGTGCAAGTTGCGAGGATGGCACAATGTGTCCAAAGATAACCTTCGATTGGGACGCATCTGGTCGTTGAAAGTCAACTGATTGACAGGGATCTTCAAGCCAGCTGAGGTGGAGGAGAGCCAAAGACCGAGCTGTTCAGGGGTCATACCATGAGCGGAAGGTCGGCTACCAGCAGTGAACGGAAATGGTGATTGTGATGGACTCTTACAAGACAGCTTACAGGGTAACGAACAGAGCTTGCCGACTGAATCATTGCCCGGTGGCAGACGACATCCTTGTGAGAAAGGGATCGAGATGATGCCCTAGAGAAAAGTTCAGCCTCGTAGCCTTGCGATACTGCAGAGCATAAACCGCTTTGGTGCAGATTCCAGGCTTGGCAACAATTTGTCCCGATTGAACTGCGACCTTTGATCTGCTGGCTCTTCTTTGTCAATCCGCAGAAGCTTCAAGCCCGGCTCTCCAACACGTCTGGCTTGTACAAGTCTGACCAGGCTCTTCAGCAATGACTGCTGCGCGTCTCTCACCAGCAGCAAACTTGCTCCGCAACTCCAGACTCTTCGCCATCCCTGCTGCTGTGTCCCTGCCCGCGATAGAACCTTCATCAGAACCCATCTCATACTCTGATTCTGCCACTACTCCATACCCGACTCGAGCTGCTCTTGAGACTCCATTGACATCACTAAATCAAGGAGATTGGGGTTTAAAAAGGCCCCTGCCGGTCAAAACTACTACAAAATCTGGCACCCCTCTTGTCCGGTTTCAAAGAGGAATAGACACCCCGGAGCACGTTGTCGACTTCGAATCCGCCGCAGATCATGTCCTCACTTTGCGCAAGTACCAGGAACTGAACCTCAGAGTTGTCTTGCCTGCGCCAAGAGATCGGAAGTCAACATTGAATATACAACGAACGAGTGCCTTCGACTCCGAAGTGGATCACACGGCCGCCCACCCTTCCCCAGTTCTCAACGAAAATGTGTCCACGTCATGGTTAGACGAGAGTCCATCGGAACGAGCAAAGCGGATGCCGCAGCATCTTAAAGATGCACTTGAGAAGATTACCCAAGAAAGAGCAGAAGCAACAAGACCTGGGTTTGAAGCGCATCCAATTCAGCCACAACCTAACCCCCCTGCAACTTCACCATTCACACAAACTGCCCGCAGATGGCGCTACTCTGGACCATATCTGGCGGGACTCAACGGGATGGAATTTGATGCTTTCCTCAAAGGCATTACCAGGGAGAAGAAAGCTGCGTTTAGGGAGCTGGTCAAGAATCATTTGGCCGAGCAGCGAGCTTCCGACCAGCGGTCGAAAGCTCTGGAAGAAGGCCAGGCAGATACAGCTCCTCAGGCTTCCTTAGAGATCACAGAGCAGGAAGTTACAGATCATCTCCGATATTTGCGATCAGAACCCGGTAAATTCGGTCCCCTGATTGCCAATTTCTTCGATCTCGCTGATGGTCCGAAACCCTCGGCGGACACGACCGACCCGTGGTCATATGGGCGTGATACCGTGTCGGCGGACCTTTACAAAGAGTCTGGACCGCCACGTACACATCCATCTGCAGGCCTGTCCTATATCAAGACAGAGATGTTTGCGGCGAACGACGCTGTCACCGGTCCCAGAGGCAATCGCTCGCCTGTGGCAGCTCGCCTTCTTCGATCCATCCAATCTACCCATAACAAACACATCCCATTCGTCGGCGTGGCTGGATTTGTCGTCCCACAACCTACCAATCCCGGTATTTCGGAGCAGAACTGGAAGTGGACACCGGTCAAAGATGGCCCTAAACTTGTGGTCACTCCAACTGCGGCCAACATTTCACAGGCCGGCAAAGTTGAGATTCAGACGAGGATGCAGCCTGACTGGGTTGTGGAGGATGATTTACCTGTCAATGTCGCCGACAGACGAACACCGAGGGATACTTCGACTCCCACGAGACCCCTGTCTTCTCAGCTGCCGGCCTTTGGCCGCAATGAATCCCATAAGAGACGGCAGTGGCCAGCACCAGAACCCAGTCAGAGTATCGATGAGGAGATAGGTTTATTGTTGAAAGCGAACTCCAAGTATAAGACGAGCAAGCTTGCTTGATGTACAAAACTTGTAATAGACAAATATTATCATCTCTTGGCTAGCATGAATCTCGATTGTATTCTGTTGAAATACTAATCCTGTCCACACTGGCCTCCTACGCTCAAAGCAGCGCAAAGCTGGTCGAGCTGGTGGGATCTGCCACCTTCTGCTCTTTGATTTGCTTTGTTGAATAGCATGGTCTCGAAAGCTGGTCCATCTCGCCTGCATACTGTCTGGTAATCTACGGGGGACGATCAAGGCTGTCAGGAGAAGTAAGATCAGCATGCGCAGTCCCCAGTCTCTCTTACCAATTCACGCAAGCACCTCGTTGTCAAATCATTTTGAAAAGAGTAATTAATGCACATCACTTCACGAGAATTAAAGTGTGCAGCGCGAAACGATGTAAAAGGCGGGCTCTCACTGAAGAACCCCAACGGCGAGATCGAATCTTATCTCTTGGCATTATTTTTGCCAAGCAGCCACAATTCGCCCGAAATTCATTTTCCACAATTGACGATTCTCATCGCACTGACTGCAAACTCTCGCATCCCTCCCCGACAATTTCAATCCAGCCGTCAAGATGGGTCGCGTTCGCACCAAGGTGAGTTGAAAGCCTCAATCAATCTTGACAGCTGCGACAAGGACTGACCAGTGCTGTGTACATCTAGACCGTCAAGAAGTCCGCCAAGGTCATCATCGAGCGGTACTATCCCAAACTCACCCTCGACTTCGAGACCAACAAGCGCATCTGCGATGAAATCGCCATTATCGCCTCGAAGCGCCTTCGCAACAAGGTACCGCCTCCCCCCCAATCGTCAACGCTCATCATGTCAAGAAGGCGGCGGCGGCGGCGGAGTTGTCCCTTGGGCATGATTGTGGCTGACATTTTTGATGTTACATAGATCGCAGGCTACACCACACACTTGATGAAACGCATCCAGCGCGGCCCCGTGCGCGGCATCTCGTTCAAGCTGCAGGAAGAGGAGCGCGAGCGCAAGGATCAGTACGTGCCCGAGATCTCGGCCCTCGACTTCACGCAAAACACCGAGTCCGGCCAGCTCGACGTCGACAGCGACACCAAGGACCTGTTGAAGAGCATGGGCTTCGACAGCATCCCCGTCAATGTGGTCCCTGTCAGCCAGCAGGCTCCCCAGGAGAGGGGTGGAAGGAGAGTCTTTGGTACCGATCGGCCTGGTCGCCGCGAGTAGATTTTGAGCTGGTGATTTCTTTGAAATGTGGGGGACACAAAAATGGAGCAGGAGAGAGTAGGTGGAATGGGAGAGTGATGGGAGATCGGGGATTGTGGCATCGCCCGCACTTTTCGACTGCGTCATTCTCTCTTCCCCTTACATCCTCCATCTCGATGCACAATGTCCAGAATTCCTGAGGCTCAGGTCAAGTGCCAAGCAAAGGCCTACCTCATGCAGAGAACCATGACACGGAAGACAACGACCGCTGCCACCTACCTACCCTCGGTCACGCCTTTCACCACACACCGCTAAGAGAGCCGGAATGGTCCAGGTATCGACGTAGGGTGTGGCTGCAACTACGCCCAAAATGCAGCCAGCGGCAGAGTCAAAAACAAGAACTCGTTGAAAACATCAAAGGTGTCGCCTAGTCCCTGAGGGACGAAGCTTGATTGCCAAAAAACCCTTCCCTTTCCCCTCTTCCCTTTTCTTTTGTGCAAAGTATGAGCATTGCAAAGGCTTTGACTGACCATCTCTCACACCAAACGCCCGCTCTGGAGCACTCGTGCACTCTCACCATGCTTCGATGGAGTTTCTCGCAGAGGGTCTAATCGAAATCGAGCGATGCAAACGATTATGATCGAATCGGCAATTTATGTTCTTCCATGATAAACCCTAGTGATAGCCAACCTCGACTGTGAGTCCCCTGAAAATGGTTTGGGCCTTTAGTCACCCCTTTCCTACCCTCAGCCCGTCCTAACGCCGATGCAATGCTCTGTACATGTAGAAACTACCTCGCCTGCCATTTGAATGATATATTCTCTCGTCATGTCCAGTGATAAATCCTCAATCGGCTTTACCATTCGTTGTCCCTAAAAGTCCCTCCTTCCCATCCAAGTGGAAATAGCCGGAGCTATTCCGACTTAATGTCCTCTTGATGGTGCTGCCATTCCTCAACACCCAGAACAGCATGACCACACTGATTATCAACAATCCAAATGACAGATACGGGTGGTAGGTGCCAAAATTTCGAATTTGAAAGAAGACATTCTCAAATGCGCCGATGGTGGATTTAGGAGTGAGCTTTGGCGGGTTGGCAACGATTCGGGGTAGCGTTTCGAGGATGGAGGTGCGGGAGGGCATGATATAGGCCCCAGAATCAGTTACATCCCAGTAGCGTCGGTTCTGTCGTGCGTGTTAGTTCATGAACAACTCAAAGCCAGTGATAGCTGATACTCACATCCTCGTCATTAATGATCACCCTCTCGCCCTTGGAGACGTCCACGCCGTACGTTGATCTTAGCCATCTCTCCCAGAAAACACCATCCACCCAGGCAAACGCGACCTGTTTCCGGAATGTCTCCTCGGTGATGCTGATAACTCGGCTCTTCGCTTGACGCAAGGCCCGTTGGTCATTGCGATCTTCGGCCTCTTCGATACGCAACTGCTTCGAATCGCGCAATTCTTGTCTCTCAAGTTGAAAAGCTTGTGTTTGCTTATCCATCCACTCCAGTGCGGCATTCTTCAATTCCCTCTTGGACTGAAGAAACTCGTCTGGTCGGTCTCGAGAAAGAATGCCCAGTACCACATATTTTCCGCTCATGATCTCCTTCGCATTAGAGGCGCTCAACTCAGGGACAATTGGTAACCAAACCGATTGCATCCAAGTCAGAACCTGTCGGAAGTCACGCATGTCCTTTGGAGCGAGGGCGTTGTAGTAGCTTGGTCGTCCGTCGCGGGACACCAGTAATCTTGGCCAAGTTGAGATCTTGAATCGATTTGCCAGGATCTCGGAGTCCGTCTTGACAATCTTTGCATGTCCAATCAGGCTCAGAGTCAGTCGATCTAGAGCGGCAAAATCTTCTGATGTTGTGGCATGGTCGAAGAAATAGACGAAGATTACTTCTTCCGTTTCTTCCATCTCCTTGAAGGCAGCGGCGTCCACATACTTGACATCGCTATCTAGCGCTTTGTTTGCAAACGATAGAAGGTCACCTAGACCCCGAAGACCTTCATACTCAACACGCTCGCCGCCACGGAAAAAGTAGATGGTAGGATAAGCGCTGACCTTGGCGTCCTTGCATAACCGCGGAGATGCTTCACAGTTGACCTCTCCAATGTTGAGCTTCCCTTCCATTTCTTTTGCCAACTGCGCCCATGTTGGAGCCAGATGCTGACAGTGCGAACACCATGGCACGTAGAACTTGACGAACCATGGGTCTTGAGAAGTAGTGACAAGTTTTTGGAAGGACTCTGGAGTCAGAGCGATGGAAGCCCCCTTTGAGTTCGGCTGGGGGCCAGACTTCGCATTCTGAGACTTTCCGAGTTTTGCGGTCTCTGAGGCCAACATTGCTGATGTAGTCTCGGTCGACTGTGCCGCTGCCTTGTTCTGCTTCTCTCCGGCGGCGGCACCAGCGGCGACATCTTTGTCCTTGGCCAGTGGCTTGTCGGGCTCAGCTGTTCTGTCGACACCCTTTGCGCCAGGTTGAGGAACGTGAACCCCTTCCCTCGGTCTCGAGCCGGGCTTTATCTGTTCCAGCTTTTCTTCGACATAGTTGCTCAAATCCTGCATTGACTTGCCTCCGGTGTATTTCTCGACAAATTCGCCATCTTTGTACAATAGGAATGTGGGCCAGGCTCTGACCCCATTCTTATCGCATATATCTCCAAAGGCAATGCAATTCACTGAGGCAAAGTGAAAGTTGTAGTATCCATGAAAGCTGTTCGGCGAGAACAAGTCGGGCTGACCAGACTTTGTCATGCCCTGTAAGGGATCTGAGGTCGCATAGAATTCGTACAGAGTCTGCCAGAGTGGCGCAATTGCTTTACAGTGACCACAGTATGGCGAGTAATGTTTGACCCACCAATAACCATCTTTTATCGTCTCGGCGAAGTCGTCGCCTTGTATTTCTTTCATCGGCGGCACCTTGATGCCATTGAATATAGTATAATCCGAGCCCTCTCCTCCTTCCGCTGGAGACTCTCCCTGGACGGCCTCATCCGCGATTACTGCAGCCCCTCTCTGTGGGCCAGGCGGCGCGGCGATCGAGGTAGAGAAGAAGGCCGCGATAGCGCACGCCAGCAAAGCTGGCCTCATTTTGTAGAATGGCCAGGAAATAACCTGTACAGGCAGTACCGAATTGCTCGACGAGCGCAGGTGGGTCGACGATGGGGAGATAGCCGAACGTTTTCGCACGATCGTCTAGCAGTCGTTATTGGGAAGAAGAGAAACGAATGTGAGAATCGAAGGCGAATCAAAGGGAGGAACACAACTGCAACAATTGACAAAGGCGTCTGCCCGCTCAACGAGACCAGACTGCAATGATTCGTGAAGCGTGCAGTGGTAGAATCAGCCAGCTCTGCTTCAGCCAAGATGGCGATAGGATCCTGCATCAGGAGTCGCTTGGCGCCCCCTGCGATTTCCGCAGGCGGCGAGCGGTTGGCGGGCTTCCAGCGAGGAGCCCCTTTGATGCTCCGTATCGTAGTACTGTGAAGCATTCCATGCGCAAGCGTGCCTGCCTCCGCCCTAATGACGCAAGAGGGTTATATAATCGTCGGCATACCTCCCTCTGTCAGTGCCCCTACAGTGCCTGGGGCACGCTGGGGAAAGCAAGTCATGCGCCTGCGCCACTCGTCACCGAATCCCGTCACCCATCGACCTGCCGACAAAAGCCTCTCGTCTCTTCTCTTTTCCTCTGCGATATCAACGACCACTTCCCTCAATTTTGCAAACAACATTCCAGGAGGGTCACGACATATTGCTCTTTGTATAGGGCCCCTGATCATCCGGATCCGTCGCCATGAAGGTCTCAGCCATCCTTTTATCGCTCCTTACCGCCGCCTCTGCGGTATCTTCTCGTTCTCTGTTTGGCGCCCAGAATGCTCTCGTGGATGAGGAGCCCAAGTTCTCAGTTCCCGGCAAGAATCCTCTAAACGTCAGTTGTCCGCAATCAATCTGCGGAGCTTGATCTGACGAATATCCAGTTCTGCGCCGATCCCAAGGACTACATTCTCACCGTCGACTATGTTGACCTGTCACCAAACCCACCTCTCCCGTACGTCTTACGAGCTTCGTCTGAGCAAGGGACCATATGATCTAATGTGTAACAGAGGCCAAAAACTGACAATTACCGCGAACGGAACCTTTTCAAAGGATATCGAGCCGGGCGCTACCGTCTTTCTCCAGGTCAAATATGGGCTCATCACGCTCATCAAGCAAGAAGCAGACCTCTGTGACAATCTACCAAAGATTGACATTACATGCCCTGTTAAGGAAGGTGTCATGACGCTGAAGAAGGAAGTTGATATCCCTAAGCAAGTGGTGAGTTTGCACGAAAACCAATCCTGCAGAGATAAGCTATTAACGTGCCCTTCAGCCACCTGGGAAGTACACGGTTCTGGCCGATGTCAACACGGTTGACAAAGAGAAGATCTCATGTATGGAGAGCACCGTCTTTTTCAGCAGACCTTAGAGAGATCTACGCCTGGATGCAGACGGAGGAGAAGCAGAAGGAAATCTTTGAGATTGGCATTTGGGAGGCCCTCGAAGATTCTCGGGATCTTGCTACCAAAATCGTGTGCAAATATCTGTTTCAGCTGCGTCTTTCATGTCAGGCGTTTACTTGGGACTTTTGGCACGGGGCACAGCCTGAGAGACTTGCTAGTAATGAATTGGCCTCCTTTTCGGAGCTTCCGAATGCAACCAATGAGCAAACAGACGATCTCACATATTGCTCTCAGGAGCGTGTTCCTACACGTTGATAGAACCTCTCTACGTGCAGGCATTCCGATAATGTGGCTAGACAGCTGTTCAATCCCGCTATTGCCTAACTTATATGACCGATCGACGAAGCCACCCAAAGCGTGACACGCCCTATATATCCGAGGATGCGTCCCATAGCTTCTCAGCATTGGTTCGAAAGATCTTCTCGACTAATTTAGCGTCGCCGTTGCACCATTCGTAGCATTTCTCGATGAATGGTTCTGAGTTGATATTCTCAAACCTCGTATGCGGCCAGTCGGTTGCATAGACAACACGATCCGCACCTTTGATGACCAACTCCCTGCCAATGGGATCCAAATCTCTCATCCCTGGGTCTTTCGAAAGTCGATATGGTGCTGAGAGCTTCACCCACGTCCTACCGTCCTGGAGCAGATTCACCAGGGACGCGAAGCCTCGCATGTCGTATGGATAAACGGGGGTTGATGGATCGAATCGTTCAGGAAGCACAGGCGATCCGAAATGATCAACACAGATTCTGATCCCTAGATCTGGCACGATGTTTAAGAGTGGTAATGCCAATTTCAATGGGATGTAGAGTTGAAGAACCCAATTGAAAGGCCTTAGAACCCTCGCATAGCTCTTCAGTTCCGCACGCAATTCATCGTCGGTGATTTCCCTCGAGACACTGACGAGATTCAGCCTGGCTCCTCGCACGCCAAGGGCGTGCCACTTCTCCAGCGTCTTTGTGTTGATGGTCTCAGGATTCAAGCCGACCACGGCGCGTCCATGCTTGGGCGTCAATTCCTCGAGTGCTTCCAACATACACGAATTGTCGTCTCCGTAGATTGACGGTTGCACGAGCACCATATTCTCAATGCCATACTGGGAGTAAAAGGCTTTGGCATCTGTAAGCGTATGCGGATGTGGTTTATATTGTGCATTGGCGGCCAAAGGAAATCGAGTCGGGTCCACAACATGCATGTGGCTATCCCAGGTGCCTTTTGGTAGAGGGCGGGAGAGCGGATATGGTTTCGGTTGAGACGAGTGAATGCTACGAAAACGCACGCTGCATCGGAGGCAATCAAGAACAAAACAGGCTCCTACACGAGGCCTTAGACCGGGGATCCCTCGGAGAGGCGGCATCCTACCGATCAACAAGCCTCCTTCAGTGAAGTGTGTTGTTCACAAAGGCGACATGGAAAGTCACAAGTTGATATATTTCGGAAGCTCATTTCACCGACACCGAGATTGCGCGGAGCAAGGCAACACCAGCACACTTTCAACATCTCTTCTTTCATCTTACTCCTGGCTCGCTCGCCAGATTCTTGCACTTGTACTCAGGTCGTTCCTGTCTACCTGTACCCTTCCCTGTTTAGATCTCTCTCGGGTTTGTTTCAATTCCCATATGAAGAAGATCCTAGAAGTACAACTTGACGAAGACTGATCAAAACAAACGGCTTGTATGAGATCTGATTGATTTAGGCCAGTATGCGTGCTGGATAACGGCAATCGGCTTCGATTATCCAAAAGGATCTATAACAGATCGTTGATAACATCCCGGAGTCGCTCCATTTCGCGCAAGTCTGTCACAGACTCAGGCTTGCTTCCGCCCACTTGGGAGGACCGTCTAAAGTCCATATCTCTCTGAAAACATGATACTATATGTATTCTCTGCGATCGACCGAAAAGCCCAGGTCACCGTCTCACAATAGCTCGTCCCGCTGTGTCTATCTTTAGCAGACTCAGCTCTGACTCCCTTCCGCTACCAACCCAGGTCTGGGTACAATGGCCATATCTGTCTTGAACACAAATTATGTGACTTCATTTTCAATGGTAAGGTGGAATAGGGTGGCAGTGAGGGAGGAGTCTGTCATAAATTCTTTTACAGCATCGAAAACGCCGACATATAGCGACCTAGATTTCCTTCGATGCAAGGTTGGAGATGGAATCCACTCCACTTTGGCTCAGGGTTCATGGGTATGGCTATCGTGCCTCAAGCAACACCGATACAGGATCATTCATGCAGCACTCGCTTTCACTATACGGACTCATTTCGGAAAGACGCTCAGTCACTATGGCCCATTGTCAATGCAAGGCATGTCAACCAGTCATTCAACGAGACGGGGTGCTCGGGTGGAAGCTATCTTGCTACCGAGTTTTCGAAGAGCCTTGGGAGGGAAGATGGACCTTGCGCAAAGCCACAGTGAGTAAAGCATCCTTACCTACTTAGGTAGCTATGAGACCAATCTCGAAAGCTACCGGCCAGATTGCGTTGATTTGTATTCTTATTGTCGAGCGGACGCCTGTGAGGAGACACTCGATGCGATGGCTGAGATCAAGGACGAAGGTAGAATCTATTTTTTTCAGCTTCTTGAAGTGCTCTGCCCCTGCTGAGACCCTACTGGGTGCACGCGATGATGGAGATGGCTTTGTCGGCTTTTATGTTTTGAGATTGCATCCACCTGGACCAAACTTCGAAGACCACTGGACTGTTGATTCTCAAAATCACTATCTCCTCATCCCAGGGTCGAGGCTTACCACCGAAGTACTCAAGAGCTGCGCTGAATTGATCAACCGAGTGCATGTGGAAAGGATTAGACAGTCAACATCACGGGAACGACAGCTTCGGATCTTGGAGTAGTTGTATCCTAGGGCCGAATGCTTCTGCACGATCACCACCACCAGTATCGACCGGCTTGCAGACGCCGCTTTGTCCTTGTTTGAGCGGATTTGATCCGTCATGGCTTTTGACGAGCGCAATCAGATTGCCGGCGTCCTTTCCTGATAGCGGTAGTCCATTTACAACCTGAATAAGCCGACGAGAACGCGAACGGGAAGACCTTTCCTCGAATCAATGAATCAGAATGGCGAATATCGAGATGGAATATTCCGAACTGGGTCAACGAGTTCGATGTCAAACCTTTGTGCTTCGTCATACATGTCTAATGCATCGAATCAACCCAAATGGTCATCTTTCGGATGCTAGCCAGACTCGCAATATGCCCACTGCCGAAGTTCTCCTTCCATTGAGAACCATTCACACAGCCAAGCGAGAGCGACGGTGCCTGGTCCTAGGTAACGCTTCACCGGCCTTCAGCCCCGGAAAAGTGACGGGGGCAAGGTGGGGGATATTCCGAACCTACTCCCGTGATCTTCTATCCGGGACATGGTGGACGTCTTTCTCCACAATGTGTTTCTCCATATCGGGTTTGAACATGTTCGTGGGAGATTTGCGGGTCTTGGTCTGGACTGGGGAAACGGGCACGAGTCCACCTGGGAGTACCATTTTACTATTTGATAAGAACGGTCCGCTTCCCCAGATGGAGTCGTTGCTCTTCCTCCCCAGTTTTCTGAAAGGATTCGTTGTGGAAGGAAATAATCCGAGGAGTTTCACAATACAAATCTAGTGGTTCTCTCGTCCATCGCAATGACAGTCATGGCAGAAGACAAAGAACTCGGCCAGCCTACAGCTGTTGAGAACGTCACGGAGCTGCACGAATTCAAGAACGCAGAAGGCTACGTTATCGACGCCAGCGACCCAGAGCATGCAAACCTCAAACGAGCTCGCGATGGCCATACGATCCTCTTGCCCCAGCCCTCCGCTGACCCCAACGACCCTCTCAACTGGAGCCGCTTCAAGAAGCACATCATCCTGATCATAATCTCCATGACAGCATTCCTCCCGGACTATGGCAGCGCCACAGGAGCAGTCACGTTGCTTCCGCAAGCCGCAATCTGGAACATGACCCCCGACCACGTCAATCATTCCCAGGTCGGCAACGTCTTCATGTTGGGCGCTGGGGGTGTTGTCGTTGTGGCGCTGTCGGCCTACTTCGGTCGCCTGCCCGTGCTGTTCTATTTCATAGTACTCGCCACAGCGACAGCGATCTGGTGCGCGGCTGCAAAATCCTTCGAATCGTTCATGGCTGCACGAATCCTCAATGGCTTCTTCAGCACTGTTGCTCAAGGCGGCGGTCTCATGTTCATCTACGACATGTTCTTTTTCCATGAGAGAGCCAGGAAAATCAACATCTGGGCGGCATTTATCATTCTCTCTCCGTAGGTCCCCTCGCATTTTTTTCGAATTGTCGTTTTCCCAAGAGACTGACCAGCTCACTGTTTAGATATTTCGGCCCATTATTTGCAGCTTTCATTATCAGCACCCAATCCTGGCAAGTCCCATTCTGGGTGTACGTCGCAGAGGTAAGAAAAGATCGCAAACTACCAGAGATGCATAGCATGTCCAACAAGCTGACAAAAACAACCAGACCGCCCTCTGTCTCGTCCTGATCATCCTGTTCGTCGAAGAAACCTACTACGACCGGCGAATCCCTCCAGAGTCTCAGCCCCCTCGAGGCAGCCACATCTCTCGCCTTCTGGGCATTTCGCAATGGCGATCCCGGCACCTGCGCAACTCCTTGTCTCAAGCACTCATGCGCCCCGTCAAGGTCATCCTGAAACCCACCGTCTTCATCTCCTGCTTCTACTACCTCCTGACCTTCGCCTGGGTCGTAGGCATTAACACCACACTCGCCATCTTCCTTACCCCTCTATACAACTTCGGCCCCAAACAGATCGGATACTTTTATTTTACACCCATCGTCGCCGCGCTTCTGGGCGAAGTCACGGGCCACTGGCTCCACGACTTCATCGCCACCACTTACATCCGCAAACACAAGGGCCACTTTGAGCCCGAAGTCCGGCTGTGGGCCATGTGGGTCTCCACGCCGTTCATGCTCGCCGGTCTCGTCGGGCTGGGCTTCGCCCTCGAAGAAGGCTTCCACTACATGGTCACCTCCCTCTTCTGGGGCCTCTACGTCTTCGGCATCATGGTCACCACCGTCGGCCTCAACGCCTACAACCTCGACAGTTACCCCGAGGCATCCGGGGAGACGGCCAGCTGGGTCAACTTCTGCCGCACCACGGGGGGCTTTATCATTAGCTACTTCCAAGTCACTTGGGCAAACGCCCAGGGCACAAAAGTCAGCTTTGGCATCCAGGCCGCCATTTGCGCCTTTGCCTTCTGTTTGATTGTGTTTTTGCAGTTCTTCGGGAAGAGGTTGAGGGTTTGGGCTGGCGCCTTGAATTTTGCAACCTCTTAGAGAGGATCGGATATCTCTTTTTGGGGGGGCCAAAAGGATAAGAAAAATGGCCTGGCGGATAATTACCTAGGTATGCCACTGATTATGAGGTTCGACTATGTGAGAGCCTCCATGTTAGGTACCTAGGTAGCAGATACGGAACCAATTACTTGTGTCCTTGGACCATGCAATGTATACCAACTATTTGTTCTTATCCCATCCGTAGATGCTCGTACCAGTCAATCAATTTGGATATGTAGGAACCCATTGCCTGTCCTTGAGGCATTAGTAACCACAGTCCGTACGCCCTGGATTCAAGTTTGCCTGGCCACCATACATAGATATACATGATGGAGACCTGCGATGATCAAGCACTAGCAGAGGAGATAGGGCCGCGTCATTAATCGTTATGGAAGGTGACGGGGGAGGGGACGAGGTATCAACGAAGTGACATACGCTCAAAAGAGAGAAGATATCGGGAAAGGCAGATATCATGGGCTTTTTGCAACAATAGAAACTGTGTTTCGCTACCAAGGCTAATAGTGGTGCAGCCGATTGGTATTATATTTGGGAGTGGTATGTCTGTGTTTCCCACGGGTTTGTAGCCTCATTGGCAGTCCGCGATCTCGTCGATGTCTATCACAACCATCACAAATTTCTGTTTGCTCATCCGCACGAGATGTCGCCATTATGTTGGCATGAAACACACCCGACTCGGCCATGCAGTGGCGGATAGTATGGTTCGTTGAACATCCCTCGCACGACACTCTTCCCATCGCAGAGGTATCAATATCGACCAGTAGTACTGACGCATGCTGTCCCGGATAACCAGATGGTGGGGACTTAGGGCCCCTTTCTCTTCTTCGGCACCTATTTCGCGTTGCAGTAGCATTCTCCAGCGTCATCAGCTTGATGTGCGCCGAGGCATCGACCATCGCATCGGGAAGCCATGCTTGCTACTGCAGTCAACCGAGTCAAGCATGGCAAGTAAGACTCCGCGGGTGAAGGGATTGATTCCCTTTTCAAGTCCCAGTGGAGGGTGGAGTCCCCGGTCGCGTTCAGCGTCTCCTGTCAAAAGAGACGGCTCATGGTGCAAAAATACATCTCATATCGAGTCGATAGTCTTGTGAGCCTCCCAGTTGTTCAGAAGTTTACCGACCTCTTTAAAGCTCACAGGCTTCGTCATATATATGTCGCATCCACTGCTGAAAACTTCGCTTTGGTCTCTGGCACTTGCCAATCCGGTCAGTGCGATGACCATAGCACCAGGTTTACAGCCGCGTAGATCTTCGTACTGACGAATGGCACGGGTGGCCTCGAATCCGTCTAGTATTGGCATCGAAATGTCCATAAAGATAATGTCAAAGGGGTCTTTAGCCGCTTTGACAGCGTCAACGGCCTGCTGACCATCCTCCGCTTGCTCAATGCGCCCATATTTCCTTTTCGTCTTCAAAAACGTCTCGAGCAGCTTAAGATTGATCTTATTGTCGTCCACCAGGAGAATATGCGGATCAACCCTGGCAATGGTTGGCTGTGGTGAAGACGGAGCCCTTGAGCGAACATTTGGTGCTTCGTGGGGTGAGGCTGGGTTGCTTGGGTTCTTGTGGATAGACCATCGATCGCTCTCGCGACGCATCCTAGAGCTCTCTTGACTGTGTGAGGGAAAGGGGAAAGATTCTCCTTCGCTGACATGATTTCTCGGTGTCCGCAGAGCGGTTATGGGGTCATGTATTGCCATCTGTGCATTGTGGCTCGCCTGGGAAGCGGCAAAGGTCTCCGTTGCTTGAACCACCTTAGCGTTGTCAGTCTCGCCGGGCCGGTTGAGGTCCATCTCTGCCAACTCTTCCACCACCGACTCTGTTTCGGTTGTACCAAGAGAAACAGAGTCGGTTGTACCGGGAGTCGTGCTTGCAGTCTCAACGCTCGGAAGTACGACTTGTTGGTCGACCGCAAGTGAAAATCGTGACCGCACAGCCGCTTGCTTTTCGAGAGCCAACCGTATACTACGAGCCAGTTTGTGAGGACCACAAGGCTCCGAAACAAATTCCACAGCACTGCATATGCGTTCTTCCAAGGACTGCACCAGTGCCACGCTGTGCCTGGACAGGACCGAACACATCACCACCAATGCTGGACGTCGTCCAGGTGTTGCCACCAATCGACCGAGTAAACGCTCCAGGTTCTCCTCCTCTGCAACGACAACGGCGCAGCTATCACACAGCAGCGGGTCCAGGAACGGAAGATTGTACCAATCCTGTACATATGATTCAACAATGCGTGCGAGGTCGTCGTCTGGCTCCAGTTCCGGTTGCCAGAATGTTACTGCCGCGTCCGACCATTCATCTCGCAACAGCGATATCGAGTTGTCGGCATTGGAGCTGCCGTTAGAATTCAGGCCGCTGGCGCCGTCAGAGTAGGGAGTAGTCTGAGTCGAGGTCTGCCCAGGTAGGGGTCTCTTGATTGGTAACACAACCTCGACCGTTGTCCCTTCGTTTAATTTGCTTTTCACATCAATCGAACCGCCCAGCATCAAGACAATGCTGCGCACAATGCTCAACCCAAGACCGGTTCCCGGGGCCAGAGCGTTTTCCTGCGCAAAGGGTACAAAGAGCTTGGTAGATAGGAAATCCTGCGAGATACCCTTTCCAGTATCCGCCACCGTCAACACCATCACATCGTTGCCTCTCTCCTCCTGAGATGTCTGCAGTTGGAGTCGAACCTTGATTGATCCCCGACTTGTATATTTGATCGCATTTCCAGTAAGATTCATGATAATTCGGCGGACTGCCCCTGGCTGGGTCAAGAATGTCCAATCAGCTTTCTGCACGTCCAATGTGATCTTGACAGGATCCACGCAATGGGTTTCGGGCCGTCCCCTCTTCCCCCGGCCTGGTGCTTCTCGTGGTATATCCGTCAGATCCAAGCCAGATGTGTATGTATAACCAAGAACCAACCCGTCAACAACCTCCTCTAACACTGCTGACACATCTATAACGCCAAGGAGTTGCAGCAGTGCAGGAGCGCCGTGGGAGATAGTCTTGGAAGAATTATCCGGGCCTAAAAAGTTGTGGCGGCGTGATGCGTGGGAGTGCTTCTTGTTCGAAGCCTGCCAGTGCTTTTGAAACGAGTTGATTTTCGAGAAGTCCAGGACGTGGTTGATGGTATCCAGAAGTGTTCGCCCACAGGAATCAATAGTAGAAATGAGTGACCTCTGAAATCCAGAGAGATCTGTTTCAGCAAGAAATTCGACACTGGCCAGGAGCCCGTGCAAAGGACTCCGCATTTCGTGAGATATCGTGCCGACGAAGTCGGATTTCTGCTTGTCAGCAATCATTGTGTCCAACCGTGAGCACTCGCCCATCAATGTACTGCAGAAAGAGTTGAGAAAGGGTAATTCAATAGATGAATTGAAGGATCGCGTCTCCAATGCTGTTGCGACGAAGCAACCATATGCAAATGACCCTGTTGTTGCATCCCATAGAGGTGTGAAGAGGACTTGTCCCGCAAAAGGAAAGGCTGCGCGGATGGCCTTGACTTCCAGCCGTTTCCGATGGCTATGTATGCGCGATTGACTGGGGGAGCTCCTGAATCTCCTTGAAGACTCCAGATCATCTTCGGATGAGGAAGACACATTCCATTCCATGGTGAACAAGCGACCACCAGGATATCGTTTGACAAGATCATTGAGTATTTCCCCATCTAGACCATTTACTCTCTCTTCCAACCCCTTTTCGGGAATGACCGGGTTGGACTGCGTCGAATACGCGATGATGGAGGATTTTGTTAGGGACTGTGGGTCTCCGTTCATGGTCCCCATGGCCTGGCCAGGGTTACTGGCATTCTTTTTGTGTAGGCTGCGCATGCGAGCATTGACGGTGACGAATGCGACAGCACCCTCCTCGCCGAGAGGTCCCAGACACTCTCGCAGCAGATTCGCAGCTCTCGCGAAGGTTTTCGTGTGTGTCCTTGATTCGCCGTCGGTTTCGGAGTACCCATTCAAGCTCTCCGTATCTGAGGAAAGGTCCGAGGTGCTAGGATCTTCGACATGTTCAAGAGCGATGGTAGTGTGACTTCTGGGGCCAGACTCACCCTGGGCAGACGATTTTAGCGTTGGAGAAGTATTATTTTCCAGGGGCGCCGCCAGACCATAGGCAAATTTCGACCTCTTCTTGAAGAGTGGACTGTTTTGAAATCCTGCTTTCTCGCCGTGAACACTTTTGCGTCCCGCAATGAAAGCTTCAAGACCCTCGGCCATTCGGCGAGATTGACGTCCTTCTATTGCTTGTCTGTTCGTTTCGAGGAATACCATTATCTGTTGCGCGGTCTCTGCAAGAAACGATTCCTCGGTAGAGGTCAACCCGTTTGGGCGAGATCGGGTGTCCATCTTTACATTTCATCGTATTAGCATCGTGATTCCGGATGAACATCAGAGAGACCCGCCAGAGGTCTTCCCGTCTTTGACCATAATCTGCACAACATAAACTCGAAAGAGAGGAGAGACTTACAACGGCGAGGCTGCCGATATTGACCCCGTCTCTTGTTGTGATCGGAACGCCTGCATAGAATCTGTAGTATGGGGGTCCAGAGATGATTTCCATGTGGGCAAACTGGGAATCGGCAAGGTCGTTGATTACGAATGTGGGTACACCGTTATGATCTTTATTGTCAAGCCGGATGGTCAATTCACAAATTCTACCCTTGAGCGGCACTGAGCTGCAGTTCAAGAATATGGGATCTTCAACGAACTCATAGGTCTCTTCGGCCTCGTCCGTCCAGATTTTCGTGGCTCCACTCAAGAAATACATGACATCGCGATCCATGACATTGATCATTGCCTTGCGGACGTCCAAGCGAAGGGCTGTTAACTGGCACAGTGGGGAGAGGGCCTTGCACAGGTTGGGGACTTCATCGCTGGTGACATCGAGGATCGAAGGGCGACGTCGGAGGTGAGGTTGGAGGAGATTGTCCGGTTGAAAGTAGTGGTAGAACTCTCGAGCCCTGCGTGCGTCGTCCATCTGATGGTCTGTCGGTTGGCCAAAAGCCGCACCGCCTTCTGTCGTGACCACCATGGCGCGCCGCGTGTATGAGAGATCCTCCTGTTATCTGACTGCTTTTACTCCTCACAGACTCAATCCTCTCTCCCCAAGGAGAACATTGGACAATTTCTCACCATAGCGGAAGACACAGGAAGGGAGCGTACAGCGCAGGCAACGATGGAGCAATGTGGAAGTGAGATAAGAACGAAGAACGGTCAAAACTCGAAATATTGCGTTACAGCAGGTTCGAGAACCAAGTAGGCCGCCCCACTTGAAATAAAAGAACTGTGACAAAACATTGAGAAATGTTTCCTCCTGAGTGACTCGCTATCAATGTAGCGCAGGAGAGCGCTGAGTGAGCGCGTTGCAAGGGCCATGAGAGGGCCATGAGAACTCTGTTCCGGGTCTGGAACGTCCAGAATGCATCGGATCCCGCTCAAGTCAGGGAGCATACCTTAGGTAGGTACCCACGCATACCTGATCTAGGTGGATCAAGTTGTGGCGGCAGGTTTGTGCACCGGTTAGCACTGCAGATCGAGGCTAAGGGCCACCCAACGAGGGGGGACGAGGGGGCCAGTCCGCAGCTTCCGGCAACAAAATCCGAGTGCCCCTTCGGTCCTTCAAGTTTGGTGCCAGCGAGCCAGATGGGTGCCAGAGGTGCACTGACAATGCCTATAGCCCACTGTACCAATTACGGGTAACCACTACTCCACGAGCTGCTAAACGTGCGACCCTCCCCGACGTCAATGAATAATTGAAGCTTGAAGCTCAACTTACTTGCAGTGAACGGCCACCTTGCACGACGTCGTGACTCGTCTATTCCTCCTGACCGAGTTATTCCCCTCCCACCCCTTCACAATGCGAGCGACGTCGCGGCTTTTCGCGACTGTCAGATCAGCGTCGAAATACCTTGAACCCAATACGCCCACAGGCCTTACGGGCCTCACAACACATCCATCCCCTCGTCCTGCCCTCATTTACACGTACCGGCAAACCCTCAATAAGCTCGCTCAACTACCCAAAAGCTCCGTCTACCGCCAATCAGCCGAGGCTTTCACAAAACAGCGCCTGCAGGTAGTCGAGTCTGTAAAACCAGAAGGATACGAGCAATGGCTGGAACGTGTGCGCAAGCAGATTGAAGCCAGTCCCACAGCTTTCAGTAAATTGATGAATGAAGATGGCTCATTGGGTAGCGAGAAGCTACATGTGGAAGCAGTGGACAACTGGGACGGCAAGATCTCGCGGCACGATGCGAAATATGAGGGACCGAACACGATGGCCCAGGCAGAGGCCAAAGCAAGGGCTGTTATGGATGAAGTGCGAGAAAAAGACCTTGAAGACAAAGAAGGGGTTCAGCCTACTGTAGAGGACTTGGAGGTGGAACCACCGTTGACGAGAGAGCAGTAAGTCTCCAAGTTCGAACTGACTATAACGCTACTAAACGACTGCAGGATCGAGAGTATCGAGCAAAAGATTGGTGCTGGTTTAATTGAAGAAGTCATCCAAGTTGCCGAGGGGGAGCTGGATCTGGTGGCCGAGATGCTACGATATCAAGTGTACGTCTTCGTTAGCATCTTCGATCCTCTCTTTTTGCCCTCATGCTAACAAATCTTAGATGGGACGATCTGGAAGAAAAGACTCCCACAGGTCAATGGGAGTACTTTGAACGTGGCAACAGAGTCTAATGCCTCTCTACGGGTCTTTGCTCCGCGGATTCACACGTTGTACATACAATCCGGGAAAAGGGAAATGGAATCTACAGCATTGACATGCTTCCCTTTCGCATTCCAATGTGGTTGATCCAAGCCGTGAAATCAAATGCCTTCATTGATTTTATCGCGTGATCTTGATGTGGCTTCCCTCTGCAGAACAGGCGTTGATTCAACCCCCACACGACTTATCCAGGTGCTGCAACCGGCCCTCCGCAATGTAATATGTACAATCATCCCCAATTGCTCTCACCCATGTCTTTAGCCCACCTCCTCTGTCTCTTCTGCAGCTCCTTGCTCCCCCAAGCTCCCCATGTCCCCCTCTAGCATAAATTCCTTTAGAAAGGGTTATCCTCCGGCGGCACCTCCCTGATCCAGTAATTGCCGATGACGGGCAGCTTGGACAGAATATCTTGCCTCACGCGGGGGACTTCGCCGAAGAAAAACACTGCAAAGACACCTGCTGCAACGCCGAACCCGGAAGCGATATAGCCGTAACGGAGGGCTTTGCCCATGCTCAAACCCATGAGGTTGGGGACGTGTTTAATTCTGCGGAAATATCCAGTTCAGCTCAGCAATTGGAAAAGCGTACATCTGCCAGGGGAATGGGTAGAATGGGAAGGACGAAATGAAAGAAACGTACTTTGGTCCATAGGGTGAAACGTAGGTCTCGTAGGTGGGCTGCTTGTTGTAGACACGCAACGGCGTCCGGCCGGAACTTTGGAAATGTTCGTAGGAAGGCATCCTGCCTTTTTCGTGGAGGGAGATCGAGTGCAGCGAAGTCGAGGTGCGAAGGGCTGGTGGGTTCCAAGCTGTGGAAAGGAGTTCAATGTCGTCGTCGTGGTAAAATGAGCTTTGAGCTCCGAAAGATGCGGTACGGCTGCGGGGATGACGCAAAAGCGCAGTCTCACCATGTGGCCAATCAGGCGGCGGATAATTTGAAGACAACTTTTGCACATTTGGACCATCAGGCACTCGGGGAATCTCGACCTCCTCTCACTTTGCCTGCATGACTTGGTCCTTCTTCTGTGGTCTTCACATCATGTCTTCGAATACAGCCCTTCGTTGTTGTACCGTGTCAGATGCGTCTTCATCATCGCAAAGCGAGGGGTGAACTTTCTCAATGCGTGATTTTAAAAACAGGTTACAAGGTACGGTGACAATGTCGTCGAGTCAGCAGTTTTCCTCAATTTTGAGATTGTCCCTTCAGCAGGTTCAGTGCTGGCCAGGCTTTACACTAGTTGACCTGAAGATACCCTCAAGAATCCAATGGATGAACGGAGAAGAACGTATTTCCATGGCATGTTGGCCCTCAACTCGTTCAGACCACATCGGCAGAACTCAGGCTGAGCAGAAACATTGCGAAACGTGCCTCAGGTCTGTATCCTGATCTTCTGTTTCAGCCTGAAGACCCATGAAGACCGGATCCAATGCGATCTCCTGAGGCTGCAACTCTCTCCGCAGACATCCGAGTCATCACAGCGACTTTGCTCCAGCCAGACGCTAAGATATATTTGTACATTCATCATTCATCCCAGGGACCATGTCAAAGAACGTTCATCATTCACATGCGCCGACTTAGCCGACATGGCAGCATCGTGGGTCCGTCTTGTCCACTGCCATGTTTCTCTCCTCAATATCATATACTGACTATCAAACCACTTCTCTCCAACCTTGTATGTTCTCTTCCTGAATCCATACACCACAAAGCCGACTTTCTTCAATAGCCCGATGCACGACTCGTTGTCCGGGTCCACATCTGCGGTGATTTCGTTCATTCGTTCCTCCCCGAATAAGTACGGAATCAGAGCATTGAGCGCTTCTTGGGCAATCCCCTGGCCCCAGTATTTGCGGGCTAGGAAGAATCCGATTTCCTGGTCTCTCCAGATGCCGATCTTGCCGACGGTAACGGGAGGACCTGGAGTCGAAGTGGTGAGTGTGATGATGAAGTCGGTGACGCCGTTTTGCGGAGAGTCGACCATGGTTGAAAGCCACTTTGCTGTGGAGGTAAGGCAGGTATGCGGCTCCGACCCCCTTTGCGAAGACTGTTATGCAAGAGGTTCGGGCGACCAAACCGGGCAGCAAAGACACAACTTACATGTACTTCGTCACCTCGGGATCCGAAAATGCTTCGTACAGGGCCGCCTCTTCATCGCTGGTGGCTCTTGCGCCTCGGAGAAGGAGTCTGGTCGTCGAGATTTCGACTCTACCTTCGACGTGGGAGACTGTTGCCATTTCTTCGATGCTGGTCTTGCACATTTCATGTTCTCGGTATGTCGGTTGAGGAAAGGTTATTGCGATTGGGGCGGAAGAACACAATATCCCGTATACACTGTCCATATATCGTAAAAGAGAAGATTGTCTCAGCAGGTCCTGGAGGAGACCGACCTTGCCACGGTGAGAAGAGTCCGACCTTGCCACGGTGAGAAGAGTCCGACCTTGCCACGGTGAGAAGAGTCCGACCTTGCCACGGTGAGAAGAGTCATACCAGTTTGTGTGGCGCACTCAATGCGTTATTCAAGTTGCTTACTAGTAGCGGTGCAACATCGTGCTTTCTCCACACTGGCAGTTTATCCCAGACTCGGAAGGCACAGCCCCTCGGCGCGCAAAGGAGTGCAGCCTCGTCGGGTCTTTGTCGATTCAGCGAGCCAGGTCGAACAAATACAAAATACCATTCGATTTCCTCTCTAGCTGTCGCAATCATAGGCCCAATTACTATACTTCGTGTGCCTTGAGCAGGTCCACTAATGCGGACGCCTGCTACCTCTCGCGAAAACCCCCACACACTGGCAAGCGACTTAACAAGCAGTTCGGTATCGTTGATGTGTCATGTTTGACAGTGTAGCCTTCGCACCATAGGCACGAGACCCGAATATCGTGATGTTTTCCTCCCTGCGGAACACTTTTGGTGCGGCCAAGACGTCCCGAGTCATCGAGAAAACGTGGCCAGTCTGATAGATTCCTCATGTTCGTATCTTTCCTACCCCTTGTAGGAGGATGGCGTACTCTACGATTGAGGTTTCGTTGAGCTGGGAAAGAGTCGTGTTCTCATGACATGTACGATCCGAGGATAGTTGTAGGCATCCCGAACGCTGCTGAAGGCTGTGAAGATGAGAAATGAGTGTAGACACAGAACTCGTGGCAAAGCTCTGACCACCAGCGACCGCCTGGTTCTTTGTCCCTCGTAACCAGCCACTGTACTTTGGAATCGATCACTGACGGAACCCTCCTCCAGCACAACGCAGGACCCACTCGACATTCACTGAAGACAATAACTCACAATAAATGGGTTTGTTACCAAATCCCTGTCAACATTCGAGTTGCGAAGTCGTGAAGAAATAAGTCTCTTCTGTGGTCTCATCCTGATACATCTCCCTAACTCGCAGCCAGTAGTGACTAGCCAAGGATCATTGAAACGTAGGAGCTCTACCTCTGTAACTCCCTAATTCGGCTGATATGATGACTTCGGATAGGATCATAGTGGTTCCCCAAAAGTGCGCAGGAGCTCTGGTGTAGGACAAGCTATATGTGTGAGCAACTCATCCTCATCCAACCGATTGTTGAAACCAAAAAAATCCTTCACTGGATTTTCTCATAACCTGAGTTTTTGCAATTTTTGTCGGCAGTTTTGCCTCAAAAAAACAGGTGTGGTGTCGTCGTGGGCATCGGGTGCCCTGTCCTTCATTCCGCCAAGATGAAAAACAAGAGCTGAAAACGAGTGTTTCTGTTGATGGCTGGGGCACGTCGAGTGCTCAAAGCCTCCGGCTTAACGTTTGCCCGGACGACAGTCTGAAAGTATGGCAACTGGACTCCTTGCGCTGCAGAAGATGCGTGAATCCTATGAATGTGTGAGCAACAGAGAGCTATTGTCAATTCTCAATCATAAATCAGAGTGAAAGAATGAGTGATCCTGGAGCTTGCGATGGGAGGGTATTTCTTTTTCATTGAGAGGCTCGGCGACCTCGAACGGTACTCCTTCGACAAAATGACGAATGCTATTCTCGAGGTTCCATTCGATTGCTCGCCCTCAGAGCTCTCATGGAACAGTCATGGCCGTAAATCTATTAGAGTTGCCCGCAGAAAACAGAAACCTGCAGGGCGGTCACATCCCATGGCCTGCCCACATGGGGAGTTTACCCCGAACTCTGTAAAATCTCGTCCCGGCAATGGATTGTACAATTGTAGCACTTTGTGAGTGTGTGTCTGCTTGACTCATTCGCCGAATAGTCTCCTTACGCGCCGTAATACGCTGTCCTTCTCAGGGTCATAAGGATGATCTTTGCTTGGGATTTCGAGAACAGCAGGGAATGCATCTTGGAATCTGTCGACAGTGTCTCGAATTTGCTCCGCAAGCTATAGCACGATCAGCGTCAGAATTCTGTCTTTGATCTCTGGTCTTGTCACACATGTTGATTTATTAGGACTATCCCAATATCTTTCCGCTCTTTGGTAAATCTGTTGAAAGCTTGCTCGATTTGGGTCTTCTCTGTCTTTGAATCGCAAACGAGAAAGTTCTTCTGTGAGTCGGGAGGGTCGGTGATATGTCCAATGCCAGCCAGTAATAGGCCAGTGACTGAGCTGAGACACGAGGGTGAGTCGAGAGGGTCAGGCATTTGGCAGGCTGCGGGGGACTTACTCTTCGTCGCCAATGACAGCGATGAATTGCCGATCCTAGGCGGTGATCGTAAGTAAATGTCGACTCATGAGAAGAGTATGAGTTACCTTGTATGCTGACGGCGGCGCTGCCATTGTTGCGGAATGTTGGAGTCTGAGCTTTGGAAATAGATTGAAGCTGGCTCGAAAGCTCCCACATGGAAGTGAAGGAGGGTGCAGTCAGTCAAAGTACCTCTAGCCTCGTACCTGAGCGCAGCGCATCGGCGGGCCAGTGACGTCTCCGATTGGCTGCATTTCGTCATTGTTTACTACGGTGCTTGGGGTGCTCGGGTGGTCCAACTGCGTACACCACCGCACCCAAATTTCATCTTCCCTCACTGCCATTCAAATTGAGACCTCACCAACCCATCGTTCTGAAAGCGAGTCCTTGCAGGAGAATGTCTTCTGGACCTCCTTGGCGCCCCGAGTTATCCAAAGAATGCCCAAATTTGTGAGGCGCCAGCCTCTCACGGAACGCATCAAGGGCTACCTCAACCCCTATGATTTCCTCCTGTGGTTGTCAGAAGAGCTCGAATCCAACGGCTGGGATCAGCTGGAGAAAGAATGGGCTGCACCTATTGGTATTGCATTGAACGTTGTCTTCGTCATTGCGAGAGCCAACTCCAAACCCAGAACAACCAGCTATGATGATGTGTTTGGCGATATTCCAGGAGTGGCGTGGACAACCTGGTTGGTAAGAGCTGTCGTGAACTTGACAGATCAACTAGAATCTAAAAGTCTTCCAGGCGACCTTCATTGTCCACTTCTTGACGTTGTCTTGCATCGTCAATGCTACCTATACCTTCTGGCGGAAAAGACATTATCGCCTGTTCGAAACATCTGTTGACGACGTGCCGAGCACCCCTTCCGCCAAACGGGTCCGAGTCGATTCCTCCCCTGTTTCCTCTTCTCCCTTACAGTTTCTCTCGCGTATTATTGGAACAGAGACTGCCCAATCAAGAGCACATCCTGATGCAACAAGAGATGTCTGGGAGGTCGCCGTCTGGGACCCATTACCTATATCCCTACGCTTATTCTGCCACTTCAGTCCTGGCCACGTCCTCGTTTACTGGCTTTTCCTGCCTACTCTCCCTTCTGACCCTAGACCTAGCGTCACAATTGCAACAGCCATGTTCGTTGCACTGCTTCTCTCTGCGCAGCTCCTTTTCCTGCAGTCAAGCTATTCCGCTCAGGTCAAAGACTCAGCCTTGATATCCAAAGAAGTATTACATGAGTACGATACGAAATACGTCAGACCACGGACTCAGCCACTTTATCGAGATGTGGGCACCCAGTTCAGTGAGCAAGCCTCGTACAGCTCGAGTCGTGACGAGAAGTACAACAAGGTCGACGTCTACACACCCATGGTGGTCATTAATCGCGGTTTCCGACCGAATCCAAACCCCAGTTACGCGCAGTATACAGATCCCGATACAGCGGTATCGAGCTCCAATATTCGGCAACGAATGACCACCCCTGATTTCCGTTCACCGATTCACAATGCCAACCCTAGCACAGCTGTGAGACCTCCGGTGGGAATGCGACAACCAAACTTCCGACCAACAGCCACTGGCGGTGAGGGTGGGAGTCTGGGTGTATACTCTCATGCTGCCTCTCCTCTCCGGAAAAGTGCTTCAACCCATTTTTCTCGCGAGAATAGGATGGCTAGTCCCGAGAAACGGGGGTCAAGCCCGGACAAGAGAATGAGTGTCCCTGCTGCTGCTGCTTCCCAACGATGGGCTCAATTTCAACCTGATAAACACCGAAGAGAGAGCGGTCGCTTCTAGTAAATGTACAATATTCACAAAAGCGAGATACCCTTCCGTTAATGACTTCTATGGAGCACCCAGTTCCTGCTCCATCGGCGAACCAATATGAGTTGTTCCTTCCGCGACTGCAGCATGACGCTTCCAGGTTCACACGGATCTTCCACCGTCATGGTAACCGTTTCTCACATACCGCTGGCCCTGTGGTGTGGCGTCCTCGTCACCACGCTTGGTGCACAGACCAGCATATGGTATGGAGTACATGTCATAGCAACCACATCGGTTTCCCACGATGCCTGTGAAGCATCCACATTCTTCTGCTGAAGTTTCACCATCTATTACCGCTCGTCTTATCCATAAATTCTCATCTTCATTAGTTTCATTTAAAGACAGGAAGCACACCCCACCGGAGAAAGAAGGTAGCAGCTTCAGACATCAGCGGTCTCTACGACACACCACCAAGTTTTGCTACAATAAAAGTACGTGTGACAAAGACCCAGTGGAACCATGCGGCACTTGCTACGCTGACGGAATCGACGACCGCCGGTTACGACGGTTGGCGGAGCAGAGTGCCGAATTCAAACCAGTCCTCGATGGAGATTCTACCTCCCAGAGACGCTTTCGCTCGCGTATATTGAAGACAGTGCCGGAGGTCGATGCTGCGCATGTTGCCTCAGGTCAGTCAAATTACCAAGCTCGTGGCTTTGTCGGCAACTACTCAGGTCCGGAAGCCAAAAAAGTTAGACTAGACATCAAATCGGCGAAGAAAGAGCGAGAGGACAACCCTTCAACTTGCTCAGAGATGCATCGTCTTGTCGACAGCGATGATTACCTTCTTGCTCGAGGTGCAAACCCACGGACCGGAGTCGTTACACCGGGATCGCACAGCGCTAGCAGCTCCATTGATCAGAATCAAAACGACTTACCGAGAGTCGGGCGCCAGATTCCCTCGAGTCGATGGCGGCAAAGAGGTGATCAATGGATCAGCTTGGATCTAGATGAGCCGACGCCTCTATCAACATCCCTGAACGAAGAACCCCTAGACCATCAGCATCAAACTCTCAGGACTCCACAGAAACTTGCAACTCGAGGAGAGCAAAATTCATTGCTTAACCATGACGGAGGGCATGGTGACCACACGATTGATCCATTCTACGGGACTGGAGCGACCGTCCAACTTCATCAGTATCCGCTGGGGACCGGCATGAAAGTGGAAGATGTCCAGAGCGGGGTTGGACAAGTCAATATGCAGGACAATAAAAAACTCAACAGACCAATTAAGCGGAAGCCTGTTGGAAGTCCTCCGGGCAAAAGCACTGCAGAGCCAGTTTCGCATCCCCACCGAGGTGCGAGCGGAAGTACAGACACCGTCCGAAGGAATCCTCTGTTCAACAGCGAGTTGCGATCCTCCTCGGCACCTCATCCTCTGAATGAGGTCTTGTTCCGACCTCAACCTGTCGAGAAGAATCCACCAAGAATTCCCGCCTCCAGCTCAGACACTGGAAGTCAAGCTGCAGATGATTCTTTTTTAGGGGTCACTCAGACGGACCAGCAAGTAGACGACCCAAGTTCAAAAACCTCAAACATCTCTGGCCGTCACACAATCGAAAAAGAACTACCATGTCTGCCGATGAACAATGGCCTATCCCGGTTGATACCGGACCAGGTACCCTATCCAACCACACCAAAGACAGAGAACGGAGCGAGCATAACGGGCTCTCCAACCTTGAGCACCGCACACCCGAAGGGGCCGAGGGGAGGCGACTTGGTCTACCCCTACATTCGCAGGCCGAAGCCAATGTATCCAATTCCCCCAATGGCGAGGCACATCAACCCCATAGGGGAGAGAGTCATGCCAATCCCAGAGTACGACAACCCTCCGAAGCACCTATCGCAATCGATGCAGATGACGAGGTCAGAAGTCGCAGAGCAAAGAACTCTGCGTCCGCGGGAAATAAGAATGTTAGGCAGAACGAGACAGGGCTTCGGCCCGTTGTCGAATATCACTACCATACCCACAGACATATCCATGGCTGCGAGTCATCCTCTAAGGCCTCTTCGTATGAGCCCAGGACATCAACCGCCAGACCATTGGATGATGAATCGTGGCCAACGTGGTTTCCGCCCGCCACCACCTCCACCAAACGGTACAGGCATCATCATGAACACTACCATGACTATGAGCGCCGATGCCATGATGCCAATCCCAATGCCAAGGATCAGGCCCAGGGAAATAACCCGCCCTCCAAAGCCCATGAGATCAGAAGGGATGTACGGCGTGCCCAGAATCGGGCCGACAAGCAACCACTCAGCATCAGCAGATGTAAAAGCTCGACGTCTGGGGATGTCATCCGTCGTGGAGACTATGGCAAGAGAAAACCCCGTCGTGCCGGAGACGAACCTTATGCCCGAACCTCTAAAACCACGACAACAACCCTTCCAAAGGCCGGTACCAGTGAGCGACGTACCACTCGATCGCGTAGAAATGATTACGAGCGATCATGGCCTGATGAGGAAATGCAGCCATTGCAATCATGGATTCGTGGACGTCAAGCTTCACAATACAGATAGTGTCACCCCTACGTCCGCCCTCCAGAAGGTTCTCGACAAACCAAACGCGGAGACTAAGTCTTTGCATCCACGTGGATGTCCACTTCCGGGACTTCCCCAGCATACAGCTCCACAAGGAAATGCAAAAGCCCAACACAAGACAACGGGTCACTTACACGAGAACGTAAATGTCGTCGATGAACGTGACCATACCATTTGCTGTCCCGAATGCTGCAAACTAGATTGTCATGAAGGTTGTCTCGGTCATCCCAGCCCAACACCGGCATCGTATCCTCTTGACGGCCTCTGGCCAGCAGCCCAAAGTTCAACCAGTCCTAGTGAACCAGAAACACTGGAAGAGGCAAGGCCCGAAGAGACTCAAGACAGAGCCAAGTTCACTAGACTGGCTGCCGCTAGGCCTGTTATGAAGACGCCGTACATGGAGGAAGAGGCATCGAAGTCTGGCGATCATCTTCCGGCGGCCTTATCCAACGCTGCCCCTAGTGAATGGGCCATGCACCCACCAACGCCAATACTCGAGTCTCGTCGCGTCCCAGTCAAACGGTCGCCTGATGCTGTTGCCGCAGCATTGAGGGCGATGGAACAGCCTTCACAGAAAAGAACTCAAGGGACATTGACGGCAGCATTCAATGCCACCGGCCCATCACAACGAAAAGTTTCTGCGCCGCGTCCCATCCTCCACAGAAGACAAAGAAGTTCAAGCTTACCCATCATTGGTACGAGCATGACTTCTCGCACAGCCAGTGCCAACGCCCAACATCAGCGCGCGGCAAGCGGAGGGTCTTGGCTCCGCGTTCCAACACCTCTTGGTTTCGCGATGACCTGCTCCAAATCTGGTAAGGATGGCACCTCGAAAAGTCGCAATGTCAGTGGTGCGAGCATCACGACCATCGAGCTGCAAGTCCCGAATCTCGTGTCCTTAGCCTCCTGTGGCAGCTATGCTGCTATTGGAGATTTGCTTCTCATACCTCTTGAAGCTGGCAAGATGTGGGTTCGAAATCACCCTCAAGTTTTCACTGTGGGAAGAGAAATGGCCCAAAGAGGCTTGGTTATGTCACAAGTCATGACGAAGACGGGATGGCGTCTGTGGGCGATGGTATTTGTGTACTCCAAGACAGGGAAGATCAAGTTCCATCTGAGTAAAGGGGAGACGGTGGGTGGGTTTGTATTGGATGTGGGCAGGAGTCTACTTTATTTGATCGTCTTTGCGGCGTTGAGTACGTTAGCCGTCCGGATATTGGGCTTAGTGCTGGGATTGTTAGGGATTGTTGGGTGGATTGTAAGAAGTGTGTTTTGGGTATTGAAGGGTATTCTGGGGGCTGGGCGGGTGAAGTAAAGGATGATACGAGAATCCATAGGCGATTGTAGAGACAGGGGGAGCGTGACAGACATTGTGCTGGTGGTGTGGCATCATTATCCAGAAACCACGATGCAAAGTAGATGGATGGTTCGATAGGGTAATCTCATATCAATAGCAGTTGTCAATGGTAACCTTCGTGCTTCGTGGCAGATCAGAATACTCCAAAACGGGAATCTGGATGTCATATTATTAGCTCAAAGAACTGTGCAAGAGTGGGTGAGTCGGGTATATTGTACAATAGCTTGTAATTTGGGCAAAATGCAAGTATCGGCGTGGAGGCATCCTCATCAGCCTCGTTCAGCCTGGTAAGCTCCTTAATCCTTACCCCGCAGTCTAGCTCAAGCTCCGGAGAATAATATTTCTTATTTCGAAGTAGGGATGTACCGAGTAGTCCTTCGTGACTGAAACCTCCGAAGTCAGCCTATGAGTTAGCCTTACGATTTCTGCAGGGTGCTGGGCGAGCCGGGTCAGGTACCCATACCTAGGCCGAACAGCGGGAGACGACCTCGTAATTCCATGCAGTTAATTTTCAAAAGCCTTGCACACTGCCAGGTTCCCCTTTCCCGGAGACCCAGAAAGTTGATAAGGGAACATCTGTCTGATCGTGGCATTCAAAATCGAGTCAACGATACAGCTGTTCTTAGATATCTTCTCGAGCGTCAAAACGTCGATTCTTTAAGCGGATGATCGATCCTCATTGTCCCATACGAGGCGAACCGCTCCTAGCTCGAGGATGTTCCTTTTCACCTGTTCCATTCCCAGCATTTCAAAGGTCAAATTCGAATTGGGTTCCCGCCCACGCAGGCAGAACACTCAGTGGGGCTGTGCTCGCAGATGCTGACAACCCGGGGGCTAGCGAGCCTGGGTGCCTGGTGCAGCGTGCAGAGTTGTCTTTACCAACCAGAGTTGGAGTAGCTCAAGGGTACCTCATCCAGCTCTGTTCGCGCCCGCACAACCTGGCAATGCAGACGAACTCACCCTATGTCACGCACGAGGGATTAGTGGACCCTCATGGGATACCCTGGTGAAGGTCGCCAGGGCATGTTTCATCCAGCGCCTGGACACGGCCGCTGTTCTCTTAGCGCTGCTTTGATCGACAGGTATGGGCAGAAGAGGTCGACTGGCCACAAGCTTCTCTACCTAGTAGGTACTCGGTACATCTCAATATCCGATTCCTCCTCGAATGTCTCCATTAGTAACGCACCCCAGAGACAGCACGAGACAGCGACGGAGAGGCAATCGCTTGTCAACAACAATATTTGTGCAACAAACTCCAAGGGGGACACAAGGGTTGGTTATTGACTATCCCATGGGACAAGGTTTTGGCCCCAATATTTGCTTTGGTCTGGACTAGATTGCTAAAACAGCGGTTTCGACCGGTAGCTGTCTAGTTCTCGTATTCGGGTTTTTCCATTGATTTTAAGCTGTTATTGGGCAGTACCTAATGACCTCGAGCACTGAAATGTATTTAGGCATGGACCAGTGTGCCTCGCAAGCAGTTAGAGATATCAACTGCTCAAATATGCTTCTCCTGCACCTGCTTCCTCCCAGAGGCCTTTGGTGATTTGAGCAGGATTCTTTTGCCTGAGATCCTCGTGCGGCTCTTGCGAAGGCTACTACCTCGCAGGAACTGTGTGGGCATGTTGATTCGCCTCTCGTCAATATGGTCGACCTAAACAATCTAACCGTTGGCTACGTGTCTGGCATCATCGCGGCTGCCATTTTTGTTGGTAGGCTCCATGAATCTGCCACCATCCGGAGTGTAAGGTCATTAATACCATTTCTCAGTCCAGATATTCGTTCCCACGGCCTTGCCGATCATTCTTCTTGGACTCCTCACAGAGAAGAATTTGGCGGCAACTACAACGGCAGCCGGGTGGTACGTGGAAGCGCTTTTTGCCAAAGGCATACGAATAGTCTAGATTGACCTCTCTGCCAGGTCTGTTGTCGGCCGGTTCCTGCATTCCTCCCACTGGCCATCGATTCTCTCCGGCGACACTGCGACGACCTCAAAAGTCCCTGCGCGCGTGGTGACCATTGGCGCCCTGAAGACTTTCTTCACCATCTTGATCGGTGTTGCCGCCATTGTCACACCCCTTGGTCTATACCAAGACATCCTCTCGGGCCAAAAGCAAACCGCATCGGTTTTCCATTATATCGCTGATAAATCCGAGTTTGGCTACGGAACTCCCCCTAGGACCTACCTTCCTTGGAGTCGTATCTGCGGAGGAATCTACCCAGCGAATTGCCCAAACTCGCCTCAAACCATAACCTATATCAATAATGCCACAGGAGAATACTGGTCAGCCAAGTATTACGATTCTCATGTGCCCCAATATGTCATTGATGTATTCCAAAGCGGCCTCTCGACCCAGGACAGATCTGTCTCAAGCATATTTGACATCCAGTCAAGATCGTACACTTGGTCTCAAATCAACAACAATCCTGGGGCACTAGCACCAGACAATGGATCTGCGTACCCTGTTACCGCCTTCCGACAAATTTCGACCATGGTGTTGGAAGATGACTATGTTGTCATTGAAGGCCTGGTTGTGGACATGAAGAATGGTGGAATCGGCTTCAGAAATCATAGTGCACCACCCGTGTCGCCGTTTGGCAGCACTTGGTCTGAAGACTTGCTCTTTGTTGAGCCCGAATCACTCTGTGTTGATACAAACCTAACCCTGGATTTTGCTCTCCCCAAATACACAGCCGACAACATTTTTATTAACACACTTACAGATCTGGTGCTGACAGATCGGGGGGGCTTTGCCAATATCAACAAGGAATACCCATATTGGGACCGGGGCGATACACAGAAGAATCCAGACCTCTACTTGCGCGCATACAAGGCAGCTTGGATCAACAATGTGTGGTCTATGGCTTTCATGAACGTGACCAATTTTGCTAATCAAAGCGATCCGGACTCCCATGCCTTCGACTACCTCGACTCCTATGTTGGAAAGACATTCCCTCTCATGACTGCCAATTCATCTGCATTCACGGGAATGTCAAGTTTGCTGGGTCCTGATGTCCTCACGTCGTCCATGTTGTATGGATACTATCTAGATGATCTGGACCAGGGAACGGGAATATATGATAATACCAGTTCTCTATACAACTTTTCCTTGCCATCCGACGTCCCATCAGTTCCACCGCTATATCCAAATCCCTTTGGAGTCTCACAAACAAACTTTTCCACTGCTGGTAAGTTCCCTTCGCTCGATTTCTTTTTTTGTTCGTTGAAGTAACATAAGCAGAACTTATTTGCTCAGGCGCTGGTGGCCAAGATATTGCGAACATCACCAATTTTGCGGCTGCATGTGGACTGCTTTACGGAGCGCCGCGGCGGAGAGACGGGAGTGAGTCCATTGTTTTCGAACCCGGCTCGAAGTGGACTGTCCCTTTGTACTCGTGCATCTCGACCTCGAAAGCTCTTATCAAGACTGTTTCCTTCCGTTTCAATGGAAGCGATGATCTCTCCGGGCTGACCGTGACCAACATATCTAATAAGGTATATCCTAATGAGTCTTCCAAGCCATTGTGGGGAGTCGAGAAGACAGACATGGTACTCGAGGACGTCAACATCCTATGGGGTCTCCTATCGGGAACGGACCAGGGCAACGTGAGTGTCACCACGTTGCAGAAAGAATTCCTTTATCTGCCCGGCTATGCTGGTGGTGGAGGCCAGACTCCGGCCTCTGTTGGCTATCAGAACCTGCCGGGCGTCAATTTCCACGTCGACGCACTCAATACTGTCTATGACATCGCCTCCGCCTCGGGCATGGACATTACGGACTATACCGGGAGCACGAATCTGGCCATGTATAGGCTCTGGCAAGATCTTTCTCGCAATCCGGAAAACGCTGCCAGAATATTGAATCTCATTTGGACGGACGTGGCGGCAAATTCGGTCGTTGGAACGAGAAGTTTGCAACCGCCGCAACAGCAAACCCTCCAGAAACGCGATGGCAGCTCGTCGCAGGATGATACGACAGTGCTGGTACCGGTGACCGTGTACGAGCGACGTGTCAGGTATCACTTGATCTACGGTATACCGGCGATAATGACAGCCTTCGGTACATTCTGCGTCTTGATCACCGTTCTGGTGGTTTTGTGTCTGGGCAGAGCTGGCACCACGAAGATGCGCAGATATCTTGACCGGACGTCACCCGGTCGCCTTGTCACTTCACAGCCCTACACTAAGTCACCGGTGACAACAACGTCTGGCAAAGGAACAGGAAGGAGCCGGTCAACGAAGGAATGGATCAAGACCCATGGTGGGAAGGAGATCACTCTCTCCCAGGCCGAGGACGGCTCTATTGTCATTGAGGAACCGCAGGCGGAGTGTGCAAAGCCTTTGTTGCAAAAGATAACTCAATATCCCGACAAAAGCCCTGCAGTCCCGCCTCAGCAAAGGTCCGCGGAGAGGCCCGCGGAGAGGCCCGCGGAGGGAACCCCAAGTACCCCGGACAGTGATTAACTGTATGCCTATCGGACTTTTGAAATCCTTGCAAATCTGATACTGAAAGCACATTCTAGTCTCTCAACCTGATGATCGCGATTGATCGGATATTAAAGCTTGTAAAATCGAGCCGAATACGCCGTCATGAATGTTTCCGTCACCTAATTGACTTCTTTCGGTGCTTTCTATTGCACGCAATAGATAAGGACCTTGGATAGTCCTTTGGGAAAGTACATTGGGCGCTGGATTGGAGAAGCCAATGGCTTTTGCCTTTCACGCCTGTGGAACGGAGATTTCGCCGCAGCCATATTCAATGTTCTTTTCCTCCGCGACATGAGGAATTTTCGCTGATTCAATTGAGAAACTCTACCCTCCCCAGCGGAGCAAGCTGTTCTCCCGGGACGAAGGCGGAGGCGGAGGAATACAGAGTCCTCGGTATTGTTGGCGGATGCTCCAGCCTCATGAGGTTGATTGTCTGGTGCCGAGAGCCTACCGACTCGAGTACCGAGTACCGCCAGAGACTAGCCTACCTAGGGTAGAAGTGGCTAAGCTACTGTCTCTTGACAAGTCACCCCCTTTCTATGTACCGAGTACCGAGTACCGTCGAGCCGTGTACTCGTCTCGTCGTGTAGAGAGCGAGAATGGGTAGGTCACCGATGATTGTGGGGAGAAAGCAAGAAAGGGAAAGCCTCACCCGTACTTTATGCACCGCTCGCGTGATACATGATTTTTTTTGGCACCGGTAGCGATGGAAGAGAACGCAGAGCTCAATTCTTTTCTCAGAACACCCCGTCAGTCTCCACGTCTTTCTCGGTCGATGTCTTCGGACTTCACTGCCCCAATGTTTTACCTTCTAAGTGTCATCTACACCTTTTATCCTAGCCTTGGGTCCGCGGAGTGGGCAAAGGGGAGAGAGAACTATATGCTGTGCTCGTGCAGAGACCCAGTGCCGAGCCGCTGAAGGAGAATAGGACCCAGTGCTCTACGTGTTCACAGCCTGGCCTTGAGCGTAGCCGAGTCCTTCGCTGCCCATTCTCGTATGAGCTTCCGTTGAATCTTCCCGCTGGGACTCTTGGGCACCTCGTCAATGAAAACCACTCCGCCGGTCAGGTACTTGTGCTTTGCCACTCTGGGCTGCAGCCACCGCGCAAGAGCCTCGGCGGATAGCTTTCCCTGGAACTTTTCTTTCAGCACGACATAGGCCCTGGGCGCCTCGTCGCCGTTTTCTCCGACCTTGACGCCCACGACGGCCGCGTCGGCAACGCCGTCGTGCTCCAACAGCGCGGCTTCAAGCTCGGCCGGGGCCACTTGCAGGCCCTTGACCTTGATCAGCTCCTTTTTGCGGTCCACGATCCAGTACAGGCCCTCGGCGTTTCTGACGGCGATGTCGCCGGTCCGGAGGAACCCGTCCTGGTCAAAGAGGTCGCGGGTGGCCTCTTGATTCCTCCAGTAGCCCTGGCATATGTTGGGGCCGCGCACGTGGATCTCGCCTCTTTCGCCGACACCGACCTCAACGCCGGCATCGTCCAGCAGTTTCATTTCACAGTTGGGGTCGATGTAGCCCACGCTGCCGCTCCGATCGTCCCTCCCGCCCGGCATGTGGAGCGACGAACACGTCACCTCGGTCATGCCCCAGGTCTGCACGACTCTCCCTCCGTTCAGTTTCGCGGTGACTTCGTTCTGCAATTCCTGGCTCAGAGGCGCGGCCCCGCAGAGAATGTTGCGCAAGGAGCTGATGTCGTAGTTCTCCGTCTCGGGTCTCTTGGCCAACATCACCAGCACTGGTGGGGCAGTCTGTATGTGAGTGATTGCGTGGGACTGGATGTGTTTGAGGAACTCGACGTAGTGGAACTGTGCCATGATGTAGACCGGTGACAGCGTCTTTAGTGCGGCGAGAATAGTCCACAACTGTCCGTAAGCATGAGAGAGGGGAAGAAACCCCAGCCAGCGTTCCTGGGGTCGCGTGGCTGGAGTATACGGCTGTTCGAGATCGCGCATATAGATCGACTGAGACACGTTTGCGATAAGATTGGTGTGGCTAATGCGGACGCCCTTTGGAAGTCCGGTAGTTCTACAGCCAGTGTCAGTTTCTACCATTCCAATCACCCCGATAACCCAGAAAGGGCCTTGAATATATTCAAGGTGCTGGTAACAGATGGCTTACCCAGAAGAGTAATTGAGAACGGCTGTGGTATTCTTTGCTTCGTTGCCGTTCAGTCTTTTCCACCACCAGTCTCGGGCTTCACCTTCAGTCGCCAGTATCGACCGGAAATCGAGGACTCCATCAGTTTCTGGGTGAGGGTCTTGATCGAGAAGAAAGATCCGCTCCCTGGGCAAGCCCGCCTTTTTGGCCGCCGCGACAGCCACATTCAAAAGTTTCGGGTGGACGAGGAATACCTCTGTTCCAGTATTTTGCAGTTGAGATGTCACTTCTGTAACACATTTCGTCTTTAGCAGACGACGAAACGAGAACCAAAAGGACAAGGATCAAGATCTTGCTTACCGTTGACACCAAAGCTTATACTACAGCCACTGAAAATACCGCCTGCAGCGATAGCAGCCAAATAGACAACAGGGACAAACACATGATTAGGAGTGAACATCATAATCGTGAACCCGGTCCTGGACTCTGCACCACTCCCCTTCACCCCGAGCACCCGCTGTAACCCAAGCGCCAGCCGCTTGACCCAGATGAGCGTCTCCGCGGGCGACAACGAGTACCGGGAAGGCTCGTCGGCAGAGATGTAGAGAGGCTGAGTCGAAGGCTTTGTGTCAGGCGGGAAAAGATAGGTGAGAAGGTCGGTCGGAGGTATGGTGATTGAAAAAGGTGATTTTTGAGGCATCTTGGGGTGTTGGGCGTTCGAATCGCCTGAATAACTGTAGAATCTTATGGTGATAATCCCACCTTCTAAGATAATGGGTGATAGCAGCCTTTATTGTACAAGACACCAAGACCAGAGCGCTGGCACAGAGCTGCCGGCATTCAGAAGGGTTCAGAATACATAAATATGTTCAACTTGCAAGGGTGACTACTCCAAGTGAAGCTGCTGCACCTTGCCAGTGGCATTTTCGGTTCGCCTTGATGGATTCCCTCCCCACACTCCTGATGTCCCCAAATCTCTCTCGAGCTCCGGAAAATCATGAACCGGAAGCGATCGTCGACCGCGGCACTCGGCCTTTCGATCGAGAGTCCGGAGAAAAGGGGGTTTTGGTGTGGGGGCGCCAGCGGGGGAATTCAAACATCTCCAACAAGCATGCGTCCACGCAGAATATAAGCCACATACCCTGGCTCGCCTGGTACGTTGCGAGGACGAAGCAAACTCGGAGAAACGACTTTACCACCATACGTTCTGATACGGGGTTGACGACCTCTTGCGACCATGGCAGAAGGGTCGAACAATGCCTCTGTTGAAGCGACTCGCGGGGGCCAGCTTCATGGAAAGGTCGCGTTGGTGACAGGCGCCGGTATGGGCTTTGGGTCAGGTATATATACCTTCTTGCCTCCGTCACGTTGGATATACCTTGTGGATCACAGAACTTACTTGTGTCCGGGGCTTAGCTATAACCAAGAAGTTCCATCGAGAAGGTGCCAAAATCGTCGCAGTGGACATCAGCCCCGCCCTCTCCGACAGCGTGGCCGAGTCTTACCCAGACGGCAGTGTCGTGGCAGTCATCGGCGACGTTTCCAAGGGAGAAACATGGAACCAAGCGCTTGAGACGGCAGTCAACAGGTTCGGCAAGCTCGACGTCGTGGTCAACAACGCCGGGGTCATCTACAAAAGTACGCCGAGCCACGAGGTCGAGGAAGAAGAATTCGACCGCCTCATGCGCATCAACGTCAAATCCCTCTTTTGGAGCTGCAAGGTCATCGTGCCCTATCTCCAGAAACGCGGAGAAGGCGGGAACTTCGTCAACCTGTCGAGCACGGGTGCCTCGAGACCGAGGCCCGGCGTAACATGGTACAACACTACCAAAGGCGCCGTGAGCATCATGACGAAGAGCCTGGGAGTGGAATACGCACCCAACAAGATTCGGTTCAATGCTATACTCCCAGCCCTGGGAGAAACTGGAATGTGAGCTACTCCTTCTGCCCGGACCCCAAGCGTCGAGTTGAAGAAACAAGCTTCGGAAGGGTTTGAGATGTACTTACTAACTTGATATCCTCTGCTATGAAGGCTGCCCCAGGTCCTAGGTAAAGAAGACACGCCAGAGAATCGCGCCCCGATTCTAGCCTCCATCCCGCTGGGTAGGTTTACAGAACCGAGAGACGTGGCCAATGCCGCAAGTTTCCTCGCGAGCGATGATGCCGAATTCATTACCGGGATATGCATGGAGGTCGATGGAGGGAGATGCATATGAGACATCATGTCGCGGGGAGGTTCTCGAGATCCTCTGATTGATCCGTAGCATGTTTGCTGAAGTGTCGGATCAAGTGTCAATGGTCATCAAATGCCATCAGCTAGTGCTGCTGTCAAAATAAAGAAAACTTTCAAGCGTCTTCATTCCTTTCACTGTCACGGTTGGGTACGTTATCTCCCCTTCTGGGCCCATGGGTGCCTTCCGTCCATTTGGCACCTTTTTCCTTGGCACTGGGCAAGTACAGGTACCTAGGTAACTAGATGGTAAAGTTACTTGAGAGCCTAGTTAAAGCTTTAAGGAGGTTTAGTTGAAAATTTATTTCAAAGGACGCCTGACCGCCATGCCAAGGGAAAAGGCGCCAAATGGACGGAAGGGTGGATAGCGTACATGAGTTGCTCACATGTCCTCCACAAGATGAAGAGATATCTAGTTCCTCAGTAGGCGGTAATGCCAAGCCATTCTTTGATATATTCGAGCTCGAATTTCTGCGCCTGAAGAACGCCAGGCTTGGTCAAGAAGCTTGGATTGAAAGAATCCTCCGTGTGGCCTCCCTCCGGGACGACGATCAGACTTGAAGCATTGCGGTTGGGAGTCATCCTCTGGTACAGCTCCCACGGCGCCCAGCTAGAGACAGGATCGAGAGTTCCGAATGTGAAAAGCAGGTGGGTCGCCGCCAGCAGGTCGTTGGAGGTGAAGTGATACTCCGTCGACAGTTCCTGTAGGGTAGGAATGGTCATGTTGTAGGTCTCTGAGCAGAATTGGGCACGGTTGTTGCTATAACCGAGGGATGCAGCAGGGAAGATAGTGCCGTTGGTCACCAGATCTGCTGAGATGGGGAAGTATCGACATTCCAAGTACTGAAAGGGTACCTGCTCGGCGCCGGCCAAGTCGAATGCGTTTTCTCCCGTCCAGTCTACACAAGAGCCCTTGAAAAGTACCGAGAGGCTGGCATTGAGGACTTCAAAGGTACCATTGGCCTCGAGGGTCAGATTGAGGGCTTCGTTGAAAGGGTTGGCTGTCAGCCCTGGGATCCCCGGCAGTACTCCGTAGCTGAACTGAGAGTTGGCCGTGTACGCATTGAGGATCTGTGTCTGGTAAATGAAGTCGAGATCGCTGGTGTTCTGGGGAACCTCACAGAGGTTGAGTCCGTGAGCGAGGTCCTCGTAATTTGTCCCTGAAAGATCATTAGAATCCTTCTCACTGATCGAGGTGATCCCTATACCAGTCTTGATGTAGCCTTGATAGGTTGCAAGTGCAGCTTTGATTTTGGCAGCAACTTCCGCGGAGTAGCTGGAGTAGATATTCGATAGCTGCAGCTGTTAATGGCCATCTCATCGTATAACTGAGACGTACATACAAAGGTGTACCAATATCCACGCGCAGGGTCTGAAGAATCTGGTCCAAAGCTCTCCGTCGGTCCAGCCCAGGCGATGGAACCATAGAAAGTCTGTGGATAGTTGAGTCGCAGTAATGCAGACAGCCAACCCCCATATGAGCCTGGAACACGGGTCAGTCCTCCCTTTCCCACTGTGTGTTCCCAATGAACAGCATACCTCCATGTGCGATCACCTTAGCATTATTCAATTCGGTATTATTTTTCTTCAAGTATTCGACAAAGGTGACAGAATCCAGGAGAACATTATCCAGAGTGAGGGTTTCGTAGCGCTCTGTAACGTTGGAAGCGGTACTTGGATTGCTGACGCCAAAGAAACGGTGCTCGAGTTGGACAACGGCAGCACCTAAGGCCGGCGCCCAGTCTTCAAAGACCATGTACTCCTGTATATCGTTAGAGCGAGTCAAGTTATGTTAGTCGAAACGTACCAAGCAAGAGAGATTCGCGGTCTCTGCTCCCTGCATGAAGAGGATAGGACCTCCCGGCTTGTAGTAATCTAGGATAAGTTGGTATTGTTGTTTGAAGGTTCCGCTTTTGGTGGCATTATGGTCGATGGTCTGGTCATAGAATGCAGTTGGATGGGTACAGTTGACTCCGGTCTGCCCGAAGGCTGTCCGTGCCGCTGTCAAGACAAGAATAGCGAGAGAAATGAACATCATGAAATGCTCTCAATAGAGTGGCGTGGGTGCTGAACTCGGTCTCAGTTATGCTTGAAGAAACTCACAGGTGAGTGGAAAGACGACCGTTAAATACTTTATCTGTGAGATCACATTCTGAGCGATGTCCAAGGAAACGCTCCTAGACAACCTTGGAACCATTGAGCGGTGTCCATGTTGTGGGTGACGTAGCTTGACGGTGTTAGTAGCTGCAATAACCCAGTTGTTTGCATGCCACAGAGTTGTAAGTAACGACGGATATCTGTCCCTTTATGCATCAAACGTCGTTATACTAACCAAATGCAGGTGGACCTCCGGACTATAGAGGACGTTTCCGAGCCATCAGATGAGCGGGGGAAACGTACGGACTCATCATGGCGAGGGGCCAACAAGAAGCGATTGGGACACCATGGAGGTTGATGTCTGTTGTTAGACCGTCTCCATGACGTCCACTCCAACATAGCTTGCTGCGGCACTAGCATATGCGGTTCCAGCATAGCGTCTCTGGGGCCGGGGAATCAAATGAAGGGATTTTGTATGCGTACTCGGTATTTTACGAGGCTCTGGTTTGCCGAGGCCCCTGAACTTGGCAAGGCTGAACGAAAAATCGCAAAACTAACCGCAAAAGAAATAGTGTCGGTGACTCCGCCAAAGATTTTCCGTGGAGATCATTTAGGCCCTCCACATGCCCTGGAGATCTCCATCTGTTTCAACTTCAAAGTTGCTTCCACAGCCATCACCAGACGAAATGAAGTTGTCGAAGCTGAGAGTCCTTCCAGTTGTCAACTTTGCTCTGCTAACCAGCTGGGGCCAAAAAGGTCAACCTCTCCAGCACCGTTAACTTTGAAAAGTTTAGTTCATGAAGCCATCAGGCCCTTCAATTGAATTTTCGAGTCTCAAGAAATAAGCGATTGACATGATCGCTGTGTCGTTTAGCCTTGCTGAGGTAGAGCATCGCATCCTCCAAGGCCATCACTCGCCGTGGGCTTCTCAGCTTTGGAGGATGTGACTTCAACACTGATCTTGCTTTGCTTGAAAAGGAGTGTTGTCCGACGTGCCTCTGCGTGTCTTGACACAAGAATGGTCTTTCTCCTCAGGACGTTGTTGGCCTGACACGTTCTATCTTTGAGTGGAACTCCCTCCGTCTCCAGTACCCTCTTCTCACACCCGGCGTTGGCCAATATGCCACCATAGCCTCATCTCATTTCGCCGACCTTGTTGGCAGCTGCGGACCGAACATAGGCTCAGATATCCATTCCCTGTTTCACTCAGCCTCTTACTGTGACATTTGAGTCATCCTCCCATCAAAGTAATTTTACTAAATGCGACCTTTCAGACCCGTCCAGCATCGGTGAGGATGTATATATTTGAACAACATTCCCCTCTCGTTGATTGCTTTTTTTGCCAAACTCATCTTGCTGAATACAACAAGTCCAATAGCAGAACAATCGTTGACAGTGGCCCATCATGGCGCAAACCTCAGATACAGTCGCTCTCGACGCTGCCGAGATAGCGATTTACATCTTGCTGTTCCCTCTGATCATATTCCTCGGAATACGCCATGGCAGCAAGCATTCGCTGGGTTTTGTCTATCTTTGCCTCTTCGCCGTCCTCCGCATTGTTGCCGACGGGCTAGGCATAGCCAATCGAAACTTAACGGACGAAAGCGCCATTATTACCACTCAAGCCATCAGCTCAGCCGGCCTCTCTCCCCTGCTCTTGATTCTAGCCGCCTTTGCCCACGAAGCCCACCACTATCAAGTCAAAGCCGCCCTGCCCCACAATCAGGCGCAAAACGTGCTTCGCCAACTGCGAAGCCTCCAAGGGCTCTTCCATGTCCTGTCAGCCGGCGGCATGGGATTGATCGTCTACGGCGCCGAAAAGTCGGCCAGCAAGGACAGTGACCACGACTCCAGTACTTGGACGACTGTCCGCAAAGTTGGATGCGTCCTGATGCTCCTTGCTGCAATTGCGGAAATCATATACGCATTCTACGTCTGGAGCTCCGTACGTCGAACAAGGAAGGCAGTGAGACCAATGCATCTCATCTCCTTGGCGGTCTTCACCTTTGTCGGCGGCTTGTTCGTCGGAGCTAGGGCAGTCTATTCAGTCGTCTACACGTTCGATACAAACCCGGACATCAGCCCGATCACGGGCACGTTCGTCGTCAAGCTGATCTGCATTGTTCTGGTCCAGCTTTTGGCTGTCGCTTGCCTCATCACGGGTGCCTGGCTGAGCAGAAACATCAGGAGGGATATCGAATACAAGTCCATCCAGCCGGCAGAGCGGTTCTCGGGCGGCGGTGGTGGGCGTGGTGGAGACTCTGCGATACCTCTTGCACCTGAGGAATATTCCAAAACTTGGTATTCGCCAAGCTATGATGCTTGAGCCAGGCACGGTCAGACAACGGGCCACTCTCAAGCACTTTTGGCGCCTGTGCCTTCCTAGACGCCGGCAGGAACTGACTAGATCGGGGGCTTGGGGGTGTGCTTCTGGCTAGGTATATTGTCTGGAGTTGGCTCGGGTGGCTCTTCCGGTTCAGCTAAGGCATAGGAAGACTTTGTGCAGATTCACAATGTCCGGGGGCAAGTCAATTTGAACAACTAATTGAATTCCGAGGACAGGTCTATTGCGATAGTGGTGTTCCAATCCGAGGTTGGAGATGTGGAAAGACTCAGAACGCAAGCAATGCAACATGATTCTTCTATCTGAGCGTCACAGTCTGGTTGTCAATAACTTCTTCTCAGCCCATTCCAGTCTGACTCACCAAGTGTATTCTCTTGAACAATCTATCTTCTTTCTTTCTGATTGGCCGAGGAAAAGAAAAACTGTCAGTAGAGCGAACTGTTTCTACCTGGTCCTAAAGAGCCTTTTCTGCCCCCCCTTTTTTTTCCAAGTCAAACAAAATGCATCTTTTGACACTGCCTCTCATCCCACATCTCCCCGTCCATCATCCCGTGTACGTACGCCGCCCCTACGAGTTGCCAGTGCTCTTCCCGCCCCGTCGTCCCCACCCCGCTAGCCGCGGCAGGAGTGGTGTCCACGGCCCTCACAATCAAAGGCAAATCACAGCCCTTCAACAATACAACCCGGTCACCCCTGCGCATCTCGCCAAGTCCCAACACTAACAGGCCGGCATCCGTCTTCGCAAGCGTATAATTGGACCACGACCTGAGCGCGTGGACGTAAAATGCTAAGGTGGTGCTTCTGAAGAAACGATTATGGGGGTCTTCATGCTGCCTGGAGGACGGCGGCTGCTGCGGCTGCAGGGCAAGAAGGCAAGCCCGCCACTGGCGGAACTCGCGCAGCGTACGCTCGCGGTCGCCGTGGCCGACCCAGTAGGTGCCCCGTGAGAGGGTAAGGCAGTAGATGTCTTCGGCTTCGGCTTCTGCTTCGGCTTCGATTTCAAAGGCTGATGTGGATGCGAATTCTGGCGCTGTCGACTGCGGCAGCTGTCGGTGACGATAAAGATCGCTGGAGAGATGTAAAAATTGCAGATCCATGGCGAGCTTGTCCCACGCCAGCAAGCATGCTAGGATGACTTCTTCTTGGGCTATGTACGTGCGGCAATGCCGAAAGGGGAGGTCAGTAATATAAACATAATGATTGGCAAGACAGTGGTTTCAGAAATATCTGGCTATGCCGGTGCCCGCGCTGAAGGAGGCAATCTCAGGGAAGGAAAAGAGGAGAGACATACCTTTGGTTCTATTCTTTGTGTGGTGTATATACGGCATCTTGGGCGCCACCTCTGAAAGTCCGTCCACCACGAAGCCCCAGAGAGTCAAAATATTGCCTTTGCGCTCCGGGACCGCCTCCGAAACTGTCGTGGTCATCGTGGTCGTGTTCGTTCGTCTTTTCATTCTCGACCTCCCGCTCGCGGCATACTTGCGCATATGAGTCATCATCAGCGGATTGAATTGGAACTGCTGATAGAGCTCAACCACGGGGGCCTCCGTTTCGCGCTCAACCGTCGCGCGCCAGTCCGGCGCCCACGAAGGCAAGCTGAGATCCGTTCGCCTCGCACAGATGCTAATGGTCAGTACGTGCAACTTGCCTGAGTCCGCGATGAGACCAAAGGCCACGTCCTTGAACGTCTCCGACACGCTCTTCGTGTAGTTTTCCGTGATCCACGTTGTCGGTTTGGCCAGGCTCAGCAGAGCGTATACTTTGTCCCGCGGGTCCGTCGCATCGTGGGTCCGGAACCACAAAAGGACGGTGACGAGGTCGAGGTAGCGCTCGCGCCGTGGGTTTAGCACTGTAATCATCTCGCTTACCCAGGTTGCTGCTTCCGCCATCGTCTCGTCCAAGGAGGAGCCCTCGGGCACCATTTGAGACAAAGCCTGCGACCGCGGCAACAGAGATCTTCGCAACATTTCCAGTGCATGTGGACCGTGGGAACGGAACGGATGCTGTGACCTCATTTCACGCGTGCCCCAGAATGCGAAGTAGGCGGAGATGAAGGTGCCCCAGCCGACGCTCTGGGCCCCGCACAGAACCAGGATATCCTTGGCGTAGAATACCTCCTGAACGGTCCAAACTCTGGAGAAGTATGGCCTATCTCGAAGCTGGGTCATTGGAAAGACCAGGTCCCACGAAATGCCCTGCTCGCGCATGGTTTTGAGCTTTCCCTCTAAGTCGGGATGGATTCTGGCTCTGTCCTTAACCTGAGGAAGCTTGACCTCACCGGTCATCTGCAGGGCTTCCAGAAGCCATGGAACATCATCCTCGTCCTGCGCGCCCGAGTCGATGAGCTCTTTTCGTCTCGGATAGTTCTTGATCCACTTGAAGGCGATGTCGCTCTTGTCAGCGGCGGGTCCCAGCCATACGAGGACCTGAGCTGCCTGAGAATATATCTTAGACATGACCTTGACCTGTTGGCTTTTCTCCTCCTCATCCTCTTGGTTGAGACAGATGGCATCTTACCATAAAACGCGGGACCGTTCCGGATAGCGAAGTTGTGACAACGCCTTACCTAGGTTCTCAGTTGCAAGGAATAATTCCCCTTTGTCGGTTCTGAGGATACGTGGAGTTTCAACTTCACCCCAGGTATACGACAGCGCTTCATAACGGGGACATTGCGACAAAGAATACATTTCGATCGAAAACCGTATGGAATCGCGCTCTTCGCCAGGGTGCAGACGGACCAGGCGGATGGGTGGGTCGCGCGTGTCTGGCAGCTTTTCATATGCGACATGGCACGGCCGGAGAGTCGATTTCAGCATAAAGCCTGGCGGCTTCTCTGCTCCGGTCGGCACTCTGGTTGGGAACGTTTGACTTGAGTGGAGGCCAAAATTGAACCCGGCCTTCGGCTTGGGGCACCCATAGAAAGGGTGTCGTTGCAGTGGAGTATGAGCAATGGCTAAACACGAGATGCAAAGGCCTTCGCTTTTGCAGCCAGTGCAGAACAAGCCTTCGAAGAAGAGTAGGGAATCACCTGGATAAATCCGTCAGACATTGAAAACTTCGGCCCAAAAATCAAACGAACCTTTTCGGCAACTTAGACAATTGACAACGTAGCGCGCTGTAGCTTTAGCGACCATCACCGCATAGTCTTGTTCGGAGCCCAGCGCTGCGACCGCCGCCACCTGGTACAGTTTGAGGCGCATCACAGCCCCTGGATGTTCGCCTCCGTGTGCGCGACCGATCCCGTTCTCGACGCAGGCCGAACAGAAAGCGGTCCGGCAGGCCGGCTGCAAGCATACCGCTGCTTCAGAGGAGAACTGCAAAACTGTTTATAGGGGTCAGCAATTTAAAGAAGAAAATCTGAAACTGGTGGTGATGATGATGCTGCTTCTCTTGGCCTCTGCGGTTGGGCTGAAGAGGAACTCACATTGATTGCAGGAGGAGCACACGGGCCCCAGCGCGCTCAATCGAAGGGGCGGATTGACAATCCTCAAGCACGTCCGGGATCGAATCATCCGCGTTAAATCCGCGGTCTCTTTGACGATTAAAACGCTGAAGTTTGCGTGTTTCCTATGCATCCACAGCGCGGCGGGGTCCCATCGTGTATTTCCTGTGTGTTCAGCGGTTAGATCAGCAGTCCATCTCATCGTGCGGGTGGGAGCCTTGTTGTAACTCACGCAGCTCGGGACACTGCTCGCAAGTCAAGTGCGCATGTTTATCGGCAAATGGTGATGTAGCGACTAGTCGATAGACCCGACGTACGTGCTCGTGGCCGTGACGGTCGGCTTCCTTGTAACAGGCCTGACACATGCGCTGGGAGGTCCCGAACTCCAAAGCACACGGCCGGCATTGATATATTGGCGAGCCAATCGGAATAGCTACAAGTCACAGAAAATCTCAGTAAGGACAACCTTCTTCTTGCTCTGTCTTGAGCGACACAAGTAACGGAGCCTTACACGCGAAGCATCGATCACAGTGGAAGAAAACCCGTGGATCGAGCGCCAGGCACTCGCTGTGCGGCCGCAGCTTCCCAGCCCGCAGTTTATACGTCCATCCCGGCGGCAGAATCGCCCAAAAGTCGGATCCGAAGCCGCCGTGCCTGCCTCTATGCTCCAGCACAAAGCGCCGTGCGCGACTGCGGTCGTAAACGCACCCACCGCAGGCCGACACGTGACAGAGCCGACACTCCCATCGAGCGCGGAAATTGGCTCGGCAGTAAGTGCACAAGCTGGTGGGTTTGTAGCCTCCCACGGTGACCGAGTACTCTGTGTACCAGAGTGTAACGAAGCTAGCCTCGTGGGTCGGATCACAGTCTCCGCATGTGCCGCAGTAGGGGAGGTCGCATTCGAGGCAGTAGCGGGCTGTGTCATAGAATCGGATGCCTAGTATCAACGGCTAGTATATCAGCGGTCGCAGTTCGGATCGATATTCTCCTCCAGCTGCAGAGATACAACCATACTCAGTCCACAACGGTAGCAACGAGTACAGATTGGCGGCACATGTCCTTGCACAAGTGCTTGCTTGACATTTTGCATCGGTGCTCGCGTGGCCGCTATCCACGGTCAGATCTTCCGTCGCAGGTACCTCGAACTGAGATCTGTGGGCAATCCCCTACATACCTTTCCGCGAAGACCTCTCCGATTTCAACCATTTCAATATTGGCATTGTGATAGGTGTGCGCGGTAGGCAGTTGGCTTTCGAAGCCTGGTCAGTGTGAGGGCGCTGCGAATCCCATGCAGAACAGGGATGTGCAAGGAAAGACTTTTCGGCGACGGTGGGAATATGAACTACACAGCGAAGGCGTACCTCGTACAGACTAATGATACGGAATCGCCAGGGAACTCCGATCGTGAGGCTGGGTAGGCAATTTTTTCTCCTTTTCTTGAATTTGTGGCGCCCCCCCTTGATTCTCTCGCCCTCGTATAGTCGGCCCAATGGCTTGCCGAACTGCTCGAAAGGTGTTCAGTTTGACCAGGCTGTACTTAAAATGGTTAGTTGGTCGCTTCGCCTCCCATGATACTGCCTTGCGTGGTGATGATGCACCCCTGCCCACCTCGATTGATGGCTCAGTGGCAGGTCGGCTTTGTGTTGGTTTCATCGGACATGGGTACGGCGTCCCTCAAGGGTGGGGGATTTTGGCCTTTTACTGGGTAGCTTTGCCATTTTCCACCAGTGTGCTCTGTCGTCCTCATCGTAATTTTTACAGTTGGACCATGCACCATACGCCAATTGCCTTTTCATTCTCGATACATTAGAATAGGGTTGAATTGGGATCTCTTTGCATCTCAAAAAAGTTCCACGGTTTGAAGTTGACGAAAGCCGGTGTCGTGAATGAAGAGCCAAAAGGGGCAGGCAAGGCTGAGGAAGAAGCAGGTGAGCCGAGGGTGATACTCCCGTCCTCAAGCTGAGCCTCACTAGCCCGCTAGCCCACTAGCCCTTAGCTACCTAAGAACAGAGCGGTCCTACCATCTCAGACCAAAAGACTATTAAGAAAGTTCTGGATCGAGGCGCTGGAGGGGCGCCTTCGGGTCCCCACGAGGTAAGACATCTACCTCGCACTCACGACACCTCTTTGAGACAAGGCCAGCGGAACTTGTCATCAGGCTAGCTACATATCCTGCTGCCCATCACCTACCGCACAACTTCCGCAGACGAGGTTGTCCTCCGTGATTGATCTTCTTCCAGCGCGCCGTGTGCGCTGCAGAATTTTAGTTAAGCCGCTCTGGCCATTCGTTCAACAGTCCCTCCAAGTCGCCGATTATGGTGCCCAATGTCCGCTGCAGGTTCCCGAGTCGCATTTTGGGATTTGTTCGTTCCTGGCCGCCCGGAAGTATCCGTTCTGCTGGAGCATCCTTACTTGCTTTCAAGGCCTCGAGTACGTCTGCTATCTTTGCTCTTCGTTTGTCATTGCCGTCGACCGCTTTTCTCCAGAATTTTCGGAATTCGTCTTTCTTATAACGCAGCAGCTTTTCTTTCCGTTTCATCTGTTGGAAGGCCTCTTTGCGCTGCTTCTCTAGCTTATCTAGATCCTCCTGGCCCATGAAGCTTGATACTTCCCGTTCCATCTCTGCTTGCTGGACCTTTCGATCATTTTCGCTTTTCTTCGCCAGGTCTCTTGCTTTGTCCCTATCTTTTCTCTTCTCCTTCAGTTCTTTGCTTATCTCCTCCTTTTCCTTAGTATGGGCGGCATTCGCATCTGCGATATTTCTTTCGAGGGTATCAATTTTCTTTTGGCAGCTCTCCAGGCGCTTCTCGTCGCCTTTAATCTCTCTTTCCAGACTCGTTAGGCTGTCCTGAATTTTATCGATCTGTTTCTGCAAAGCTGCTTTCACTTTCACAGTGGCTCCGCCACATATCTGCGCCTCTCGCAAGGCTTCTGTTGGCACTAGGAGCTCGGCTTGAAGGTCTTTGCGCGTGCTATCATCATCCCTTCGTTTAGCTTCCAGTTTTCTCAGAAGGGTGAGTTCTTTATCGCGCTCTTTCTGGAATTCTTCGATCTGGTCTGCACTTTCCCTCTCCATCTGGTCGATCTTACTGCTCCTTTCCTTCAAGCAAATTATCCTTTTATTCAATTCCTTCTTTTTGGCATCATACTCGTGACACTGTTGTTCCGCGATGGCTAGTTTCGAAGCGATTTCCTTGATTTTTTCCAGGCTTTCCGACAATTTTGGTGTTATTATTTCGTATTGCGCGGTAATCCTCTTGCAGACTTGTTCTCGGATCTTGAGTCCAATGACATCGTCTTCCAGCTGTTTAAGGTCACGCTCAAGAACTTCACTCATTTCGTCGAAACTCGAAAAAGGCCAATTTCCGGTGACCTGGCAACAAAATTGCTAGGCTGCAACAGGAGTGTTGTTGTGCTTGCGATCGAGGTCTGGCCTTTTTGTTGTACGTGGGTCCCTCACTCTGTAAAAGTCCGTAAACTCAGCCTGACGTCGGGTATATTTGAACTGTTCAATTGATGGCTGTGCTGCGCAGGGTTACAACGTCAGAAAAGGCTCTAGAGACGACAAAGAATTATATGTTGGCTGCCGAAAGAGCAGATGGTCAGTTGTTGTTTTTGCCGTGTTGGCAGCTAAGGCTGAAATCAACGTCGGATATCCGGCATCTGTTCGAAAGCATTTTAACGTTGTAGAAACCCCATATTCGAATTTATGGGCCACGTAAACGTGTCCGATGACCATTGGAAGCTGTTAGATGAGCCCTGCTGTTTTAGGTGACACCACTACTCCTTGAGGCTGAGTTGCGAGGCCACCATTGGGTACGACACTCCAAGCGATTCGGAGTTGGGGTTGAGAAAGGTTGAATGCAGATACCCCTGGCGAGGCGGCTGGACTTTTGAGGAGAGATGCAGATACGACAGGTGCATACCAGGTGAGGTGCAGAGTGCAGGAGGGGTTGTCAAAACCATGTGATCCTGCATTTTAAAGCCTATCAAGCTCCGTCTTCAGGCCTGCGGGATTCATGTGAACAATTGATGGTGAGTAACTGGCCAGGCTTGCTCTTACAGTCCTAGTTTTCCTTTCCCAAGTGCCAGAATCCTATGCCTCTTTGCCGAACTCTTCTCGAATCCTGGCCCAGACTTATATCGACTGAGTCACTGACATTACCGAATTCGCCAGCCTGATTGCAGAAAAGGTGAACCTGGGCACAAATTTGGCAACCCTTTCTCAGCAAAAAGATCCTGACATTGTCGTAGCAAGAATTCAAGCGGCCAGATTTGAGGTCCGTACAACAATGGCGTCTGAATCAGTGGACCTGAAGGACGGGAGGGCAACGTTGAATTCTTCAGAGTCAAATCTGCCGAAGCCAGGCAGCCTCATCCGGGCGAACACCGGAGAGTTTCGAGTCAGCGAGAAGTTAATGGAGGCCGCAGTTGGCAACCAGTACAAAGGCCTGGAAGTGCTGCAGACTCTCCTCAAACATAAGGGCCACATCACCATCACAGACAGGATCTTGGAGACGGCAGCAGCGAACATGAATCAAGGCCCAGAGATTGTGACGCTGCTGTTGAAGGACCAATCTTTCCGGATCAGCGACGAGATCATGAAAGCGGCTGCTGAAAATGAGTACCGGGGTCCGGAGGTCATGGAAGCGCTTCTGGAGCATGCGCAAGCCAATAAAGACTTAACGATAAGCGAAGAAATCATGAAATATGCGGCGGAGAATATCGAAAAGGGTCCCGAAATCATGAAAGTGCTTTTGACATATGGGAAAAAGATTGACCTGCAGCTCAGTGACAGTGTCTTTGAGGCTGCGGCATCGAATGAGGAAAGAGGACCGGAGTTGATTGAAGTGCTGTTGGAATATATGGAAGATCTGGAGGTCAAGGAATGAACACTCTCTTTCTTCACCTTGAATGTGGAGTGGCTTCTAGGTATCTTGGGTCAGTCCCGCGAAAGCGTAATTTAGAACCCAAGATTAGCTTAGCCAAGTCATCAGGGTCTACCGGCGTCAATAGCGATACGGAACAATCTTCGAACTTTGCTCAGCCGAGTTAGGAGGTTCCTGGTCAGCGCGGAAATCAAATTAGCGCGCAATCAAAAAGCGTCACATGGACGAATCCGGGGAGTAGAGTGGCATTGGTCCAAGGACTCGATGAGAGGTCAAGGACTTGGAGGTAACTACTTTGTTAATCTTGGTACCACATCGCCTCTCTCTCCTATGCACACGCATCCAACATGCATTCATGTCCCATACTATAATCAATATGAAACCCAGAACCGCTCTTTTGTCCCTAGATCCCACTCCCAAGAATCAGCGTTGTCGACCCCTTACCAGCGCTGAAGGGCAGGCACACTCATATGCCTAATGTGGGGTGGGAGGGATATTGTATTTGACTACCTCATTGAGCCAGTATGCTGTACCGAGAAGCCTGGTGATCAGGCGTGGAACAAGGCAGAAGAGTGTGATCGGACCGGCTCGCCACCATGCGCACCACGAAATTGGGAAAAGTTCGTGCTGCAGCGGGAGCGAGGGCGACCATGGACGCAGCGTTCATGGATGGAGCGCAGTCTTTGATTACTTGCCCAATCGTGCTTCCGGGTCCCGGGTGAGAGTCCAACGAGTCCCCCACTGAGGTCATTGTGATCATTTTCCTCCAGCATTATGATCAATATCGCAATGGTCGGGCGGTCAACCTTGTCTCCACCTCTGTCAGTAAGAAGCTTCTTGCGAGAGTCCTTAATGACGATTCGAGCGGTTCTGACAAAGAAATGTTTCGGAGACTTGGGTGCTGCATACGTCCGTTGGGACCCAAGTCTGCCAGGATCGGTGGCTCGATGCACTGCACTAGAAGCGACGTGGGAAGATTGTCGCGTTGGACATCACTGAACTGCTTGGAGAAGTGTTCCTTGGTGAGGTCGATGACGCAGCGCTTAGCAGGATTCGTCCTCCCATTTTCCTACCTGTGATGATGTGATGTTTGCTACTGTGTGAACAGTCCGGCTCTGCACATGACGAAGTGATAGCACGGAATTTTGAAGGGACTGTACCTGTGGGAGCGCTTAAAACGGGATTGCAGAGGTCTATGCAGACAGTGACAAGCGTGATACATATCCTACGGCTTGAAATGACCTCTTGACAATTCCGCTTCCGACGTGCAGATCGAGACGAGCCAACTCTGTGCCCGAGGCGCGTCTAAAAGCTGAGAGCTCGGTGTTTGAAGACAAGATGGAATTAATTAGCCCAAGCATGATTTGATGGAAAGCATCCCAGACCAGCCGGCCAGAATGACGTGGGAAAAGCCAAGGTACCGAGTACACGGTCAGACAGCTACGGCCACCAGCATCTCATCGCTTTTTTCATTCGTGGATTTGTAGGGTTGTTGGCTGCGGCTGTTCTTTGTTTCTGTATCCGACCCTGCCGGCGGACACCCGGGTGCTTGCTTTGTTGCTTTCCTGCTTTCTCCGGCTTGGAGCTGCGGAGGGTTGGCATATGCGCAAGGAACTGAATGATTGTGGCCAAGGAAGACGACCGCTCGTAGAAAATATTTGGCGGGTGCAACAGGAAAAGATAGGACAGGACAGGATATGTGACGGACAATGAGGTCGGAACTCATGTGTGTTTTATGAGTTTGGTGGACCTGCGGCGAGACAGGCGGGCTGGAAAAGGCAGGAAAGCGCAATGACCTACCTACGGTAGATACATTAGAATGATAAGGCCAGTTATACTGTACATGACGAAGGATAATTTAGTACGATTTAGAGGTGCCGTGAAGTCAATCCATGCATAAATATAGATGTATGCACATGCGAGGGAGAGACATGACGGATCAGTCCTAGCCCACAGGTTAGGTATGCAGCCACTCCCTCGCAAAGTTCCCAACCTAGGTACCTAGGTACAAATGTAGGGAGGTAGCGGTTAGTAGTTACGTTCCGTAGGCGCTCAGGCTCTCGGTCACAAAGGCTATCAGACTGTCAGGCGTCGAAATAGGGGTCCATCCAGGCTGGTGACGCTGGCGAGGCCTCACTCCTCCCTCGATGGATGACTGATCGTTGGATGCTCTGGGGTGTAGGCGGGTGGATGACAGGCTGACTGTGCGAGGAAGATGGGGCGAAGGATCCCGGCAAAGCATGTTTCGTAATCCGAGCTCGCAATCAATGCCCTTTTCCCACCATGGGCAAAGCTTGCCGGGAATACGGGAATGTTGCGGAACACGCCCCCTAATTGCCCTGAATTGCTGATGTCCGGGCTGATGGGCTGATCTTGAGGCTGATCTCAAGGCTGATTGTGGGTAGATGAGTAACAAATTCTTACAGAAGCCCCACGGGCCCCTAGAATTGCATCAAGCCTAGGCCCCCCAAAAAGGGGCCCGGCTGTGTTAAGCGATGTTGGGGCCTTGCCGAGGATCGTAGATGGTTTGATATGCTCTAGCTAACAGTTCGTCCTGTGCTATGCTATGTATGTACAGGTGGAAAGGATATTTGTACATGAGGACGGCAGGAAAATATCGTTAATAACAGAACCAATCCTCCATCCATAACCTGGGAGGTATCCCAGTTATGCAGCCTAGAACCAACGCCACAGAGGAATAAATCATACAAGTCCTCCCTTCCTGGTATCGTAAATACAGATGTCATAAGAACATAAATCGTTTGCACCTAGGAGCGATTCTTTCGTGACCCGAGTCAAGCCAAGTCGGGTCAGTTGCCCAGGAGATTCTGCCATCCGACCCGCTCATAGACGACCACGGCGAGGCAGCTCGCCACCACAGCCTCGAGAGAGATCCCTCTGTCAGGTATCTCGATACTCCTACTTTCATGGCCGTGTCCGCGTTCACGTCGATGTCCAAGCCCATGCCCATTCCCAAACCCGTTCTCATCAAGGTGGGACTCTCTGCTTGTACCTCCGGCGACATTGGCCAAGAAGACCGTCAAGGCGCCCAAGACCTGGTGGTCGCGTCTCTGCTTATACACCGCCACAAGCGTCCCCTGGGAGTCTTCCAGTAGAAGGTTTCCATTGGCCGGGTGAAAGCCGTCGTCCACTGCCGGAGTGGAGAGGACCTCACTGTTGTGGCTTGGGGGGGAATGCCATTTGTAGTTCGGCGATGACGGCGAACCGGTCATGGTGTACTCGCGCTTCCAGCCCCGGCGAGCAATGGTATAGTGGGAACGGATCTCGTGGACGGGGTTCTGAGGATCTTGCGTGGCCGGAAGAGCGTAGTGCATGTCCGGGGTTATGTTGTAGAGGGTCAGTGAGATGGACATTCGAGTGAAGCCCTGCCAACCCTGGTAGTTGATCTCTGCCAGAGGGTATGGTTCGTCCGGTGGAGAATTGTTGAAGGTCTCTCTGAGCTGACCAGTGACTTCACTTCCCGTCTGAGTGAAATCCCCGCCTCGCAGCCACTTGTGCTGCGGGTGCCCCTGGACAGCAGTGCCAGGCATGATCTGAAACGAAGGTGGAAGAATAAATTTCTGCTTCCACCACTTCATGGTACTGGTCACAAAAGCCGGTTCATGACGGAAAGTAGGAAGCGTCGAAAGATCGATGAGACGGTCCGTGTGGACGGTCCCGACATCGGCATCGATGACGCTTAGCAGGAGGTTCTGCGGGCAAACCAGTCCCAAGGTCGTGCTTTTGAGGATTTCGAATCGACGGACGGGGCCAGGCCACTCGTGTTGGAAACGGCCGTGTTCATCAGATTTGAAGAGTTGTTGTTGTTGCTGTTGCTGCTGGCGTTGCTGTTTGTCGAACGACTCGAACTTTCGCTGCTCTGACTCGCTGAACGCTCGGAGATGGTCGGTCGTGCGTGTCCTAGCCATAGACAGTCGTGCAGGGGATCAGGCTCGAACGTATTCGGCGGTCGCTGAGGTTCTTGTTTCGACTTTCGCTTCTTGGACAGTTTCTTCTCCTTGGGATGGCAAGGACAGCCCCCAGGGTAGTAGATCTCACGGAGAGTGATCGTCGTGTACCGTCTTCGGCCATTGATGACGGTGTTAGTCTCTTCCTCCGGGAACAACGCATTATAGGAAGGGAGCACATCGCCGTCAGCCATTTTTGCGAACGTCCGTGCAAGGCTGAATGGCAGCTCCTTTAAGTATCTTGTAGAGATCCGGGGAAGTAGAGAAGATTTCAAGGAGGGAAATCAGTTCCTGAGAACTTGGGGCTGACTGAGGGATATAATGGCAACGTGACCACGACTGACCTGTATAATATAAAGGCGTTCAAGGGAAACCCACAGTCCCTTACTGTAATAATTGTGGATAAACACGCAAAAAGGGGGTCCCGGTGTCTGGGTTGCCGGAAGATTGGTGGTTGGTTCGCCCGCTCGGATGCAGACGGAAGGCTGAGCGCGCCTGGACACGAAATGCAGAGACTTGCGAACGCGGCCCAGCCAGCGAGCGGGTGGCTGAGATGTTTGCTGATGTTGAGTGCTGCGTCAGCGTTAGACGTCTGCTGCTCCTTGGACTCGTTTGGGAAGTGGTGCGTCAGAAACTCGGGGCCACTGAGGCGGCCTAGAAACGCTTCGTGTGTTGCCTTAGCACCGGTCTGCACGTTTGTTTGGCTCCGGAGATTTGTGAACTGGCACAAATTGCGGTGAGGTTATGTAAGATTGTTGACGCTGAGACATGCATATAACAAAGCAATTCAGCGTGCTTTGGGCCCGGAATCAGTTCGAGCCAACAAAACTTTCAACTGTGCAAATACATATAAATATATATATGTATTTATCAATATACCGCATGGACAGCACGAGACAGCAGTCTGCCTTGCCTTTGAAAGATGCCTCGAAAGATGCCTTGCGTGTCATTGGCACAAAAAATCACGCGGTTGCCGATCGGTGACAGCATTGTGGTGATCTGAATGAGGGCCTATGCAATGTCCTCACCGAAATCCGGGGTATATTTAGACATTCGACCGTCTCATGTTCTGGTAAAACTGGCTCTGATTCGCCTTCGCCCAGTCTGACTCCGCGTATCCGTATTCTTATGACTTGAGTTGCCAGTCAGTTGCCGAGGCATCATGAAATATGCCAGGCCCTTGGTGGCTGCTGTCAGCCAATGGGTAGCAAGTCTTGTCCAGGGCATACGAGCCTCGTCCACGAAGAGCAAGATGTGTAATATCGTGGTATGATATTTCGGATCTCAGGAAGACGAATGTCATGAAGGTCAAAAACGTTCAAAAAGGTGGCAAAACATCCATCTCCGCAGGATCGACTGATCGTGTGACAGAAGGACAACTACGAGGAAGGATGCAGCTGTCGGCGTGCGTGAGCCTCTAAAAGATTTCTGCGCAACTTGGTTACTCCGTGCAAATTGTATTCGAGTCGGCTTTCTCTTGCGCATCCACAGCAAGCGACATTCCGAATTGTGCCAAAACAATTTCATGATCATTGGAGAGTGGAGTGGCTGAGCAAATGCTCTCCGGAACGCCGACTCGGCCGCAGACCGCCGAGTCACTTTAAGAACCAGAGTATTCGTTGCGAACCAACAATTTATTTTTCCGGCCTTCGACGTGTCGACAGCTGGTCTTTGGAGTCAGGAGGCTGTTTCCACGCTTGGTGGTGTCCCATTGCGATCCGGCACATCTTTAAAACACTACCTTTCGTCTCCGCGAAACCATCACCCAGCGCAACTGGCCCCTAGACGCTTACTGCCAGCTTGTAACTTGCTGCTCTGGTGAGTAAACCGTGTCGGAGAATAATAAGAACGAGCGCACCTGTATACGGGCGCAGTATCCCTTCTATTCCTTAAGGCATTAGATTGACAGTCTCCCCGGTCGCGGGGACGGCCCATTTGATTGCCGACCTGACCATCCCCTTGGAGACAGATTGTAGCACAGCTTTGTACATTATCGTTGAATTATAGCCGCAACTCTGATTGTCTTGCTATCTTGCCGACGTGCCCAGGTCCACTACAAAGTGGCGCACCGATCATAGTGAGGGCCTGTGTGAACCTTACCTGGCTAGCCCCTTTGCCTTAGAGTAACAAGGTATACCGTACCAATGAGATAGATGGAGTACTCCGAATTATTGCTTCCTTTGCCTCTCCGATGGCCCCTTGACTGTTGTTCTGATCCAGAGGATGAGGTTTGAATATTTCTCCTTCGTGCTACCTCTCACTGCCTGTGGACAGATCTGCAATTTTGGACCCATACCCGGAAGGTAAGTAATACAAACACTTGACAGAAAAAATGTAACCGAGATCTTCGCATCCTGGAATCTGCTTGACGCCAAGTGTTACTCCCCAGGTTCACGAATCAGGACAGATATTGTCTTCGGCTTGGAAGAGATCTCGGTACGGAGGCAAAGACGAGGAATAGCTCTCACAAATAGGTAGCTTTCCAGGATAGCTTGCTACCAGAAGAAAGGAAGCCTAGCTTTAGAGACGGATTCACATCACCTCAAAAAACAAGACGAGGCGAAGGAGCGTGAGGAGGCACTGAGGCAAACGAGAATCTCGTGCTTATGGCTCGACTCTCAAGGCTCAATGCAGCAGGTCTGCCGAGCTCAGGCACGTGGCCAATCAGCGTCCGGCATTTTGTGGAAGCGGCTTCTGACACCATAATTTTCTGAAGCTCCTTTCTCTTCTGTCGCCGACGGCTTCAGCTCTCCGTCACGATGATGCCTTGACATAAAAGGTCTTGAAAGCTACCCTACCTCTCATCTCTGAGTCCTTGACTAGGACCGGGACTTACACTACGCTCTCCGACGTGCATGGTGTCGTTGCTAGGTCAATCATGAAACACTCAGCTGCGAGGTTGCTCCTTAGAGCTCCGCGACCACGTCTACCAGCTCATCCGTCGCTGATCCGGCCTCGAGTCTTTAACATTCCACTCCGCAGACATGCTTCCACCTCTGAAGAAAGGCCAACCTTTACGTCTCGACTGGTCGATGTTCTGTATGGCGCCACTCTAGTTTTCGGCCTTGGCATTATCTACTTCTATGTCACCGATACTCGAGCAAGCATTCATCGTTACGTGGTCATCCCAGCCCTGAGACTGGTATATCGAGATCCTGAAGAGGCACACCACGCTGGCAATGCCATTCTCAAATCACTATGGGACTTTGGCCTCCATCCACGGGAACGAGGTGACCCCGATCAGCAGCACGATCTTGAAGTGGAGGTCTTTGGACAGCGTCTGCGAAATCCAATCGCCACTTCTGCAGGTATAGACAAGCACGCCGATATTCCGGATGTGCTGTTTGACATCGGTCCATCGATCATAGAAATAGGAGGAACGACGCCACTGCCACAAGAGGGCAATGCAAAGCCTCGCGTGTTCCGTTTGACATCACAACAAGCCATGATCAACAGATACGGCCTAAACTCGGAAGGTGCTGACCATGTGGCTATGAGACTGAGAAACAGGGTTAGAAAGTTTGCACATTCCCTAGGCCTCGGTGATGATGAGATTGCAGAAAAGGCTGTACTTGATGGCATCGCAGGCGTTCCTCCTGGAAGCTTGACTCCGGGGAAACTGCTTGCTGTCAATATTGCCAAGAACAAATTCACTCCAGAGGATGATGTCGAGGCTGTCACTAACGACTACGTGTATTGTGTCGACACGCTTGGACCATATGCTGATATCCTAGTTGTCAACGTTTCCAGTCCCAATACTCCGGGTCTTCGCTCGCTACAACAGTCCGACAAGTTGCGAAAGATCTTGAGTGGAGTGGTGAATGCAGCTAGGTCTGTAGAGAGGCGCACGCGGCCCTATGTGATGGTTAAAGTGAGCCCAGATGAGGATTCCGAGTCGGAAATTGCGGGCATATGTGATGCGGTCTGGGCTGCCGGTGTAGATGGAGTTATCGTGGGGAACACCACGAATCGTCGACCGGAGCCACTTACTCACTTGAAAAGCTTTTCTCCAGTCGAGGAACAGAACCTGCTTCAAAAGGGAGGATTTTCTGGACCCCACCTCTTTGAGAGAACGGTTGATTTGGTGAAGAAATACAGGAAACTTTTGGTAGAGAAGCCTGCGTCGGTCGATGCATCAAACACTCCGACCATAAGGAAAGGGGCGCTGGAAGCTGAAGCGGATCGGATCAAGGCTGCTCTGGACTCCAGCCCTGAAGAACCCGGCCCTGCTGACATACCCATCTCAGGCTCGGACAAAATTACTGCATCTGTTGACACTGGCGTTGTGCCAGCCAGTGGTATGCTTGAACAGGATAGTGCGGACAAGAAACCTCTCATCAACCTTCCCGGCGATCGTCAATATGACAAGCCGCCAGCGGAAACAGAAAACCCCAAGGTCGCAGATGTGCCCGCACCTGATGCAGAAGAACGTCTAGCGGAAGAGAAGAAACAGCTCAAGTCGATTCAGGAGGCTATCGAGCGACTTCCTCCTCGGGCACAGCGTGACGCCCTCGACCGACTTGAAGCTGTTCCAGCCCATCTGGAATCTATCGATCAGCCCAAAGCCATTTTCGCGACTGGAGGAATCACTAACGGCAAACAAGCTCTTGAAGTTCTCAACGCGGGCGCCAATGTGGCCATGGTTTATACTGCCTTGGTTTATGGAGGCATTGGGACAATATCACGAATCAAGGATGAGATGCGGGAAGAAATGAAACGGCAGGACCAAGAAAAACGCTCGAAGGCTCAAAATTAGAGTGGTGCTTCTTGGCCTTATCTCGGTCTCGCGAGTTCGAAAATAATCAGATTGACGGTCGTGCCATTCTCTTCAATCAGCTCCTCAGCAACCCGGCGAAAACCACATTTGGCCAATATCCTGGCACTTGCAATGTTTTTGCCGTCTATATCTGCTCGCAACACCTCAGGCACCACGACAACGCTGTCGTCGATCGCGTCTCCCTCATCTGCCTCCTCGATCGTCACTTCTTTCCGAGGCAACTCCCACCAAGCTTGCAGCCATCGCTGAAGCGCTTCTGTGGCAAACCCTTGACCCCAGGCCTCGGGGCGCAACATGTAACCACACTCGGGTGGTTCTGCGATGTGACAGCCTAATACACCAATGGCCTTGCCGGGGCTCGCGAGCTCCTCGATAGCAAAATTGAAAGTGGTGGCATCATTCGGTGGAAGAAACCTGTTCATCCAGATTTGTGTGGCTTCCTTGTCAACGTCGACTTTCCCGGTGGAAGTCCACTTCATCACTTCAATTTTGGTGCGAAGGACATGGAAGTCTTCTAGATCCGACTGTTGAATGGGCCGAAGGAGCAGACGAGCAGTGGTAATAGGCGACGCTGGGACTGGAAAATCTGGACGCGTAGTTTTCTTCATCTTCTACAGCCTCGAGAGAGTTGAGGGGAACAAAAGACAGGACGTTACAAAAAGTAAAGCGTACAGAAATATCAGATCGATAAGTACCTACCCATCTTGCCCCAGAGCCCTTTAGAGAGAGCAACTGAGGAGCTTTCGTGACTCAGGCTCGCAGTCACAGATATCAGCCAATGGTAGAATACCTTGGCACTCGGTAAAGTTGCCCTCACACCGATAAGCGATAAGCGAATTTCGAGTTGCGAATTTTTGTGCCGCATTCGAAGTTCTACAATTGCCACGACGTCCATCTTCCCTTTCATTGCCACCCTGGAGGCTTACTGGCAAGATGAAGACCACTTGGAAGGATATTGCGCCGGTCCCGACCTCCCAAGAATTCATAGACATTGTGCTTAGCCGAACACAGCGGCGGCTACCCACCCAGATTCGTGCCGGCTTCAAAATCAGCAGAATTAGAGGTTAAACCCCCGCCTGTGTCAAGAAAGAGAGCATGGCTGAGACCAAATTACAGGATTCTACACGCGAAAAGTGAAATTCACATCCGAAACATTCTGCGAAAAGTTGCAAGCCATACTCGAAGGATTTCCTCGACTCCAAGATATTCATCCTTTCCACAAAGACCTCCTCAATACCCTCTACGATGCAGACCATTTCAAAATTGCCTTGGGCACGTTGTCAACTGCCAAACGGCTGATAGAAACAGTGGCTCGAGATTATGTGCGGCTCCTCAAGTACGCGCAGTCCTTGTTCCAATGCAAGTCTCTCAAGCGGGCGGCCCTCGGTCGGATGGCCACAATCTGCAAAAGACTCAAAGACCCTCTCGTTTATCTGGAGCAGGTGCGACAACATCTTGGGCGTCTACCGAGCATAGACCCAAATACTCGAACACTTCTCATCTGTGGTTATCCAAATGTGGGGAAGTCCAGCTTTTTAAAATCAATTACTCGAGCCGATGTCGATGTTCAACCATACGCGTTCACCACCAAATCACTCTTTGTGGGTCACTTCGACTATAAGTATCTCAGATTTCAAGCCATTGACACACCTGGTATCCTCGATCATCCATTGGAAGAGATGAACACGATCGAGATGCAATCCATTACCGCAATCGCACATTTGAGATCTGCCATTCTTTACTTTATGGATCTGTCGGAACAGTGTGGCTACTCAGTTTCGGCGCAGATGGCGCTTTTCAACTCGATCAAACCACTCTTCGCCAACAAGCTTGTTTTCATCGTAGTGAACAAGACCGATGTCATGAAGCCGGAGGATTTGGACTCCGAAACCCAGCAACAACTGAAGGATTTGCTGACCCAAAATTCCAATACCGAACTTCTTCAACTGTCCTGCGTTACGAGCGAAGGAGTTCAGGAGGTGAAGAATACCGTTTGCGATCGATTGATTGCAGATCGGGTGGCGGCAAAATTGAAAGCTGGACAAGCTGCCCAATCTGCCACCGCAGATGTCCCGACAGGACGTCTAGGCGATCTTCTCGCCCGAATTCATGTGGCAAGACCCTTGGAAGGCTCGGTGAGCGAGACCTACATCCCAGAAGCTGTCAGAAATGGCACCCACAAAAAATACGACAGATTAGACCCTGAGAGAAGAAAACTCGAGCGCGACATTGAAGAGGAAAATGGAGGAGCAGGCGTCTACAACATCGATCTGAAGAAGTTCTACGATCTCGGTGTTCCAGAGTGGAATCATGATAAGATTCCAGAGTTCTTCAACGGCAAGAACATTGCAGACTATGTTGACCCTGATATCGAGCAGAGGCTTGCGGAGCTGGAGGCCGAGGAAGAGAAGTTGACAGCAGAAGGGTTCTATGACGAGAGCGACAGTATGGAAGATGAAGATGACGCCGAAATCCGCATGAAGGCAGATTTGATCCGCAACAAGAAGACGCTGATGATGAACGAGGCGCGCATGAAGAAAAGCCTGAAGAACAAAGCTCAAATACCGCGGGCCAAGAAAGCCAGGACAGTGGGTCAGATGGAGAAGCATTTCACCTCGATCGGCCTGGACGCATCGGCCCCTGCTGACCGAGCAAGAGCGGAGATTCGCAATGCTAGGCCTGCTTCTGTCGCTGGCGACGAGATGGAACTTGATGAGACAGCCTCTGCGAGACTAGCGAGGTCTCTGTCCAGAGCGCCGAAAACAAACAGGCTCACAGATGGACTGGGAATGAGTGCGACGGGAGTGACGGACCCTGCGAAGTCGGAAAAGGCGCAGCGCATGGCGAAACTGAGCCAACGGAAGATGAATCGTATGGCCAGACAGGGCGAGGCAGATCGTCACGAGACAGCTTCGCTACCAGCGCATTTGATCAAGGGCAAGAGGAAGATGGGCAAGACGCGCTCCAGATGATTGAAGGAGATGGCGGTCCTAAAAGCGGCATTGTTTTGCGTTAATTGCGATGGTTTATGACTGGGCGTCGTTGTTGAGGGACAAATGAAGATGATGGGAGGTCTGGGGATAGAAGTCCCACGTTAGAGAGTTTCATGACATGAATCGACTTCTTCGAGGCCACAAACGATCCCACTTTGTATGGTCAACGAGGGTGTTTTCGCATTCACCCAGTCTCGACGACCTGGGCCGCTGAACAGCTCTGACCCAGGTCTGCCGTCGTCCTCGTGGAGCAGTTGCAGTTGCAGGTGCAGTCGCAGGGGGAGTTCATCCATCTTCGTCTCTGTCCCTTTCCCAGTCGTAGCTAGCGCCCCTATTTGACAGTAAAGATACCTAGGTATTGTTCACCTGAACAGTGCTTAGAAAACGTAAGTTGAACCTCGAAGTTTCAATCCGATTGCGCCTTCGTGGACCAATTTAACGACTGGGAGCGCACACAATCAGGCAGGAGTTATCCCTCGTTGTCTTTGTTTTTAGATCCGAGGCAGTGGGCCAGGATCTTTCTGGCGTGGGAATAAAAGGCCAAATACAACTACTACTCAACAGAGTATTACTGGGGGTTCACTCAGTGGGAATTGCGTTTGTCATCAGCTGCGCCCACGACGTAGCATGACGGCTACTCGGTTAAAGCCTTGAAGACGTGGATTTGATCCGAGTTGCGATTGACTCACTACGTCGTATCCGGCATCTCTTGTTCTCAGGCTGTAATCAATCATTGTGTTTCTGCAGCTGTTTCCATCTTTGCTTTTTCCCCTCCAACGGGTGTGATGCAATATTACCCTGTAGGTATCTACTTCCAGCTGTTCGCTTCCCACGAAGGCCATGGATGGTCGGGATTCGCCAAAGCCTATCCCTCAAACAGTCATCGCCCATCCCCAAGAAATCCCGTTGCCCCGAGACTCTTGCTTGCCTTGAACCTTGGCACTTGTTCTTCGCTTTGCCGATTTCACAATTATTAAGCCGGTCGAAACACTACAACTCTGATTAGTGGAGAGGACAACCAACTCAAGAGACTCCACGTCAGCCTTGCCCCTGTGGTCTGATGGAGACGGCGAGGACGGACATCGGACGGAGCAATTAGAGGTGACAAGATGGCATCAGACAATCTTAAAAGTATATAAGAGCCAGAGTGGATGTAGAGAAATCCAGATTGATGGCAACCCTGAAGGTCTTGAGACGTCTTGCCCAGCATCTAAACATAACGTTGCCGTCCTTGCCTGCTCTCCCCCCAATTAATCCATCCTCATCCATCAAACCTTTTCAACCCAAAACCATGGCTCCCAAGACCCAAAAAGCTCTCATCGTCACCGAAATCGGCAAGCCTCTTGTCCTACAAACAGATCGGCCAGTCCCCCAACCGGGCCCAGGCCAGGTCCTCCTCCGCGTCACTGTAGCCGGGCCCAACCCCCACGACCAGAAGGCCCGCGACCGCGGCCTCTTCATTGCCCAGTCCCTGCCTGCCGTCCTCACCAACGACGTGGTCGGCGAAGTCGTCGCCCTCGGCGCGGATGTGACAAAGTACGCCGTCGGCGACCACATTGTGTCCCAAGCTGGGTTTGACAAGGTTTATGCCCAGAACGGTTTCCAGGAGTATGCTATTTCCGACGTCTTCGCCTCGGCCACGATCCCCGAGGGCTTCACGGACGACGACGGGGCCACGCTCCCCACGAACGTTATTGCCCCCGTCGTTGCGTTATTCGACGCCTCGACGCTGGCAATCCCTGCTCCCTGGACCGACGCCGCGTCAAGCTTCGACTACAAGGGGACGACGCTGCTGATCATGGGGGGCGGCAGCAATTGCGGAAGGTTCGGTGTCCAGCTGGCCGCTCTGGCTGGGATCGGGCGCATCATCGTGGTCGGCGGCGACGAGGCCGAGTTGAGATCCTATGGCGCCACAGATATCATTGACCGCCACGCCTCGCCCGACGAACTCACCAAGCGCATCCGGGATCTCGTCGGCGACGAGCTGGTGTACGCCTATGACGCCATCAACCCGCCGCCGACTCAGACCATCGCCATCAATGCCCTCTCTTCGACCAAAAAGGGCAAGCTCGCCCGCTTACTCCCCACTGGGGCCATCGATGAGTCTCAGGTCCATGCCAAAAAGGAAGGCTATGAGCTGGTCAACGTCTTTGGCAGCACGCATGCCAAGCCCGACGTGTGTAAGCCGTTCTGGGAACTCGTGCCGCAGTATTTGCTCGAGGGCAAATTGAAGCCAAGTCAGTACGAGGTGGTCAAGGGGCTGGATGTGGACAAGGTGAATGAAGTCCTGGATCGATATCGGGATGGGAAGAGGGTGGTGAAGACGCATTTCCACGTTTCCGAGTGAAGTCTCGGGACGCAATGGACTTGACAACTCACAGGCAGCTCTAGCAAAAGTATCATGATATTTCGAAGTAAGTGTCAAAATTTCGAAGGTCTGTAGTCACTGTCCGCTTCATGTCTCGACAATATTGCCGAACCCTGCATTGCGCACATCATTTTGGTGGCTCTAATATTCGCCCAAGTTCAGTTGACCAGTCACTGTCCCAGCGTTCGCTTCGAATCTTCCAATTCAGAGACAAGTCCATTCTATCCCCAGCAACCCAGAGATAACCTCGACTCAGCAACACCTAACCCTCTCGTCCGCTTGCTCTTTCCACAATTTCCTGCCTGCCTCAAACATCGAGGACACCTTTCCAGCAACAGCTCACTAGGAACGCCACCATTATATTGCACTAACCACCCTGAAATACAACCGACAACCCCGGCCCTCTCCAGTATCAAGATGTTTCTGCTCAAAGCGTTCAAGGAGTTCTTTAGGCTCTATATTTACTCATCTCCTTCCTGTGATGCGGAATCTGAAGAGCAGGATCAAAAAGCCGAGTTCGGGGTTTCGCATGCAACCACAAAGGCGTGGAACCAAGCTGCGACAGAACTACGAAACATTGCCACTCAGATGAGATTATCAATTGCCTGCAACCCGTGGATGAAAAGCGACGACCGTCCATCCGACGCCTATTTCCCGCAAATGTACAGACAATTCCAACATGATCTCTACAACTCCAGGGGGTCTTGGGAAGACTATCCGTGGAGGGCTTTTGACATGTTCAAATGGACCGAAGTCTACAGGGCGACGCGAAGTCTTGGACTGCTTCCTCAAGACCATGACCATGGTTCACTTCCGAAGAACTGGACTTTGTGTATGGGCATGACACTCTACATTGCCCTGCTCGTAACAAAGCAAAGCCTGGACTGCGCGATGAAGGAGATCCAAACGAGGCTCGAGGGCTTTCCACACCTGGCCAAGACTCCGCTGCGATTGCAGACACATGAGATGCGGCAACTCAAGGAGGCGGAACGCATAGCTGTAAGGGGAGCGGAGACATTCAATCGCATGCTGGAAAATATGGCGCTTGAGCTTTCAGTTGCATTGGGGAAGATTGAAACGAAGGCTGGTGATGATGAAGCTGGAGAAGAAGGCAGTCGGGAACCGATACGTGAGATATTGCGTCGCGAAATCCACAAGGTGCATCCTCACCTGGAACTTCCTGAGCTTACCATGTTAGTGGATCTTTGAATTTACACGGCACGTTTCAATGGAGGCAACATGCTCGACTGAGGCGAGGAAGCGGGACAACCTCATCACAGGAGCAGGTGTAGGAACAGACCAGACATGCATCTTTCATTGAAAGGCAGCTTCTCAGGCATAGGGAAGCCGGGTCACAGATGTCGATGAGGTGGGCCATACTGACTGCCTCTTACTTGAAGCCTGAAGGCAGTGTCCTTTGAAAGCAGTGTCATTTACTTGAAGGCAGTCCTTTGTCTGTCGGGACGGCAGATGCTTCCTCTGCCTTTTCAATCACTGCCTTCAAACGTAAACAAAAACCTTTTGTTTACTCCTATCTCCACGTTCCCATCATCATCTCTACAACATCGCAGCCCAAACTCGAGTGGACAAAGTATTGCAATAACAACAACGACTCCTCCACCGCTCTACCTCAACTCCCCTGAAGATGCCTAAAAAAGCAAAGACAGAACCCAAAGGGCCGCCCTGTTCACACACGTACGATGCCACAAAGACAATTCCCGTCGATATCGACATCGCCGTAGCAACTCTTGCTGACGCACATGTTGTCCTACAGGATCACGCGGATCACCTCCTCATCCATGGCTATCTCAAATTGTCCACTCAGTACTCCAGCAATCCAGTCCAAGACCCTTCTGCAACTGGTCGAAAGGTTAATCGAGTAGAACAAGTTGACTTGGCCATTGAGAAAATCTTCCACACCAGTGATTGGAAAGGAGGACGTCCGCTGCAGCCTATGATCGATGTACTCCAAGACGAGTATACAAGGAAATGGGGTGGGACCAATGCCGTCTATCACGACTTGGCCAGAACGTATCCTGAGCACAGAGAGGAGATCGCTGACAAGCGAGGCAAGCATTTTGGAGCATCCATATTGATCCAGGATCTTCAAACTCACTGTGTCGACCTTCGTCGATTTGCCAGACGGCTTGACAGCTATTCCGTGAGACAACCCGCATCAACATCAATAGCGCCACCCACTGCGATGGCGGTCAGATTTGACTAGTCTCGAGAAGACTGCAGGAGGTTCGGTTAACGCTGAGAAGTACCGTGGTATCATGATTGACCAGGACCAAGGGCGATAGGTCCAATTGGCAAGTCTGCAAAATCCCTTTCCGTCCCCAGATTAAAGATGATCGGGTCGCTAGGACTATGCAGGTTACTTCGAAGTCGAGATCTGCCATGTCTACAGTCTGGAACTGAGGCGAGGCATATCTCGGCCTGAGGGCGTCGTTCGGCCATCAGAGGCAACGAGAGCACAACAACGCGAGAAGTCCCGCCAAGGGAGCAGACATGTCTTTTCATGAATGCCTTATTCACTCGGCAGTGTGACTGGCGCAAATTGAGTCAGATGTGAGACAATCAATAAAGGCGACTTCATTCTCTTCACAATCGATTCATGTGTTGACAACTTTCCTTCACTTCTCTAGAGCTTTTCCCCTGTCAAGGTCATCTCATAGACCTCCCGACGCTTTATCATAATACTTCATTTCTTCACTGGAGGCCTTTCTCATTCAAGTTCATCTCGTAAACTCCTTGATGTGTTATCATAAATATTTCCTTCGGAACTCTTTTCTCAAGCACCGTCTTCGTAAGTAGGAGTCTGTGCCGAGTTGAATATTTCAGCTGACGCTTGACTTAGTCTACAAGCCCCTTACCCTTGCTACTCGAAATGGAGGTCCACGGCAAACCTCATGCTCAGCTGCCAAAACTGGCTCGCGAGGCTCTGCGCAGAATGACTTGTGAAGACCCCTCTCAGCCTGGGTCAGAGAAGGACCTGTTAGCCGCGGAACTCCTCCCTGAGTGCAACCTCGTCATCGGAATCGCCAGCCAGATATCCGAGTGGAAGGAGAAGGCCGCGCAAGTCACGCAAGCCCTGAATGAACTGCTGGAACTGCATTCGTACATGGAGAATTCGCTCTGGGAGGGCGTCGACAAGCCCGAGCTCCTGCTCGAAAGAGTCTTCCTCTTCCAGGAGAGCACGGTCATGGCCCTCATGCGCGACGAGATCTGTATCGCAGCCGCCGTCGAGCGCCAACTCAGAGCGTGCAATGTCCTCTCCTTCACCAGGATAGACAAGAGATTTTTGATCAAGAATGCGCGATTCATGGCGAAAGTCATCAAGGCCGAGGATATCTTCATGGAGGTTAGGCGGCTTCTTTCCCGGTTACAGCAGAAGTTTGATTTGGTAGTGCGTTTGCCGATGAATGGGTCCTAAAGCTTTCACCGACCTCGAGGACTCTGCGCGATTAAGGACAGAGACAAAGACACAGACAAAGACACAGACAAAGACACAGACAAAGACACATACACAGACACGGACGGGATACCGAGAGCCATCCAACAAGCAAATCAATGGGCAGAATCAACGACAGAGGGGGCTTGGAGAGAACACACACGAGCCGGTACCGTAGTCTGTACTGGTACCGTATTCTGTTCCTTTTGCTCGTTGGACTTTGCCCCAGGCTCAAAGTTCTTGGGAACACCCCATTTCGGGAAAAAGAGAATTGGAACGGACTGGAGAAGACGACCTAGGTACTTACCACCCAGGTCCCAAGGTATGGCCAGGCTTTGGAAGAATACTACAGGCGGACGCGCTCCTATTAAGAAAAAGGAGGAATGAGGCCTAGCTACCTAGGTAGCTAGACATGAGGCGTGATTTGTGCAGCGCGGTGTAGCCAGTCAAGCATGAAGAACAGCATGATGTATTTCTATTGCCTTCGCTGGGTATCGTTCGTGATGTCTTTGTCTTCACTCCATGATCTAGTATTGTCCTTCACGGCAGTCATTACTCGTGCCACTCACCCACTGCGCTATTACTACCCACATGTGATTTGTCCTATTCCGCCTGCGGTGCCTGACCTCTTTCTCAACCTCTCTCTCCCTCTCTCTTTTTTCTCGCTCAGATTCTCTTTCTCTCTCACACACACAGATAGATTTTCTCTACTCAAATCCTCAGCGCCAGATAGAGCCTCTCCTCTGCTGGCACAGCTCTCTGTATCTTACACACATACCTCACTCGCCGGATCGCGCTCGACGGTCAAATCGATACCAACAGTCCTGTTCTATCCCTGTCCTGATCGCAAAATCTTGAGTTCACGCCGGTCGCAAAATCTGGGCGCAGTTTCCGCACCTTCAGTCGACTTACAATGGATGCAAAGAGCGTGTCTCCGATCGACGACCTCGACATTTCGGATCTCGCCCTGTCAAGCAATGATGGTCCCGATCTTCCAGCTGCGCAAGAAGTAGCCGAATCTGGTGTGGCTCCAACGCCCGAAGATACAAGTCAAGAGTCTTCCGAAAGCGAGAAGCACGGGGCCAAGTCAGACGTTGTGGGCAGCGCAGAAGATGAAACACAAGAAGAGCAGGTACTGCATGGCCTACGGAGAGTCCAAGATGTTGTCAACTCACCCTCCCTTGATGCCGCAACTCCAAACCTGTCCGGCAATGCGGAACATGTGGACCGAACCTGCGCCGATAGAGAGCCACAGAAGACATTGAAGAACGAGTCGGAGGCAGAAGAACTCTCCCCACTGGACAGATTTGTTGAGGCCGCTGAGATCATGGGTCCGCTGACGGGTGAAACGATTTCGTTCTTGAACGACCTTCAAAACCTCAAACGGACCCTCGAAAAGAGTGCAAAGCTCTCGCAGCCGCTACGATCGTTCCCATTTCTGAATGAGGAGACGCGGCGTGCATTCCTCGCACACGATATGAGGCCATACCATACAGATATCCGACGGCTTGGCCAGAGAGCCCGACTTCTCCGCCAAGCGGGCGATAGATGTTCGGTGCTTTGCGAGAGCATTTTAAGCCCCGAAGCTCGAAAGTCTGTGGACATTGATACGCTTGATGAGTTTCTCGAGGTAGTTGATCTGAGTGCTGTGTGGTCCGCGGTCAATAGGCGATTGGGCATCGAAGTCGAAAACTTTGAGATCTCTCTCAGAGAGTGGGAAGTGTATGAGCATTTTGTGGAATGACTAGGAAATCATCTAGACGGGCAGGTTGGGCAGTGATACTGGAGCTCGCGTCTGTGTTGTGGAATCGTCTCTGAATGGCGAGGTGACAGTCCAGCAAGTTCAAGAGCCGCATGGCGAAACGGGAGAGGACGAAGATTTTGCGTAGCTTGAACGGCTGAGCTTCGTTCAGGCATATGGATTCAATGCTTCTTCTTGGATATTTCCGACTGTCATTTGAGGGGGAAGTGGATTGCTCGTGGCAGCATGGAAGGAAGGAGCTGTTGAATTTCAATGAAATAGTCTAGCTAGCCTTCCCCCTTTCCCTTTCCTGAACGGACATTTCATTCCATGTAACCCCGTATATCTGCAGTGGCCCCTCGCCGTGACCAAGCCTCCTGCGCTCTTTCCATCCACGTCAACCAGTCTGGCGGGTAGAAGAACAAAGAATCAAGGTTGAGAAGAAGAAAACTGTGGTTGAATTATATGGCGGCTAATTCCAAAACGGGGAAGCCGCTTGGCTGGTGGGGGAAAGTTGAAAGTATTATCTCGTAGAAATGTGCCTATTTGCTGTGGGGGAGAGAAACTTACTATGTACCTAGGGAGGGGAGGTGGAGAGTAAGGGAGGCGGCCGTTAGGTGTCACTGGTGGGTGACTGGTGCCAAGCCCAAGGCGGAAAAGAGGAAAAAGGGGGAAAGCGGGAAGCGGGAAGCGGGGATTTGCGCTTTTGTCTCCGTCGGAGGGAAATCAACCTTCAGTTCGCCAGCTGCTCGTTGCTCGCTACTCGCTTCCCACTCATTTGTGGCACTGCATGTGATGCATCCATCCATCACCTGAACCCATCAACCGATGATCAGCCATTGACTCGAGCTCGACATTGATTCCATCTTCAACACTGACTCCCGGTCATTCTTTACAACCTTTCTTTTATTAAGAGTCCTGCGTGCGCCCCAGCGCTGCTTAATGACCGAACATGACCGACATGGCCGACATGACCGACACAAAGGATCATGCTCAACAAGCTCCGTCGGAATCAAATCCGTCCCTCAGCCATATTCCTCGCCAACCTTCATGGACCGGCTCCGTCGACGACAATAACGCCAATACCTCGCCTTTGCACGGTCGCAAGAGGTCCGCCGATCATCTGCCCGCAGAGCCCCACGTTTCGCGCAAAGGTCGAGCCTGTCTGGCCTGTCGCAAGTTGAAAGTCAAGTGCGACAGCCTGGAACGGGGTGACGCTGGTTGCTCGAGATGCCAGCGCCTGGGCCTGGATTGTATTACCTCGAAGCGCATGAGAGTGAGTCTGGACGACGATGGCGAAAACCCTCACCCGTCCATTGTTCGGCTCGACAGAGCTGTGGAGGACATTCTCTCCCGGCTGAAAATGCCTCCACTGGAAGCTTACTCTCGCACTCATCCATCCCAACACCTGCAACCACCGCCGCTACCTATTCCTGCCGAATCCAATGCACAGACGACGCGGGAAAACTCTCGCGAGCCGAACCAAGAAGATGCCCAAGAAGTCGCTCCCGCCCCAATGGGCAGCTTGTACGAGGTCACCCAGCTCAACACCCTGCGGAGCCGCCTAAAGTATGGCGACCCGGCGCGTCGCAACTCCAAGAAGAATATGGAGAACGACCTCGTCTCCATGGGGGTTATCAGCGTCGAAGAAGCCGAGGAGATGTTCAGCTTGTTCAAGAAGACCCTCTCCCGCTATCTATTTGATGCCACCGTTAACGAATCCCGCACACTGCTCTCGGTTCGCGAGTCCTCGACTCTGTTCTTCACAGCCATCATCACTGTCACGTCGCTCCACATCCCAGGCAAGGAGAAGATCCACGCGTCTGCCCACAAGCATCTAAGAGACCTCATCGCCGCTTCCTTCTTCGACCGCTTCCATACCCTCGAGGACATCCGCGCTCTATGCATTGCAGCATTCTGGCTTCCGGATCTCAGCTGGAAACTCTCCGGACATTGCGTGCGTATGGCCACCGAGCTTAACCTGCATCAAGCCTTCTTCAAGGCCCTCTACTCGCAGAAGCAGTCGGCAAGTGAACGCGAACACTCCTTCGAGCGGGCCAGGTTATGGTATCTCCTTTACGTCCTCGATCACCACTTCAGTATCGCGTACGGCCGACCACCGGTGACGGCAGAGCTGCAGGCCATCAAAGAGTACGATGTCTTTCTCAACGCCCCTGAATGCACGCCGTCAGATCGAAGGGTACTATCACAGGTCACGTTGTTTATTATTTTGAGTAAAGCGTACAACCACTTTGGCTTGGAAGCCGAGAGACTGATGGATGGCGACGATGTCACACTTCTCACCCACCAACGCTTCATCGAGGATCTGCATCGCTGGAGGTATCAGTTCAGGCATGCCTTGAATAGAGATGCTCATGTAGGGGATTATCCTGCTGTCGGTGAGTCTTTTCGTGTCCTCTTTCTGCTTCCGTTGCCTTATCTAACCGTCCCTTCCAGGCGTCGAACTCCACTACAACTTTGCGTCGATGATGCTCAACTCCCTCGCCCTACGAGGTCGCTCCCTCTTCACCATCTCCTCCACATCAACTCTCCCCACGTCTCTGCGGCCACTTGCATCCCACGCCATCTCCTCGGCGCATCAAATCCTGATCATCGTGCTTGAAGAACCGTCCATTCGGGACTCGATGGTCGGTGTGCCGCTCTACTTGCACACCGTGATCGCCTTCGCGGTGGTCTTCTTGATCAAGATGTCAAGTCGGTGGACGGGGATAGGCGTGAGCATCGACGCGGAGGCCAAGACGAAACCTCTGATCGAGAAAGTCATCGAATTGTTCCGGAGTTGCAAGGCAGGCAAGGGACATATCCTGTATGCAATGGCCGACGGGTTCGAGCGATTGCTGAGGCGGAACCTCGTCGGCAACGACCAGCTTTCAAGAGCTGCCGGCGCGGAAAACGGTGTCGCGGGGTACGCGTCCCTCGACGCCGCGGCGGCGATGGGAGCGCGACAGAACGGCCGCTCATACGCCGGCCACGTTCAAGGACAATCGTCATATGCGAACCAACACCCCTCGGACCTATACGCCTCGTCCCAAACAAACACGCCCTCCCTCCTCCCTCAGCAACACACCACGGCCTCCCCGACGCCGTTCACGCCAACAGGTGGCGCCGCGCAACAACAACAGCAACAAGCGCAGCAATCCAACGGCGCCGGCAATTTCGACCCCTACGCCCTCTCCCCGCACTCCCAGCCCACCTCCACCTCCGCGGGCACCTTTGGCGGCTGGCAGACCGAGGACGACATGCTGTGGAGCATGGGCATGGGTTACGACCTGCTGGCCACGGCGCCGGACGTCAATGCTCACGGCTTGGGCGCTTTTGTAGGCTGGCCTGGCGGCGGCGGCGGCGGTGGTGGCGGTGGGGGGAGCATTGATTCGTATACCCAGGGGTTGTGAGTCGAAAAGAAAAAGAAACGGATTATCTACGATTTACCATCTACGTATATACTCGGATACCCGTTACGCTGTACCGGTATATGTTTGAGGTACGTCCATGATGCATGGATCTGCAAAAGGGGACTAAATAAGACATGGCCGATATCACGATATGAACGGGAAACCCAGTAAAAAGTAAAAGTAAAAAGTTAAAAGTAAAACATTGCCAGCTTAGCGAATGGTGAGGATGACGGGGAAATAAAAATGTGACACGAATTTGTTGGGAAAACGTCCGTTTCTTTGCGTTTCAGAAGGACCGCATCTATATCTGCATTTCAAGGCTCCGTTTGCGCGCTCCCACGGCTCATATATCTGTCCATCGATAATACCTAAGGTCCTCGTCGCGTGGCTCGGTCCATATATGCCCTTCGGTTCGGTATGAGCCGTGTACCGAGTAGTATGATGAGCCTCGTATGGCGGATTTCGCTATGAGATAGAAGAAGAAGATAAGCTGAGGCTATGACGATAGAAGATATCATGTAGTCTGAGCTGCTTCTTCCTCTAATGTCCCCAGAGGACGCGTCTCTCTCTCTCTCCCTCTCTGTCTCTCTCAAAGCCGCATGTCGCCGAGGAGCTGTATTCTGTCCATCCCATCCTAGCCTAGCCCAGCCCAACCCAGCCTGTCCCCTCCTCTCTGGACTCTGCACGCAGTAGTTTGAGCGTGGGACTTGGCGATAAGAACCGGGTTCTCTGGACGGGATGTCGTGAGAAAGGGACCACTCTTATCAAACGCCTGGGGTGTGGCATTGGCTGGGCCCATGACTTCGGAGCTGAGCAAGGTGCCGTGACGTGCCGTGCCAGGCAGGCAGGCAGGCAAGGTGGCTTGCTTCCTCCTGTGTGGCAGTGGAGCTCTCGGCGGGATTTCGAGGTTTCGGTGGATCAGGTATGTGGTATGTGAGGGTGGTGGGAGGTGCAGGTCTGGTGCGTGTGATGCCATCCCAGATGTTGGGAGGAGTGTCTGCGTTGAATCTGTGGTTTCTTCTGATGAGATTGTTGGTAGAACTTAGACGTGACCGCATCAGCGACAGGTTGTCGAGTTTGCTGAGCACTTGCGACTGTTCTCCCAGGCTGGTCCTTTGCGACGACTGTATGGCAAGCAGGAGTTGCTTTGTCGAGCGTGATGCGCAAGGACATTTTCATTCACGGGTGCGTTCCCTGTCCTTTCCGATCTCTTTGAGTGAGTCAGCTGTATAGACCTTGTTGATCGAGATCCATGATCGTCGCTGGAGATAAAGCCAGGCAGACATCTCCAGGACCAACGTGTATCAATCTTGCCCGCAAGACGTGAAAGGCCAGATCCGGGTTATGGAATCGGATATAGAAATATTGTTCAAAATGCCTCCCCAATCTTTCATACCGGCAATTCTGCATTCCGGCGTCCGCTCGAGATTTTCTGGAGAGCCATCTGGATGTATGGACCCACGACAGGGATATTACCGGCAAAGGATGCGATAGTCGCAAAGAAGTCGCCAAAGAGGACGAATATCCCGTACAGTTCGACCAGGAACCCGGTCAGTGGCCACCGAAACAGAATCAGAAGGATGCCTGCCATGAATGCAGCTGTCCCTTTAAGTTTTTGACGCCGGGCGAAGAAGACAAAGGTCTTTTGGATTCCGATGATCAGGGTAAGGCCGATAAGGAATAGGATCTAGTGATCGTTCAGCATACAGGCATTGTGAAAGCTTCGGTTTAGACCAACGTTTCCCATCGCTAGCCTGCGAAGAAAGTCAGCAGGTCGTCCATTAACACTGGCCGAGAGCACATACATCGAGCGATCGAAGAACATGAGGACACCACCGAACAAAAACAGTCCACCTTTTGGCCGATTAGTTTGTGGTTCACGAAGAGGCCATCCACTGCATTTACCTCCTGAGCAAAACGCGACGCCAATCTCTGCGACCAGTTAGCCTCTCTCTGTACAATTGAAAACTGCGGGAGACCAGGAGCACATACTCTGCATATCCGTGAGCCACATGCTGGGCATCTCGAGTTGTAACTGCGAAAAGCAGAGGACCGACGCGTGTGTTTCTGAGTGGTAGGAATAGAGCTCGCTGCGTATGAAAAGAGATTGTGAGCAGCAAGGGAAAACGCGCTCTCCTGGCTAAAGGGTGCAGGTGCTTGTAAATGCCAGCGTGGAGTGCTTCGAAATTGTTGAGCTGTCCTCAAGGGGGAACAAAATGCGCAGGGACGGATGAACATCGGGGTCCAATTCAAGCTTAGCTCAGCCTTGCGACCGTCAGCCTCGTCGATATGCCCACTGTCCTATGACACAAAGAATTGTTCATGGCCAAAAGGACAATGCGGTCCTTGTCTCCCTGGCATCCCATAGCACAAGAGACACTGACTTGTCGGTTCTTTGTCCTGTAGCCGTCATTTTCTGCCTCTCCAGGTTCCAAGTGACGGTCAAAGCCGCGCATTCGGTCCGGTCTCAAAGGTGGCCACCGGTCCAAGCCTCGTTTTGCACCATCAACGCGGACATGTCAATATCCGCCATATCGAATTCGAAGGTTGCATCACTCCACATATTTTGGCCAGACAAGCTGAGCTCTTGTGAGCCGGCTGCCCGCGGCAACGGTGCATCTGGGTTTATCGGGGATAGGAATTGAGTGTTCACATTCAGTTCCACATTGTCAGATGAGTCGCCACCGTCGACTATAGGCGATGAGGACACAGCATAGTCGAGGAGATCCCACAACAGTGCTGTCTCGACCTTTGGTGGGTTATTGAGGCCCGCGTCAACTTGTGATGTAGCGAAGTGTGCAAGTCTAGTCAGCTTCGAAACCTGCAAAGGATTAGTGTCAAAGTCGCAACGGCAGGCGATGCACTTCAAACTTACAGTGTGCAGCAGATGACTGTGGGTGTTTGCCATTGTCTCAACGTAGCTTCTCAGCATCTCGAAGTCTCTGGCAGCATTGATCGCCAGCGTCTCGTCCTTGGAGAAGCGCAGGAAGAACTGCGCGGTTGCGATCATCGAAGCAAAGTGACCAACAAACGGATCGAAAATGGTGAAATTTTTCTCCTGGCATAACCTTAGGACAAGTACGACCCAGGCAGAGTGAAGCACGGCTTGATCGGTTGCATGTTGAAGGAACGACGGAGAACGGAGCCTTGGTCGACCGGGAATCCTAGCAATATGGAGAAAAGGGTGGTTCAGGGTACAGTGTATTGTATGGTATATGCACTGTGTGAAAACCCAGGGCGCCCAATATCCACGCTGCGCCTCGAGTTCCGGAAGTCGTCTGTCATGAAATCGAGTGTTCTTGAATCGATGGACTTCTGGAAGTACAGTTTCAAATCGCGACATTTCAGACTTGATCTGTTGGTAGACTGAGTTGGCTGTCCAGGCTTCTTCAAGATTGCCTTGTCTGATAGTCTTCAGATAGGACATCAAGCGACCCCATATTGATAACAATTGTAAAGCGTAGGAGTTGATGCCGGAGTCCTTCTCCTCCACAACTTCACACTCTGGGGGCCTAACTGACAGGGTTGATGTAGGCCGTTTTGCTGACGGGGGCATTTCAGGCATGATCTCTTCAGTAGAAATGGCTGGAAGGACCCGGAAGCTGCTCCCGTGCATTCGGTCAAGTATGAACAAGCTCCAGTAACATCTCGATAGCTCTGTGTTAGGAGAAGCGGTCTTCGCTGTACTGAGCATTGTGTTTGAGCATACGGCCATACGCACAGCCACACCCAGCGCCATCCAAGCCTTGGTCGATTTCCCATCTGCACGCGTGCTTCATTAGCTCCATTGAATGCGCAAAAGAGCACTCCACAGACCTGCGATCTCGCTGAGACACAGCAGGCAAAACGCCTGAAGAGTTTCTAAGTCACCAGTTGGCTCTGCAGCCCGAGCGTATAATTCCTCGGACGCACGGTTCTTGTAGAACTCTGCGGCGGGAGATCGTATGCGACTGTAGAAATCGCTGTCCGAATACCTAACAGTCAAGGCAAGGAAACTCCTGAGAAGCCGTCGTGAGAATTTCTCCACACTAAACGGCAGGCTTTTGATGTCAAATAGAGGCAGAGGTTGATCTGCGATTCTGTCAATGTACAGCTTGACCAACAACTGGAGAACGTCGGGCGGAGGATCTGGGCTGTCACTGATCAGCACTGGAGTTGAGCAGCATTCGAGAGACACAACCGTATCCAAGCATCAAATCTCGCGACACCACCCTGAGTCCTGCTATCGTAATCAACTTCTCCTTGGGGCGTGTGCGAAGAGCTGCTGAGCAGCGGCGTTGAAGCCCCGTGCAATCTGGCCGACGACTGTCCAGATTGCAGCTTCACAAGCGCCCTGAAGCGTCAGTCGCAGTTTGAAGTCTTTCAAGGAGCTCACCGACTCGACGGCGTCCCCGATCTGCTCCATTCTAGCCTCCAGCCTCTGAACCCGTTGTCGGTCGAGATGGCTCTCTTCCTAATTGGTTCGTGAGCTCCTCATTTGCAAGGACTTTCCAGAACAATCGCACATTCGCTCGCCCACCAGCTTTTTCCTTCTCGACGCGATATCCGCCGGCATCGCTGTGGCGCGAGTAGCTGCATCGCTGGTTGAGGCGGGTGCAGAAACTACAGCTTGGTTGTTCTCCAGGGCACCTCACCTTCTTGCGACGGCAGTTATCACATGCATGTCGTACACGACTCTGCAAGGGAGTGGTTTGACTCATGGCCTGGTCACACCATCGACCTACGCAGTCGACGTTGTTGAAGACATGCTGAAGATAGGGCGAGGCTGAAGTTGTTCAGATTCGAAGGTAAGAAATCGGAAGTTAAGTTTTTCCGCGTTTTCAAGAGATTTCTAGTCTCGCCTTCAGGTCCGACTTCGGCTCAACATCGCGTCTCGAGGATCCGTCGACCATTTCTTCCGCATCTTGCTCTTCTCTCCCAGAAAGCATCATATCATATCTGGTAAGGGCAACAGAATGATTGATTAAGAGAGTCAAAGCATTCGAGAAATACACGCGCTAATCCCGAAGGCTCCTACTGCCAACTATATCTATCCGCTGTCGCGGCCATCGAAACGCTCAAGTGTCTTCGAGGACGAGCATGGCTTGCATGGAACAGCTATGCCTGCAATGTTTGTAACAATGTTGCTTTTGGTTAACGGTTACAGATTACCACGCGCCATCTGCTCCCTCTCAATCGCCTCGAACAACGCCTTGAAATTGCCGGCCCCGAACCCAGAGAAGTTGTTCCTCTGGATGATTTCGATAAACACCGTAGGCCTATCCATTAAGTGCTTGGTAAAGAGCTGCAGCAAATACCCGCCCTCGTCGAAGTCGATGAGGATTCCGAGCCTCTTCAGAGCAGCAAAGTCTTCGTTCAGCTTCATCCCCGCGCTTTGCAGCCTTTTGGACATGGTTTCATAGTAAGTGTCGGGAACACTGATGAACTCGATACCTCTCTCCTTTAGGTTGGTAACCGTGGTGATGATGTCGTCGGTCCTCAACGCAATGTGTTGAACTCCAGCACCGTTATAGAAGTCGACATACTCTTCTATTTGCGACTTCCGAAGGCCCTTTGCCGGCTCATTGATTGGCATTTTGATTTTCTCGTCAGGACTGGCCATCACCACCGACTTCAACGCAGAATAATCGGTGCAGATATCCTTGTCATCCACCGACCAGAATCTATGGAAGCCGAGCGTTCTTTCATAGTATTCGCAAGCCGCCTCCATTTCGTCCCAATCTTGGTTCCCTAGAAAAGGTCAGTGCCGGAGCTCACCGCACAGCCAGCAAACTCTACTTACCCACACAATGGTCAATGACGGCCAAGTTGACCGACGGAAGGTACTTGGCCGTTTTCTCGACGTCTGTTACCGCTCGATAACCTGGCAAAAAGGCCCCTTGGTATTTTTGGCGCTCGATAAGGGTATGAATGGTATCGCCGTACGTTTTGATCGACGCCATTTTTGCTGTTCCAAAGTCGTCGCTAGTGCTCGCAGGTGCTGCAACAGGATATGCACCCTTTGCCACAGCTGCATCGTATACTGCAGACACGTCGTCCACCTCAAAAGCAACATCGCGGACGGCATCCCCGTGGGTGGCCAGATGATCGTGCATCTCCCTTAAGAGAGTTCGATCGTCGTCGGAGAGCCAGGGGACCTTCGAATCAGGGCCATGTAGTGGCGAGCTGAGCACGAAAACAACCTCTCCATTTCGAACAACATGAGAAGCGACCACTCTCGAACCAGTTTCTAGCCCGCGGTATGCGATTCGCTCAAAGCCCATTCGAGAGACATAAAACGCCGCCGCCTGCTTGGCATTTCCCACCCACCATGCAACATGATCATATCCCCGATAACTTGCGATCTTCTTGGGTGTATTCGGCAATGACTGCACTGGGGCCAGGTTGCTATGGATCGACTTCTGCCTGACCTCATGAGTTGGGACTGGGGTTGGAGCCACTGCACTCGGAGCCATTTCGAAGGTGTTTTCGTTCCGAGAGACTTAATAGCTGTGAAGAGAAAGAAGGGCCTGCAACATACATAAACGAATTGAGACTCGTTATCGACGGGCATTTATATGGCACGGGATTGCTGATATGGCGCACAGAGGAATACTTCATTGTTGTGGGCACCCAGTGGGGACGGAAGGCACAAGACACATCCGTGCACATTCTCCGGGAATAAGCGAACATTGCCTCAACAAACAGTGGAACAAAGGGTCTTTGAGCGGTGAAATTCCTAAAGTTCTATCTCAACTTGAAGATATCATCCCAGTCCTTATCAGACGATGCAAGGTTGTCTTTCCGTTACAGCATTGAGGTATCCCTTTTTCAATAACTCACAACCGAGGAGCATCCCTCTGGGTAGTCGACTTCTTCCTCCGATACCAAGCATCAGAATGGAGGCCTCCAAACTGAGCGCGAATGATTCCAGTGTCTTGTCTGCACTTTTCGATCCAGAATCCTCACTGTCAAGCACTGTACAGGTCGATAACAGTACGCTCGAAGACCAATCGCCCAGCAGTCTGAAAAGGCTTGGGGAACAGGAACGACTTGCACTGAAATCAATCAACCAAGAACAGCCCCAACTGAGTGACATCGAGCACTCAATCGCTCAGTTGACCGAAATAATCACGGTCGATCCCTCGTATGCCTCTGCGTGGAACAACAGAGCGCAAGCCCGACGAATGCTCGTTAGGGACGACGATCTTCCCAGGAATCCAGGCATCGTGGCTGAGATCTTTCAAGACCTTGCACAAGCCATTGCACTCTCTACTCCAACTGGACCAAAGGCAACGCTCTCTGGATCTGATGCAAAGGTTCTTGCGTCGGCACATACGCACCGAGGCTATCTACTGCTGCTGGCTAGCAAGTCGGAAGACAATCGAGAGATGCTAGCAGCGGTGCCACATGTCAACGCCTTATCAACAGAGATGCTGGAGGAAGCTGCAAGCCGGGAGCTTGTGATTGGAGGCCGGTATGGAAATGAAACCGCGCGGCAGCTGGCGGTGAAGACCAACCCGTATGCAAAGCTGTGTGGATCCATAGTGAGAGAAGCGTTGGCGAAGGAGATATCGGACTTCTACCAACCTCATGTAGCCTTGTATGGTGCCAATGCATGAAAGCCGAGACAACACACCTACGTACGTAGTATAATGCCTGCCTTGTAGACACCTCTGATCCCACGTATCCTCGACCTCTACAGAGACGCGACGAACCGACAACAACGACCGCGAAGGAAATCCGCCATATGACGTTCTCCGACGATAAGCGAACGAGGTCCGTGTCACAAGGCTCGAATGATATTTTCTAAGGGTCGGGAAAAGGACGGTTTCGCGGTCCGTGCACGTGCAGACCAGCTTCTAGTCCACTTTCATCCGCTACTACATGGTGGGTGCATAGGTAGTAATGTGGATTGCAACCTGCCACAGCGTCGTATCTGTCCGACTCAGAATGATTGATCCTGGCCGCGCGTCAACACGCGACCACAAAAGTCGTTGTATAAGTCTGAGCCCGAACTCTGTATTTAGCAGACGGATCGAGCGGCCAAACCGTACAAGAGCACGTCTCACCGTATCGCGACTCCCCCTCTCATCGCTTCGGCTTATCATACACCCCCGGAAACGACCGCCCCTCATGTTGCGTGTCAGCGCCGGAGCGAGCAGTGTTGGTGTTCTCCATGTATATGAGACAACTCGATCAGCCGAGCGGATATTGTGCGGTGTACGAGCACTTTTCCTTTGCAACAGTGGTGGGTTGGCGCTGTCAGCATGAAGAGGTAGTAGCCTGGGACATGAGATGCAGGGTGAAGATGTTCTTACGTATCTCGCTCTCTTCTCGGCAGACGGTAGGAACGATGACAAGCTGATCCCTCTGATTTACAAGAGTATTAAAAAACAGTCTTCTGCAACCACAGCTCGGTGAAACGAGGATAAGGTTCGCCTGAGGGCAGAGGGCCTGAATTGGTACAAGGGTTTGCCTTAACAGGCCCGCGACAAGATGGCCAATCCTTTCGAGAGATCTCGGTGGCAATCTCTGACTGTGTTCAGGCGTACGATTGTACAGACTCGCAAACAGGGCCTAATGTTGTTTACTCTGCCAGCTTCGCTCGAGGCGTACTCGTATATCCTTAACATAACGGGCCTTCTGGGGCTCCAGTTGGTCACCACCCTCGACTGTGTGCCTGACAATGTGGTCAAAGGGGCTTGCGTCAACTTTCCACCAAGCTCATCGACAGTTACATTTCAATCGACCCCAATCCACAAGTATATAGGTAAGTCTTTGGACAAAGGTCAATGAGGCGGAATAGCACCCGGATCGTGCCACAGGACGCAACCGCCTGCGAGTGTTCTTGGTGCCTAGTCATTTTCTAATGGTCGCTTTGAGGGGATATTGGGAGACAGACCAAGCCTCCTCGGATTCTTGATTCTTTTGGAACAATCTTGTCGGTCCAGGCGGAAACCATGGCCATCACAGTCGCCGTCGTCGGTATGGGCGCTCTCGGGCTCATGGCGATGAAGAACCTCAAGGAAGATGGTTTTGAAGTGACCGGTTTCGAGAAGCGAAACTGGGTGGGAGGGGTCTGGAAGCAGTCGTACGACTCGACGCTCTCGGTCACGGAGAGGACGGTGTTCAACAGCAGTCGATTCCGCGCCGCCATCCCAGACTACCCTTTCCCTGATTCCGTGGACGATTTCCCCACGGCGAAACAGATCTGGGAGTATCTGGAGAGTTACTGTGACCATTTTGGCCTGCGGCCGCATGTTCGCTTGAATACCGAAGTCAAGACGTTCACGAGGACCCGGGGCAAATGGGCCGTCGAATACGTCCAGGATGACGGATCTAGTCACACCGACTTCTTCGACAAGCTGATCATCTCGCCCGGCTCCTTCGTCGTTCCGCGGTCACCCAAGTTGAAGGATATTGACAAGTTCGAGGGAGACGTCCTCCACGCCATCAAATTCCCTCACCCTTCTCGCTTCCAGGGCCAGAACGTTCTCCTGATAGGGCTTCATGCGACCACGCAGGATCTGGTAGTCGAGTTGGCTCAACATGCCAAAAAGGTATACATTGCGCACAGGAACGGCTTGCTCCTGGTAAGTCAAAAGATTCCCCCCAACCCCGAGAGTTCATCATCTTTTGCCTAATGTCCCACCGCAGATTCCTCGCTACACAGCAGATGGCAAGACGTACGACCAATCCCAGACCATGACGCTGATGTTCCTCCAAGTGTTTCTGGAGAGATGGTTCCCCAGGCTGTGGACGTGGTTCATCGACTGGGCCTTCGCGGCGATGTCGAAACAGGCATACCCCAACCAGCGCAAGGAGTGGAATCTGACGCCGGCCCTGTCCCTCGCGATATCGACGCCTCTGGTCGCCGACGCCATCTACCCGCACCTCGAGAGCGGATTCGCGGAGCCCGTGGCCGCGGTGCAGGAGATCCTCGGACCAAGCGCCGTCCGCCTGACGGACGGGCGCGTGCTCGACGACATCGGCTCCATCATCTACGCCACGGGCTACGAGTCGGCCGTGCCGTACGCGCCCAAGGAATACAACCCGTACCCCGTGGCGGACGAGGCCCCCGTTCTCTACCGCAACATCTTCCCGCTGCATGAGGACCCCGACGTGCGCAACTCGCTGGCCTTCCTGGGCCAGGGCGGCTTCCCGTTCCCGGGCTTCGTGGTCTTCGAGCTGGCCACCATGGCCGTGTCGCAGATCTGGCTGGGCCGTTCACACCTGCCGCCCCTGGCGGAGATGCGAGCGTGGCACCGCGCCCACCTCGCCTGGCGCCAGAGCCAGGTCCGCCGCTACTACCCGTCCGCGATTCAGAGGAATTTCTACGCCATCTTCATGCCCGCCCACGACCAGTTGCACTGGCTGGACCGCACCGCCGGCACGGGCATGTTCGCGCACTTTTCCCCCTTCAGCTGGCGCGCCTGGCGCTTCTGGTGGTCCTGCGACGACCGCGACTTCTACCGTCTGTGCAAGTCCGGCCTCCTCTCCCCGGCCCTCTGGCGCCTGTTCGACATGGGCCGCCGCAAGCCCTGGGCCGGCGCCAAACAGCAGATCATCGAGGATAATCGGTTCGTTGAATCGCGGCGGCAGGAGAGGTTGAGGGCCCTGGAGAAGTTAGGGAGCTCCGGGACATCCACTTGAATAATTCTCCAGATTATCGGTGCATTTTATACGTGATTTTTGCGGGCGACGATCCCGCGTCTGGCGACGGGGGTGTAATAAAGATTCTCTTAGAATTTACAGCCTTCAACGATTCTCTCTGCCAGCTCTAACTTTATATATATTCCTCGGTTGCGGTGGCTCGGTCGAGAAACCGTCTCATGTATCGTATCGGTGAAGGCCGTACAAACAAATAACCGCTTATACGGGTCTCTGCTGCTGAAGCTTGAATTGCTCGTATATTGACTTGAAAAGTGCTATTATAGAACCCTCGAACGCCCGCATTTCCTTCCTAATTGAACTTTCTCGCTCCAAGCAATCTAGCCAGCATGAATTCAATTCTGAAACGATTTTAGCAACCTGGCATCATCGTGCCAACAATAGTGGACTCAATTCCTCAGGGCTCTCAATCTGTCTCCCAGACCTTCCTCCAATTTCGCCCTGTCTGCCGACTCATTCTGCGGTAACTCATGTTCCGGCACATCCTGCTGCATTTCTTGGGATAGCTCAACGCCCGCTTCGTCTGCGACTCTGCTCATCAGGGCTTCGACCTCGCTCTGCCCCTCAACGCCCACCTGCTGACTCTCAACGCCGCCCGCCACGCCTTCATAATATCCCGACACAACGTCCAAATCTTCAAACTGCGCTTCAAACTTCTCCATCACCGCGCCTATCTTGTCCAAATCCATGTTCTTCAGCGCCGAGTCCATGCCCTTGACGGTCTGTGCCATGGACGCCGTCACGGTGCGCATGGTGATTGCTGTTTGGACACGGGCGGCCACGGCGTCGATCCGGGCCGCGAGGGTCAAGAGCTGGATTCGTTGCTGGGAATTGCGGACCGAGTTTGTGGCGTAGAGTCGGGCGATTTGCGGCTGGGGAGGGGTCTGGGTCAGGGCTTTCTTGAGTTTGGCCTGTTCGGCGCGCGAGTCACGGTCGGCTTTGGCGGCTTGTCTGTTGAGTTGTTTGGATGTGAACTGGGAGAGGGGAGAAGCATAGTCAGTATTAAGGGTACACCCAAGAACGCTGGTCAGAGGGTAGCTGCGCCGGCTTCTAGGTGGCATGGGATAAGTGCTGAGAAACATACATACCTTCAGGTTGAAAAGAGCCTTCTCGAGGCCAGACATCTTGATCAGAGAGCGTAAGAAAGATCCCACGAGACTGACACACGACACCCAGTTGCTGGCGCGGATGAAGCGGCTAGCAGTTCGGGCGAGACACCGAAGACAGGGCAGTTGGGTATATCGTGAGAGTGCGAGCGAGGATGAGTATCGTCAGGGTTCGTTTCGAAGAGGTCGAGCTTCTGTGATATTGCGATGCAGGTCGTCTGAAAACAAGTGCCTTTCGTGATGTGTGAAGCCTGTTGCAAGTTGTAGCGACGCAGTGGCAGCGGATGACGATGGCGGGGACCTGCCAAGCCCCACCATTAAACTTGAATCCGGGGTTTAGCCGGAGAAACTATTCTACCGACGAGGCCGAGTCTTTACCAAACAATCCTCCTTTGTGTTTAGATTGAAGAGTCTGTCTTTCTGCAGCAAAACCGCCATGCTTAAAGTCACGATTTATGCACCAAGTATCTGCATCAGATTTGATTTCCACTAGATTGTCTACTGATCCCATCATTTGGTGCCGTTGATGATCGAATCGACTAGGGCAGCTGTGTTGGCTAACGCTTCATCTGCATATCGGTACCCCACCAGCTGCACACAAATAGGTGCGTCTTTATATTCCGCGGGTCCCGTGTCTACAAAGCGAGAGAAGTCAGCAGTTTGTCACATTCACCGCGTAGGCGACTTGAGGAGGTGATTTGCATACAAAGACTATACATCCGAGCATCCTCGGCGCCGTATTTGGCATTGCTGAGATCATCCACAACGTCGGACTCACACACCGTGTCCACGGGAATGACAACGGCCGGGTAGTCGAGGTAATTCCACAGGCCAGTGTAAGTGGCCGTGGTCCATTTGTCCAAAGGCACGGCGGTGTGCTGGGCTGGCGGCATCAAGATCGCGTCGATGCCGTTGTCACGGAAGAGCTTGAGATAGTTGCGTGCTGCTGCTTGACGGCGCACATTGAGATTGAAGAAGCCGCGCAGGTCAGTGGCTGGGAATGAAGTGATCCCAATGGCTTGGACGGAAGGAACCTCGGGCTCCCCCGTCCGGGCGAATAGCTCAAGGTAGTTCTGGAAGTGGAAGGATTGTCCGTCAGATTTCTATCCAAGTTTGGCACTGGGGGACCACATTATAACTTACCTCGCTTCCCAGCAGTGTCCAGTACTTGATCAGGTCGCCATAATGCTCTTTGACGTCGGGCAAAACAAGAGGAATGAGTTCAATGTTCTCGCTTGCTTGGAGCAGATCCACTGCCTTTTGGAGGCCACGTCGAACAGGCGGCGAAGGGGTGTAGATACCGTCGTCCAACACGAGGCCGATTCGAAGCTTTTCCTTGGGTTCGTGATTCACCCACGGGATAGATATCACGGTGCTGTCATACCACCAAGTTCCTGCCTGCATAGTGGTTTTGAGGAAAAGAGCAACATCCCGAAGCGACGTCGACATGGGGCCTGCCGACGAGCGCACCCCATCCGTTCCCGGAGTCGTGAGGTCCCTTACGCCCCCATGCGGCACCAGCCCGACACTGGGTCTAAACCCATAGATGCCGTTGCAGACGGCGGGGACACGAATGCTCCCGCCAATGTCTGTACCAACACCGAGCACGCTTCCTCGAAGAGCAAGAAGGGCGCCCTCGCCACCGGTGCTTCCACCTGCCGTCAACGCCGTGTTGCGTGGATTCAAGGTCCTGCCGAAGACATTGTTGTGGCTATCACCAGTCATAATTGTTTGTGGAAGATTCGTCTTGCAGTAAAGCACGGCGCCCAATTCAAGCAGCATGGCCGCGGTTCCGCTGTCTTCATCTGCTGGTTCATTGACAAAACATGCCAGTCCAGTCGATGTGTCGTATCCCGAAACTTGGAAACTATCTTTGAGAGAGATTGGGAGGCCGTGAAACGGACGAAGAGGCTTTTTCGGATTCTCCTGCCGTTCACGATCGAGTGCCCGGGCTCGTTCGACGGCTTTGTCAAAGAAAATTTCGGTTAAGCAATTGGTCTATCGCTACCAGTGAGCTCATGAAAGACGAATGGCGCGAAATGAAGAAGGGATTGACCGACCAACTGCTGAGCAATGGCTGCCCTCTTACAAAAGGCGACTGTGACCTGTTCCGCCGACCAAACCCCGTCCTTGAGCTTCTCCAGAAGCGCAGTGGCGTCAAAGTCGGAAGTGATTTGGTACTCGGTGTCGGTCAAGATGCCACACGTCCGCGGCACCTGCATGAGATTTGAGGCTCCATGGTAGTGATCAGAGGGAAGCAGCCACTCCTTGGGGATTCTGCTCTGGCGTTCCAGCTGCTTCTCAGCCGCGATGGTTTTGTAGTCCCTGAAGACCTTCGACATGTTTCTCTTTTCCTTGTTCCGAGAGGGTAGAGGCTTGGTTCAGTGCTTCAGCTGTAAAAGTGGCTGTCCTTTCTGGCATTCTTATACTCCAAGGTCTAGGATCCACCTGCGACATCTCCTTCGCGCATCCATTGATGACTCTTCGACACGAGATACCATTGTATCTGCCATATACCTAGGGCCTCTAGCTTGCATTTCTGTCGACTCCACGGAGTGGACTTGGAACTCTTGAAGTGCAAGCTCCAACGCTTTGTCTCTGGAACAAAAGACTAATAAATCCTCCGGTCATCGTTCCGGTCGGTAGTGGATGCTTGGCCAATCAGCAGCTTAGCAAGATGCTCCTTCGAGGGTTACCAGCGACTCGCCAGCTAGTCCTCTGCACCAACGTCCATCATCCATCCCCATTTGTACCTAAAAATCAGTTCTGGGCCGGAACCGGAAGATTATCGGTGTCCCCTGTGACAGATGCACAGCTCAATCGTGATCCCGAGCTATCGTACCTCTCTCCGAACTGATGGGAAGGACGGGTAAGCTGTTGCTCACCGAGTTCTGTTTGAGAAACCCCGCACTTGTTCGCACTGCCATTTGTGAAGTCCTGCTGTTCTCCTTTCCTCTCATCTCTGGCCAGATTTTGTACCCTTGCCGGACTACTCCAAGGGGCTGGAATGGCATCGTTCACGCCCCGCCGCCGTGGAGTCCGGGCTGCATGTGACCGATGCTACGAGCTCAAAGCACGGTGCGAGCGTGCGTCAATAACTTCCACCTGTGCCAGATGCGACAGGTTGGATCAAGCTTGTCTGACTGTGCGTCCACTGCGACAGGCGGGTCGACGGCCACATCGGCGAGAGCATTCGGTCTCGCAATCAACATCAAGCCAGTCAAGCACGAGCGCTGGGTCTCAACGCGGTGTCGGTGCCTGGCTGCGGGATATTCCTGACCTATGCCCGGAGGAGAGGGAATTGATGACGTTTCTTCTCTACCAACCCCAAGCCCTCCAGTTGTATGTGGTTACTCCCAGCTTTGAAGATGCTGAGCGACGGTCATTTGAAGCTCCGCTGCCGAGCGCTTTGCCAGTACTCAAAGATGCCTATCTCGCATATGCGGGGGGTTTGAAAGCATTTCACACCGCCAAATCGATGGAAGTGAATGTGGATGCGAATCTCCGCCACGCATCCTCCGCCATGAGAACACTGCGCATGCTACCGGTGGCTGGTCCAGATGATGCGGCATTATGTCTGAACCTGGGGATCACATTGGCACTGTATGCCTACGCAGCGGTTGGCGTTGGCGTACCTGAGATCTGCCGCTATTGCCTCAATACAGCTAGGCCTTATATTCAGAACGTCGTGTCGATGCCTGAGACCGAGGATCAGCTCATATTTCTTGTATTACTGGAGACCATGGACTGTGTTGCCCAACGCCGGAAGCCGACGCTGAGGATCGAGTCACCGCCCGCAGCGGGAGTGAATCGCCACTTGGGACTTTGCCTCCCATTGCTTCCATACTATTATGATCTGTGTGCTATCAGCCACTCGCTGATTGATGCCAGGAACGCTAGATTTGTATCCACACTGCATCAGCATCTCGCGAGCATCCAGGCAACTTTGAATGCATGGCAGCCATCCACACCGGAGCATTTCGTCAAGGAATTCTCGTCGGTCGAAGTGGTCCACCTCTTAGCCCAAGCCAGGGTATATCGACTGGCAGCGCTGCTGATAGCTCACCGGCTGCGACACAAATTTGGACAGGAGGACGATCAAGCGGATATTTGGTCGCGCGAGGTGTTGATGGAATTGGAGCTTGCTCGACGAACAACTCAGCGATCGATTCGGTTCGTTACGCTGCCCTTTATTGTTGCCGCGATCGAGATTCGGGATCCAGCGGCACGAACCAAGGCAGTCCAGGACGTGGACGAGTATGTTGATCGATTTATGCCGGCCGTGCAAGAGGCAACCAAGATATTTTTATCGCGGATCTGGCGTGAGCGGGATGCTCAGGAAATATGCTCTTGGTTTGATTCGGTTCACAAGCCATGCATCATATTAGAGTCTCTCCGTGATTCTAGCCGAGAGTCTGAGGCTATCAAGAAGAAAAAAAGGGCCAAGGCAAGAGGGCTGATGTGGGAAACTTGAAGGGCGTAGGGAGCAACCTTGGCGTTCGACTGCCAACACCAGGCGCCCTTCCCATCTTTACTTCTTGCCAGACCTTGAGGTTCAGCATATTGGTGCATACACATACCGGTTGATTGCGGAAAAAGTCGAACTACTGCCAGCGCGAATCGAACACCGGCTTCACAACGAGCAAAAAGTTCAGACCAGGCGGTTCGTATCTAACCCTTCCCCCCCACAATCAGATCCGCTGTCCTCCACCCTCCCGTCTCAAGGATTTTTGTCAACTGTTACCCTGGATCTGATTGATTTTTGTTTGATATGGCGAGACCATCTGCTACCTTGGGCAACAGCGAGCACATATCAGTGACGGGGAGAAGGGCCCCACCCACCAAACCCGATCTGAACCATAACAATCCCCTACTCAAAGCGGTTGCTTATTAGGAGGTCTCATTATCACTGTTGCGCTTCTTTCAAAGAGGAATTGTTGTAAAGAATTTCGGGGTTGCAAGTAATATGTCAACAACCTGTGGGAACGGGGCTGGGTTGTTGATCGGTGTAGCTTGGCGGTGGTCGCTGCTACTGTCGCACTCTGGCGACACACATGTTGATTTTGTTGTCGATGACCCTTTGGTTCCATCAGCATTGGACTGAGCCGGCGCTGCTGCTTATTCATTTGCTCGGGCAATATACGTTGGTGGTGGCCCAGACCTGGTCTCCATGGAGCTCGTCGAACCGCTGCAGCAGGATCGCCATGTTGATCTTCCTTTCTTCGGCACGACAATGACCTTGCTACTCCTCATCTAGCAACCGTCTGGAGTGATGCAACATGTTTCACGGGTGAGCTGAAGCAGAACTTGGAAGGAAGCGCTGGAAGCCTGACGGTCCAAGTCGTCCGTCTGCGTGAAACTATAACCATCCAAGTTTGCGTTCAAGAAGATATGGCCCTGTATTATTTGCCAGCGACTGTTCTGTGACTTCGAAAGGAAACGAAATTTCTCGCAAGACGTGCGCACGGACTGGAGCTACTGGAAGAAGACACGGAATCTGACGAAAACGTCGACCGTCATGGTCCTTCCTTCTGCGGCCGACGAGGACAACTCAGTTGGCATAGCCTCCTTTCGCATCATTCCACCCCGCCGTCAGATACTTTTACAGTGGCACCAGGTGGTGATGGCGTCGACAATTCCACGAGACGTCCCCCAAAACCGGGGTTTTCAACACCACGCCAAGGGATCGACTGCGTCTTGCTTAACGATTGGGAACAAGTTTTGAGGGCCCCGCCTCGTTTACGCCATGCTCGTATTTGCTAACTGCTTTGAAGTGGTGCCTGTTGATCCACAGGATCGGGCCGGGCTAAAAGAGGTTGAATAGATTTCAGTCACCAGGCTCTCGTATCGACCAACCTGGACGGTAAAAGATGTACTTTGCCAAGCACCTCCGCCGCCCTCTTTTGAGGCAAAGTCACTGTACAGAGCCCTGTACAGAGCCCTGTCCAACATGGCAATGCTATCCTCAGCCCCTCGAATTCCGTGTCTAGCGCATCTGGCTGTGCTTTCACCAGTACCTACTTACGCAATGGCTTGCGAGTTGATTCATTGGCAAACAGCCTCAGGCGCCAAAGCACGTTGAGGAGGAGAGACATATAAATCATGGATTGTCCGCTGTTTGTTCTGCGCTTGAACCCAAGCCATCCACAGTCGCATCTGCTTGAATCTCATAAAAACGAAGATGAAGCAATTTGCCTCTGCATTTTCGCTACTTGCGCTGCTCCCTGTGTCTTTGGGGCAATTTCCGCCAGCGCCTACTGGACTGGATATCGTTACCTCGAAGGTCAACTCCCAAGTGAAAATCTCATACAAAGAAGTGAGTCTCATCCAGCAGTCAAGGTGCATCGGCTAACAGAACGACAGACCAACATTTGCGAGACCACCAAGGGCGTCAAGTCCTATAGTGGTTATGTCCATCTTCCAGGGTCCCTCCTCTCAGACGTCGGCGGCTTCGACATAAACACCTATTTCATATATTTCGAGGCGAGACACAATGCTTCTACAGCTCCGCTTGCAATCTACCTTGCTGGAGGCCCCGGTGAGAGCTCGATCTACACGGCATTGGCCAGCGAAAGCGGGCCGTGCTATGTCAATGTCGCGGGCAACGACACCATCATCAACCCGTGGTCATTCAACAACTATGTCAATATGCTTTATCTTGACCAGCCTGTGCAAACAGGCTTCTCGTACGACGAGCTTGTCAACGGAACATTCAACCTCGAGACGCAGATCATCACCCCGGAGCATTTCAGCGCCTCTTCGCCTTTGCCGGCGATAAATGCAACTTTCCAAGTTGGCACGTTCCCCAGCCAGGATCCCCTGCATGTCACAAACACCACAGTGTCGAGCGCCAGAGCTCTGTGGCACGCCACTGAGCACTGGCTGTCTTCCTTTCCAGAGTACTCGACCTCATCCAATAAGTTCAGCATCTGGGCCAATTCGTACGGCGGATACTGGGGCCCAGAGACTGCAGCCCTCTTCAGCAAAAGTCTCGAGAACCTCCCAACCACACATCCCTTGAAGGGAAAGAATTTGACACTCGACACCCTGGGCATCACCAATGGATGCATCGATATGGAATACTCCATGCCAGGCTATCCCCAGTTCGCCTACAACAACACCTACGGTGTCCACTTCATCCCCGAAGCCGTCTACAAGGAGGCCATGGACAACATAACAAAACCAAAGGGTTGCATGGACCTCATGAACACCTGTCGCTCGCTGGGCCAGACGGGCGACCCGGATTTCAACGGCAACAACCAGACCGTCAACTCAGCGTGCATGGCAGCATCAGAGTCCTGCTCCGGGATCATGAGTGCCTTCGACGCATTGAACAATGTGAGCCATCCATATATTCTTCACTTTTCCCATCAATCAAAACAATCCAACGAGATACAAGATTACTCGATAGCTAACTGTTATTGAAATCCCAGCGAAGCGACTTCGACGTGGCGGTGCACACCCCAGATCCATGCCCCTACAACCTCGGCGTGACGAAATACCTCAACCTGCCCGCCGTGCAGACTTCCCTCGGCGTTCCCCTGAACTTCACGTACGACTCAGAGCTGGTCACGGGCGTGTACGGGTTCCCGACACCGTACCCCTTCCTAGGCACGGGCGACACGTTCCGCCAAGCGGGCATGCCGAACATCGAGTACGCTCTGGCCCGCGGCGTCAAGGTCGCTTTTGTGTTTGGTGATCGCGACTACCGCTGCCCCTGGACCGGCGCCGAAACGACCGCCAAAGCAGCCCGATGGGCGCACCAGACCGACTTTGTCGGCGTCGCAGGCTACGAGCCGCTGCAGGGCACCACCAGCAACTCTTCCTCCTCCTCCAAGGATGGTCCCCAGGCTCTGGTCAAACAATACGGCGCGCTATCATTCTCCCGTGTCCTCAACGCCGGCCACGCCGTCAGCGCGTACGCGCCCGAGGTGGTATATCGCGTCTTCGAGCGCGTCATGTTCGGCAAGGATGTCGCCACGGGGAGCACCGCTGTCAACTCCACGTACCACACCACGGGGCCTCTGGATAGTTGGGCCTGGAGGAATACGTTGCCCGCCGACGTGCCGCACACGTGCATGGTCGAGGGGGAGTGGACAGCTAAGAACCCGTGGGGAGATATATCGCTGTCCTGACACTGACGGACGTGGGAATAGGATTGGCGGTAACTAGCTGGATATGTAACTGTGATATAGTTGACATACCTAGGTACTTAGCTGGGCATATAATTGTGGTACTGGCACCCGAAGATGCGAATTCCCAGACTTCCCTTTCCTTCCGAAGTTCGAGAAACATTCATCTCCCTTTCACGCGTTCTTGTTGAGGATATCTGGTTCGAAAAAACTGAAAACTGCCCCCCCGCCCCCCCCCCCCCTCCTTTTGTCCTACGATCGCTCGTTTTATCTTCATTTCCCCAATATGTCGCCAATTGACTCGATCTCGATCTCGATCTCGATCCGGACGGAAAAGAAAAGAAAAGCATAAGAAAAAGAAAAGGAAGCAAATCTAAAACCCTCCCTCTCTTCCTCTTGTTCTACGCCATACCCATCATCCGCCGCAGCTCCGCAGCGACCATGCCCATGATGAACGGCTGCTGCGACGTCGTGAACATGTACCCGCGACTCGTGTATCTCAGCTCCTTGAGCAGGACCGGAGAGCCCGCGAGGTATGCTCCGGGAAGGCCGAACGCGGTATAGAAGGAGCCGTAGACGAGGACGTGATGGTCTCGGAATTTGGGAGTCGATATCGATGCCGATGTCGTACTCGTACTCGTGCTTGTTGTGGAAGGGGCATGATCTCCATCATGCCACAGGCTTCCAGCTCCGGCACTGTCGCGCATGAGAATCGTCATGCCTGCCGGGCCGCGGGCACGCTGGATTCTCTCCGATATATAGCGCAAATTCGTCCCGTTCCGGCCGCTCTCGATTGCAGAATCGACAAACAGCGTGATATAGGTCGACTTGCCGTATGAGCGGATTTGCTCGAGTAACATGTCGAGAGAATCATTGTACCGCTGGACTTTGGGGGCTCCGTTCTTGGATGCGACGCGGAATCCATCCCAGACGGCTTGAGGCGCTGATTCGGGCACTAGGAAGACGTGTGTCTTGAAACCCATCACCGGGCGACTGAGCGCCGCGATTGTCGACATCAGACCAATGAATGAGTCAGGGTAGGTAAGTGCCTCGGGGGTTCCCGTGAGCCTGGCAGCGAGTTTCTCGACTTGGATGTGCAGTTCCGACGTGCCCGTGATCCAGCGCGCGCCCCCGGATCCAAGCCCGTATCTGGTGCGCGCTGCGTGGCCCGCATCCAGAATGGCGTCGTCGCAGATTGTGCCAGTGCCGGTCTTGATGTCTTGGTCGATGAGTTGTCGAATATAGTCGGCAGTCTGCAGTGCCTCGATCGACTCCTGCTCGGTGGGCAGCTCGTCAAGGTAGTTGAACGGCTTGGCTTCGAACTTGGCGTTTCCGATCAGCCCGATGTTTTGGGCAGCCTTCACAATCGCCATGATAAGTCCTTCCACCGTGTCGTTGTCGTGGTCTGCGGAAAGACAAATCCGCACGCGAGACTCCCAGAAGGGAACTGCCGGCGTGGAGACTGGCGTCGCGAGCAGTCCGCCCTTGCGAAGTGCATACGACATCTTGGCTGCCATGCTGGGCCGGCCTGCGTATACTGGGAGGATGGGCGAGATGGCATTGCCGTAGACGTGGACTCCTGCTCGGTGCAGCTCTTCGCGAACGAATGTAGCTGTCGCAGTCAGTCTGCGAAGATTTCGCTGCAGCAATGTCGGTTGGCCCAGGACATGCAAAGTCTGAATCATGGAGGAGGTCGGGACAGGATCGACCCCCAAGGCAAGCATCTCATCACGGCGCTTCAGAACCGCAGTGGCGAAACGAGACTTCCCACATACAATACCACCAATGGCCCCAACTGACTTTGACAGCGTCCCAGTGCGGAGGTCGAAGAGGTCGGCTGGGAGGGACTGGTCAGGGTGTTGTTCGTTCCAGACCTCGATACATCCCCGACCAGTGCGGCCCAGGCACATTAGTGAATGGGCTTCGTCGGCGAGGAGAGTGAACTTGTATTTCTGTTTGAGACGGGCAAGGGCGTCGAGGGCAGGGACGGTGCCATCCATGCTATTCACTTCTGGTTAGAGGACGATTAAATACTGCCACAAGATGACCGACTGACCTGTAGAACCCTTCGATTGAGACAAGGATGTTCGCGAATTTGTCCTTGTGCTCCGCCAGGATTACCTCCATTCTCTCAAAGTCGCCATGGGGGAATTTCTTGACGAGTCCGGCATGACTTTGATACGCGGCGACGTGCATGGAGTTGTGGCACTTGTCATCAAACATGACCAGCCAATCCTCATTCAGGATCGCCGAGAAGGCCAATATGTTGGAACCATATCCTGTGCTGGTTGTGTAACAAAAGTCGGTAGAGAAGAACTTTGCAAAACCATCGTGCATGGCCAATTCTAGGGATCGAACCGCACTCGAGTCGGCGATTGGCAACTGCTCCAGGGCTAAACGCTGCAGTTCTTCCGCATCTTTGGTGAGACTGTAGAAGCCAGCATAGTTGTGCGAGGCAGCTTGAATGACAGTCTGCTTGGTACCATGGCCGTCTTGGACTTCAAGTTTAGGAGCCCATCTTTCCATCAATATGCGCTCGTTCTTTCCACTCCGATTGTCCAGCGGGTAGACGTAACAGTGATTGAACCTTCCTGCAACGGAGACCGGCTTCTGCTCACGTTCGCGCTGCTCCAGTGAAACTTTGCCTCGTGTGTATGCAAGTCTAACACCCTCGGCGAGCTTTGTCCAGACTCTCGCCGTCGGTGGCTGATAGACATCATGTTCTAGAGGATGTGGTGGAAGATTCTCGTTTGACGACTGGAATGAGACAGACGAACGGGTTGGCGGAGCATACTAGACCCTCGTAAGTTCCCACCACACAATCACCCTTGGCACGTTCGTGTTGACTTACTTGAAACCGCCTGGTATCCGGCTCAGAACCGTCCGAGCTCGATATCGAGTCCGTCTCATCGATGCGTATGATGATTGGCTGTTCTGCTGTTTTCAGAGGCTCAAGGCAGCTCACAATTCTCGTTTGCTCCGTGAATCCCATATTGCCCGGGCAAAGTCTCCAGCGCTGTCGAGAATATGAAATAGAACGGCATGCCTCTGCTGGCACGCCGGACTGATATGTAGACTCGAAGATGCCATGGCCCGCGTCTAGACCGCGACCTGAACTCTGGCACGGCCCATAACCTCAGGTTCAGGACAACGTGGTGTACTTCTGCTCGTTTGCACGACGCCATTCTCGTGCACATGTGCCTTGACAACCGAGCCACAGTTGACCGCCCTCGTCAAATAGAACCAGTTGTGGGGCCACAGCTGCTGGCGCCGAGTATGAAACAATAGTAATGGGATCGAATCGTTGCTTCACACTTAGTTCGCTTCCGTGCTGTTTGGCTGTCTCTCCTTGTGGGTAGGCATAAGACTCTCAAGTCCCTAAGACATCTGGCCGTGATGGCGTTGCTGAGGTACTAAAGGCTGGCTGAAAGAGAAAGTATCTGCATCGATGTTGACTTCAGCTCCATCCAACGGCTGATGCACCAGGGCGCAAAAAAGTGTCCGCCACGGTGCGTGCTCGATAACCTTCATTCAGCCAGTGTGAAAACCCTCGAAGGGGCGGTCTAGATGGTCGATGTGGAGCCAGAAGTTAAGCGTCGATACTCGTATGGGAAACCGTTATGCTGCTGTCAACGCTTAATTGGCAAGCCTTGTGGAGGTAATAGTGCATATCGCCTGCCCAAAGAGGCTCGACTTACCTGCTGTTCATCTCCTCCTCTTGGGCTCAATGGGCTACAAGCGACCGATTAGGTTCCCGCTATGCTTTGTCTCCAATTTTAGGGAGGCCCTCAGCCACGAACTCCTGACAGAATTTTCCTTTGATACATCTTGGACAGTAGAGGCAACGCAACCAGATGCAATGTAGGGACTAGCTCGACGTAATATAAGGTTGCTCACCGAGTTGAAGAGTTGAAGAGTGCAGTGTCCCACATCATCAGCAATTCTGAGACGGATATTAGCAGTGCTGCCACGTCTCCCGCGTCCAGCTGTGGATGCAGGAAAAGAGATCAGTTCAGCCTCTGGAGATGGCACCACTGGTATACCATAGCCCATGGCTCCAGTAGCTGTCTCTGAAACATAAGCGCTTTGGCCTAAGGGCAAGTCGCGCAGCCATACTGGAAATCCTTCTAACATTTGTGCCCAAAATTCTCGGCCGAAGCTGCTTGGTTTATCATATGCCACGAGACCGAACGCCCGAGGGCAAGCGCGGGCGGCGACTGCTGGGACTTAGAATCCTATAAGCCCCGCATTGTCGACGGATTGTGACGGGCAGTTTGTTGCTCCGGGGCGGTGCAGGTCATCAGCGAGCAATGAGGGGCTGTTTGCAGTATATTTCGTACTGTGACTCGGGACGACGAGGTACCTAGGTACTGAAGCGACAATCAGACGGGACACCTCCATGGATCCTCAGACGCGTAATTAACTCGTGAGATCAGCCCGAGCCGAAGAGCCACCGAATTCCGACCTCCAGCACGCCTTACCCCATCACTTGACGCAAATAACAACTTACGACTCCTTCGATCCCACAGTCGTCGAGTTCCGAATACTTGTATACCTGGGTATTGATATATCGCGTTATAAGCGTCAACGAAGTGCAGATATCCAGATGGATTACCTCAAGCATCTTCCTCCCCTTCCGTCACGGGACCGCGCCGTCCAAGCCGCCGTCCTTACTGGAACATCGACCCTGGCATTGAGCGCACTCATCTGGTGCATTCGAGACTACCATGCTTTCCTGGCTCTTGGTCCTGGTGGCGTTCCATATAATCTCGGCGGTTGGGCTTTTGTTACCATGATAAGATTGTTCGCTCTGTCGAAGCGCGGCGCCACCCAGGTCTCAGACTATCCAATCGATGGCGCACATGAAGATATCAAGAGTTTACCCAACAGGAAGGGCGAGCGCGCGGCCGTCGGGGGGATCATCCCGCATCGTCAGCTTTCACAGTATCCACCTGATGAGATGAAGCCGGTAAGAACGACATTGGCCGGAGTGACCAGTTGTCGGCCACTGATTAGTTCCAGTACATCACAAATTTGTTCAAGAATATCGTTGTACAGAACAGCGATCTCTTAGAAGAACGCCTTTCCCTGTACGAGAAACACAATCCTGCGCTTTTTCTGCGCGAGGAAGTCCTCGCGAATAAGGACCCAGCAGCTCCTAGACCGCCTCAAACGGCTTACACTTCCCGCGGAGAATGTGGGCATGTCCACCCTGATGTAAGTAGCGAATGTTCCTGAGAGCTTGAGTATCTCGATGCACCCGATATTGGGTCCTTGCTTCGATGATACTGATCTTGAAGCTGATCAGTACTCACTCCATCTATACCTATCTCCGGCCGATGCTCGACTCGTGATCGAGAAGGGCTGGGCCGAGCGACACAGGTTGGCAAAACCGAAAACGGCAAATTTCAATTTCGAGAAAGCCTTCGTCGCCAGTACATACCTCATGATCTACGGCCCCCGCGACACAGATGAAGTCGAAGTGGTGCGCAAAATCCTGCAAAACAGCATTCGTTTCATGTCTGGAAGAGAGGATGTCGAAGCACCGGAATGGAAGGTGGCTCTAGCTCCTTAATGATCTGCCAACAACTTCTGCAGGGGCCCCCAGGCGCGGCCATGGTGGGACAGGTTGATGCAAGGGAAATAGTGTACCTAGCACGCAGCAAAGCTTGTTCCATACCTATGGAGATCCACGCTCATTCGAATATAGGTGTTATGGTATGCTGCACAAACACTCTCAGACTTCCACCTAGCACCAAGTTCTTGGAGAAACACTGCCCTCAACAAATGATATGATTTGCACATTCTGCTGGTCGTTTCTTCTCGAAGCCCAGGGCAACACCCCGTGCTTTTGGCGATGGTTTCGTCAACCACATTCTTGGCCGCCGACAGGACTAGCTAGAAATTGTCTTGCGAGAATGAGCGATTTCTGATTTTGATTGTCCTTGATTCTACCAATTTTGACTGACTACGCCTCAATCCTGCCTTTACCTTCTCACAATTCGCTAATCCCATCGTCTCTGCAGGTGATCCAAGCAAACACAAGAGGGGCGGTGCCTTGATTGGCCAGACATGGTGCGCACCCCAGGCACACGCAGTATGTGGGCAAGTAACTTTTGCCCAACCAGCACGCTATCCGTGTGGAGACGATCAGCATCTTCATGCATGTGCTTGAGGATTCGTTCCCGACATTTCATTGAGGTCATTCACTTTTGTTAAATGGCTCATACAACAGTGGCCGCGCCTGCGCACTTTCTACGCAACGATGCAGATCAGGAACCAGGGAAGCTGGAACCTTGCCGGCGTCGAAATTCACTCATATAAAGCATTTTCAGCCTTAGGTCAACATATCCACCGTTTCCACGAAGGAGGGGGTACGTTGCACTTCTACAAATGGCCCTGATTCTCACCATTGCAATCGCATATTTTGTGTGTCCTCTTGCGTTGGCTGTAATTGTACTGCTATATCTTCTGGTGTTTTGAAAGAAACTACCACGTTTTATGTGTCGTGACTTCCTTCAGTCCCTGACACGAAGAGAGCCCGATGGCCTCAAATAATGCCAATGACATTCAGTCAAGGACCACCTGGGAAGCATCTGCAACGAGGCCCATGACAACTGTTCCAAAGATCACAGGTTAGTGCAGTTTGGGGTTTCCCCAGGAGATCAGCTGCTGATTTGATATTCGGTCAGTCACTTCTGCATCAGCCGCGCCATCACGACCGATCGATCGAATCGTTGACGCGTATCGTCATCGGTACGCATCTTATCTTGCCTCGACTTTTCACATCAGCGTGGAGGCTGCAAACTTTGAGGCTTTTCACCAGCTTCAGCCTCGTCGTCGATCTGAAACCTCTGAATCAGAGGTCTACAGAGCGAAATGATGGCGGAATTTCGATATGAGGTCTCTAAGGCTTTTGTTGACGAAATACATTCGCAACATTTGTGGCGAGAGTCTCGAAGCTCTTCATATCGAGGATGATCTTATTGAGCCCATGGCGTGGTCAGCCTTTTCCAAGGATATTCTGGCAGCAGGATTCTTGCAGGATGAATCAAAGCGATATTTCCCTAGCCAACGAGCCGGCCTTTCCCCAAATTGTGACACAGCGCGTAGCTCGTGGCCACTAAGCCAAAGTCGTTGAAAGGTCCCTTCCAGCGTCCGGGGGAATTGTTGATAAGTTCGCGTAACCAAGCGAAGCTCGGGCACTAGCCGGCATGCTTGGGAAAGAGCGAATGGTTGAGAATCTCGGTAGATCCTTCATCTGGAACCCCTTTTAAGCTTCCCAAATCAGGCAGGGACGAGGGACAGGGCATCAATCTGCCCAACGGCTGTGGGCACCTGAATTTTTGGTCTAAGAGCTTCTGGATAGTGGACGATACACGTTGGTTTCAGGACCAGCCTGTCATTTGGACCGAGCCGTATATGCGTGGCATCTCACGAGCGAGTGTGAAAGCGGCTCCGCAGGCATTGGAGGCCCAATCGCGGATTGAGGTAATAGAGAAGACCAGCCAAAGAGATTGCTGAACAGTCAGACGCCTTCCAAAACACAGACGCAAAAATCCCTCATATGAGATTGAATGCCAGCGAGAACACGGGCTCCTGTATGGGTACCAGGCACGGCAAGCCCCTGGTAAGAAGAAATGGCATGAAAATTGCAGGTTTGAAGCCTGACCATATTGTCCGCAGGAGAAAACAGCCCTTAACTAGGGTCCGGCGGCGGGATCATCTCCGTTACAAGAGGGAGGGTTTCGAAGCCACCAATTGTAAGCTGCCACTAGCTGCACCGAATAGCCAACTCCGCTCATTTGCATAGAGCGTGGGATGGGGGGTCCGGTAAGACGGAACAGAGCAGAGATACGCTCCAACTCTTGGCTTGATATCAGCCTGACAATTCGCACTTGACGTATCCTTTCGGTCCTCCTTCTATCCTCCTTCTCACACTTTCTTTGGCGGGCCGCGTATGTGTGCAGCCTTCCAAGGAATGGCCACGGACGGACAGTGCTCTTTCAATGGTAGCACACCGGAAGAGGACTCTGAAATCAACGCCGAGGCCGACGACGATGCCTCTGAAGCTACCCGTCTAGTTCCGAGGTAAATGTCTTGCTTATCCAACCGTAGGCAACCCCCAATAGGACCTTTCCTCTGACCGGGCGTCCAGTTCCAGTCCTATTTCGAGAGTCCTGAGTACGTTTTGCTTGTTCCGTTGGAACCTTTGGGATTACACGGGGACAATCTTGTATTGACTCGAAGCCCGGCAGGAAGGTTGCCTCGTTTTCTGCACCGCTCGGCTCGCCATGGCGGCGCCGTTGGCCGACACTTTTATGACGTCTCTAGATCTTCGGATACTCGCAGCGTGAAGCGCAACTGCTTCTCTCAGGCCCTCGTCGACCTTGTGGTCACCCTCCGCGCCATCCTGGGATACTCATGGCTCAATGGCCTCCTGGTTTTCGTCCCCTTGGCCATTGCCAGCTACTTGGCTCGAGCGAACCATATTCTGATTTTCACGGCAAATGTCATCGCCGTGGTGCCGCTGTCGAGCTTGCTCACCTGCGCAACAGAGAATATCGCAAGAGAATCCGGCGACGTCGTCGGCGCTCTGCTCAACGTGACGTTTGGGAACCTGGTCGAAATCGTGATCTTGTGAGTTTCATTCCCGTAACACACCCCAGAGAAAGCTAAGGGGCTAACATCTGCCAGTCTGTATGAACCGAGCTCGCTTCCACTTCTCCAACATGTCTGACTAACGACTCAAGTGCCGCCCTCTATCATAATCAATACGAGGTGGTGCAGTTCTCTCTTTTAGGCTCGATTCTGGTGAACCTCCTGCTCATTTTGGGGATAGCAATATTGGCTGGAAGCTTTTGTCACCAAGAGCAGTCTCACAGGAAAGAGGATGCGCAAGCTCTTGCCTGCCTCCTCAGTGTGTCGGTCTTCAGCTTGCTGATACCTGTAAGTTCTCATGCAGTGCTTGGTGTCGCCACCCGCTGATGCATTTGTAGAGTGCTCTTGTTCACTCCTTCGACGATTCAAAATCCGCAGGAGCAGCGGTATTAACCTTGAGTCGGGCGTCCTCACTGACCTTGTTGGCGATATATCTACTCTATATTTTCCTGCAGATCAAGAAGACCACTTTCAACAGACCCTCGATCCGTGTTGTGGGCCCGGATGGCATGAATGGCTCGGTGAGGAGCAGTGGTGACATTCCTGCCTCCAACACATTGCTATTTTCACGCTCCATTCGATTCCAAGACGAGGAAGCAGCTAGAGGCGGTACGACGAAATCGCCAACACGGAAAGATAGCTTGGAGATGTCGGCATTGGACGACTTAGGACGGCCTCTGCTGGACTCTGACGATGCCAACACCAATCTCGACTTCGAAGGAAGTGACGAGGATGAAGATGCCCAGACACAGAGGCAGGCTTGGAAGACCTCTTCTGATAAGAGAGGGAACCCAAGAAACTCCATCTACCAATTTCCTTCGCGAAGACAAAGATCGGACTCGGGCACTTCGAGTCAGCGACATATAAGTCCTCTTGGTTCGCAGACCATACGCACACACCGCTCGTCCTTTGCAGGTTCGACATCCAGTCTGCCACGTTTGCTGCTGGGAAGCTCCGCCGCGAACGTTGACAGTCCTGGTGATATTGAGAGGCTTGAGGATCCGCCCTTGGTTATTGGGAAACTGGCTTCAGCTTACTCCTCGTTGTATCCTCCGTGCTCGTGGCTTTCTGCGCTGAGTTCCTTGTGAACACACTTGACGATATCGTCGAGTCTGGGCCATTCTCGGAAGCATTCATCGGACTTATTATACTCCCAATTGCTGGCAACTGTGCGGAGCTCATCACCGCGACCGCGGTTGCCACGGTAAGGCCCCCGTTTGACTCTGGAAGTCTGGGTGCGACCAAAGAGCAGACTTGAGGATGACTCTGTCGTGGTTGGTAGAGGCTAACTGATATCTGCAGAAAGGCAAATTCGACCTCGCCATCGGCGTCTCTGTTGGTTCATCTGTCCAGATCTCCCTGTTCGTGACTCCTCTAGTCGTCATTGCCGGCTGGGCTCTGAACAGAGACATGACCATGTACTTTGGAATTTTCGAGACCGTGGCACTTTTCGCAACCACCTTCTTGGTGAACGTGCTCATTCTCTACGGCAAGTCCAACTTCTTGGAAGGAAGCTTGCTCTGTGCCTGCTACTTCATAATTGGAGTCGGAGCATATCTCTTTCCCACTCCGGATCACCGGGCCCCCTACGACCGTCCTCCAGACTAAATCGAGCTTGTGTCCCAGATGTGTCGACAAGACATCAGATTGGACAAGCTCAACCCAGCACCTGGTCGAGAAGGCCTTTGAGATCGCCTAATCGGAGCAACAGGAGGTGTACAGCACCTTGGTTGAGCAACGAGAAGCGGCGCACGAGGCGCAACTTACCTCGGGTGCTTTGGGACGACGATACGATGCTGCAATTGCACCCGTAGCTTGCCATCGATGAAGATCAAACAACAGCTCCGCGTGGCTCAATCCGGCTAGAGACGAGCCTCAGCGTGAGGAAACGGCGCGGGAAGGGGAAGGGACCAGAAGCATATCAACTGAAGAAAGAGGGAAGCAAGGGGTTTGAGAGACGAGGCAAGGCTAGGGAAGGGGCTCGGGCAGGGCTGAGAGCATCTTGACTCAAACAGCCAAACCTGCCTAGCCAGCATAACTCATGCACAACAGTTACATGACTGGATCAAAAATCCTACTTCGTCCAGCCACCACCGATTTTCCATGTCGCCTAAACTTGCTTTGCACATTCAGCTTTGTTGACTACTAGGTATGCCCTTGCTTGACCAGACAGGCATGTGCGCTTTCGATCAGTGTGGTACTTCCACAAGCTCGACAAGACACCCCAGGTATCATTTGAAAGACTTGCCATGGATAATATATTGATAGGTTGTGTGAGATCCTTCGTACTCAGACACTTGATCTAGAGCAGGCACAGCGGAATCTACTCAGGGAAAGCTCGATGACGAGCGGGGCATGTATATAGTATGATATTCCTCACCGGCAATCTATCTTTATCCCACCGCACTGCCGTAATATCCATAACCCCCCTTCTTTTTTTTCTTTTGGCGACCTGTATGTCCTTCACTCCATCGTGCCCAAATCCTCCGCGACGGTGAACTTGGCACTCGTCTTCTCCCGAACCATATCCACAGTGACACCCTCAGCGGTCTCCGTCAGCGTCAAGCCCTTTCCGCCCAACCGATCGACCTCAAAGACGGCCAACTCTGTAATGATCATACTCACGACGCCCTTGCCCGTGAGGGGCAAATCGCACTCGTCGACGACTTTGCTCCTCCCGTCCTTGTCGGTGTGGTACGTGCAGACGATGATCTTGGTCTTGTCCGGGTTGCTCACGAGGTCCATGGCGCCGCCCATGCCGTTGAACGCTTTGCCGGGGATGATGTAATTCGCGAGGTCGCCGCTGGCGGAGACCTGGAGGGCGCCGAGGATCGAGACGTCGACGTGCCCGCCGCGGATCATGCCGAAGGATTCGGCAGAGTCGAAGGTCGAGGCGCCGGGGACGAGGGTGACGGCTTCTTTGCCTGCGTTGACTGTGTCCGGGTCCGCGGCCTCGCGGGATGAAGGGTACGGTCCCATCCCGATGATGCCGTTCTCGGATTGGAGCCAGACTTTGGTCGAGGCAGGGAGGAAGGAGGGTGCTAGTGTCGGGATCCCAACGCCCAGGTTGACGTAGTATCCGTCGTGGAGCTCCTTGGCCGCGCGCCGGGCGATGCGGTTGCGCTTCGCCGCCTCGGGGCTGCTGCTGCTGCTGCTGCTCTTTTCCGCCGTGGCGTCCTGCTCTGCCGGCGCGAGGACTAGCTTCTCGATATGCTTGGGCGAGGTGGCGGGACAGATGCGGTCGATGTATATCCCCGGCAGGTCGACGTGGTCCGGGTCGAGCGAGCCGATGGGGACGATGTTCTCGGCCTCGACGATGGCCATCCGAGCGGCCTTGGGCATCAGCACGCCGTAGGCCTTGGTCGTGGTGCGGAAGATGCAATTGCCCGCCTCATCGGCCTTCCAGGCTCTCACAATGGCCACGTCGCCCCGTAGCGCCGTCTCCATCATGTACGTCCTGCCGTCTTCAAAGACGCGCGTCTCACGCGGCCGTCCGGGCTCGACCACCGCGTGCTTACCGGTCTGAGGATCCTTGGGGCCCAGACGATGCGGGATCCCACCCGTCTCGATCAGCGTGCGCGCCCCCGTCGCCGTGAAGAATGCCGGGATGCCCGCCCCCGCGGCCCTCAAGCGCTCCGCGATCGTTCCTTGCGGACAGAGCTCGATCGCCACTTGCCCGTCGTGGTACTGCTTGCCCAGCGACTTGTTGTTGCCGATGAAGGAGACGATCATGCGCGAGATCTGGCCCGTCGAGGTCAACTTGGCGAGCCCGTACTCGCCGGCGCCGGCGTTGTTGGACACGACGGTCAGGTCGCGGATGCCCTTTTTTCGAATCGCATCGATTAGGGTTTCTGCACAAGATGGGCCCCTGTTAGCTTTTCTGCCTTAAAACTCAAGGGCTTTTTGTTTGTCTTCCTCCGGACAGAAACATGAGAACAGTAGTAAATGGTTGGAGCTGTTGGCCAGTATTCACAGCCAGATATCAGATATTGATGACTATTGTTGATAATACGCACCTGCAACGCCACAGAGCCCAAAGCCCGCACTCAGAATGGTAGTACCGTCTGGAATATCGGCAATGGCATCATCCGCGCTCTGAAACACTTTGGACGCACCCCTGTCGACGACGGGAGCTCGCTGCTGCCTCTGCGCCGAGAAGGCTTCACGTCTTCGGCTTGACTTGGCGCTGAAATGCCGCTTCTTCAGCTGTGTGCCCGGGGCAGGAGATGCCTGTGATAACACCGACGACGACGACGAAACACCAATCCGCCGCAGCACGGTCGTTGCGTACGTCCGCGAAAAAGACGATGACGATGACGACGCCACGAAACTCCGCGCAACGGCCCTTTGAGAGCCCGCAGTCTCCACGAGGAGCGACATGGAGGGCGTGCACGGTATGTCTCTCCTCTCCTCGCTCTCTCTCTCGCGTTTGATCTTCTCGTACCTTTCACGCTTATGTCGATAGATCTTGCCGGACAGAGGAGGTTCAAGGTCCAGTTTAGTCTTGTCGTGAACAGATCAGCGCGCCAGAGTGCGGAGGAAACGCCGTTTCAGTACCGAGTGTTTCAATGGAGGCCCCACTGGGACATACCTAGGTAGGAGCTGATTGGAAAACCCGGGTATTTTCCGCTCTTGCTCGGCTATTGATCTGGATGCCGAGTGGAGAAGGTAAGGATACTTGATTTAGACATGTCGGCTACTTAATAATGGAAGCTGTGCATCCAGGACCCGGGACGTGAGGTACTATGAGTATATAACGAAACGTGCTCTTTCGGATGCACTGGAAGTGTAAAGAAGGAGAACACGACTGCGGTCAAAGGAAGGCTGTAATGTAAGTGCAAATTAGAAAGCAATACGGCTAATCTAGAGTATCTTCATGGCAGACCCATTCTCTTGGTCGTCCTCTCATTGTGTCCCCAAGCATCCACACTGCCATCGTGCACCGTGCACCTCCTCATGTCGCGGGCATATTTCTCCATAAAGGTTCCCTCGCCCGCCTTGTGCATGACGCAGGTATTGTCCCAGACGACCAGGTCGCCCTCGTTCTCCCACTCGACGCTGACGACATACCTGGACTGCGCTGCGTGGGCGAGCAGTCTTTCGATAAGTTCGGTCCCCTGAGGCTCGGGGACCCGTTCGAACGGCTGGCTAGGGGTGGGCACAAAGTCGGCGGACTTCGGCTTCCTGTACTCCAGGTGGTGCATGTGGTTGGCGATGTAGAGATTCTGGCGACCGCTGGGCCGGTGCGTTTGGACCACATCGTGGCGTCCAAAGGGGAAATCTTCCGGGTTGACGTCCTTGAGCCAGGGGCTGTCCTTGGGAGCGGCCTTCTTCCGAGAGTGCATCAGGCTGTGAGCGCCGATGTACTCGTTCTCGAGCAGGTCTTTGCGCAGATCCTCGGGCAGTTCGTCAAAGGCGGTTCGGGTGTCGGCAAAGTCGGTGTTGCCGCCGTGGCCCCGGGGAGGAAGTTGGTGGGCGCGAAGCAGGCTGTAGCCGGCCCTTCGTGGATTGAAGCTTGAGTCCACATGAAATATCGAGTTACCCTGGCGCAGGTAAGTCAAACATTGCTGGAAATTGAAGAGTGTCAGGCCGAAGGGCCTTTGCTTACCAGGCCCATGTGATGGCGTTGAGTTCCTATTTTGACGAGCGAACCGTCGTCCTCTTGATTAGAGACATCAAACAGCTCGTCGAAAGGAAATCTATTCTTGCGACCTAAAGTCAGGTATGGCTTGACGTCGTCTAGTTCACCGAAGAGGGCGGCGAAGGCAACATGTCGTGCATCATCGAGACCGGCTTTGCGGAAAACAAGCACGCCATACTGACGAGATTGTGTTAGTTTACAGAGTGCGGAAGTTGGGTGAATATCATTGAGAATGGGGAAAGAGTAATGTAGCCGTTGTTGAGACGACGCGAGAGGGCAATAGACTTACGTCAACGATGGCTCGACGGATTTCATCAAAGACGTCCTTCTCGACTGGCTTCGAGAAATCCACACCAGAGACCTCAGCTGCAAACGTTGGCCCGAGCTGCTTCACCTCAATGTGGTGGTACTCGGTATCTGTCGCGTGAGGCATGATGTACAGCCAAAAAATAGAGTTGAGGATCGTGGGTCCAGGTAAATACTCGTATGTTCTGTCCTTGGGGGTCAAGATGGAGTTTCAGGCGTCAGTGTTCTAAGAATTTGTAGAGTTCCAAGTATCAGTTGTCGCCTGAAGGGCGTCATGCGTCCGCGCAGGGAATCAATGGTCTAGAAACCACGCGCCTCTTCGAGGACAGTCCTGGACGAAATTGTCAACGAGATAGCTCGTTAATTAATGGCGGCCCGACGGCAGTCGGCTGATAAGCGGGTTTCTCAAAAAAGAAGATATCTCGGAGTTTCCCGCACAAGCAGCAGCAACCCGTCAGGATGTTGTATGATAAGATATATATTGGTGCGTCGGCCAGGTCAGGACACGGGAAACAGACTTGGCTGAACGACAAGACGGGTATCCGGAACCCGCAGCAGCCAGAACAGGGTCTCAAGTCGAGTGATTTTGGAGATGATGTTGAATAGTTGCCCTCTCCCCTCTCGCCCTCCACCCCGCGGGGTGATGGAGATACCGAGGCTGGGTGGGAAAAGGGGCTCCTCCCCCATATTTGTGGAGAGCGACACGTTGAAAGAGCCTGGGATTTTGCGGGGGTCAGTAACTCGATTCGTCCATCCGTCGAGGTTCCTTCGACCTCACCCCTTGTCCTGCGATAGCGCGACAAGGCACACGACATTGGCCAGTGGCAGTCACAAGCTGAGTGGCTGGTAGAGAGGTTGCTGCAGCACGAGGTCAAGACCCAAGACAGACCATTCGGCCTTCATTGCACCGGGACACTCACCGATGTGCCCACGAGTCGTCGCTCGCAGGCACGGTGATAGAACCAGGTGACCTAGTGCGGTTCCGTCGGTGTGCCGTGGTATCCTTCGAAATGCAGTCTACCATCTCATTCAAAGCCCGTCTGTGCAAACAAAGCCATGGATGGCTAGTCTTTCCAAGGAACCCTCCGAGGTATCAGCCTGCTGAAGTCAAGCAATCACCTTGGACATTTGAGAACGTGCAGTGCGATTTGTTTCCCCTCGAGCAGTTGGCACCCAGACATACCTAGGGCAGAATCCAACCTTGATCTTGCACTAGTTAGTGCATCTTCCCCCATATCCTCTCCGTGACCCAACTCACAGACCAGCTCGTCACATAGTGCCGCCTCGTTATGGGCGTGCGGAGAGATCAACATACATTTCCTGAATGAGGAGAAACAGACGCCCCTGCGCAATCGCTTCGTCGTTTAGTGCTTGGCCTCACCAGCCATATCCTGGGGTCCTGCAGGAAACTCCTCGCTACTCTTGTTCCGGCGGAACTTCACCTGGTTGACGAGACGGCCAGCCAGTCATACAACAATAGACGAAGCAGGGTCTGCATGGCGATGCGAGACTGTCTAGACCCACGGCTGGCAACCCCCATGCACTCGCCGGTGTCTATGCCGATCCGGCAGAGAGGTTGACGAGTTGCCAGTCTGAGATGTTCAAATACCGACGGAAACCGCGCAAACGGGGGAGGTATCCTGGCGATTCTCCTCGTTTTCTCTTCTGCTTCGCTCGAGATTGCGAGAGACTCAGAGACCTCCCTGGCCGGGTCCAACACTTTGCTTCAAGAAGAATATTGTCTGTCACGGTAAGGGACACATCACATCATGGCAGGCATCACAACCCTCCCAGAACCCATCACAATGTCGAAAGAGATGACCGTCCACACGGAAGGCATCCACGTCGAGAAGGTCTCGGAGCACGAACAACTCGTTGCGAGACTGAACAGTCTCGACCCTCCAGTGACGCCAGAAGAAGTCAAACGGGTGAAGAGGAAAATCGACCTGCGTCTCCCACCATTTCTTATGGTCCTGTATATCTTCACATGGCTTGACCGTGGAGCCTTGGGTTAGTTGCTTTCGACGTCGCTTGCGTCCATGCTTGATACTGACAGGTTGAAACAGGCAATGCCGCTCTAATGAACATCAAAACCGACCTCAACCTCTCTGGAGCTCAATACAGCCTCGCCGTCAGCATGTTCTTCGTTGGCACTTGCGTGGCCGACGTATTTACCAATGTTGGAATGCGCTACATTCGTCCAAGTCTCTATCTCTCGGGAGCCATGGTAGATCATATCCCAACCGACGTCCGGAAGAAGGTGTAAGTTGACTTGGCTTATAGATCGTCTGGGGTATCGTGGCTACACTCCAAGCGGTCGCTGGTGGAGCGTCAGGCCTGTATGCCATCCGATTCTTTCTGGGCATCTTTGAGGCTGTCTTCATTTCCGGTGCCCCATACTTGACAACAGTGGTAAGTCCCCAGCCGCCTGAAAGTCCTGTGTCAAACCTTCAATATGGGTATGTACGCTGACAGCGAGTTACAGATGTATCCGCGAGCAGTGAGTCCGCGTTCGTCCCAAATTTCTGACCATGCATGCTGAGTAGCTACAGGAATGGGGCAAGCGTATTTGCATCTATCTCTCTGCAACACCCATCGCCGGTGCCTTTGGCGGCTGGATCGCATGGGGCGTCGCTCACATCTCCAGCCAGCGCATCGAAAATTGGCAGGTCCTCTTCATCCTGGAAGGACTACTGACCGTCGCTTTCGGGATTTTGTGCCTCTGGGTCCTGCCCGACCGACCACACAACACTCGCTGGCTCAGCCCGCGCGAACGAGACGTGGCGGACTGGAGAATGATGAACGATGGAAACCGCACGCACGGTAAGGTGCACTGGAGTGTCGTAGCAAAACAGCTCCAGGACTGGCGCATGTGGATGAACATCGCCATCTACATGTGCCAGGTTATTTCGACGTACACAATCGCCACGTTCACGCCCATTATCGTCAACACCATGGGATTCGACAAGGTCAAGGCGCAGCTGATGGTGGCGCCGCCGTACTGCGTCGCCTTCGTCATGACCTTCGTCGTGGGCTACCTGTCCGACCGGCTGCGATCCTGCTCAGGCCTTCTGGTGATCAACTCGCTTGTTGCCGCCGCGGGCGACCTGATGCTCGTGCTCCTGCCGTCGCGGTACAACCACGCCCGTTACGGCGCCACCTTCCTGACCATCACGGGCATCCTGTCCGGCATCACCCTTTCCGTCGGCAACATCACGGGCAACTGCTGCGGCGACATCAAAAAGGCCATCGCCGCCGGTCTCTTCCAGGCCTTCGGCTCCACCATGGGCGTCGCCACCGGGTACCTATTCCCGGCAAAGGACGGGCCCGAATACAAGACCGGGTTTTGGGTCCTGTTCGCCTGCACCTGCTTCACGGGCGTGGGCTCGGCCATCGTGACATTCGTTAACGTCCGAGAAAACAGAAGACGGGACGCACTGACTGGGCCGCCGCCGACAGATCGCGTCATTGACTTTGACGAGGACGGGTTGATGGAGAAACATCCCCATTGGAGGTATTATAAGTGAGCTGGTGCATTCGGTCAGCCAGTCAGTCATAGGCGAGGGGGAGATCTGGAGAGACACGAAAGAAGGACTCTGGAATGCTTGCATTCTCTACTAAAAGAGCGAACAGCTCTCGCCTATTTAAACGCACGAGGGTGCCGAGGCGGAAGCCTGCTTGCCTACCAGGTACCTAGGTACATACCTGCAAGGCATGTGCAGGACAGGCAGGAGCGCCACAGTATCAGATCGATCCTCAACAGATCCAGGACTTGTCATCACTTGTAAGAGTGTTGAGGGAATATCATCCTGCTATCTATAGCGTCAACCTTTCTCGCAAACGGCAATCATGCGAGGGGAGCCTCGCTTCTTTGGACCGTCTTGGTATAAATCCAGAATGCCACCAAGACGTATCCGCTGTATACGACTCTCAACGCCATGATCCATCCATCCATCCATCCATCATTCTCCCTCTAATCGTTTTGATCCCTTGGCCAAAAGTGCTCCATCTCCATAAATCCACAATGACAAACCCCAGTATTGTGCCTTGATTTTGCGGAATATTGCTACATGGCGCACTCGTGTATCCCACCGGGACCCAGCTCGTTGTACTCGCTCCGGCTCAAAAAGCCCTTGCTGTTACCCTGATCCACAATAAAGACTACTTTGGCTGCCACTTGAGCTCCCAAGAACCCGGCTTCTTCCATGCCGGACACGTTGGGGTGTTTCCACTCGGGGAAATATTCGGGCGGTTTGACGAGTTTGATGGAGATCGGGGACTGCGAGAACCCTCGGTGTTGGTGGGAGAGTGTCGACATAGGATTGTTGGGGTCGGATCCGCTGCCCAAGGCCGATGGCGTCCCTCCCAGAGAAGGGTTCATGCTGGGGACTTGAAGGTGGTGCGATTGCGTGTTGGGCTGCATCATGTTCTTGGTCGCAGCAACAAGCAAGGGGTTGACGCCGTGGCCTCCTGGGTGGTGAAAAGGGTGGTTTCCCTGGCCAGGAATGGGTGTGTTTGTGCCTGGGGTGGCGACTGGAGTCGTGAAATTGGAGGGGAGCTCGGAGGTGAATATCGTGGCGGTTGACGGAGACAGGATATATCGTGTGTTGAGCACGGAGAGAAGGTTTGATGTGAAGCCTGTTGGCAGAAAGAAAAAACAAGTTAACAACAGCAGCATCTCTCGGGCCCAACTCAAACTTACCTCTGATTCGACTGCCGTTGCCCAGTATAATCAGATTGTCCCAGAGAGTTGCCCGCTGGGGAATGTCGGGAACGCTCAAGACCGTATGATGGATCGCCTCAGCGATTATGTCAACGATTCCCTCACATGCTCCTGGTGCGGGAGTCGCTGCCATGAACCGTTCCACTCCAACTTCAATCTCTCGCTTTCGTTTTCGACTCATGGGTTGATCGCCATTCGTCGACTCCTCCACTGGGATGAAGTCCACATATGTAAAAGTAGCTCGTTCTCGTTCCGAATTGCGTAATCGGATTTGTCTGGCAGCTTCGGCCGCGCCAGCTTTCTTTGCAGCAGCCTTTTCGGCCTTTTCCCGTTCGCGTTTTGCGAGCACCTCGGCGGCATTGTCGCGCGCAACGATGGCCGCGACGTCAAGCACACCTTCATTGTCCTCCTCCTCGCCGTTAGGACCTTCTTCACCCACCACCGTTCCTAGCCCTGGGCCTCGAGGCGCCTGACCTGGTCTCAGTCCCTCGCCATCCTTCGCATTCAGCCCAGAATCCAAGGCTCCTGTAGATGCTGCGGCAGCTGGATTAGCGGCAGGTACAGCTGTACTGCTGGAAGTCGACTTGGGATACGGCGTCCCAACAGGCAGAATCTCGCAAATGGGGCTCTTTTTCAATTGCTCTGCCATATCTTCGTCGAACCCCTGGCTCTCCAACACCTGCTGCAGCCGCTGTGTCATCGCGCGTCCACCACAACCGGAAAGAGCGATGCCCCTTCCAATATCATTGACCTGAAACTCCGTAACCGCAGTGACATCACATTTCTCATGCCCGACATCCAACACCAACGCAGTTGGCACACCATACGCATAGCAAGCCGTTAACGCCGAATCCATTAGACAGAAAGCTGGGATCTTCCAATTTTCAAAGACATATTGGGTAATCATCTCGTGATCCTTGGCGCTCCAACATGGCTGTGCAACGAAGAGGACCGGCATATGGAAGGGCGGAGAGATCATGTTATAGATGTGCGAAAGTAGGGCAAAAAAGGCAGACCAGTTCTCTATGCGCCCTTCTCTGATCGGGTAAACAGCGCCTTCCGTGGACCAGTGATCATCCTCAAAGGTTTCTATGGTTTCATCTTCCACGTCGGGTACCGCTTCTCCTTCTGGTTGGGGGGATGGTTGTTTTTCCTGCTCCGGCGGAGGAACCATTTCAGTATCCTGGGTTTCAGGCTTTGATGTTTCTTCGGCCGGAGGTGCCTCGTTCATCTCAACATCTGCCGACGGAGCAGGCTGCTCTTTCGGCTCTTCGACTTTGGGTTGCTCGTCGGCGGATTCTTCAAGCGTTGGTTGTGCTTCTCCATTCGGCTGCTCCGTTTTGGGTGCTTCGCCATTTGTTTGCTCAGACTTTGCCTGTTCACCATTTATTTGCTCGCCAGTGGCTTGTTCAGTCTTCTGCTCCTCGCCATTGGCGAGAAGAGCATCTGGTTTGCCATCGAGTTCAATGAGTTCTGGCTTGACAGACGCGGGGGCGGGCACGGGCTCAGGGTCGACCACTTTTGGCTTCGTTGTGACCTTCGTCCTGATCTTAACGGGTTCCCATTCTCCAGGGTTCGTGCCCGGGAACATGCGCGTGGGGAAGCGATATCTGGGGGGCGTGAAGGACTCGGGCAGCCCTAGTTGCGCCGCGGTGATTTGTGAGCCGGGCGCAATGATCTGGGAGTGGGTCAGCGAAAGTGGCCGTTTTGATGTTGTTCTGCGCGTGGGGAAGTGAAGCTTACGAGCACATGCTCATCTTTGAAAGGAGGCATCGCGGGATGGCGCGGTTACATCGACCTCACCTTGTCAATGTGGCTGGCGCGACGGATCGCAACTCTTGAGGGACATTTTTCTGTCACCCGCGCGAGACGAGCTGCGGACTGCGACGCGAAGCTTCGCCAAGAAATGTACTTGCGCTCAGGGTCGAAATGATCTACAGTACTCGACAGAAATGAGCGTAAATGACCCGCCGAAGCCATCCTCAACGCCACATGCTTGTGCCTCTCAGTGCACGGAATTATAGTGGCGTAGTCAAATTGCAGTCCACCGCCGGCATCGCATGGCCTGATAGAAGTGAGATCTGTTTCAGGAACAATTCCAAACAAGAGCATATCAATACAAGGGGAAGACAGCTAATCATCGTAAAAGGCTTTTGGTAGATTTCATCTATGGAAGTTCGTTATCAATCTCAATGGACCTCCTGTGCTGGCACCCAGCCCCCGCCATCGTCTCTGGTAATCGTACAATTGGAACTTGCTCCTTGCCAAAGCTGTGAATTTCTGGCAACGGCCCCATAATCAACGCCGGCCATGACCTTGAACTCCGGAACTCCATTCTCTGCCACAGCAGCACCTTTCTTGTCCATCCAAACTCGACGACGGATTTTCCGATGCTCTCTCTCCAACCTCAAAATGACCCACTTGATCGTCATCAGACTCGACCATGTCCACCGACGGTCAGGATCTTCGGCAAAACCTTCGTCGCTAACCACTTGCTGCAAAGCCCGGTCTGTCGCTGCCAGTAAGAGGCGCGCCATGTGTGGGCTGCAAGCGAGTAGTCGGCTCAGAAGCTTCATGCGGAAGACCGCTGGCCTGGTCGGTGTCGAAGGCATCGAAATCAAAGAATGAATTAGTGGGAAGTTGGTCAGGATGGAGGAGAAATCCTGTTCCGTCGAGGTCATTGACAATCGCTGCGCCAAAATCTGGAAAAGATTGCACATTGGCAAGAGCGTTGTCGTCGAGAAGGAGTGAAATATCGTCAAGGTCTGGAAGACCTGAAGCAGGTAGCTGATCCCAAGGTTGTGTTTGGGACTCGAGGGGAATGCTGGCAGGCTGATAGCCCAGGTCTCCGGCTGACACAGCAGGTCACACAATATCACAGCAGGATATTGTGTCATACCGGAGACAATGGGGAAGCTTGAAAGCGTTGCCATCGAGTCAGAAGTGGTCTGTTCACCTTGGGGGTGTTCGTGGATGAGGTTGAGTTGAGGAGCGAGGACCGGGGATTCGTGTTTCATGGGGGTCGAATCTTCGGACTGAACCAGGGTTGGATGACTAGACTCGGCATCCGAGCAGTCGTTGAATGACGATGGAGTGAAGGGTGGTTGAGCGGAAGATGCACGCAGGTCATGACCCGGTGTTGCATCCTCTGCGTCGTCGAAATCCATCTTGGGAGGTTCGGCGGGGACTGGCGGAGGGAAGTCTGCCTGGACACCAAATCTCGACTGGTAGCGAGCTAGGAGTTCTCGGAGGGAGGCATTTTCTTTCTCAATCCGAATTTGCCTGGCCTCAAGCTCTGCCACCGCGGCCTTTTGTCGTTGTCGAGACTTGTCGGCTGCTCTGCGATTCCTGAGGATCCTCTCGTTCTTTCTCTGTTCCTTCTCCTCCGCAGTCTTGGCTCGTTTTCGTGGTGGAAGTATTTGTTTGATTTCGGGGACCGGTTGACCCCAAGCTTTCCTCTTCTTCTTTTGGGGTTGGTCTGGGGGAGGTTGGCTGTCCTCCTTGTTATCGTCTGACAATGGAGGTGGTGTCGGGTAGCTGCGACTGTAGCCGGCTACAGTGAGGGACGCAGGGTCGACGACATCTGTCTGACCAGCCATGTTGATATGTTGAGCGGGGTTGATGTGCGCGAATTAACAAAAGGAGGAATTAAGGTAGATGGCAAGTTGGTAGAAGGGATTAGATTGTTGTTATTACGGTGAGGCCAAAGAGACCACGTATCCTCAAGGCGGACTCATGGTTGCTCAGGCCGAGCCATGCCAGAATAAAGTGGAGTGAACCATCAAAGGGAGATTAACCAAGGAAATTCATGCACAAGAGTTCGAAGGTGAAGAGGAAGGTTGGTGATGAGGTCGAGTTGGGTGAGGGAATGAGGAACAGGCACCTGGAATTAAATAAGGCCAGAGTGTCGAAATCGGAGGATGCAGGGGGTCACCTCCACTGCAGCCTCAGCAAGGCCATGGCAAGGGGGTTTCGGGTCCAAGTCTCTACACAAGCCAATCGCATCACTCTTCTCGGTCTCCTGGCTCACGGATCCTATTTCTGGCCTCCACTTGGCTGCCACTCATGTCGCCATCATCCCGCCTTCAACGCTTGCCCCTTGTCTCAATCCGAATCCGAATCGATGTTGCCTCCCTCGCTCCCTATGCGAGTTCCTCCATCCTGAGCTCAGCCTGCGTTTTAGACTCGTCAGCCGCACCTCCTTGTCCCACTCTTGTGCGCCGATGCACATCCGATCATGCTGTTCTGGTATATCCGTAGCTTCAGGAGACGCGCAACGTGTTCCAGTTGTATATGCGAGGAAGCGACTCGGTGTCTCGGAACGCAGGGGAACTTCTCCACAAGAGCAAGAAAGCGACAGACACCCAAAGAAGCCTGAAAACCTCTTCCCACATGGAGTCGTGGCTGCACCTCAGCATATGTCCTATCAAGGCAGTACCATACTGCCGCAACCGTCCCGCATTCCCATGGTGAGAGTGCTGACTGCAGTTCTTCGCTCCCCGTATAATCTCTATAATCTGACTCCTTGCAGACGTCCCTTTAGGGCTCGGACTGTACGCAACCAATCAAAAAATTGAAAAGTTTCTTGAATGCGTTTGTTGATGTGTTTGTCATGCCGTTGCTATTTCCTATCCTACCTGGAAGGCTGGCGTAGAAATGGGGTATCACTGTAATCAATCGACTTTTCCTGCCCTGACCGCCTCGCCGCCTGTCAATCATGATTTGTCTTTCCGTTACACCTGCCCGATAGTGTAGCTGCCCGATATTTGCGTGAGCATGCCATGCCTTTCCATATTTGGTAGGCAGCTGTCACCATATGCATCGCGCGGCTCAACCGCGCGCCCCAACATCCCTAATATTGTCACCGCAAAGACTGCATCAGCTGTGTTGAAGACTGACAGGTGCATCCAAGACCCGTTTCCTCATCCAATCACGGTCCCCGTAAAGCTTCTCCTGGTAGATCTCATCCACGAGGTCGTTAACCATGTCCTCGACGATTTGTTCTTGATACCGCTCACCGATCGGGCGGGCATTGGGGTGTGCAGGGCCATCTTTCTCGTATCCGTACCACCAGGGTCCATCAAACTTGCACTCGATCGCTCCGCCAGTGTAATGGCTAATCGCCGGGTAATAACCTAGCAAGCCGTCGTCCACGTCGCCATGTCCTCCGGTGACGGCTCTACTGCCCTTCTCAATGTAAGAAGCAGGTGGCAGGAATGCAAAGAGGTGTTCCCAGACCACGCCATGGTATTTACCATTCACCCAGAGTTCAATCTTGCTGCCAGGTAGGGTGCGCAGGTGAGGGAGGTCATGGTTAGGATGGGGCTCGGTCACGAGGTCGTACTTCTTGCCAGTTTCTGGGTTGATGGATTTGTTTTTTGTATTCAGCGTGGGCCGGCTGAGATCGTGGTTGGGCGTGTATTCGGGGCATTCGAAGTAAGTCATGCCCTTGTGGAGGAAGGGATTGCGGTCGCGGATGATGTCGTGATCGGAGGGCGCAGAACATCCCAGCATCGGATTCAAGGCGGAGCGAATAGCATCTCGACCATTGTGTGATTTCTTGACAGGATCCTCCTTGGTCTTAGCCACGTCGCCATCCTTGGGTTTCGGTCCGCCCTTAGCAGACTTCTTCCCTGCGCCGTGCCTCTTTTTCATGACAGCTGGTCCACATTTGAGATCCGGGTACTCAGCCGGGTTGTAGGTACCCTCGACAACCTTTTTGTGTACCTCCAGCGACGGCAGCGTGATCATAAGCCCTACAACATCCCCCGGCGACAAGTCGTCGGGATCTTGTCCACCTTCACCCTGCATATGGTACATCATGGTATTGAACCGCACGCTGCCATACTCTCTCGCCCTCCCACTCCTCAAAATGACAGCATAAGAGTAGGCATTGCCGCCCAGGTTCTCGCTCCAATGGTGTTCACGTCTGCAGAAACCCACTCTCAGACCGCCTCGACTCGTTGACGTTCTGTCCGAGTTCTGAGTCTCTGCCAGCGCGCGATCCGGGGCTTCTCGACCTGGCGGGGCAATACTAATGACCTTGGCTTCGAAGAAGAACTGTCCTTCCCGAGCAAAGACATTTGCCCTTGTAGTGTAGCTACCAAACTCCCCACTCTTGCCCAACATGTCCTTGGTAAAGACATTCTTGAGATTCTCGACGCCACATTGGGGGTGATTCTCGTCGCTGAGACGGGCGTAACGCGGAGGCGGCTCGTCGGCATGAAAGTAGAAAGTGGCAGGGTCTCGCTTCGCGCGAATGTAATAACGTTTCTCTTTACTCTCGACGCTGTTTCCTCGAGGTTAGCGATTCCACTCGCATGAGGGGAGATGAAAGGGTCTGTACTGAGTCCCCAGAGTGTAGAAGTCGGTTTTGTCACCCTTCGGGGCTATCTTAGAGTGGTCAAAGAACTTTGGGACCTCTTTCTGATCTTGCAAAAATTTAGGGTCATTGGGCGCAATGTAGGTGGGAAGAGCCACAGGTTTCTCGTCCTCGACCCGGTCAACCTTGGCCGAAACTTGTTCCTTGAGCTTTTCGCTTGGCTTTTTCTCCCGATGGCCACGGCCTGAAGTCTCGTCCATGCCGGGCTCAGGCGCAGATTCAGGCTCGAGGTCAGGTTCGGGCTTGACTCTCTTTCTGGGGGTAACGGGAATTTTGAAGGTGACCTTGTCGCGTGTCGGCATCGTGTCTCGCCGCAGTCTGCAGTGGTGAGCACTTATCGGATCGGATAAACCTCGGGCCGATATAGATATATGGAAGAGTGAGTTTGAAAGAGACAAACAGAACGAATAGATGCACATTGGGCTCCAAGTGCGAAATTCACTTGTCACTTTCACTCCTTAGTACACGATATTGAGTCACAGACACTGTTGCAAGTCCAAGTCATGGCCAAGAGAGTTTCCTATATCCTGTGACTTCATTGTTCTATCAGCTCCCTTTGAACCACCCTCCCAGAAAGCGGTAGGCAGCCAGTACATCTCCTACAGGACCAGTATCTCGTGCAAGCCCAATGAAGCTCAAGAACCAGCCTTCCACAATCCACCTTGCGACGAACCCAGAAATCGCCAAACCAGTGGCAATTATATATCCACAGTTGAGTAAGATCAGCAATGCCTCGATATTGTTAAGGAGGACCGCCCAGCCCACATAATTTGTCGCTCGAAAGGCAAAGCCAAATGAGTCGCTTTCCTTTGTCTCTGTTGGCCATATGACTAAAAGGATAGGAAACAACTTGGTGCAGCTGGAGACTAACAGGGCAGTGCTGATGGCGCTGGGACTGGCACGGCTTGTGGCAATGGTAGGGCGATTGTCGGAGGTTGAGCAGGAGGCCGTTGTGGGCGTCGCATCTGCGAGAGACTGTTCCTGCCTTTTCTGGTAGGCCACGAGCATCCGGACCAATGCTCGAATGGTGCCATGTTGGGCAAACGTCGCTAGGACATTCATGGTCAAAAAGAAAAGATATTGTGCTAAAATGGGCGTCTCGCTGAGCCGCGATCCCACAGCAGGGCCCCCGTTTGTTGCATTTGACTTTTCAATCCTTGCCCAGGTGATGTAGACATCGAACAGGACAAGCAATGTACCCAGACGCAAGATACTGGGATCGAACTTGTCATCTGAGCGCCCCAGCCTGTTGAAGAGAAGATGGCGATAGACCTACCCTTCCGTCAAACAAAGCATGAGAGACACAGACAATCTGCTCACCTGCGGTTTTATCAACACGAGATCGATGAATAGGACGACAAAGTCATGTTCGACATATTTGTCGGCGAAGCGTTTGCAGTTGGGGCATTGTGTCAGGCGAACGCCTTTGCCCAGGGTTCGGTCATCTGCTTTGCTGTAGACTGTGTATAGCTCCTTGACCGGAGTACTGCAAGTGATGCATATGGGCATGCCTGCCTTGAACGGAAATGCGGGATTGCAGATAGTGTCGCATTAGGGGGGATGGTAGGAGGGAGGGTAGGAGAGATGGCAGTGGCTAGTATGAGGCGGAAGTGAGTCGAAAGGGCAACTATGCCGGCAGCAAGCGAAAATCCCACAATCACCGTCGTCACTTTCTCGACTCATTCTCATCTGTCAACATGAATTCTGTCTGCCTGCAGAAGTTCAGCATATTTTCGCACAATGTGCTTGATGCGGCTTAGCGATGTCTGCCTCGTGCAATGCTTTCCTATCCTCTACCATTCACAACCAAGTGAGCAGTGGAAGCGGACCCTCCTTGCCTCTTAGGTTCAGCCTCCCTCGCCCCTGAGATCAGCTTGATTGATTGGCTCGAGGTGTGATCCATTTCCGGTATAGAGGGACTTAGAGACTTCCAACCTACCTAGCGAGCTACCTAGCGAGCTAGGTATCCAGCGTCGCCAGGAGCCGAACTCCCTCTATCCCTCTTTGGGCAGATTCCGCGAGAAAGCCTCGCGGTCAAGCAAAAGAGGCTATGACGGCGTGACGGGAAGGCCTCGCATCGTATTCGTGTTTCATGGTTTCATATGGCAGGTATACAAGGTAGGTTGTGTGATGGAAATTGATATAAGTGTTTTCCCCCATCCCTTCTCCCGTTCATTTATCTCGAGTGCCTTTCTCCCATATTCCGTCTTCGAGCCAGTTTTCGCATCCCGCCATGGTGTTCATATACACATATCGCAAAATCAGGGCGTATCGTGCTCGTAAAGCCGCTGAAGCTGAAGCCCAAAATCAAATATCAACGACTGCGGGCTCAGACTCATCAACCGCACCAACCAACCCCAAGTCACCATCCAATACCTCCAAGAAGACAAAGCCATGCCCGCAATGCACTCGAGAAAAGAGCAAGGCCCGCAAATACCGATGGAAACTCCTTTTCTGCCTGCTTCCTGCATTCTTTAATGCCAGTCTGGACTTGACTATCGTCGCGACAGCATTGCCGCAAATTGCATCCCATTTCAGTCAGTACTATTCTGTCCCTCTTCGGGCTTGCCTTCTTCTTCCCGCGCAAACCACTGACCAAAATGCGACAGACAAGTTTAACCAGCTCAATTGGATCGTTACCGCCTTCACACTTACGTCGACAGCATTCATTCCCGTCTTCGGTCAATTAGCAGACACATTTGGCCGTCATACTACCTTGCAGAGTGCCGTGGTCACCTTGACCATTGGAAGCGTCCTTTGCGCTGCGACCCCAAACTGGGCCGTCCTCCTCCTCGGCCGTGCACTGCAAGGCATGGGCACTGCGGGAATACAGAATGTCACTATGATCGTTCTCGCGGATTCAGTGTCCTTGAGAGATCAGGCTGTCAACACAAGTATTTTTCAGTTGTTGAATGGAATTGGCTATGGTGAGTACTGCCCTGTTTTCGCGAGCCCATGAGATGTACCTTTTTTGGTAACCTGTCTCTTTTCTCAGCCGTTGGACCCATCATAGGCGGGTACCTAACGAACGCAAACTGGCGATACTGCTTTGTTCTGGGCGCGGGCATTTCCGTCATAAGCATTGTCACCATCTTTCTCCTCAGGAACGACCTCAAGGCAGGCAGAGTCTCCATCTCGCACCCTGCGCCAAACTCCAGCCGCCTCCAAGCACTGACGAACGGCCTCTCTACACTCGACTTTGGCGGCATCGTCCTGTTCATATTCGGAGTCGGTCTCGTCATCTTGGGAACAGCCTGGGGTGGTTCAACATACCCCTGGTCCTCCGCTGCCGTTCTCGCGCCAATCATCATCGGTGCCATTCTCATTGTCCTCTTCTTGTTCTATGAGAAGCTCCTTTCTTCTCCGACGAGCTTCCTCTCACGCCACCTACCACAAGGCACTGTGCCCATGATCCCATCGTCGATCCTCTCCTCCAAAGACGTCACTCTTATCTGCTTCATCGCCGCCGGCACCGGCGCCGCGCTCTACAGCGTCTTCTACTTCATCGGCATCTATTTTACGTTGGTTGAAGGGTACGCGGCCTCCCACGCCGGCGAACAACTTTTATACTACGTCCCCGGGATAGGAGTCGGCGTATATTTCGCAATATTCGTCTGCAATGTCTACCCGAGACAGACATTCCCGCCGCTGGTCACGGGCACCATCATTGAAAACGCCGGGATCGCCGTGCTTGCCTACGCGGTCAAAGTCAAGAATGAGACACTGGTCAACGTGATGATGGGCATCGCGGGAGCTGGCACGGGTATGCGCTTCATGCCTTCCAACCTACATTTGGCGGGCATGTTTCGCGACCGGTTGGCCCCGGCATATTCGCTTTTGAGATTCGCTTTGCCGTTTGGCGGCACCCTCGCACTCACTATCATGGGCTCGGTGTTTCAGAACCAGATGAGCGAGTACTTTGGCTCCAGCGCCGTCAACTCGGGCAACACGAACAACACTAACAACGGGACATCCGTGGGCTTCAGCCTGCACAACCAAGCCTCCCTCGACCTGATCAAGAACCTTCCACCGGCCGAACAGAAAGCCATCCGCTCGCAAGGCGCCACCGCGACCATGTGGGCGTTTATATCCATCCTGCCGATCCTGGGGCTGAGCTTGCTGGCCAGCCTGTTCCTGGGGAACGTGTGGATCTCGAAGAAAAAGCAGGGAAAGGGGGCGGCGGCGGCGGCGGCGTCGGACGCGGAAAAGGCAGAAGCGGAAGGGGCCGAGGACCTCCGCGACCGCGAAGACGGCCTGTGTCGCCGCCACGCTGCCTCTGTCGCCGCGGACGACGGTGCGTCGTCGGCAGCGGCTGGCGCAGCCGTGGAGAAGAAGCACGAGGAGCAGCGAAACGAAGTCGAATACATCAGCGAGGTGTTCCTCCTCGCGGTTGCCAGGGGCGACGTGCGCAGACTGAAGAGAAAGGGCGCATCGGAGGAGGAGGTGGCGGTCGTTAGTACCTCGCAGTCACGCGGAGGAGGAAGTAGAGCACCTGCAGGTGGACAAGGGACGCACTTGCAGATGAAATTGGATGGAGGTGCGTGAAAGAAACCTGCTATCAGCGGGAGGAAATCGGGCCCTCCGGCTGAGGGGGCGATAGACATACATATTCACAGTTTCTGGGAGCGTGGGCGTTAGCGGACATTTGGGTAGCATAGCGTATGGGTACCTCGTAAGAGGGGAGAGTGTTCTGCATAGATAAGCGGCTTGCTTTAGACCTTATATAACTTGTATCTATAGATTGTTGTCGCCATCTACATCTGATTTCCATGTTTATTGTGTGTATCCAGTCATATATCATAAGTCACCTACCTACCTAGCTAGACTGTACATTGTAATATTGCTTGTCCTGGTTTCCAGTCTCGTCTAATCAGCAATCTTCTTCCCGTCCGCCCACGTAGGCTTCACGGTCCTGCACACACTTTCGTAATCCAAAAAGACGTCCGTCTTGTTCCCACCGTCAAAGATGCCCGGCGTCGTCCAAAACATGGTCCAGTTGGTCTCCGGAATCTTCCACGTGCCCCTGGACCGTTCAAAGTACCACTTATTCACCGGGTTGTCCTTCCGACTGCGCCAGCAGACGCCCCTCGGAAAACACGTGCGCACCATGGCATTGAACACAATGTCCGCCACGCCGCCGGCGCCTTGGGACTTTTTGAGGACGGCGAATTTGTCGAGGTAAGGGACTAGACGGTCTGTGTCGTCGTCAGAGCAACCCGGCGGCGTTTCCCACGTGAGGATGGCGCCGCCTTCGTATTCACCTGCGATGATCACACCGGCGATTCGGTCATTGACGCGGTTCAGATATGCTTCCACGTCGAGCTTTCGGTTGAAAGAGTCGTCGATGAGGTATGTCAGACGATCCAGGTCGATTCTGGGGTCGGTCAGTTGCAGACGAGGCTTTGACGCACCAGTCCAGATCTGAGCCTCTGGGTTGGGCAAGATGGTCAGCGGCATGCCCCGTTTCACAAAAGTGGAAGTCGTCACGGGTATTGAAGATGTGTCGTGTGTCAGTCTGCCTGTAGGCAAAGATGATGAATACGCCGGCTTATCGGTCAACAAATTATGGATTAGAGGGTTCTTCTGCCTTCTCGTCCCGACGCCTGACACTCCGCTATCGTTCAACCTGGCACTATTCGCGGCTTCCAGAGGCGTAGTCAGCAAACCAGACGAAGAAGATGGGAGCATCTTCAGTGCGTCACGAAACAACTTCAGATTCGAGGCATGCTTCTGAGAAACGCTTCCTTCAGTTGAGCTCCTCAACTCCTCCTGCAAGGCGGAATATTCTTGCTCCAGATTGACGAAAACATGCTTTTCGTCGATGGACTTTGTGCTCGGGATGGACCCAGTCTCATCAACAACAATGATCCTCTCCAAGGAAATCTGTTTACGCTCCGTCTCGAGCTGCTTTCCCTCTGGAGGGCTGGAGATGTGACCGGAAAGTTCTCTGGTCAAGCCCAGCAGAGCCTCGTCAGCTGTGATAGAGACAGCTTGGGACCGTTCCGCGGAATAAGCCACTGGAAGGACGATTGGTATCCTGCCCCGCCTCAGAGGACGGGTCAACAATTTTCGTAGGAAAACTTGAGGCCTGCCGTCGGCACCGAAACTCAGAAGATTGTCAAGTATTCTCGCGCCCGAAGGGTGGACGGCGTCAATGACAGCAACCAGTTTATCTGCAGCCCGGGTGAGGCTTTCCCTTGTTGCTCGTGGAGTTTCCTCCTGAGGTACCTCCAAGACGACACAAGGTGCCATGCTGAGACGAGAAAGAGAAGACAAGGTTTGAGCGATGCCCTTCACAATGCCGTCAGCCATGGCATTGATGTTGCTGATCTTGACGAGGGCAACATGTAGGGTCTCTAGCTCTTCCAATGCTGAATGTTGTGCATTTTCAGACTGTTTAAAGACCGGGCTGTCCTCCGAGGCTCTGGTACGACCGAGCAGGTCTCCCGCCTTGACCTGGGGCTGCTGTCTCTGCGGGCCATGTTTCTGCTCCGGAGCAGCCTTTGTTGGGTTCTTCAGCCAAGATATATAGCCCTTTGCATCTCTTTTGGTTGCTGCCGAGCTCAACAGGCTTGTGAAGAACTCCCTGTTTGCGAGACGCTGTTTGGCTCTCTCGGTAAAAGAAGTTTGCCGGTCCTGCTGCACGCGATCTGGAGGGTTGTGTGACGCATGGTCATCGGTCCGTGGAGCGGGCTGAGTAGAGTAGCAACGAGAATTGGATCGGGAGAGGAGCGAGGGGGAGCATGGGTGGGAGATGAAGTAGGCCTTCAAGGCTTCAGCAGCGACGTTTCTGCATGTAAACTGTGAAGTATAATGACTCCGAGCTGAACTCAAGGCGGTGTGGTTCATGTTTCCGCAGGGTAGTCAACAAGAATGGAGGACCCAAAGCCCAACAAGTGTATGAGAAGGTCACCCGGGCATGTATCCTGCCACGAGGTATATGTCAAGCAGCCCTGCGCAGATTTTCATTGTGCAGCCACCCATGCAGCCACTCATGCAGCCACTCATGCATCGAGGGGGAAAATTTGGTGACGCTGATGGCACAAGCGAAGCAAAGATACTGCCGGTTCGAGCCAGAGCGCAGCCTTCACCGCCCTGATCAAATTCAAAGATGATTGGCTGAATACTCGACCCCTCAGTACCAGGGGAAAATCCTTCTGCTCCAACAACATTCCAAGGCGTGCAAGGCTTCCTTTTTCTTTGCCTACGCTCCACGCCTTCACGCGCAGCCCTCGCTCTGAGTATCGGTGTTAAGGGATGAAGAGATGGTTTGTGTTGCCATTCATCTTTGCAAATGCTGACCAAGTCGTTGCTATACCTCTGCCACCCGTCTTCTCCCGAACTTCCAGGGGGCCTTTCAGCCTTGTTTGTACGATGAACCTCGTATATTCGTCCAATCGTTCGACTTTGTCAGCCTCGGAATGTCTCCGCATGTTCCCATCTCGGACTTATCGAATAATTTATTACGACCGACGTCATGAGCGCCGAGGGTCCAGCGGGGGGAAACGGACAAGGCTGTCTTCTGACGCGTTCCATCTCAATTGATATGTCAAAGGTATAAAAACTGCTAAAACCCCAAGTGCCAGTAGGTGCATGAACTCATCTGGGCACATTGCCTCGAAAAGTCACAAGCTCTCATTCCTAGTGCACTTGAATTTCAACTCCATATTGATACTTCTGACAAGATGGCGCCTCAATTGGCTTGGCTAGGGCTGGGGAATATGGGCAGGGTAAGTACAACTAATCTGGCAGGCCATTGTGCTATACTAACTCCCACTCTAGGGCATGTGCAAGAACTTGGTCGAGAAGGGCAACCTATCCAACCCGCTGATCATTTTCAACCGCACCCCGCAACGGGCCCATGACCTCGCCGAAAAGATCGGCCACGCGACCGTGGCTTCCTCCGTGCAAGAAGCCGCCTCCAAAGCAGACATTATATTCTATTGTCTAGGCGACGACCCAGCCGTGCTCTCGACCCTCGAAGAGGTCCTGAAAACCGATGTCAAGGGCAAGCTGATTGTCGACTGCAGCACGGTCCATCCCGAGACCACGGCCAAGGAAGAAAAGATGGTGGAAGAAAAGGGAGCCAGCTTCGTGGCCTGTCCCGTCTTTGGAGCCCCGGCCATGGCTGACGCTGGCCAGCTGATATGCGTCGTGGCGGGCAAACCTGACGCGGTGCAAAAGGTGCTGCCATACTGCAAGGGTGTCATGGGCCGGGCCAATGTGGATTTCTCGGGTCAGGAGCCGAGAAAGGCCACACTCCTCAAGATCATTGGCAACACCTTTGTCTTGGGCATGGTCAACGCCCTGTCTGAGGGGCATGTCCTGGCCGAGAACTCCGGTCTCGGTGTCGACGAGCTTCACAAATTCATCGAAGCCATGTTCCCGGGACCATACACGGCCTACTCGAACAGGATGAAAAGCGGCGACTACTACACGCGGCCGGAACCGCTGTTCGCCGTGGACCTGGCGCGAAAAGACGCAAGGCACGCCATGGATTTGGCCAAGCGGAGCGGGTGCCGAATGCGCCAGGTCGAAGTCGGGGACGATTATTTGAAGACGGTCAAGGAGACGGTGGGTGAGAAGGGCGACATTGCCGGTATCTATGGCGCCGTAAGACTGCAAGGCGGGTTGAAGTTTGGAAACCAAGACTAGTCAGTGTTACCAAGAGAGTGAGCGGCCGGTCGAACCACTGGGTGGTGAGTGTAGGATTATGGACCAGACTTAGAGAAAATACCCACCCCTAGAGGTGTATATCCTACTTGTACGAGGGAGGTCCATGGCCAGCCTGCTATGGACCTACATAGTTATGAAGCTGTGGAACCAGGCAGCTGCCCAGGGCGGACGAATGCTAGAAACCAGATATAGGACGCCCAACTAGTCCTGGACTCGTGTTGCGCACCCTCCTGCAAAGTACGAAAGAACAACGCAGTGAGATCCCGACAGGTGCTCCGTGCACCGCATCACTGAGTGTTACAGCATATCGAGACGTGCCACAACGTCGGTCAATCAATTGGCGTGATTCTGGCGCACTTGAGAGGTCTCTGTTTCCTCTGTAGGCTCTCGATTTTTGGTGTACGTAAGTTTTGCTCGCTGATTTGTTCATCGGCTCGCTCGCTTCTTGCACCAAGCCACGGTTACACTTTCGTATTAGGGACCTCGTTTACAGGAACCTTGGTATACTTAAAAGCTTACTTGAGGCAGCTGAGCAAGGGACGGGCTGCTTAGTCCACCGGCAGTCTGGGCGTCTAGGCAGCTCAACCTGTTCAGGGAGATGTAAGCGAAACCACCCCATCTCTCCGTCCAGACTCCCGCGTGGTTATAATTCTATTTTTTTTTCTCTTCTCGATAATTGCATCCGATGCGACGGACTGAAGCCTATCTTCACGAGGGCTGATACATGTCTCCTCGGAAACTGACATTCTTTGTAGCGCACATCGTCAACCGCATCTGCTGTCGTAGCAGTGATGAAATGCCTTTTTGGGGTGTAACCTTCACAGCCCGCATCGTATTGAATTCATCACGAGATTCAAGGTAAGTTTGAATACCTATATATGGCCTGAATCGGGATACGGTCCCAGAACCCAGAGGCGGTCTCTTTCAGCCCTCGACAACCTATTTTGAGAACAACGTATCCCTCAAACCCCTTGTATATCAATTCTTCGCACAGAAGCCATGAAAGTCATCATCATTGGGAGTGGCCTAGCCGGCCCGGCAATGGCGCTCGCACTGCACCGCCACGGCATCTCGTGCAAAGTCTTCGACCTGCGCGACGAGGCCGCGTTCGACGGCGGTTTCGTGGCGCTGGCCCCAAATGCGCTGCGCGCCCTCGACCGGATCGGGGTGTACGACCGGGTCAGGACGCAAGGGTGGAACTACGAGGAGTTTCGGTTCCTGTCGTCCAGAAACCTGAGCCGGATCGCGACGGTGCTGAACGGCAGCGTCGACAAATACGGGTACAAAGCGGTGCGCGTTTCGCGCGGCATCGTCCGGCAGACGCTGGTGGATGCGCTCCGGCAGCGGGACATCGAGCTGCACCTCGACAGCAAGTGCGTGCAGATTCAAGAGACCGACCACGACACCGTCATTGCCACCTTTGAGGACGGGCGTACAGAGGAGGCCGACTTCCTCGTCGGTGCTGATGGCATCCACTCGCGCGTGCGTCGACACCTCGAGCCCACCGCCGTGCCCACCTTCAGCGGCCAACTCGGCGTCGGCGGATCCCTTGCCAGAACCAAGCTGCAGCAGCAACCGGGGAGAGAAATGTACATGCCGTGTCTGATACTGGGCAAGCTGAATTCGTTCATGTTCATGCCCTGCACGTACACGGGGGACCGGGTGAGTTGCTTCGCGACCGTCGAGGCGGGGGACCGGAGTCGCGAGGAATGGGCGACGCTCCAGAATGACGAGCAGGCGCTGTACAAGATGTTGCAGTCGCACCATGAGAACGAGACGTGGCCGGAGATTGTCCGCGTCGCGTCGCAGGGCGTCGACATGTCCTCGCTTTCCCTGTGGCCGTAGGTCGACAAAAGCACACTTATTCTGCTGGTGGCAAAAACTTACGAGTGACACAGGTATTACAAAGTCCCCGAACTGACCTCCTGGTCCAGCGCCTCCAGCAGGGTCATGGTCATCGGCGACGCCGCGCACGCCATGCCTCCCACGGGCGGCCAGGGCGCGGCGATGGCGTTCGAGGACGCGCTGACTCTGGCCGACACTCTGGCCCTGCTGCTCCCGGACAAAAAGGAGTCTCAGCGGCATCAAGACCACCTGCTGGAACAATGGCAGACACTCCGCAAGGATCGCGTCAAGAAGATCCTCGCCTTCACCTCCAAGGGCGGGGACATGCGGAAGTCGTCGCCCAGCACCTTGCAGCAGATCGTCAAGGAGTGGGTCATGTGGGCGTACTTCCTGTTCATCGGCGAGGACGCGGGATTGTCGTGGATTTATGAATATGATACGCGGAAATTTCCTGGCTACCTTAAGGTACTGTAGGTAGGCATTGAGGGACAAGGGGTCTCCTGATGTTGGGATTTGGGGCGTTTGGAAAATTCATGCTTGCCCACGTCCACGGGATCCAGGGCCGGAAGGAAACATATTGATGTATGTGTACCCTGCTTATGTCCTATTGTATTAGGTCGGCGGCGGGCGGCAGCGGCGGCGTGACTTGTCAAAATATCATGTATCATTACTCCTCTATTCCCCACGACCAAGTATTTCCACTCCAGGATAATGAAATACCGTACTCGTTCCAGTGACAAGGGTATTTCAGACGTCTTTGCAATCGGAGAATCCTCTGGCTAAGAGAACCGACCCAAGCCAGGTCGAGAGGCGCGCGTCCTGTAGCCCACTGTAAACCCTGTCAACCAGTTGTGCTCGAATTTGACCAGTCCTGCAGGGTAGGTAGGTCAGACCAGGCCAGATCATGGTCATATCGAGTGACTGGTAAGAAGCAGGGTATGGACCCCCAAAAAAGGTAGGAAGGCAGGGGGGGTCGAGTGTCGATCAGGCGGACCAAGGGGGACTCGGATGGATAGATAGATGTATGGATGGACGGATGGGATAGATGCAGGGGCTCGCCTTGCCTTTCCTTGCCTTGCCGTGCCGATCGCTCATGCATTCATGCATGCATGGTACTTACGGTCGATAGCCTCGAGACTGTGAGACGTACGAGGTACTTCCTAGGTGGCTTTTAAACTACTCAACACAAGTGTGCAGATCAGACGAGAGGACATATACATGCCTCCGTCCATAGCACCAATAGATTGGTCCAGTTTCCGTACAGCCTACGTCCCCGTCACTTTAGGAACTTACTGAATGGTTGATATCGATCGTATGGCGGGTATAGATAGAGGCAACTCGAATGCATACAATCCGTCCCCCCATCCACCCCTTTGGCCGAAATTCCACTTCTGCAAACAATCCTCGTCTTACCCCATAGATCATCGCTTCTCGCCTTGCGTTCCTTCAGACCAACGAACGAACCACTCCGCCTTGCTACGGAGATGTCGTTGGCCTCCTCCTCCCATCTCCTCTCCCGTGAACATGTAACTTATATTTCTTCTTTCTGTAGATAGGTAGGTAGGCGGGGGTGACACCACTAGGGAAATACCCTGGGATGCTGGTCGGGCAAAATCTCAACGGTCATGTAGAACCTGTCTCCAAATAAAATTCAGTCACTTCCTCCCAAAAAATAAAGAACGCTCAGAATGCCGCATGATCGCTCCCCGTCTCACTGCCGCCATCGCTCCTCGTGTCGTCCCACTGCTCATTTGAATCCCACTCGAAGAGATCCTGCAGCCGCAGTTGGGAATTACTTTCGGCGAGCACCACCACCTCTTCCAGAGACCCGTCGTCTCGCTTCCTCATCTTCTTCTCCTCCACAGTCCACTTCCCCCGCTCCTTGAGCAATTCTTCCAGGTCGCGCTTCATGCCCTGGGTAAACGTGTGGTTCTTGCCCAGCATCTTGAGGCGTCCCTCGAGAACTTGCCAGTACAAGTCCTCCGTCAGGTCCACATGGCCCTGCCGCTGATACAGCAGGGCGAGTAAGCGGAGACTCTCGAGTCTTCGGGGGTGATTGTCGCCCAGGGTGTCCTTCGAGTCCCTGATGGCGCGTCTCAGGACGGTTGCGGCCTCTTCGATACGGTTCTGCCGCTCCAGCGCGCGATGCAGATTCGTCAGCGCCGAGATGGACTGTAGGTGTTTGGGCCCCAGCACGGTCGATGAAATCTTGTAGACTTCCCGCAGGACCAGTTCGGCTTCGGGCAGATTCCACTCCACATTCAACATGAATCCGTAACAATACTTGGACGCGATGGACCGGGGATCTTCCGGGCCGTGCTGCTGGACAAACTGCTCGTGCACCTCGTGGAGCGTTTGGCTTGTGATGTCGCGGTTTCGCATCTGTCCATTCGCCACGTAGACCATCCACCGCACAATGGTCGCGAGCGGGTGGCTCGGCCCCAATAACCGTTCCGCGACCAGATACGCACTCTGCATGATCGTCTTGGTGATCTCGCCTTGGTCGTGCATCTGCAGGATCTGTAATGTCTGATTGAGCGCCAACAAGACTTTGGGATCTTGTCGTGGGACGAGCATCTTTCTAAATTCGGCGTCGGCATCGGCTAGGCTTCGTTGCGATAACGTATGGTTGCCCCGTCGCAGATAGATGCAGGCGGCGAAGCACCGTGCGACCCACTTCCACGAATGCTGGTGGCCTCGCGAGCTAGCAGGGATCGAGATGGTACTTTCCGGGAGATCCTGCGTGGCATTTAAAATGTTGCGAGGTAAATGAGGCATCTCCAGGTTCGGTAGACTGATAAAGTGCTCTCGGGTGGATTCATGGCACGTCGGACAGATCTGTTCATAATCCATCGAGTCCTCGGACGAGCTGTCGGTGAACAAGAGCGCCCAGCTCCGGATGTCATCGTGCCCGCAAAGTGACTTCAACGACGGGGCATCGACCAGTTGCAGGGCCATGTATTCAACGTCTCGGCCTAACTGGCTGCAAGGCATGGCGGGGCTGGTGTCATAGACAGTGCCAGCATGGCGCACCTGGTCTTCAACGGTGGCCAGTGCTTCGTTGGCGGCAGGATAAGTATATGACCGAGCCGCCGACAAGGGGCGATCTTCCGGAGAAGAGACGACATGGGCGCGTGACGACGAAGATGGTGAAGTATCCGGCGAGTACGTGGTAGCAGTGGTGGTGGCGCTTCCTTGGGAAGGAAAATAAGGACCACGCCCTTGAGGCGGTGATACGGTCAGCGGGAAATATGGCGAGGCTGCGTGGTGGGGTGACCACCTCAGCGAAGGACTAGCAGGGGAATGATGGTGGGCGAATGCCGAGGTGGGGGCTGTGACACACGAGGCTGGTCCTGGGGCACTTGAGACCGACTCTGACGCAGCTCCTCCTGCCCTAGGCGAATCCTTTGCTGCGATCTCGGCCGGCGGTGGTCTGGTGGGAGTGGATGACGGAGGCGGTGCTTCTTCGGCCTCTGCCTCAGGCTCGGGAGTATAGGCTCGGACATGAGCATATTGCTCGTGTTGTTGGTCGGCGGCAGAACTACATTTGACGTTGGCAAGGGCAGAGGCGAGGAAGTCCTCCTCGGTCATCTTCCGGCCCTTGATGTATTTGTGAAGGTCTTTGAGAGAGCGCTTGTGGCCATGGATCACAAACGCCGTCGAACGTTTACCGCTTTTTTGGCGGGTGTGGTGCAGCACCGCACCTGCGAGCTTGTCGTCAGCACAGGCAAAGCCAAGAGCACCGGTCACAAGCAGAAGAAACAGAAAAATATGCTGGCAAACATGACTACGAATCATTCAAGAAGGGGGCAGTGTAGACTTACATATCTGATAGTCCTTGTCGGAGTAGTTCTTAGTGATTCCCCACTGCGACAGTCGGGCTTTATACATCCGCTCCCTGTTTCAAGGAATCAGCAAGAATGCACGGGACGTTGAGCTCCAGAGAAGAATCAGACGAGTGGCTGGGGTTTCGGCAGCTTTTGCCCATACAAGGTCAACTCACGTTGCGCGGAAATTGTGCCGGTCTAATAGTATTCTCCTGACATCTCTCAAGGGGTGCTTCTCATAAAGGATCCTGATCTCCTCCTTCACCGCTTGCCATTGAGCGGGAGCGGGGCCTTCGCGCGCCTCCAGTTGAGCAGAAGAGGCGGGCGCCTGGGTTGATGCTGGTGGTGCTTGAGCAACATTGTCGACGGTCCATCCACGAGGATTGCCCAGGCTCAGGGCCATTGACTTGATGTTGTTCTGCCGTGCTCAGCGATCATCACTGCCTAAAGGGAAGTTAGGAATTTTCCAAAACCCGCCGAACCTAGTCAGCTTTTTTGCAGCAAGGAGAAAAAAGCTCGACAATAAGGAAAAGCTTTGCCTGGCCTGGTCCGGCTGTACGCGGTTCCTGTGGGCAAGAAAGGAAAAAAAAGGAAAAAAAGGGTAATGTGTTGCCTTGCGAGAAGCGGCCTGTCACAGAGGAAGTCGACGAGGAGGGGTAATTTGGGTGGCCCGTGTCGTGGCCCTGGTAGCCCTTGATGAGACCATGCATCTCAACAGCTACAGGTGCTGGTGGGCAGTGGTGGCCCAGTTCCAAGGGCCCGTTGGATATGCAAAGTCCCTTCTGTAGCCCAATCAACGCCCACTCCGGCCACGGCGGCGTGGGTTTAGCTTGACACGTAGCCGACAAAGTAAGATTGCGGCCAAAACAAAGGCTGAAACCCTGGCTAGTGAAGGCCCCTCGACGGCGATAGCGGCCTCCAGCCTCGAGCGGTGCGCAGGATCATCACCCGGGAGCACATTAGGAAAGGCAAAGACTTTCTGTGGAACTTCAGGGGGAGCATCTGATGTTTTTAAATACTTCCGGTGCGTCACTGTCATCGGGCAATCCCCAGAGAAACCCTTCTTCGAGGCATCCGGGTTACGGTTCTTCCCCGGTCCTGCCGCTGGACTGGCTCGCCTTTTCCCCTGGTTGGACCGGCAATCTGTGTGGAACTTTACGCCAATAAGACGATTGATTGCTCAAACTGAACTTGAAGAGGTTTTCTTCTCTCCCTTACCATGACACTTGGCAAGTGCCCAGTCTTAGTGTGGCTGGGAGGAGCAATGGCAGGTTGCTTCAACTGCAATCTATTGACGGAAGGCACCAGCCACAATGAGTCTGATCCCAGAGCAGAAATTACGGGTAGGTACGTATACAGTGGATATGCTAAGAGATGGTAAAAGGAACAAGGTTGGTATTCTAGGGCTCGCATACAAGGAAGCGGATGCTACCTGGTGCCCGCTTCCCTTCCTTTCCCCGTTACCATCCGCTGACCAAAGCCTGTTTGATGTCCACCATCTGGCCTGACTGTCCAACCAATCCAATGCTTGCACAACCATAGTCTTTCGATATCAGCTTCATCAATCAATCGGAAAGTTTGCGTTAATGGATGAGTAAGGCTCGGTCCGAATTCTAAAGCCGCCATATGACGAACCCGTCTCCGTTGCTGTCCATACCATAAGCACAGGTTCAACTTCCCAGAATATACCTGTCGGCATTATGTTTAACTCAATCTGCGAGACCCATGGATGCTAGACGAGGACGATAACAACCTGCCCAAACGACTGTCGGTAAGACATTTGGCCACCGCGTCGAAGGGAGCCCAACACCAAAGGCGGGGCTAAAAGAAATAAAAGATTCAGCAACTGATCCAGATCGGTCAACGGTAACGGTAGGCAGAAGGGAGGCTCCCCATAACAAAAGCTGTCAGCATGGTAAAGGTCAATGAGACACTGGAGATTCTCGAATGGCATTTGCTGCTGTGTGGCTGAAGCTTTCTGCCGCCTCCTTTGGTTGTGACTGTAGGCGAAACCGCTTGGCGTCCTCCTTGTCCCTGTTCTCTAACAGGACCAGTCTATGGGATAAACAAATCGCCCCAAGTGCTCTCGTCTGAGCTAACGACCAGATCTCCGCCCCGACTGGTCAACCGTTGAGGGCCGACGATCTTGGGCACCTTGTGGTCGAGGAAAGTCCTCTTTGGAGTCTGTCGAGCCTTGTCGCGTTGCTTGGGGAGGGTAGTGTCGAGTTGTCACCGCCTTGTTTGCGTCGAAGGTATCAGGGCCGGGCTGTGATGGGGGTTGGGGGTTTGATGGCCCACGACTGATCATAGACTGCTGATAAGCTGGCGGCGGTTCAGACTCATGCGGCGCAACATTTGCATATCCAGTAGACTGATATGCACTGGGCATGTACTGACCAGGTTGTCCCGGTCTAGGCGCAAACGTTGCGGTGTTAACGGTGATGTTGAAACTCGGGGAGGGTTGGTCGGGTCTTGTTTGTCCTTGATAGTACGGACTCGGGCTCGGTTGAATGTTTTGCGACTGAGAATGGGTGGGATACTGGCTATACTGAGGTTGAGGCTGATGGTACGCAGGTTGCGGAGGGCTACCGGCCATGGTTGATGTAGCTCGCTCCTGCCGCCCTGTGTCAGCAGGCTCGTTTGTTACTTCTCGTTTGCCCCGAGGTTGCTGAGGTCGATTGGTGCCGCCTTCTGAAGGGCCTTTTTTGGCTCGACGCCTGGCAGTATCCGATTCTCTATAGTCGTACGGATCTTTTCTATACTCTCCTGCGAAATCAAATTGTGTCAACCCTTGTTGTTATGCTTCTCCCCAAGTAGGAACATGCATACTGCTTTGTGTCTCCAAGTCCCAGTCTTTAGAATCATTGATGAGATCGCGAATGCTAACCTAATCGCAAGGAAGGCGCTCAGTATTGGGGCCGGACTTCGCACAGTGGGAGAAGGCTCTTACGGCATTGAGCGCTCTTTTCGCTAGGACGCTGAAACCTGTTCTTGTTTTATCCTGGAGATGATCAGTCGAGACAACCACAAACTTGACCGGGGCTGAACTCACCGTGGGATGTTGGGCCGATGTAATCTTTGCAGTGCGATCCACCCATCGTGTAATGTAATCGACCAGCACGGCGGCGTTGATGTTTTCACCGGGTACGAAGAAGTGTATGGGTTGAAGGTCTTCATCGCTGTCGTCAGAGTCATTATCGTCGTCGCGCTTCAGCCTCTTGCCCGACTTTGAGGGTTGTTTAGGCATGACGATGGTAGGTCAGAGGAGCGTAGGCTAGAAGAACACGGATCACGGGAGAGGCTGTTAGCAGCGGCGCTCCGAGTCGTGATGAACCTCGGTCGCAACGCAGGCTAGCGGACTCAGGGCGAGGGCAATGGGAAATCGAATGAGCATGCTTGAAGGGATGAGGCGGATCCAGACTCGATGGGAGCCAAAGGGAGATTAACCTGGAAGACTCAGAGGTGACAAGATGATGCCTGGTTTTGGTTTGCGGCAGTTCAAAAACGCAGCCGCAGCCGATACATTTGCTGGCAGCTTGTCAGTTGGCCAGACGGGGTGCCGCAGGCATGTGCTGCAGGAATGGATGAGTTGTCAAGCAGGTTAAGTAAGAGCCACTGGCCGTCTGGCACAGGATCTGATTGCATGAGGGAAGCAAATGAAAAGGCAGAGTTCAAGGGCTGCGAGCGCGAGAACACATGATGCCCAGTGGGCAGCCAGGGCGACAATACCCCGCCGTCGTGCAGCACCGTTGGTGTATTTGCTGTTCGCTTTGAAGCTTGCCTTACCTGTCTGCTCCGAAGCGTGCCCACTTCTCGAGTCCCTCCAGCACCAGACTTGTTTCCAAGAACGTCACCCTCGGAGCGAGGTCCTCCGTGGATTACCGCAAGCGTGCTCATTGATGCCAGCACGAGGTGGGAACCCCCAAATCTTTGGCGCGTGTTTTTAGCGATATCTCAGGAACCAATGTGGCGGCTCGTTGTTGGATGATGGAAGATGGAAGACGAGCCGTGAGGGGCAGCAAAGCCCCATTCGAGCAGCCAGAGGCAAGGAGCAATCGGCCGATGGGCTCCCAGGAGAAATAATCCGCCTCAACCACCAGATATCTAACCGGTGAAGCCCTGATAATCAGATCTATTTGAAGTAAGTCATTGCCCTGGGTGTAGAGGGCAGCGACCCAGGATTCTGGCACGTAGATGGCGAGGGGCCGTTGGATGATCGTGGATGATCGAACGTGTTTGGTGCTGTCAGATTGGGGTCGGTCTCCCTGCAACGGCTTCACAAGGAAATGACACGCTGTGGGAATGTCGCCATACTGCCGAGCTGTGGGGCCGGATAAATCACCGACCAAGTGGAGGACAGACTGACTAGGCAGAGATTGGAGGGTGAGGAAGAGGGGTGTCCAGTGGAGGGGGCGAGGGCCACAATGCCTGATCGAGGAGCTCCGAAGACGGCCAAGTAACGGGTTGAAGTTGTGTATATATGGATATCCATACACGCAAATGTCGAGATCGTTGTCGAAACAAGGTTGTCACCATGTCAACGGCCCGGCAGGCACTACCATGGTCGACTCCCACACACCGCAGCCAGCTTACAGTACAAGCACGAAGCCTCCGACGTTAATGATGGCTCACCGCTTCTTCTCGGCCGCAGGGTCTGTTCCGGCAAGATCGACTAGTCGCCCAATGTGCGACTAACAGAGTATTGACATATAGCCATACTAGGGGTAGATATTTATGGAAAAGAGTGAATGGCAAAACGCAAGCAAGAGATGACGGCAATTCCGTTGAGGTCTCCAAAAGGGGAAGCCAGCCTCGTCCGCAACAGGTGCTCTTGACCACCTCAGTCCTCATTCTCCCTACCTGGGGTATTACTCCCAAACCCCGCCTCACCTTCACGCCCTCCCTCTCAATGAATTTAAGTCTGTGGTGCCGGCAGCTGGAAGCTAGCATCCTGGGTCAACGGGATGCTGGTGTTGATTGTGACAACCATGGTTGCATTGTTATATGAGAAGGTCGAATTCTGGGCACCAGGGATGTTTAGGCTTTGTGGCGCCGACCCCACGTTACAAACAGTGATCTGTTCGATACTGACATTTGCTGGATAGCTGTAGTTTCCGGACATCGAGAAAGCTCCGTCGGTGTATGTAAAGTTGATGAATGTTGTGCTGGGTTGCTCAATCATAAGCCCGTCGTCAATGTAGAGCGACCCATTAGCCGTTCCATCAGTGCCCGGTGCGATCAAGAGATGGAATCCTTTCGTACGCAACTCTGTTGTAGTGTTTGCACTTTGCACTCGAAGAGGGAGGATTGCACCGCCGCGAACATGGAGGGGAATGGTGGTGAAGCTGACGTTGTTCAAGGTAACCATCGACCCATTACCTTGCACCGGGCTGAACCCATGGTTCCAGTCGTAGAATATGTCGTCAGGCAGATAAATCTGTACTGTGGTTTTATTCGCAGCCGTGACTGGAGACACCAGCAATGAATCCCCGAAGAAGAATTGGGCATCGATGCCAAAAGTCTTCGAGTCTTGGGGATAAAGGTAGAACATAGGGTTCAACACAGGCTTTCCTGTTTGCGTCTGGGTCCAGAAAGCAGTATAGAGATAGTCGAGAGCACGGTAGCGAATGTCAATGGCGTTTCTCGACGCTTGTGCTGTGGTTGGCCAACGGTATGCTTCTTGAGGTCGATTTCCGGCTTCGTTATGATTGCGATAGAACGTCTGGAAAGCTCCTAACATCATCCAGCGCGCACAGAGCCGTTCGCTAGAGTTAGTACTATAACCGCAGACATCGCTGCCGACCATTGGAAGTTGGAAGATGGATGCAAAGTTCAACATATCCGAGATACTGATCTCGTAATCATCCCAGTCGGAAACGTTGTCCCCTGTCCAATGGCCGACATGGGCGCCAGCTCCAAGGAAGGTGCTGCGAGTGATAACCAATGGTCTCTCACCCGGACGTCGATTGAGAAGTGCGTTGCGTGAAGTCGAGGACATCATAGTCCCGTACATGTTGTGTGTGTCGTACTCAACCAATCCATTGTAATGAACAAGATTTGTGTTCAATGTCTTGTTTGACAGGCTACCCGCAGCATTCTGTATCATATAAGGAGGGTTGATGAGCTCCCTGCCCGGAAGACCTAGCATGTTGCCTGTAGCTGGGGTTTGTCGCTTGGAATTTGATGGTGGTTGGAAATCCGCAGGAAACCCGGGGAGGGCAATATCCGGACCACTTCGCAGCGCTGGTGGCTTTGGCGGGAAGCCATTTTCTTGAGCAAATGCGCTTGGGTTTGAACATGGATAGTTGCAAAAGCTAGGGAATAGTTAGCAAGCCAATGCGAAATGATAGGACGGCTCATACTTTGAGGCTTCGTTCATATCAATCCAAAGTCCAGATATGTCTACCCCAGTCTCGGGGCTGAAGAACGATGCAAACTCGCCATTCCAATAATCCTGGGTATCTGGATGAAACCAATCTGGGAAAACGGTTGGGCCGGGCCAGACCACGCCCTCAAATACGGATCCATCGGCTCTCTTCATGAAGACATCAGAATGATTGCCGTTGTTGAACGCCGAATAATTCTGATATGCGACTGCTGGATCCACCATCATGATATAATGCTGCTGATGGGCGTGGAGGTATGCTACCAGTTCGCGCATCTTATGCAGAGGGAAACGTTGTGGATCCAAAGTGAAGACCTTTCGGGCGTCCTAATTCCCATGTCAGCGGTATCCTAGTATGATTTCGGTGATCTTACCATATAGTCAATGTCCGTCCACATGGTCTGAGGGTGTTAGCCTAAATCCTCGTTCAAAGAGGGGTTGCTTACCTCCAAGGGAATGTTGGCGGCGCTATAATTGTACACAACTTCGGCCACTTCCCAAACATCTCTGTAGCCATATCTGCATTGGTGGAATCCGAAGGTCCAATACGCCATCATTGCCGGCTTGCCAACGACTTCGGAGATTTGCTCGGAGACTTCGATGGGAGAGGGTCCTGCCAGGAAGTAGAAGTCGAGGACACCCCCGAGGGTGTTATATTCCAGGTATTGACCAGCGGTGTCGTTAATCTTGATATCCATACCGTTCGAATTCAAGAACAGCACACCATGCGTGCCGTTCGACCCTCGGTGATCCATGTAGACTGGGTGATTTCCGTACAAATTGGTACCCGGAGGGATTCCGTAGGCGTCGCGTGACCACAGAGTCCGGGTATAGTTGGAAGTGTTCAACCTGAAGTGATCCGAGTGCTCACCGAGCCCGTATAGATTCGGATGGCTAGGCAAAGAGGTCCGGAGTCTGAGATATTGCGATTCAAAGACGATGGGGGATCCGGACGTGTTGAAAAGCACCTCTCCTGATGGCCGAGACACAGAGAAGCTGAAAGGGTTCTCCGTGTAGTCAAACACAAGCTGAGCATTGGAGGCTGTAGCACCATCTGTGGCATTTGGGCGAGGAAGAACCGAGTCCGGAACCTGATAGACGGTCTTGTTCTGGTCCTCGATGATGACATGGAGCCTCGAAGCTTCCCAGCAGGTCAGCGACCGAACACCGACGGTTTACAGACAACAAGCTTACCAGATTGATACTCCACGGTGAGGGTAAGGTTATGTAAGTCGGTGCCATAGATGTTACAGGCGGGCCCGGCGAGATTGAGATCAGCTGTCAAGCCATTCGCAGTCTGCTGGACGTTGCTAGCACGATAGCCCGGGCAGGCCTTCTGAGCGACGACCACCCCGGCAGTAAAGAGGCCCAACAGGACGGAAGTCAACATCATCTTCGCCAGGAGGTGATCCCGAGCAATGAGTAGATGGATGAGGTCCAATACACAACTGAGGTTGGGTGCCCGCCCTCTTTAAGAAGCACAGAAAAATTTCTGCTCGACAAGCTTGCCCCATGCCTCCGCCCTGATGAATACATGTTGGCCAGAGTCATGTTCTCCTGCTGGAGCTGCATGAAGCTGCATCGACTAGTCGCCATCCACAACGTCAGAGCTCGAGTCAACAGTCGTGGAGACGGGTGCTGCCCAGAGGCAAGAAGCTCCCCAGTCATCCAGTCAAGCTCCAGCTTACCCCACAGAGTCGCATTTCGATCAAACTGGCGCGGAGTTGCGGGCTGGAAAGGGCATGCTGCAGAAGACGGTATTCTTGTGGAAGATCCGGGTTCAGAGTCCAATAGAAAGCCTGTGGTGCCTGACTAGAAGCTCCCATGACTTCGTTGCAGAATCAAAAATGGTTAAAATGCGGAGGAAGAGGGACGAAGTGACATTGGGAGAGCTTGAGGGGCTACATTGCCAAGCGGTAACATTGAATAATTCCACCGAGTATTTTACCCAGGCGAGCAAGAGAATGGAGTCAGTGCTTGAAGGGGTAAGGACCTAGGTAGGAAGTGATGAATTGGGTAGAAGCACAGACGAGGGTCTCCATCGTGTTGAACTCCGTATTCGTGTTGGTCTCCCGTGCCCAGACAGGGCTTGTTCTGACATTCCTCCTAAGCCATACAGCCTTATCATGCTCACGCAAGGCTGGCCATGTGCCCTGCTACCGGTAACTTAGCTATCTTCTACACTTACATAGGAGATCTCCTCTCACGGATAATGTCCTCATTGACTGAATATGGAAGGTCAGGATAGTCTCCATAATGATAAGGTGGGGATCTCCTAACTCTCTGGAGCCGTCGGCAGTCGGCCGAGGGGATAGACGACATCATGCATATAGACAATATACACATACCTACCTAGGTATATATACACGCGTACCTCCAACAGCCATGAGCCACCACGAGAGACACAGTAAGTTCAAAAGGCGAGGACAAGGTTAGACGAGCCATACACCGCAAAAGATGGGGCACCTCCTTCAGCTTCTCGCACTCTCGCTCCTCTTCGCCACTCCCTCCTTTGCGCAGACAAATCCCATTGATATCCGCGAGGCAACCATCTCCAGCATCCACAACTCCTTGTTCTCCGGCCTCACCACATGTCGGGACATAGTCAGCGCATTTATCGCCCGGATCGAGCGCTTTAACCCGGATATCAACGCCATCATTACCCTGAACCCAGATGCTCTTTCAATAGCCGACTCTCTCGACCAGTCCCTTTCCCAAGGCAACGCCACAGGTCCACTCTTCTGCATCCCCATCCTGCTCAAGGACAACTACGACGCCCTGCCCATGCCCTCGACAGGTGGGTGCCTGGCCCTGAACGCCTCAACGCCCACTCAAGACGCCCCCGCCGTGCGTGCCTTCCGCAACGCCGGCGCCGTGATCTTAGGCAAATCGAACCTGCACGAACTTGCGCTCGAGGGCCTCTCGGTATCCAGCTTGGGCGGCCAAACCATCAATCCCTACGACTTCACCCGCACGCCGGGAGGGAGCTCAGGCGGCACGGGCGCCGCAGTTGCAGCCTCGTTCGCCGTGTTCGGCACGGGGACGGACACGGTGAACTCGCTACGCAGCCCAGCAAGTGCCAACAGCCTGTTCAGTTTCCGTCCCACTCGGGGCTTGATTTCTCGCGCGGGCGTGATCCCCATCTCATACACCCAAGACACGATCGGCGCGATAGGGCGATGCCCGCTGGACATCGCGACAGCCATGACGGTCATGGCCTCGATCGGCTATGATCCGGCAGACAACGCGACGTCGGCGATCCCGCCGTCGGTGCTGGGCACCGACTACACGACATTCATACCACAAGGCGTACGGACAAACCTCACGGGGATCCGCATCGGCGTGCTCGAAGGGTTCTTCAACCGCACGGCGAGCAATGAGACCACACCGGTCAACGACGCCATGGACAACGTGATCTCGGTTCTGCAAGCCCAAGGAGCCATCGTGGTGCTGATCAACGACACGACGACGTACAACGCGACCTCCATCTCGGCCCAGATGGACGTGCAGACGTCCGAGTACCGCGAAATGCTCAGCCACTACCTCTCCAGCGACAACCTCACGGGACCACACCCGTTGACCATGCCGCAGCTCTACACACCCAACCAGACCACCCCGGAGTTCTTAGTGATTCCATCACAATACTCATACGTGGAGACAGCTCTAGTCTCATCGACATCCAACACCTCCTACTTCCTCAAGCAATCCTTGATCACCAACCTCACAAGAGCCCTGCACACCACAATCCTCTCCAACCAACTCACCTGTATCATCTACCCGGAACAAAAAAACCTAGTCGTACCCATCGGCTCGCCCAGCCAGTCCGGGCGCAACGGCATCCTTGCCGCCTTGACGGGCTCCCCCGTCATCACCGTTCCCGTCGGCTTCTCCCCCGCCTCGAGCACCGCGCCCATTGGAATCCCCATCGGCATGGAGATTCTAGGCCTGCCCTGGACCGAAGGTACGCTGTTGCAGATGGCCAAGGCCATCGACGACGTCTTGCATACTCGAAAAATGCCCGTGACGGCGGGATTGAACGAGACCGTCGAAGTCACCACGGCTTACGCCAGTGTGCCGCGGGTCGTGCCGCTGGGGGCGAAGAATATAGACAAGGCAGCCTATCCTCTCGGCGTGTACTGATCCAGTGAAGAGCTAGCTGAGCTGTGGTTCTACAGGCTTTTACCATACCGATTGTATATAGGTATCTACGTAAAAAGTGAGAAAAGGGGAAAACAAACTTCTCGTACAGTAAAAAAGGAATATAAAAACATCCCATCCCACGCACATCCTTTCGCCCATGAAAGCATAAATATGACCTAGAATTAAGAAACTTCCAGCCCCAAGCCAGGATTCCTAACAATGTCCCTCGTACCAGGGACCAGATGAATCAAAGACGCCGAGCCGGCTTCAGAAATTCAATAACACAGTCTACTATCTGACAGACATAGAGTATTCAATTCCGATGAGGTGACCACCACTCCATCTCCTCTTCCATCAAGAGGTATTTGACTGACAGGGATCTCGAGTTTCCGTTTCTCATGTCGGTCGGTGAATACCTGGTCCACCAGCGCAATGTCGCCCTCTCCCCGTAAGACCTGTGTCACTTATTTCTCAAAGTCGGTTCCCGCTTCGTTCGTAATAGCTCATCATGTATTAATACTCTCGTTATTGCCATGTAGTATCTGTGGTATCTCGTGTCTCAAAATGCCGTCATTCGTCATTGTTGCCATCATCTCTGCCAGCGTAGCCCATCTCAATCAGAATCCAGCACACACCATGACAGTCAAGCAGTCCATCCCACGGATTGCAATCCATCCACAGAAATGGCATCCATCGCGTCGTAATCAAGTTCTAGCCTTGACCAAGGAAGATCGTAATCTATTTCATCACATTATGTCCTCCGAGCCCATCGTTAGGTCCTCCTACTCCGTCGCCACCGTGGTCCCACCACCTCCTCCCTGTTTCCTCAGTTCCTCCTCGATGAGGCTTTGCTTCTTGACATATTCCATTACAATCTCTTCTTCTGTTCTCTCTCTCGTAAGTTCTTCCTGGCGCCTCTTGTCTTCCTCCTGCGACGCAGTTATCGCCCGTTGTAATTCCTCGTCATGCTCTGTGTCGTCGACTATGGCTTCCTCGGTTGCTGTGACCGGCTCTGTCTGTCCATTCGTGGCCCTAAGCGCGGCCTCACGTTCTGTAAGCTCTTCCTTCTTTAATTCGTTCTCGGTGTGTAGCTTTTTACTCTCCTCAAGCTTGCGCACGAAACGTTCGTCGTAGTCGGTGTCAACTCCAGAGTCGCTGTCATCTAAATGGCCGTGATGTTCATGCGCCAGCTCTGGATTCGTCGCCTGAGTTTGCTTGTGCTCTTCCAGACTCTGGGCGAGAGCTTTTTCGAGTTCGGCGTCATGCTCCTCCTCCGGCTTCTCCGTGGTAGTGGACAAGGCGCCGTTCTGTCGAGCATGTTCTTCTTGGGCTTTCTTGAATTCTCGGATGCTGGCTTGGATGGCTTGTTGATACGCTGCATCTGAGTACTTGTTCGGATCATGACCTGAACTGTGCAGCTCCCGGAGACTCGCTCGCAGCGCCCTTTCAATGACAGCATCTTCCAGTGGGTTGCCCGTACTCGTTGAACTCACGGAATGCTTAATTGCGTGCTCATAGTCAGTCAGGGGGTTGTCTTGGGACTGTGAGGCCGTGCTGTCACGGCTGAGTGAAGAGTCCAGGCTGGAGAGAGAATGGGTGTGCCTGAGATGGTGACTGGTTTCGTGGTCGAATGGACAAAATTTGCATCGACTCTTGATCTTGCCACCGCTCTTGCTCTTTCTCCTCTCTTCCTTTTCAATCTCTTTTTCACGGCGTTGCAATTCCTTTTCTTCCTTCCTCAATTGATCCCTTCGTTCAGCGAGAGCCTTTCTTTCATCCCAGCTAAGATGTCGAGTATTTCGGAATCCGTGGACCAATTCAACCGAGTCCGTGTTGGTCCTCGTGATTATGTGACTTTCAATTGCCACCTTGCGGTCGTTGCCGTAGAGTTGTCCATGCTTTCGGGTCTCCAGCCTGCCATCTTTCCAGGCGGTGACAACTCGTTGTCTCTCCTCTGGAGAGCTGTTCTTCCAATCCTCGAAACCTTGAGCTGTCCGAGCCGCAATGATGTAATTCTGCACGGAGCTTCCAAAGTGCTTCGAAATCTCGCTGTAAATACCCTTGGCAGTGTACCCTGGGAGCCCCCAAATGCCTGCCGCTGGTTTGAGGACCAAGCCACCGATGCCTTTGGCTGCGCCTTTGAAGAAACCGGCGGCGCCCTCTTTCTTCGCACCTGCTAATGGCTGAGTGACAAGGCCCGTGATACCGTCATAGAAGCCATATGTGAACTCCTTGCGTGCCACGCGCAAGCCAGAGTGAAGACCCACAATCTTTTCGTTCTGTCGTACGGTGTCATCTCCGTACAACTTCGGTGCATTATGGAATCCTTTCGCAAGAGACAGTGTGAAATCCATGGGTGACTTGACTCCAGCAGAAATGATTTTCCCAGCGGCTTTGGCGCCCGAGATTGCAGTTTCCAGCGAGACTTGCCCGACCTCTTCGCCGACGCAGGGGTCATGGTTTCCATTTGCAGCCGGCGAACCAGAGCGGGAGCGGGATCGGTGGTGAGACAAGCTATGATGCCGGTGATGGTGGGAAACTTTGGATGATCCATCCGCCGACAAGACGGTGGAAAGGGATGAAGGTGCTGCCGCCGCCGCGGTTGACCCTGAGGAAACTGGCTGGTCGGATTGGACAGGCGTGATGGTTGCCTCTGTCGCACTTGCGACCTCAGAAGATGGGGGCTCTGGGGACATGACGGGTGTAGAAACACCACTATTTGAACGTCTCTCGTGGATTTCTTTCAATTCTCCCGAGGCCGTTTTCAAAGACTTGAGAATCTCGACGGGGAAATCAGCGATACCCATGGAGAGATTCCCTAGAGTGCCGATCAAGGCAGCTGCACCGCCTGATATTGGCTCCCAAGGGCCGTCCTCCGTCTCATACTCTCGAGGTCGGTAGAGTTTTAGGTCCGAGAAATCCAGCAGACCCTCAGTCCCCAGGACAGTGGCTGCGAGCGGCGACAGGCGAATATCAGTTCTCTTTACACGCCATACGGCAATCCGCGACGGGTCCAAAGAGCATCTGAGGTTCGACAAGTGCAACTGCTTGTGAAAGGACTGTGCGCCAGCCTCACAACCATCCTCTGCCTTGATTTTCGTGCTCAACTCCTTTGCGCGCTCAAGCGACTCCGGCTTGAGTGCCTCCAAGATCGAGTGCGCCAGCTTCTCAGCGTTCAAGTTCTTGTACGCAATGGGCACCGGGCCTGCCCCAGCTCTGGCGGTCATTGAACCCCAGAATGGTTGATCACCAAAGAATGGAACTACCACCGTTGGTCGACCGGCCAAGATGCCAGCAGCAGTTGTACCTGCACCGCCGTGGTGGACGACGCACGACACATGTTTGAATAGCCAATCATGCGGGCAGTTGCCAATCATGAAGACACCTTCTGGTATTCCTAATTCGTTGGCACCAAGCCCGCCCCAACCCTTGGACACGATCGCCCGCTGGCCAGTCTTTTTAATGGCATCGAAGATCATTTTAGTCATGGCATTTGGGTCGTCGACCACGATGGAGCCGAATCCAATATAGACAGGAGGCGGTCCGGCAGCTAAGAAATCTGCCAGGTCTTGTGGTGGTGTATAGTTCGTGGATAGGTTCAGGAAGAAGAAACCTGATATGTCGATATAGCTACCCCAGTCCGCTGGTTTCGGGATCAAAGCGGGAGACCAGCAGTAAGTCCAGGGGATGCGCAGTCGGCTGACCATGCCGGGCGCCCACATGATACTCACTGGTTCCAAGCCCAAGCTTCTCTCCCGAAACCTGTTGATAACATCTCCCAAACCTTGCCAGGTCAACATGTCCACCAAGGCATAGGTGACAAAATTTGTGACACTGGAGTCTGTATTCGAAGAGATGATGTTGGCGAGAGGATGTGGAAAAGACTGCGTTGGCGACCATGGCATGGTGAACATCAGATGCAGGGGAATACCCAACTTCTCTGCGATATGAACGTGAGCGAAACTTGGAGGGTTGGCAATGATTGCATCTGCAACGAAGGGCTTCAAAGTCGGATCCATGCCGAAGGACATTGCACTGTCAAAACTGCGCGTATCCATATTGTCATCGCTTGCGGGCATGCCCATGCCGTCTCCAGCCTCAATGCAAGATCTCCAACAACCAGTGATGATTTCGTAAATGCCCTTTCTTCGCTTGCCCACGTCACCATTTTTGAGAGAGTCCATACCGGGCATAAGACCGGGATTCTTGACCATGAACGCCATGAGCTCGGCGGGATCGCCCCCAATACTGAAGAATTCCAGGCCATTCTCTGTGACGAATTGTTTGAACGTTGGGTGGGTGGCGACTCTCACACGGTGCTTGTATTTGTTCTTCAACACCTGACCCAATGCCACAAAGGGCTGCACATCTCCTCTGCTGCCCACGATTTGAATCACAATGTTCATGGGCGGTGGAGGCAGACCATCATGATCGTCTCCCAGTCCCTCGGGTATTTGAGGCTCTGCTGCGGGTTTCTGCCTCGACAACTCCAACTGGTGGCGCAGAGCAGGCAAAAGCATGCTCGCGAGCTTGCCCTTGTGCTGGTTGATGTTGATATTGACCCGGCCATCAGTGGCTATCCGTGCGCCTGTGTTGAGGCCATTCTGACTTATGTCTAGCTGCCCATAGTCGGCGCCATTGTAGGCTGGTGGAGGGACCTCCTCCAGATGGGGAGAGACGCCGCCATGATGCCGTATATGCCCTTCCGGCGAAGAATTGGACACATTTGGCTCTCTTGGACTATCAGACGCCTCCTTTTGGGCAGCTGCAGCTGCGGCTTCCGCTTCTGCTAGGATGATGGGAGGGACAGGTTCGCCATGTCTCGGCGGGGTAGCTGGAGGATCTGAGTTAGACATTATCGCACCTAACGAGGCATGAAGGATGGACTAGGGTGATATGAAGAGGAGAGAGGTCGCCTTCGGCCGGGGAGAGAGAGTAGGAAAGCAGCAACTAGAGGGGGCGAGGAGTAGGCAGGCTGCGAAGGTGAGTACGGCCGGGAGGGACGCTGAGGGTCAGTCACCGGTTCGGTCACTTGGAGTCAGGTGGGCATGAGCGGTGACAGGGTCGCAATCACTGTTGTGGATGATACAACAGGAAGGCAGATCTCGAGGCTACCGGCAAAGGGTATTATCATCATTTCTCTTGTGTCCAGGCGACAAGCAGACATGATGATGAGGGCTCTGCAACACACCCTAGCAGAGAGAAGATGCTGAGCTAATGCCGCTGTGACAGCTTTGCGGCTGCACTGGGCGACACTTAACGCTACGGGGTACAGCTAATAGCCGGCTGATAGGCGTAGATGGTTCATTTAGGTGGTCGGGGCCCAGAGCATCTTTACCCGTAGAGCGCGGGCGAGTGCGAGCCCGGGGGCCTCCTTCCAGGAACGGCCAAAGGCCTGTCCCCCTCCTTTCACTGTGGAAGCTGAATCAGCAGAGCTAGAGTCAGCACCCACCCGCACAACCCTGTTCTTTATGCCGCTTCCAGCAATTGACATGACGCTCCCCGTTGTATCTCGTACTAATATCGATTCTAGACAGATCGATTCCGAGCTGCCCCTCCTCTTCAAACTCTTGCCGATGCAAGCAACTCACATAAGGCTGAGGGAGCCACTGGACGCCACCGTCTAGCCACTTAATCATGGCCAAAGCTGAGGTAATCCCAGGTAATCGAGCCTATACAGGGCCTTCGACGTTCTGTCTACCTACCTAGGTACCTATGCTCCCTGCTACTGCTGCTTCTTCCAGCTTTGTGCGATCCCTTCCATCGTCTCGAACGTGATCTCGCCGTCCCCTGCTGCCTTTTGCCGTTGCACTAGCCTTGCGATAAATCGATCAATCATGCCCACAATGTGTGCTCGACCCGCGCTTTCAGGGTGCCAGATCATGCTACAAATGGCCGATCCTTTGATTAGCAGATGACCTCGAGGGGTTGTATTGCTTATGGAAGCAAAATTAGTGTGAACTCACGGATATACCGAACCATAGCCTTTCCCAGGGCCTTCGTCCATCCAACTTTCATTTTCCCATAGCCAGTCAAACCTATCCCACCACATCTTTTCCACAATGTCAACTCCAACGTAGCCTTGGGTGTTGGCCGCGTAGGGATAGAAGCCGAGCTGTAAGAGACGTCAGAGGTGAGATTATTCTCGTGGACTCAAGGTGACTTACAGGCGTCATATCCTCTGTATACCAGCTTGAGGGTATCTCCACCAGAGCCTTGTTGGCTTCAGCAGTACCTGGCTGTGGCTGTTCCGGTATTGGGGTAGGAACCATCCAACTGCTGGCATCCTTCTTGTAGTCCGGGACATGCGGCGGCTCTTGAGGGAAGGGATTCACCAGGAAATAAGGCAGAGAATCGTGGGCGTTCATGCTGCTGTCATAAAGAAAGTCGTGCTCTTGGAGAAGCCGGACGGTTGTCTCGCGGATTTGGTATAAAGGTGCTCGATACCCGACCGGTTTCTTACCTTGTCTGAGCGCGGTGATCAAGCCAATACATTTCTGCAGAACATCCTTTTCCTGTTGAACGGTCATTGCATATGCGCCCTCGTGGCTGTACCCATGGAGTCCAATCTCCGCTCCACTCTCGGCGATCTCGCGCGCCTGCAACGGGAATGTTTCAAGACTGTGGCCGGGGACGAACCAAGTGAGTTTATCGGAAATACCGTGCTTTTTGAACAATCGCAGCAGCCTGCCAACCCCGACGTTGGCGCTGAAAATACCAGCTGAGTAGTCGGAGAGTGTGTTCTGGGGATCATGACCTGTCCCCAGATACCCGGAAATGGCGTCAAAGTCAACAGAGAGACAAATTCGGAGTCGCCGTCTTCTTTTAGCCGGAGTCAATGAGGTCGGTATGGTGGCCATCTGCAGCTTAGTTTCCTTTCCACTGTTTCCCAAGATTTGCTCCTCTCGCCAAATGATCCGACCTTCCATCCCGCCGTCAACAGAAATGCACTCTCCGGAGATATGGCCAGCTGCACGGTGGCTAGCCAGGAACGCCATAGCTCGCGCGACGTCTTCGGGCTGTGCAATCTTCTTCAGCGCAACGGTGGCCTGGCATTCTGCCCACATTTCCCTTGGGTCGTCCAAGCGATCTCCAATGAGAGAGGTGTTGACCCATCCCGGAGCTACAGCATTGATCCGGGCTTTCGAATTCAGGCGGACAATTTCGTTCTTCACGGTGCGAACGAGGCCATATTGCAAGCCTGCCTTGCCAGATGCATATCTGCCGAATCTTTAGCATCCTTCGTGGGAATTTTCTGGAGTACCTGTCCACTAACTCGGCATGCCCTTCCTGGCCAAACTTTCCAGTCTCAGAACCGGTAATGACGATGGAAACGTTATCTAGTTCACTTCCTTTGGCATCTTGTGCCTGCTTCACCGAGAGCAAGAAATGCTTGACCGTTAAAAATGTGCCCTTAACGTTATTGGTATTGACCTTTCGAGACATGAGCGCAACGATCTGGGGACAGCTCCCTGGGATCATTCAAACCTTGTCCCATAGACTCTCCCCTATCTCCCATATTGGTGGATGAGAGCTTTCATCCGTGATGCCGGCATTGGCAATCAGGATGTTCAATGGGCCGAAGTGGTCTGTTGCAGCTTGGAATGCTCCAGAGACAGACTTTTCCGACATCAGGTCCCCCTGAGTCGTGAAAAGCCTTGAAGACTGCTCTGGTGATGAACATAGCTTTGACTCATCGATTGATCTTCGGTCAAATGCCGTGACACGACATCCAAGAGCTGAGCGCGGTTGTCAAAATTGTGTCGAGGCATACCTCTTGGAGCGGCGCATACCGAGAAATTCCTTTACTGCAGCACCTCCAATTCCACCAGCTGAGCCTGTGATAAAGATATGAAGACCCTCAAGTCCTAGAAACGAGCTCGAGCTCCCAGCCATATTGGACTTGAAGAATCGCAGCGATCTGTACGATACCCGACCGCTCTCGCACAAAAGGCAACAGTTGGACGTCTACACCATCGACTTTTCTTCAACGGACATGTCCGTCTGGCTGTTCGAGGCTGAGGATGTGGAGTTGACGAAGCCGTATGAGCGAAAGTGCCCCCTAGTAATCACCTAAGATACGGCTGGGGTCGATGATTCGATTCTCATGACACCTCCAGCGCCGGGCTCGAACCGCTTCACATCCACGCTGTCTCATTGTCTACCAAGGCTCTGGGAGAGTTTTTATGGAAAGTTATGCCAATGGTGGAGAACTGCGCTGGCCTCGTGGGCGCCGGGGGAATGGTTCTCTCCTGCCTCATTAAAGTTAGCCTCCCAGCCCAGATTACCTGGTAAGCTTCGAGAAAACGGTCGATGAGTGCCTGAAGCTCGATTTCTTACTTGACATTATTTGGTGTCAGTTATCTCTGCGCCGGCTTCCCTATCTGAAACTTGGTTTGCATTTATCACTTGTTTCTAAATTTGCCCAATCGAATCCTGAGAGGCGTCGTCCTCGTGGCTCGGCAGCGATTGGGACAAGCACCCCGTCAGCAACAATGACTGAATCAATCAAGGAACACGGACTTGCGCTGATTAGTGGCTGTCTTCCGGTATCAGTCCCGCGCGCAGATCCGAGTTCCCTTACCATCATACATGGTCTGCGTTCTGGAGGAGATGCGCAATCTGACTGCCTTGTTCCCAGAGATGCCGATAGAGAAGATGAGTATATAGCAGCGTTTAGTTTCTTCTTACCTTTTCTCCTCCTCCATTATTTCTACCATTGCCAAGCTCCTGCCGACGATTGCAAACATGGCGACCGTGGATGAAAAGAAAGACCCTATTCCAAATGAGGTCGCAACTGACTCTCCATCTTACACTGCGGACAATGCAGACACGGGTTCTTCTGAGCTCATCAATGCTTCTGGTCACGTACAGGAACTCGAGCGAAACTTCAGCCTTCTCGCCGCTGCTGGAGTCGGGCTTGTGGTCGGAACTGTGTGGCCTGCAGTCGGAGGGTCGATCCTTGTCGCCATCTTCAACGGCGGGCCTCCAGGAGTCATCTATGAGTTCATTGTGGTTTCGGTCTTTTACTGGATAGTAGCGGCGTCTTTGGCAGAGTTGGCTTCAGCTATACCCTCTAGCGCCGGGGTTTACCATTGGGCTTCAGTTACTCCAGGTCAAAAATGGGGTCGCGCGGTCGGGTATGCTCCCTCTTCAAAGGGGTTGGTTGTTCAATATAGCTGACCGCCTGGAATTACAGATTCTTTGCTGGATACTGGAATTGGCTGGCGTGGGTATTTGGTGCAGCATCCATGAGTTCCATTCTTGGTTTGTGGTCCCTCCTGCTGAACAACAAGCATGCTCATTCTCGGCAGCGAACACGTTCGTGCAGATGTATGCTCTGGAACACAGCGACTTCACTGTGAAGCGGTGGCACGTCTTTGTGACGTATCTTGTAAGTCAAGAATTATCGCTGGAGCAACGTAGACTCAATAGCGAGCATTGGCTGACGACGATTTAGATCGTAACCTGGATTGCCTGCCTGTGCGTCTGTTTCTTCAACAGGGCAATGCCGTATTTGAACACCGTGGGCATCGTCCTTCTCCTGTGCGGTTTCCTAGTCACTGTTATTGTCGTGTAAGTCTTATCCTGGCTGTGAAAATGGAACCCAAACTGATCGTCTCCAGCGCCGCAATACCAGGATCGGGCGGCCACCCACCACATGCCTCGTCCAGTTTCGTGTGGACCGAGTGGTCTGCAGATATAGGATATCCTAACGGATTTGTCTTTGTTGCCGGAATGTTGAATGGCGCATACTCTGTTGGAACGCCAGATGCCGTAAGGTTCGTTCGAGAAGCGCAGCTCTCCGACGGTAAGGGATATCGTAATCTGACCTTGCACTTCACAGCCATATCGCCGAGGAGGTACCGTATCCCAGCAAGAACATACCAATCGCGATCGGGTTGCAAATGGGCATCGGATTCGTCACTGGACTCTGCTATGTTATTGCGATCGTAAGTTCTCGGTCTCGCAGACTTGGCCAGAGCCGCCTTGCGGTCAGTAGGCGCTGACAGAGACTTCCAGATGTATGCAATAAACGACTACAATGCTCTGTTCACAGCCCAATTCCCACTTGCCGAGATCTATCGACAGGCCACCGGGTCGGCCGGCGGTGCTATTGGGTTGCTGATCCCCTTCCTCTTCTGCATCGCAACCTGCTTGGTCGGAGTATACATCACAGCTGGCAGGACACTGTGGACGCTCGGACGTGACAATGCAACTCCGTTCCCTCACTACATTGGCAAGGTGTCTAAGAGATTGGAGATGCCACTCTATTCAACTCTTCTGTGTGGCTGCCTTGTGACAGTTCTGGGCTGGTGAGTGCCACAGACACATTGCTTGGTGTAACTGGCTAACGATGGACGCCACAGCATCTATGTTGGGAGTGCAACGGCCTTCAATGCATTCGTGGGTAGTTTCGTGCTGATGTCTTCCTCAAGGTATTTCAGACAGGATCCCTAATTGAGATACCCGCCTCCGGGATTTGCTGACACGAGAACAGTTATATCGCAGCAATACTGCCTCACCTTCTGACCGGTCGCAAGAACATCAAATTTGGCCCGTTTCGGCTGGGAAAATTTGGTGTCGTGCTGAATACGATTGCATGTGGATACATGATCGTGTGGTTCGTGATTTACTGTTTTCCCTTCGCTCTGCCCACGGACGCGGAAACCATGAACTATGCATGTTTGATCTGGGGAGGTCTGACTATTTTTGTCACGGCTTGGTGGTTCCTTCATGCGCGGAAAAACTATGTTGGGCCCAAACCCGCCGGCGGAGTTGAACATGAGGTTGAGCATATGAGAAGACCTAGTGTAGAGAAGCGAGCGTCGGTGTAGGTGGTGCTGGTACACACAATTATTATCTCAGTGTTCTGTAAATCAACAGCAATTAAAAATCAATTTGACAAGTCCATCGAGTGTGAGAGTGATGAAAGCTCAGCGTACGCGTCGAGGGATGATAAGTCCCCCGGTCCTCGGATAAATTTCGGAGCCTATCTTCACGTGATCGACAGATCTTGGCAAGAATTTATCCCACAACTGAAAATCGAGCCTCCACCAGATCGCAGCAACACACGAGGGATCCTGTCTCAAACACTCGACAATCCGCACACTCACCAGTTCGCCCAACATGTCCGACAACGGCGAGGTTGAAGTTGAAAACCCAACCTCTGGTTGGCCCGTCCTGCCCAAAGATGTCATGCAAGAGATTGGGAGCGTCAAGCTCTTCGGGCGCTGGAGTTACGAGGATGTCGAAGTCAGAGACATCTCATTGACGTACGAAAAAGCCCCCGGTGCACTGCGCAGGAAAGGAAGAAAAAGAGAACGAACTGACGTTTGGACAACAGCGACTACATTCAAATCCGATCACCCGTCTACATCTCGCACTCGGCCGGTCGATATGCCGCAAAGCGCTTCCGCAAGGCCCAATGCCCCATCATCGAGCGATTGACCAACTCCCTGATGATGAACGGTCGCAACAATGGCAAGAAGTTGATGGCTATTAGAATCGTGGCACATTCGTTCGAGATCGTATGTCCTTCCCACAATCCTGAAAAGCAAAGGTCAAAACCAAAACTGCGAGGAACACAAAATCTGACTCTGTGTCGTGTATATAGATCCACATCATGACCGACCAAAACCCCATCCAAATCGCCGTCGACGCCATCGTCAACTGCGGCCCCCGCGAAGACAGCACCCGAATCGGCAGCGCAGGCACCGTGCGAAGACAAGCCGTCGACGTGTCCCCTCTCCGCCGCGTCAACCAGGCCATCGCCCTGCTCACCATCGGCGCCCGCGAGGCGGCGTTCCGAAACGTCAAGAGCGTCGCCGAGTGCCTCGCCGAGGAGCTGATCAACGCCGCCAAGGGAAGCAGCAATTCGTACGCCATCAAGAAGAAGGACGAGTTGGAGCGTGTGGCCAAGAGCAATCGGTAAATTGCGGTTGCGGTTGCGGTTTCAGTATGGGATGGGATATTGGGTGATGATTCTTGTTGCTCTAGGAGAGAGAGATCCAAATCATGGTACGAGGTACTGCGGACTTGTGCATTTTCACATGGCAGTCACAGTCAACTTCAAGCAATGCAGATGATAAACGGGTCATTGCCTGCTCTCAGGGCTGCGGAAAGGCATCAATCGAAAGTAGCAACAGGCACGGCTGACCCATGAAAATGAGGTCTTGCGACTGGCGGCATTGCAGCAGATTCAGCGCCTAGATGATGCCAAATGTCCACAAAAAGATTTCGAAATGGCAATGAAAGTTTGACAGTTGCGTTGTCAAAACTCCTATTTTCTCCGCAAGCCTCTTTCCAATTAATGGGGTGATTTTTCTATGTGCGGTGTCACATTGCGTCCGTCTCCGTTTTACGAAATTTCTAGATTACACCGGAACTACGAAATTTGGAAGGTGAGGGAACGTTGAGACAGAGCAGCAGCGACATGAAAAGGTACCTAGGGAGTGGATTCATATTCTGGTACCCCTCGCTATCATATTTTCGCCGTCTAAGCCCAGGTCCATCCCTCCCCAATGCCATGCATCCATTCTCTCTCTAGGATCATGTACCTTGACTATCTTGGTTTGTGAAAGAGAGTCATTGGACTGTCCGTTGCTGTTGTCTGGACCTTACTTCGCTGTGTTGGCCGACTTCCTTTGCCTTGTGCTCGCTGGGCTGGTCCTGTTGACGAAGTGTTCCGGTTTTGGCAATCAGGCTGCTTGATGCTTGATGCTTATTGCTTTGCATTGTATTGCATGACCACCAAGACTTCGCAAGCACCTGTCCAAGCCAAATGCCGCCCATCCCATCTCAGCATTGTCTCGGATATCCATTCCTTGTCCTCTTTCTTTTGAAAAGCGCCCACCTCAGATGGCAGCCTGGGGGAAGCAAGCATTTTGACGGCGCTGTCTTCATGATTCGTACCAACTGAGCCATTCCTCATATCTCCCGAGGATGGGGGGGATGCAGCTGCCTGGTATCCCCAAAGGCCATCATGACATTCCTGGCGCGTACCTCTCTCATGTACGCATCTTGCTCTGGTTGCTTGTGGTTGAAATTCCCATCATCCGAATCGGGCCTTCCGAATAGCCTCTGAAATGCGAAGCCAACAGTGACAGACGCGGCGGCACCCAAGATGCACAAAAGGACAACAACCTGGTCGGGGATGCCCATGGTGAATTCAAGCTTGATGGATCGGCGAGTTTGATGAATAGGAAAGCGGGGGAGTCGAGGTCTCTTTTGTCGTGCTGGCGAACTTTGGACTGCCTTGGTTATTGGCGGACAATATTGGATTTGTACAAGGTTATGCCGATGTTCAACGACAGAAGACCGACTTGGCTCTTGGAGCGATCGAGCCCTTTTGTGTCGTGCTGGCAGGCTTTGAATACTGCCTAGGTTATGCGCGGACAGAGGATTTGGGTAAGGACAGGAGGCTTGTTGAGGTCTAACGACAGGAGACCGACCTGACTTCTGGAGCGAGCGGAAGAAGGCTGACTTCAGTAACAGGGAGAGACGGAAAGACACTTATCCTGGCGCCAGGTGTGATCTGGACACCTGCCCTTCATATACCACGATGCAGTCCAGGCCCAGAAGGCGCAATTTCAAGGCGCGGCAACATAGCCAGTGCCGTCAGGCGCAGTGTCTCGGATATTCAGAGCCCGTCTTTTGCGAATCATGCATTGATACCATGCAAACAAGGTTGGAAGCCTCATCTACCACAATTCCTGCTTGTCCAACGCCCTAGAAGACTCGCCTATTGATATCGAATTGACGGAAATGGAAAAGTGCAAGCCAATATACTAACCTGTTTCGATCGAGAACCCGAGCGAGTCGAATCGGCAAAGGTGCTGGAGCTCCACTGGGGTCGCGCATATCCCACAACGCCCCTTGGGCTTTGGGCGCAAAAGTTTGATCCCCTGCCTGCCCACCACGGCGTGGATATGGGATTCGTCCGGTCGGACCAGGGGCGGTAGCGAGGAATTCCAGAGGCAGATCCTTTCTCAGACCCGCCATTGAACGGCAGCGTGTTCCATGTTTCGGCCTTCTGTTCTCGCTCTCGACACCACGCCCGCTCAACACGAATGTCATGTCGCTCAGCTAAACAGTGTTTCCGACAATCGGTCGAGTGTTCAGTCTGTGAATCCCATTCCCATGAGCTCTCATCGAAACGGTCAATCGAAGTCCAGGACTGGATGCTTGACCTGCAAGTACGTTTGTCGCCGCGATTTTGTTGGCTAGTGTGCTGATATTATCTAGGATCCGTAGGTGTTCCCCCTTGTGTAACTCGCCAGAACACAGAGGCATACCTGTGCTAGAACAGTCAGCAGCTGCACAGACTAACGGGTATTTTCAGGCAAAATAAAGTGTGACGAATCTCAACCATATTGCAGGAAATGTACCGAGACTGGTCGAAAGTGCGAAGGGCCCGTCGCCCGCCAGATTCGTTTTGCTGAGGATCAGTCCTCAACTCCGAAGCAACATGTTCTCCTTGCTGAGCTGTCCCTCCACGCCCCGCAACACAGCGACGATGAACGATGGGCTTTCAACTATTTTGTCTATCGAGTGGCACCAATGTTCGCAGGAATCATAGATGGTCCTTTCTGGCTCGAGTTGATTCCTCGTCTTGCCCAATCTTATACCTTTGTCTGGCAAGTGGTCATGTCAATTAGCTGGGCTTTCGAGCACGTGCAATATCGAGACCTGAGGACTGTTTTCGACACCGGTTGTCCAACTGCTGTTGTCATCAATACCGAGCACCGACGCGCACTGAAGTGGTATTCCAAGGCTCTTGTAAGTTTTCGTCAGCTGCTCGAACAAGGTGAAGCAGACAATGCACATGCTCTTTTGAGCTGCATCCTGTTTAGCACTTTTGAGTTTCAGCAGAGGAACGTTGGCAACGCATTGCGCCTGATGGACAATGCCTACAAAATGCTGGGCCAGAATCTGTCGAATTCTCCAGCCCAGCAGATTCTCGCCACAAACACTGGCATCGCCGAGACGGTGACGGCTTTCTCCTCAAGGAAGGCGCTATTGATGGCCACTTTGGCTATTCCAGAATGGAAATACCACGCAAGGGAACATAGCTCGAGGCCTTTCATCGCCGCCACTTTGTCTGTACTGGACGAATTTCGGCAGAATTTGTACAAACTCATGTACAAAGCATACGAGATTGTCCGGGTGACAGATCTTCTTTCTCACGACGAGTACGAGATGCAAAAGTTGAGGCCAAAACAGCAGATACGCCTACAGAAGTTGCAACGATGGAAGGATTCTTTCCTCCCTTTCTCGGAAGGCTTGCGAGATGGTGAGACAAAATGGATATCCTCTTATCTCCTGATGCACTGGGGTATCTGCTACATCTGGCTTTCCTGCTGCATGACTCCATGGGAGGTCTCGTTTGACGAGCATATGCATGAGTTTGCAGCCATTGTCGAGAGGGCAGGGGAGGTTATCAACCGCGATGCTGGAGACGAGGCTGGCGGCCCGATATTCAATGGGGAAATCGAAATGGTCCTGGCGCTATATTTTGCAGCGACTAAATGTCGTCATGCGATGATCCGGAGGAAGGCTCTGCGCCTTATACGAAATATCCCCTACCAAGAACGCTTCTGGGCATCCATCGCATCCCCACGAGTGGTCGAAAAGATAATCGCAGTCGAAGAATGCCATGACCGTTTCTTGGAGCATCCATCGCCCGCTGGGCTACTCTGGTTACCACCGGAAGAGCACCGGATACACCATGTGGCCATTGTCAAGGGAGATGTGAACGAAGCTCGCCGGCGCCTCAAATTGCGGTGGAGCAAGGTTGCGCTTGATGACGACGGATCATTCAGAATGGTACAAGAGGACGTCTGGCTAGAAGACTGCATTGAAGATCCTGGTCGAAATCAGCACTGCTAAACGGGATGAACGCATGGTTATGAAAGCGCTAATCAGCGCAGGGACTTCCTGTTCAATGACCTTGACATGAATGAGAGTCCGCAAGGCAGCAAAAAGGGACTTGCGCCCACTAGGAGACATCAGCTTCGACGTGAGAGAGGTCAATCGTTGCGCGTCGGGTTCTGATCCTTCGACTTGGACGAGTCACCCAAGCTGATCACTCCATATCTTCGTGCATAGCCGCCTTGTGTGGAGCTGGCAGCGACTGCCCAGTAGGCGAATGTTCGTCATGAGCGGAGGAAGGATCAGTTGCATCGCTGAGGTCACAAAGTCCCTGGAAGCTCTTTATATCATCCCCTTCAACATCCTCCTATGATCTAGAAAACAATACGAGGCCGTGTTGACGTTGTCTATACTCTCACCACAACATGGAGGATGTCCCAACGCTTCACTCAGACTGCCTTGCATGATCATATCGGTCGTGTGACGCCGATGAAGGAGATTGAGCACAGTTGAGAAGGTGCCCTCCAAAGAACCTTGGAATATATATACCGGTGATAGCAATGAATTACGAGTTGGTCTGGGGAGGAGCTCCCATTGTTGCAGAGTCACTAGAGCCACAAAAGATTGTAAAGACGTCAGGGTGACCCCACCACGCACGCTAACTGTCGTGTCAGACGACTTGAATTTATGAGAGAGAAGCAATCTTATCAAGATTAGATCTTCTGAGAAAAAGTTCTGTGACATTTCCCCAAACCCCACGCCAATAACGCTGTCTGCGACTTTTTTCCAGCGGAAGATTTCCCCAGCCAAATTGGACCTCCGAGGGCTGAAAGAAGAGGGAGTGGGTTAAACGACCGTTGAGAAAAGGCAAATATGGGCAAGCGCAAACTCGGAGCCCTCGAAAAGGTGGACGCGGACCTGGCGAACCTGCAGAACAAGATCAAACGGGACCCGAAATCCTACCACACCGACTTCCTGCACCAGCACATCCAGTATGAGAACCAGCGACAGATCTTCATGCAGGCGCCGACGACGGCTGCGGTGTCGTCCAGCGGAGTCATCTCTTTCCGCGACCTGATCGAGTTCGTGGCGCACGTGGCCGACTGCTACAGGGAAGAGACAAGGGAGTTTCCGAAACAGTTGATTGAGATTCTATCGGCGCACCATGCGACCTTGGAACCCGAGCTGAGGGAAAAGATCGTGGGCAGTCTGGTGCTGCTGAGAAAGAAGGACATCATCGACTCACACACGCTGCTACAATGTTTCTTCCCCATCCTCACCTCCACACCCAGCAAATCCCTGCGGGCGCTGCTGTTCCAAAAGATCCTGAGCGACCTGCGCTCCGCGAATTCCAAGACCACAAACCACAAACTGAACCGCAGCGTGCAGACAACGCTGCACAACCTGGTCACAGCGGACGACCGATCATCCCCCAAGGCGCTCTGGGCGGTCAAGATCACGCGCGAGATGTGGAAGCGGCAGATCTGGACGGACGCCAAAGCCGTCGAGATCATGAAGGAGGCCGCGCTGGCCGACAACGAGAAGTGCGTGGTCGGGGGGTTGCGCTTCTTTCTGGGCGGCGACAAGGAGCGAGAAGAGCTGCTGGAGGACGAGAGCTCCGACGAAGAGACTACTGTCGACATGAGCAAGCTGCGACACCAGATTGGGGTCAACAAGAAGAGCAAAAAAGCCGAGAGAAAACTGGAAAAGGCCGCCGCGACGGTGCGTCGGAAAGAGAAGAAAAAGGGACAGCCTCACCCATTGAATTTCTCGGCGTTACATCTCTTGCACGATCCGCAGGGGTTTGCAGAGGCGATGTTTTCGAAGCACCTGCAAAGTGCGCGGTCCAAGCTAAACCTCGAGCAAAAGCTGCTAGCCTTGCAACTGGTGTCGCGCCTGATCGGCTTGCACAAGTTGACCGTGATCAGTTTCTACTCCTACTTCCTGAAATATTTGACGCCCCGACAACCTTCGGTAACATCATTCTTGGCATCGCTGGCACAGTCGACACACAACCTCGTGCCGCCGGATATCCTAGAGCCGCTGGTCCAGAAAATCGCCAACGAATTCGTCTCCGAGGCAGCCGCTGGGGAAGTCGCCGCGGCGGGTTTGAACGCGATCCGCGAGATTTGTGTGCGGCAGCCGTTGGCCGTGAACGAAACTTTACTCCAGGATCTGGTCATGTATCGGAAAAGCAAGGACAAAGGGGTCATGATGGCTGCAAAGGGTCTTTTGGGGTTGTACAGGCAAGTCGGTGCGGAAATGCTTCGCAAAAGAGATCGCGGGAAAGACGCGTCGCTGGGCCTCAGGTTGGGCGAACAGAGACAGCAGAGGTTTGGTGAAGAAGCCGAGGGGGAGATTGAAGGGTTAGAGCTGCTTGAACAGTGGAAAGAACAAGAAAGGCAGAGGAAGCGGTTGGAAAAAGGTCTTGCTGCAACTGCCGGGTCTGGGGACGAGGACGAGGAGGAAGAAGAAAGTGACGAGGACGACTGGAATGCGTGGAACGTCGAGGAAGACGTAGACAGCGACGATTCAGGAGGGTGGATCAACGTCGAGAGTGACGACGAGATCAACATCAGTGACAGCGACGACGAGAAACCCTCAGCAAAGAAAGTGCGGTTCGACACGCAAGTCTCTACAAGCGACGACAAAGAGAACGACGGCGACAATGAGAAGCCCGTCGACGGGGCAGAACCGACTCCTCCGACAAAGTCAAAACTCGCCACGACCAGGATCCTGACGCCCGCCGACCTAGCCAAGTTACAAGAACTGCGCACGACCGCCTCAGTCTCATCACTCCTGAAGAACAAGAACCACAAATCCCACCACGTTGCATCCTCATCATCGCAGGCGCAAACCAATTCGCAACGCCACGTGGACGACCCTCTCACGGCGGCCGAGATCGAAGGTCTGGCCTCGCTCTCACGGGGAAAGGCGACTCGGGCACAGAAGCTGGCCCTGCTGCAAGAACACAAGGACGACCGCGAGCAACACAAGTCCAAGGCCGCGCGGAAGAAGGAGCGCAAGGAGTCCGAGGGCAAGAGCACGACCAACAAGGAAAAGGCGCGCAAGAAGAATTTCCTCATGACCCTGGGCAAGGCAAAGTCCAAGGGCAAGAGGAGTTTGGTCGAGCACCGCAAGATCTTAAGGGCGCATGCAGAAAGGGGGAAGAAAGGCGGGAGGAGAGGTAATCGAGGCTGATTTGGGGATCTTACGGGGGCTGTCTCATGGTACCAATATCTGACGTGGTGAATGTACAGAGTCCCCTGTCCGAGTATTCGTAGGGAAGCCATCGTCCGTTCTGCATAACGAAAAACTCGTATGGAAAACCAGGCAACAAATATATGCACCCAACCTCGCAGGTAATCGTACAGCTGCATTACTCGCGAACGAAAAATAAATGATGATCGTGGACGAGCGAAGGCCGCTTCAACTTGAGCTTCGAAGAACTAACCCCTGACAAACACTGACAGACAAGAGGGGTGCAGCGAGGCACGGGCCCAAGGTCTGGCGTCTTCCTATTTCATCCTGTGACTCTCTTCATTTTCTACTTGGTAGTTGCAAGCTGGACCTTTTGCTAGAACGTGGCTTGTCGTCCGGACTGCGACGCTCACGTCCTCCTGCGTTTCCGCTTCGAGACTGTCAAGACCTAGTACTCGGGTGAGTCTCAGACCTATTAATTCACTAATAAGCAGGGTAAGGATCGAGACGTGACTAGAAACTAGCTAGATATACTGTATAGTCGTAGATAGCAGATGGGTATAGTGTTACGAACCGACCTATAAACGACTAACTAAACGCCATAAAGTAAGTGTTCAGAAAATCCGTGGCTGAATACTATGTATCGCCTTGGGGTCAAAAGCTAACGGCATGCGCTTGTTGTCAATCAAGGCTCTCTTGTTCGAATAATCGTGCCTTGCTCCAAAGTCCGTAGTACGTAGTACCCTGCCCAACTCTCAGCAACACCAACTCCTCCTCAATTGTTTTCCAAGCGGCCATCTTACTCTAGCCATGCCATTGATGGACAGAACTCAATCCTGAACAAAGACCTGCCTCACAACGGGCGGGCTGATGGATCGCCGTCACTGGTCTTCGGACGAACTTAGTTGATCAACCCACTTTTGATCTTCATATGGGGTTTGCCATTCCACACGTTTTGGGCTGCATGGTCTTGTTGTGGCTCTGGTAAGTCGCACAACCTACAGTATATCATCAAGTGCCCTGGAGCGCCTGTCCGAACTCCACGTGCCAGGTAAGTAATTATGAGCTCGACTGCGCTACTAAACCGAGCCATAAGCGCAATTTGTTTACCTTATCTAAAGATCTATTTTTGCTTAATTTCTCCTTTCATGTTTTCATAGTCCACAACATATCTCGTATGAAGCAGCGAACTCGAGAAGGACTCTAGCGCCATGCTTACTGTTCGGCGGAGATTCGTTTATACAGCGATTCTCACGTTCTGACACTATCCCCGGAAGGGAATCACTCAACGGCGTGCAAATAACGTGCAAGCGAGCGGCCAAGTGGCTATACTATACTACGACCGATTCGGATGCATAAGGCGAGGCTACGGTTTCGGCCCTACATCTGGAAGATTGCAGACGCTTCAGCCTTTTACCTTTTTCGCCAACCTCGCGGCACACTTCCACATCGTCGGTCATTTCTCGAGTAGTTGAGGTGACTTTCAGAGCGCTTTCAGCCTAGACCTGGGTGGTGTTCGCTTTATAATGCCCTTTCCAGCGACGATGATGAATGCTGTCCAATCTTGTTTGCGCTGCGACTGAGAAGCTACCGCGAAGTTGCGAATACTAGTGCAACTGCATTATCAATCATGTATGATGGAGGCAACGTACAGTAATGGCCATGGGGGAGTGTGACATATATAACGGTCAGAGCAGGTCTTCATCCCTCGATCCCTCATCAGGGCTTCTTACATTCGTTCATCACATCAAAGAAAAGCATTAACTTCAACCAAAAAAAATGATTTACTCCACCATTGCTGGGCTTATGCTCACGCTCTCATCGGTCGCTACCGCATCAGCTTTGCCTCAAGCCAACACGTTGGAGTCCAGACAAGCGGCTTCTATCTCGACGATCACCTTCTCAGACCCGATTCTAGCACCGCACGTTATATCAACCTTCCCCAACGGCACTTGGGTCGAGAACCTCGTTCCACGTTCCGAGGACGGCAACTTTGTGGCCACTCTCCTTTCAGCACCAGAAGTATACCTCCTATCGTCTACAAACGCCTTCGCGCCACTCCTCCTTGCCCAGTTCCCTGTACGTACCAGTGTCCTCGGTGTCGTGGAGCTAGGTCACGATGTTTTCTACGCCGTTGTCGGAAACTTCTCTTTGAAAACGTTCGCGTCCACGCCCGGGAGCTATGGCATCTTCAAAATCGACCTGAACGGCTACGCCGCTGGTTCCCACACAGCTGGCGACGGAAAACTTTCAAAGCAAGCTGCCAAGGGCGTCAAGGTCACAAAGGTCGCAGATCTACCCAATGCAGGCCTCGCGAATGGGCTGACCGTTCTAAATCCCAACACCGGCATCCTCCTGGTCGCTGACTCCACCAAAGGCCTCGTCTGGTCCGTCAACGTCTTCACGGGACACACTGCCGTTGCCATAAGTGACCCGTCCATGGCACCCAACGCGACCCTCTCAGGCGGACTATCCCTGGGCATCAACGGCCTTAGCTTCTCCAATGGCTATCTCTATTACGACAACTCCAACTACGTTACCTTCAACCGCATCGCCGTCAACTCCACCACCGGCCATGCCACCGGCCCCGCAGAAGTCCTCGCTGCCCAAGAGTTTGCCAACATCTTCCCTGATGATTTCACGCTCGATTTCGCCGGCGGTCTCTGGTTTGCGTGTGAGTACGGACACATTGCTTATCTCGCGGGCGTGGGCTCAGGCACATTTCAACCTGGCATTGTGGCCGTGGCCGGAAACTCGACAGGTCCTGTTGGCTTGACGGCTGCGAAGTTCGGCACGAGCGCTGAGGACCTCAAGAGGGGATCTTTGTATGTCACCACGAACGGGGGTCCTTTCACCTATGGCGGCGCGCATCCGGCACAGGGCCAGTTGGTGAGGTATGACACAGCCTTGCTAGGCTTCTACTAAGTGAGATTGTTGTGATAGAAGAGGCAGAAAACTCATCAGGCGTGAGGTGCCTGGAGTTGCATGCAGCATATTGATACTAGTGGGTGGTTGCAGGATAAAGTTGAAAAGATCAAGATTCAATCTTGATTTGGAAACTCATCAAGATAGATGTGGAATGTTTTCTTTGAATATACTGAAACTTTTGGGGACAATAGGGCAAAACTTCTCAATCACTCTTCACTCTCTGCGGCATGCTCCCCTCCAACCCTCTTCATCCTTCCTCTTTCAAACCCTTTTAATCCTTTCTCATCTAGACAAGTACTGAGTCCTCAGCCTCATGTTCCTCAGCTCCTCCACAGCTCCTCCACAGCTCACCATGGAACCCGGCAAGGCGCAGGGCGTGGCGGAGGAACAGAAGGAGATCTCGGCCTAAACTGCTACAACCGTGCGGGAAACGCAGCAAAAGCGCAGTAAGCAGAGTAAGTAGAGAAGCGTAGACCACGACTTCCCTTTAAATGTCCCTCCAGCGGTGCCTAAATTGGGAACTAAAATCTATCGTAATAGTAGTGGTGGTAGAAGTAGTAGTAGTAATCCGAGCGCCACTTGTTCCATAGATGCCGCTTTCTTGACGCACGCATCTGTGCTACTGTATCGCGAGGATTGTGGAATTGAAGCATTGAAGCATTGAAGAGGAAATAACAACCACTTATCAGTATCCCAGCAGCGCAGTCCGCGTGTCAACCACTTCCCACAAGGAAATTTAGGCACCATCGTACTGAAAGGGGAGGGAATCTGCCAGTTTTCCTAACGCACGTTCTGAAAAGGATGCCTAGCCGAAAGACAAGTATAGCCGAACGAGAGGCACGAAGGAGGGGCCAGATGAAGCCCCCAATGTGTCTGCTCAGGGAAAGCTCAGGGGGTACTCAGTGATGCTCAGTTAATGGCTCATTTAAAGCTCAGGGTAAAGCAACCCTCACTCACCCTCTAGGATTGAACCGTACATTGTAATTGGGCTTTTCGTGCTCGAGTAATACAGGTACCTACTATGTAGGTAGGTACGGAACCAGGAACGGATTAATTTCGTTCCAACCCTTTTCTTCCTCCTCGGTGGCTCAGCCCACATTTGCCAGTGAACGTCCAACGTCCAAGGGGTTGTCCAGCCACGATGATGCCCCTCCGCTCACTCCAATTAAAACGTGGTCGCGTAAAGTGGAAGTGGGAAGCCTCGCGTCAATTTCGTGTCAGCGCAGGTTTTTCAAGGAGTAAAGCACCAATTGAACCGGCCGCCAACTGCCAGTCAGGGATTCAGGGAACACGGGTTCGCTCACGGAGGGGCCAACGCGACCCAGACACCCAATGACAGCTCGCCCAACAGTACCTAGGTACCCAGCCTTACCCAGCCCCGGACTTTGCTCTGGCGAGTCCGGGCGCTAGGCCTGAAACTCGGTGGTTAGCGGCGGGAGCGAAGCCACTATTAATATCGCCATGCATGACAATTTTAGGGGGGCATTTTAAGGGAGGCTGGGGAGGCAGCGCCTGGTTGGTTGGTGGCCTCGGGTGGCCAACTGTAGCCAGGGGCTCCAGGGCTTCAGCCGCCTCTTCCAGCGCTGCTCATGGCTGGAAGGCGAAGGGGTTTTGACTGTTTAGGCCACAGTCCCAGCCAAAAAGTATGGTCCCTGGCCTAGTGGGTTTCTCGCTACTCCCGCCCTCTTCGCTCCTCTCTCGCTTGAGTGTGTGACGATCCAGTCGCTCCGGAAACTCGATAAGACCTGCACGGACCTGATAATATCCTCTTGCAGCAGTGGCAGTTGGCCGTGGCAGTCGCACAAGATCCCAATTGCTGCACGGCGCCGTTGCCGGACTCCAGAGTTGCGATTTGGCCTCATTTAGTTTTAACTTCGACACCTGCATCTCCTTCATCTCCTCCTTCAATAATCAGCTCCTTTCTCCCTTTTCTCTCTCACTCTCACTCCCACTCTCTCAATTTCTCACTCTTGTTCTCACTTTCCACACTCATCTTGACCTTCACTCCCGTCCACCAGCACCAGCTGCCTTTCATTCACATCAGTAATATCTCCCTTCACCCCTTCGGCGCCTTGCTATTCACTTAGCAGGGAGGGACCCTTTCGTCGAGCATCCACACTCGTTGGCTTCCAATCTCGCTGTTGATCAGGGTCGACATACCTGCAGCCTGCACCCATTAGTCTTGAGCTCCTGTCTAGCTCACTCACTCAGTCGTTTCCTCATCCTATCTTCACCCCGAGCATACCCTCAACATGGGTCTGCCACAAGACTTTTCCACCCCTGTGCTTTCCATTGAGTCGGACTCACCCCTCTCCAAGCGTCGTCGCTTCACCCCCAACTCGCTGCCACCCATCATCCCTATCGCGGACAACTCGGACATTGAACACCATACCTTTGACTCTCCACTGCTTTTGCAGCTCTGCGAACAAGCCCCAGATCAGGCGGAAATCGAGGCAGGTCTTCTCCAAGTCGGTATGCGCGTCAGGAAGGCCGTTGCTGAAGGATATAAGACCCAAAAGAAATTCACACCCCGGCCTTTCTTCAACATGCACCGGCTTTCTCCCGAGACCCAGGCTGCCCTGTCTGTTGGCAACACTGATGCCACCAACGAGCTCTCCCCATATTCTGCCGCCCAGGTCCAACCTCTCAGCACTGCCACCTTCTGCGGCATCAGCCTTGCTTACCTCTCACATTGCAGCGAGGATTGGTCGAGCCCCTCAATTGCCCAACAGTCTCTCTGGTCTTATTCCACCAGCCACAAGCGCACCTACGAGGCCGACTCGGACAGCGACGACAGCCAGGACTGGCAGCCTCAGACTCCAAGCTTGGTGGCCGATGCGGGAGTGCACATGCCCGTCGATTATTTTGCCATTGATATCGATACCATGAGTGATGTCAGCCCGATGACCCAGATCGGGGACCGTGCCAGGCAACACTTCAATGGTCGACGCATGGCTATGCCAAAGAGTCGCGGCCGATTCTTTCAACAACCCGAGACACAAATGCCGCCTACCTCCGCTGCCAACCCTTTCGCCAACATGATGGTCCAACAACCAGAAACTCAACTCGCCAACCATTTCGGTCACAAGAGAATGATGAGCTGTGGTATGGAAGCTGCCATGGATTTCGGCGAGGCTCCTTTCCTGCAACGACGAGAGGATGTTGAGATGGACTGCTCTTGAAAGACAGCAGAAAAAGCAACCTTGATTAAACCAGGATTTTGACGATTTCGTTATTTATGCTTTGCATTGCTTTATGAATTCTTTTCACTTCAAAACGGGCCGGGATGCATCGAGGGAGTGCCTTCGGACGGTATTGCAACGACCCGAAGAGGGCTTGGATATGCAAAAATCGATGAGCATGAGAATGGAGATGGAGAACGCTGAGTGATGGTTGGATGAATGTTTCAATCATCCTGGCCACGTTGTAACATATTGTGAGCTGTGATCAATACTTGGTTCGGACATGGGAAATGGGAACATTGTATATACGGTTTCAGGCTCTATCGACGTGGATCGGCCCTCCTCCAAAGGGTGGGAAGGCGCTCTTTGCCTCCACAGGAGAAAGTGGGATATTGCAGGAGTCGGCGCGCCCTGCAATCAACAGTCTTGCGTGGCTCATGTCATGCATTATCCATCGACGAAAATCGAGTCAGCTAGATAATCAAGAATGAAAACATGATTGGAATTGAGAAGAGACTTTTGACCTCGAGCTGTTGACCGCTTTTTGAGACTATCGTGGGGACTTGCACGTGACCGTGGGGAACGGTGGGAAAATCTGACAGGTGCATTCAGGTTGTTTCTTCGGGTTCTGCTTCGCCTACAAACACTTTCACTTTATAGCTTCATCTAAAGATCTAGACAGAAGAGCCAGGCTAAGCTAGACCACCAAAGAACGTGCTACTCCCGCAGTCACGGTGTTTGGAGAGAGATGATATCGATGATTCTTCAACGGCATCCGTGTGTTCCACCTTATTTTCGAGAGGATGGCGGTGTCCTGAGCCTAGGTGAGTGATAACACAATATTGAGTACTAGCAGCTGTCGGTCCGGGCTCGAAGGCTGCGAACTTAATCACTCTGTACGTGGCCATACCCATCACTATTTTGAGACAGGGGCTTGCTAGAGGCCTGGGAAAACAACCATTTTCTATTGGCTGCGTGGCTGCCATGATCCTCGTGAAACAATGGCCAGAGCAAGGGAGGTGGCATGACTCCTGAGTTCACCAGCGCGTCGAGTCGCCGCCAGGAAAGGGTGCCAATCTCAATGTCATCTCGCTTTGCTTACCGATGATTGTTGATAAAGGCGAGCGAGTGCACCGTGATGACTCCTCTCAGGCCATCCTGATTCTCTCGCCAACAGGCAAAACTTCCACACTAAGCTGCGCATCCCCTCGGGGCAATGTAGACGAATGATGTCTACGATCACAATACCAGGCTTCTCGCTCATCCTTCGCGCGAGAGGATCGCCCACTCTTGACCTGGTTTACAAGTACACACCTTTGCCCGTTAATGGCTGGACCAGGATTTTGCTGCTTCACCCTGCATCCACAGGCGATAGCCTCTCGTGTAGCCTTCAAGCCTGGAAAATCGAGGACATTGCCTGTCTGGGGTTCGAAGCTCTGTCCTATGTCTGGGGGAGTGAGAATGGAGATCAAAGGGGGAGAAAAATCAGCTGTGATGGTGCTACGCTGCATATCCGGGAGAACTTGGCCTGTGCATTGAATCATCTTCGACATGAGCGGAACACAAGGTTTCTTTGGGTAGATGCCGTGTGTATCAACCAGGAAGACCAGGGCGAGAGAGCACAACAGGTGAGTAGATTGTGTTGGAGTGATTGAACCATACTGTCTCGACAGCTATCATTTTAACACTAAGTGGAAGGTCCAACAAATGGGCCAGATCTATGCGAGCGCATCGAGAGTTCTCGTATGGCTGGCCCCGGATATCAATCAAGAAGCGAAGGAGTGCTTCTCCCTGATACAAGACACTGCCACTCTCCTTGCAGAGCTGGTCTCTAGATATGGAGATGTCAGTCTCTTTCCTCCAATTGCCCCAGAGAGCGGAAAAATCTGCTTGGATCCCCGCAAATGGGATATGGTACGCCGATTGATGGATTCGGAGTGGTTTTCCCGGGTCTGGGTGCTCCAGGAAGTCGGCCTGGCTCGATCAGCGGTTTTGCTCTACGGCAATGCAACCATGAACTGGGCCTACCTCGTTGAATTGATGCTCATTGTGGCATCGCGTGTTGATGTCGCTTCACATACGGGCTCTGTTAAATCTGGTATGCTCTGGGACTTGTTCGATGACCTCTGGAGGACATATGGGAATGATATATCCTGGAGAAACGAGTTGCCAATGTGCAAGATGCTGAGTTCCAACAAAAGTGAAGTGAGCTTCATCAACATTCTGAACGACGGACGGTCCTACATGGCGACTGATCCTAGGGATCGTGTATATGCCTTCCTCAGTCATCCCAGTACAGCTTGCGGTGTTGCACAGGACAAAAGAATGGTGGTCGCCAATTATAACCTGTCCGTTGATGAAGTCTATTTTCAGACGGCAGAAGGCATCTTGGACAATGATCCATATCCATGGACTGTACTTACTTGCGTTGACCACACCGCGGATCCCCTCTCACTTTACGGTCGGCGGCCCTCCTGGGTTCCACGTTGGGACGAAGGGTGGCGTGTGTATTGGCTGGGGTACCCAGAGATGTGGTATCGAGCTGGCGGGATCAAGCCTGCATCCTTCCAATTCGAGGTCTCCAGATCCGAGTCCGCTTTACGCGTGACAGGCGTGATCTTGGATTCTATCGAATGGACTTCTCGCGTGTTTGATTCTCAAGAACTTCTGCTTGAAGCTCAGAGGAAGGAGGCGCCATTGCAAAAGCTGTGGCAGGAGTTGGAATCTGACAGATGCAACGCAATTTACGGTAGCAGCCAACTCGAGCGAGAGCATGCGTACAGCCTCACGACCGCAGCAGGACGGGCAGCTGATGAAGGACCTGCTGAAGACAACCCCAGACTTCACCGCGCCATCTATCGGGCGTACAAGAAGATAGTCCGCGGTCCGAACAGCAGTGATCATGGAATGGATCCACTGTCATCGACAGAAACAGACTCCAAGTGCCAAGAAGGAGAAGAGTCTCCACGATCCCTCGAACTCGAAGCGCTCACTTATATCGGCAGCAACCAGCGCAGAGCCTTCCACAACCGGCGATTTTTTCGGACGAAAAAGGGTTACTACGGAATCGGTCATCTGACGGTCAAAACAGGTGATGAATGCTGTGTCTTTAGGGGTGCCAACGTGCCATTTGTTATTCGGAGGGTATCAAGAGACAATGGCCGGGAAGGCTCTACCTCCAATCAACACTTGCTTGTGGGTGAATCGTATATTCAAGGCGTCATGAGGGGAGAAATATTTGAGATGATGAATGCAGGCGGGGGCAATGACCTTAATGAAGAGACAATTATTCTTGTATAGGCACGGTAGGGTAGATTTATTTATCGAGGGAGGAGGACGAACGACCCTTATGCATCTGGTGCCTGACGAGGCTGCGACCAGTACCACCAGCAACGAACGTATGACTAATTACGTCACGTGCTGATAGCCAAGATTGTTTTTCCCCTTTTGGGTGTAAACAAAAGAATCCCCAAGAAACGGCATTCCACCTGCAGTGCCTCCCGCTACCCTTGCAGTACTACGTCAATTGAAACCATGAAAGTCTTATGACAGTGACTCTCTAATGGCTTCTCAACTCATGGATGCGGCTATCATTGTCGACGATGATAGTATGGAAAACCACAATCCACACGTCAGCCCGAACCCGCTCAAATGTCCTCCTGCACCGCTGCACCAGCTCTCGCCCGAGCGCATGAATCAGCAACGCCTCCCTCAGTCACCCTCTCTACACAGCTACCTCGTCGAACATGACCGACCCCGCACCCGCGACTCGTTCACGTCGGACGTTCAGTCGAAAGTCGCCTTTCTCAACAGCTTGGCGGCAAGCACCAGCGTTCAATCGTCGCCCACTCGGCCCAGAAGACTCGGGCCCGGACTTCCGGACAACTGCAGTGCCACGTCTAATCATAATCTTAATACCAATAATGCTCTCCAGCGGGCAGTCATGGGATACGAGGAAGCACAGGCGAGCCTCGCAAGTCTAAACGCCGAGCTGGAGCGGGCAAAGGAAGAAGTGGCCTCCAAGAAGAAACGGGAGAGAATGCTCTCGCAACGCGTCGAGGAGCTCCTGGAAGAGCTGCAAGCCGAGAAGGAGAAAAGAGGTCGAGACCAGGAGTCCTACACGAAAGAAATCAAACGATGTCGCAAGGAGACCTACCGTGCTGAATTGGCCGTCGTGGAGGCAAGGCAGGATCTGCAAGAAGTGAGGGCAGAGCTAAAGAAATGCCAGGCTGAGATACAGCATGAGAGGACGGAGAAGGAGAAGAGTCGCCAAGAGAGTTTTGAGAGGGCATACGCGTTGGCAGGAATGGTGGGTGAGATGGATCAGCTGAAGGATAGACTGAAGGCCGTGGAAAAGGAGAGGGACGCAGCCCTTCTGGAGGCAAAAGCAAACGCCGTCGAAAAGAATGCACTGTTAGAGAAGGGTGTTCAAACTGAATTGCGAGAGCCCCGGAACGAAGGTGAAAGGACCGAAACCCCCGAAATTCCCGGGGAGAGAAAGACATTTCAACAAGGAGAAAACAATCGATCTGCTCAGCATTCGGATAGCGAGAGCGACATCCAATCTGTTTCTAGGCCGAGGATGGTGCCAGCGTCAATGAATTACGCGAAACCTGAAGGCACTGCACGTCTCGCGCCAAAGCTGCCAGATTTCGCAACAGCCATATCCCGCTTAGACTATTACGACAAGCAGTTAGCAGGAGAGAAGATCACACCTGAAGAAGAAGTTGAGTTTTTGAAGCAGGAACTTGCTTGGGCGCGGAAGAAGCATGAGGAAGACTCGGATTTGATCCATTTCATGCATATGCAGTGTCAGTTCAAGGCTTGTCCGTGTCGACTGGCTGAGTCAAATGGAGATCGGTTTGTTCACGATCAGGTTTATGATGCCAGGATGCTGCAGCAGCGCGCATCAAAGAAGAGGAAAATCTCGAACGAGGTGGATGAGAAGAGCTCACATCTTGAAGAAACCTACAAGACATCTGCGGAGCAGTCCCTCACAACCAAAGACGAGCCTGTCCAGAATGCGCCGAAATCTAGGCCTTCGATCGAAGAGAGTGAGCCGGCCATACTTCCACCTGACCCAACGCCGGAGCTGATGGATGAGGCATCAGAAGGACCTTTGGTCCTTGAACAAGCTGTCGGAGTGCCTCTCCCGGAACCAGACGCGATGGAGCTGGACTCGAGCACTAATACACCAGAGGTGACGGCCCAGTTGGAGGAAATAACGCAAGTTTTGGTCGAGCCAGCAAGAGGTTCACAACCGTTCTCTTTTTCAACATCTATCACAACTAATGCTGGCATTGGGATTACAGCTCCACTACTTCGACATACTGAGAGTACGTCGGCCGTGCATGACCACGATCTCTTCGATCTCTCGCCGCCAAAACAAGCACCTCCAAGACGACCTTCGACGGCGCTGGGCATCTTGACTGTCGACTCACCTGTTCGGCTGGTGCCGGATTCACCACGCTCGGTCAGGTCTTCTCAGCGGGAAAGCGTGCGAAGACTCACAAAGGAACGACACCACGCCATCACGCCATCAGTCACGACGACCACCACGAAAATCGCACTCAAAGACTCGCCATCCCGCGCTAGTCTGCACAGGCGAGCACAGTCAAAACCGAATCTTCGAAGCCACTCACCTTTGGTGGCCTCAGTCATGTCTCACCACGATGATGCTGACGAGCAATCTACATTTGTAAAAGACTCCTCGGCTTCACCTGGAGCGAGCACTGTGTTTCCCGTTACGCCCTTGCACAAGCACTCAAGGTCAATGCATAATCTAGCTCTGCATGCGCAGACGCAGGCTCACGTTGAGAGTCAAGCTCAAGCGCAAGTTCCAAGTCATGCAAGAAGTCCACAGTTGGTTGCTGCTACGACTACGACGCGCGTACCGCTCAGAGAAGCCGTGGATGCAGATGATGATATGTTCAGCCTGGAGCAGCACCGCTCGAGTCGAAATACTGGACATGACCATGCTCAAACCGAGGTCTTGAACATCAGACTGGACTCCTCCATTACAAGCAACAGAGAACCAATCTCCCATCTGCAGACACAACAATCCAGAGTGACTGTGACTTCGCTCGCGGATAATTCGGGTACTATGCTCTCCAACGTCCCTGGCACTCCGATCTCACGGGAGGCAGCACTGGCGCAGATTCGCGCACGAAGAGATCGAGCCAGGAGCGTCAATCTCAAGCGCTCCGCGCTCGAAGGCCATGGCCATGGCCATAATGGCAACAAGGGTGTCGGAGTCAACAACGGCACACGTGGAAGCCCCACAAAGCCACCACGGCCGGCGGTCCTGAATATTGGAAGCGGCGGCGGCGGCCTGTTCCAAGCTGTCGGGAAGGAAAATGCGCGCAGGGAGATTAGCCAGGCGAGTGCGCCGGGACGGCTTGCTTTTTGAGTTTGGGGTGCATAGGTACGAGGTACATATGTAGTTTTCTAATGCGTCGTAAGAGTAGCCGATACCTACCTAACTATGCTCACCTCGGCGTGTACAAAGGGGCAGAGAGACAGACGGACAGGTGGATAGATGAAGACTTTATTAATCAACGCCCCTTTCTTCCCATTTCCTTCTAGGGAATTCAAGTAGTCCCCACCACTGACACTATCGATTGTCCTGTATAGTTTGTGATAGAGTCCGGTCACCGCGTCGTGCTAGGTATTGCATGATGTTACATTGTATTATATCATATCGTGCAGTGTCTGATCAAGGGCAATCAGTACATGTACCTAGGTATGTATGAGGAATGGCAAGGACTCGCTAGAAGCGAGGCGTACGACAGGATGGGAGGTGGACGAAGTGTCAGGCGATGAGCTTTCTCAGATCCCCCCATTTGATAACCTATCCTTATCCTACCTAGGAGGTATATCCCTGTGTCTTCCCCTTCCCAGAGTGGCTTTGCCGGGATGGAGAAATCCCTTTTTTTGGCGGTGAATGTAGTCTATGAGCGGATCACTATATTACTTTAAGCAGGCATATATATGCTAGGTATCACTGTATGAAGTAGTATGATGAGGAGGAGGATCGAGAGTCAGCGACCCAGAATGAGGATTCAATCTTTCCCGACCGTCTGAATAGTTGATGTTACCGACCGAGTCTCTGCATTCATTTCCTTTTGCTTGAGCCGTTGCAGAAACCCGAGGCGGATATACTGGCGAGAAGATTGATGCTTGAATTGAAACGAGGCGAGTGTGTCAGAGTACCACTGCAACTGGGGCAGTTTCAGGCCATTGATAAACTGTTTGACCTCATTCAAGTCAGGAGAGATGTCCAGCCAGAATGCCTCCTCACTGTAGTGTTTCAGAACGAGCAACTTCCAACCTAGTGATCTTCCCTCGTCGGCACATCGGTCGGATTCAAGCAACTTCCGACCTAGAGATCTTCCCCCATCGGCCCATGGGTTGGATTTATGTAACAAGTTCACCATTACCTGGTTGTCTGATGCTGCTTCAAAGGCATGTGCGCGGATACCCTTTGCCCATACATCGGCACCGGCGTCGAGTAGAATCCGTGCGATCTGCCTACGACCAAATATTATGGCAGCCTGCAGTCATCACGATTGGCGTCGGCACCAGCGTCAAGGAGAATCCGCACGATGGCTTCATGCCCACGCT